GCCAGGGGATGTGCTGAATCTGAAGAGTGTTGGCTGCGATGATGTAGGCAAGTTGGATGCATTTCTCCGCTGCAGCGGGAGAGTTGGAAGGGCGTATTTGAGCATGCGAGCATACGCGATGCGAAAGGCGGTCGTGGAGGGAGCAGTGAAAATGAGACAGCGGCGACAGAGTCGGGGATTCGACGCGAGTCATGGCGCATATGCGAACGGCGAAGTCATGGACGCCAACTTCTCCTTCGAGGAATTGGGAAGGCCATCTGAAAAGTCGTCGGGGTCGACGACGATGCATCGAAGGAGAGCTGCGTAAGCCTTTTCCTTGTAGCCGAGGGGATGATCGCACGCCAACCCCTCTGCAAAGACTTCAAACATCTTTGTCTCTGTTGGGACCGACGTCCATTCCATGTCCTTGGCGCCGCTGGCGCATTCTTTCTTGATGGCTGTGGCGACCAGGGTCTTGACGTCGGCGATGTAAGAGCGCAAGGCGACCAAAGCTATGACGATGCAGTGGCGCTCCTGGGTGGTGTACCGGAGGAAGACGTTGGGAGATAGTTTGTTGATGGACAGTTCTATATGAAAGCCGGCTTTGTACGCCTGAAAGGGGACGGACGAAGGGGAGTGAGAGATGAGGAGGACGAATGGAAGAGAACTCGCCTCGAAATGATCATTTCCGTAAGTCAAGACTTGAGAACGCTTGGATGCGATGGCGGGGACGTTGAGATTGTCGGAAGTGGGCCAATCAGCGGAGCTGATGGCGATGGGATTCGTGATGGAAGTGGTCATACGCACGGAAGGGGAAAAGGTCGGGAGGCCCTGCTCGAAGAGGCTCTGAACCAACCACAAGGGCCTCATGAGCTTGGAGGCGATGACTCTGGCTGTTGCCGGTGGGTGGCGTAAGCGAGGGCGCGTTCGAGAACGGAGCATAGCTCGACGACCTCATGTCTGGGCTTATTACCAGCTTCCAAAATGGGAAGCTGGTGAGCCACAAGCGTTCGAGCAATGAAGTGATGCCGAAGGTGGTCCACTGATATACTTGAGGGAAAGCCTGGGATGCGGCGAGGGAGACGAGGATGCAAAAACGGCGAGAAGGAGCACGACGAGGAATCAAAAGAATTATATGAGAGATGAGAAATGAGAAATGAGAGGAAGGAAAGACGATACTCACATGGGAAGCGAAGACGCACAGATGGGGGCGAAGGACTTGGAAGAGGTGGGGATGAGACCAGGCGCGCGCGAGGGGAACGATTATGTCTTTATATATGGACCTAGGGAGAATGAACTATGAGGGAGAGAAATGAAATTGAAAGAGGGAGGGAGCTCACATTCCGTTGCGTTTTTCGGGCTTGATTGAGTCGCACTGTATGATGTAAATGTTTTCGAGGCGCAAGGCACGAGGGACGTCGTCGAGAGCGATCTTGTTGTCGTATTTTTGATGGGGAAGAGCCATCTTGCATTCACGGACTCTGGTGTTGTGAGTGACCTTTGTTGCGGCGTTGCCGTATGCGCCTGCGAGAGCAGAAGTGATGCGGCCTTGTTGCACGTCGTGAAGAGCGGCGGAAGGACGGATGCGATGGGACAGCTCGTTATAGAACTGGCATGCGCTTGGAATGACGACTGGGGGAACGCCCTGGGTGCCATCGAGAGACTCGCCGAAGACGTCGTACTCGTCTGGCAAAGGTTGGTCGTCGTCCAAGTCGACTACACGAGGTCTACGGGATGTGGGCACGACGGATGTCTGAGATGAAAGGGGCGAAGTGGGGAAGGACAGCGTCGCATTGGATGTGACCCATGGTGCGAAGGAAAGCCTGGGGGTAGACGGAGACGGAAGGGGTGGAGGTGTGTTCTCCTGCGTAAGCGTCTTCGTCGGTGGCAGCGTCAGGATGGTCTGGAATGTAAGAGGAGAACAACTCGGAGATTGTCTCCAAGTTGACGAGGAGACCGCAAGGTCTGGTGTTGCGACGACTCTTACCATGGAGGCGAGGGATGCGACGTCCATTCTCCTCGTAGACGTTATTTTCGCGGGTGGTGTGTGGATCGCGATGAGGGAGAAGGTCGAGGTCTACCTCTTCGCGGACGTCTGGGTCTGGGGAGTCGTAGACGACGCCATGCTGGAGGATGATGTCTTCATTTGGGACCTCTTCCCAGCGTTTGACCCTCAAGCATCTGATCGATGAATGAATAAATCAATAAATGAAATGAAATGAAAGATGAGCGAAGAGGACGTACGAGACGTCTGTGGCGATAGCGACGGAGATGTACCTTATGTTGGAATACGATCTCTCGGCGTGCCAATTCTTTGCTTCGAGGACTTGTGCTTGGTCTGTTGCGGTTGCAATCGGCTGGTTCTGGCCGTAACGGCAGGTGATGGCTACTGGGGTGCGACTGAGAAGCCAGCCATCCTTTTTCCAAGAGCGGGGTGCATCTGCGACCCACTGTTCCCAGTCTGATGCGATTATGTTGTTGAGCTCCTGCAAATCTGTGAGACGCAAGTCCCAAGTTGCCTGCGAGCTAGATAAAATAGATAAAATAAATATTGATCAGCTGCGTTCCATAAGTGCTTGACTGAAATGAAATGAGAGGATGACCCGCCGTCGCTACACCCTCACAGAGCGGACCAAATAAGGAAATGGACGAGATGTGCATATAAAAGATGAAGTTGCACGTATGTATCATCATGTATGAATGTCTGAGATGGCAGGGAGACCCGCCGTGGCTATAGGCCACTAGTGCGGACCAAATGGGATGTACGACATGATATATTACCATATAAAATGGACAAGAGAACCGCCGTGGCAATAGGCTACTAGTGCGGACCAAATAGGATGCGGAAGACTCACTATATGTTGGAGACATCCTTGATTCTCCAGGCGCTTAGGTCGTCATCGGTGCCGTAATGGTGCATGACGTAGATGGGGAGATTGGGGATTCTGGACAATGCGTAAGCCATGAACATGACGGCCATGCGGAAGTGAGAGGAGGAGAGTCTGGTGTCGCCGTGTTGTCTTTCGCTGAGGAGGGGGACGTTGTTGGCGATGTCGAGGTCATCGAGGTTTTCTTGCGGGCAAAAAGCCAACCAGAATTGGCATGCAGGGCCGGTGCCGATGGCCATCATGCACCCGGTAGGATCGAAGCCCAACTTGCCGAACTTGGGGCAAAAGAGACGGGAGGGGAGACAGAGGTTGAGGGCGATGGAAAAGGTGTGGTCGACGAGCTTGTTCGGAAGCAAGGCGTGCAAACCAATGGATCCCCCTACGATGAGGCAAAAGTCGAGGAAATGATTGGAGGCGTCCCACAAGAGCATCTGGTCTTCGTTGTCGTAGCACAAGTCGTTGTCGAAGCGAAGAAGGGAGCGACGATGCAATAAATTTATTGCGGCGGCTTTGTCTCCCTTTTTGAAGGTCCTGGCGAGGGCGGAGAGATTGATGGGCTGTACCTTTGTCTGCTCCCAGGTACGACCGGTGGAACGTGCGCCATCCTGGGTCATGAAGAGAGACTCGAAGATCTGGCTCTGAGGCAAGGCATCTTCTGCCTCGACCGAGGCAGGAACATCGGCAAGATCGAAAGGACGAGGCTCGTCTTGATCGCCATCTCGAGCAGCAGCGGCACCTTGAAAGGTGAAGGTGGCGAGATCGTCGTCATCGCTGTCGAAGCTGGAACAAGAGGTGGGCGAGCAAGGGTCGTCAGTAGTCAGTAGAATAAATACACGCGTGGAGACTCACAGACGGTCTTCCGGGTCAGACATTGTATGGATGGAATGAAAAGTGCGAGTTTGCAAATGGAGGAAAGCTGGAGAGAGATTGGAAAGACTCGGAGAAGGCTAGAGGAAAGAGGCGAGAAAGACGCACCAGGACGCAAAGAGTAGAGAAGAAAAAAAGAACGGGTCAGCTGGGATGTCCATTAGTTATATTGGAGGGGTGCCGACAATGGAAACTAGTTTAAATTTTGGTGCATGCAACGGACGATCGATCGATCAAGGTACCTGAAATGTTGGATATTGGAAATGAGAAACGAAAACGGAGCGAACAGACAAATGAATGAATGAATGAATGAATGAATGAATGGACGTACAAAGGCAAGCAGCAAAGCGATGGCTATCGATGAAGGTCGAGGGTGGTATATGAGGGAGGGAGGATGATGGGATGGGGATGGGCACAGGGGGACGAGTTTGTGCTTAGGGATGGAAGCGAGGGAGGATTAAATAAAAGAGGGCCGTAAAGACTTAGCATTTAGCGCCGAGGATGGTTATGGGTCAGAAGCTTGCTGCAAAGGGCTTAGCACGACAGGGCACCGGCACGAGAAAGACCGAATAGAGTGGACTTGGCAGGGATATGATAATGGAACGTAGCACTTACAGGAGTCGGATGACGGAGATGGATTGAGATCGACGATCAATGATGACGAGGGAATGGGCGATAGATCAGGAATGAAACACAGGGATGGAGAGAGAAGAGAGAGACTGACAGATGGGAGAAGACTGTAGGACTCGAGTGTTTGCGAAGCTCGATATCGTAGATGATACACGAACACACATAGGTGAAAGAACGAGAGACAAACGACTTGAAACGAAAGACCAACGACTCAACATAAGTCATGCGCTAGGAAGGGAGACGAACTGAACGAGACAGACGAGTAAATACTGGTGAAGACGGGATCTGGATCTGGATGCAGCGTTGATTCGAAGATATGGATTCGAAGCGAATGCAAAGCGGTCGAAAGAGGCAGAGATGCCGTAGCAAACTCGAGGGGCCTAGAGGAAAGAAAGAAAAATCAAAGGTAGAGCGAACGAATTCTGGTCTGAACTGCAAAGGGCACGCACCACGAGAGAATGCGTGCTAGTCACAGGATGTTAGCGAGGGATACAAGGAAAGCTACGAACGACACATGCGCAGGCAGGCATGAACGCACCTAGTAAGAATACAAATGATCGAGGAGAACAACGCACAACTGCATGGACTGATCGTTCATGCTTGCAAATGAAAAGGCGGACGACGCTCAAACTGCACGAGGACGATATTAATGAGACACAACACAGCACACGATTGACATTCATAGTTCGTAGTACAAATCAAGCCAAGCGACAACAGACGGATCAAAAACGAGACCAAGCGACGAGAGACAAGGATATACGGACGGATGGAGACGCAAACGACGGGGCATAAGGCATGAATGAAAGCAAACCAACGACCTGCGAGTACTGAGCACGAACGGACGCGTAAGGACACTTGAGAGACGAAGAAGAGGACAAAGTACGTGAACGAGAACAGCAAGTAAGAGCATAGACGAAAGCGATGGTAAGGGAGGGGAAAGAACAATGTACTTGAAGGCAGAAAGACACGCAAGATCAAACGCCAGGAATGAAGGTGCCCTCTGAATCGTCCCTGTGAACGATCTTTGCCTTCTTCTTGTTCTTCCTGCCCCGACCAGTGGTGGAGGACGTGGAGGAATTGACTTGGCAAGTGGTTGAGAACAATGAAATAGAAACGAAACGAGAGGTCGACGCACCAGTGGCAGCACGGTCACGTTTGGATGAAGAAGCGACTGGAGTGACGCGTTCTTCTATGGGGGTTAGGTTATGATGTGCAACGATGCAAACGAGGGATCCACGAGCACGACTTACCGTCATCGGAGGGAGGGGACGAGACGGGAGGGGACGAGAGGGGAGACGTTGGCTGGGTGGGCTCTAACGCTATGAAAAGAGACGGCAAGATGAGAAATGAGCCGCGGTGGCAGGTAGGCTGATTGGCGGACGTACCGTGACCTGGACGTTCGTCGACGTCCGATATGACGTCTTGATTCTCGGCGTCCTTCTGACCATCGTTCTTCAAGTTCTCAGCGTTAGGATCATACCAACTCACGTCAGTGGTAGAGAAGCCTTCGATGGGAGAAGAAGCACGTTGTGCAACATTTTCTGACCCGGCATGTTCATCGACGTCCATGGCGGGAGGTGATGGCTGACGCTGTTTCTTTGCGACAGGGCGAGCTTTACGTTTTGCTGGCTGGGAAGCAGCAGCTGGTTGAGGCGTGGTCGCCGGGGAAACAGACATAGCTTCGCTAAGTGCAGACTTGGAGCGTGTTTTGGCAGAGGGTTGTGTTGTGGCAGGCGCAGGGACAGGCGTGTCCTGCTGCTCGCCTGCACGAGCCTTTCCTTTCTTCTGCTTTGTCTTCACAGCTGGTCGCTCTACCTCTGTCTCTGGGACAGGCGTGTCCTCCTCCTCCTCCTCTACAACACGAGCCTTACCTTTCTTGGTCTTCTTCTTTGGCGTCGGAGGACGTTCTTCCTCGGACTCCTGCTCACCTCCCTCCTTATCTGTCGTCGGCACCGCACCATATCCCTTAACGATATAAATGTATATAAGTATGTAGCGGTGGATTAATATAAACTGAATTGAATGAATCACGTACCGTTGTCAGATCGTCGAAGTAACCCTCAGAGAGGGGGATGTGTAGGTCGAAGTTGACCTGGTCCAAATCGACGAGCATATTTGGGTCCTTGTTCAACAGGCGAGTACGATTCCTCGCAGCATTTATCTCTAACCCCTGTAAAGAAACGTCAGAACGAGAATGATGGCACACGACACATACGAGTGAGAAATATAAGGTAAGTACATATAGGTCCGCACATGTCGTGTATAGCGACGGCGGACCATATGAGACACACAGGTCCGCACATGTCGTATATGGCGACGGCGGACGTGGTGACACATGTACATGTCCGCACATGTCAGATGTAGCGACGGCGTACGTGGTGACACAGATCCGTATAGGTCCGCATATGTCAGGTGTAGCGACGGCGGACCATGGTGACACACACAGGTCCGCATATGTCAAGTGTAGCGACGGCGGACCATAGTGACACAGACACGTATAGGTCCGCACATGTTGATTGTAGCGACGGCGGACCAAGTGTCAAGTCGTAGGTACGTCCGCGGATGTAGATACTAGCGACGGCGGACGTGTACTCACCGTGATCAATTCTTTCAGCGGGGTCACGACGTCAGCGGATAGGATGTTGTTGGGGGAGGAGGATAATGCGCAGGGCATGTTTGAGATATACGCGACCAGCTTCTGGATTGCCTCGCGGTCGTTATTCTCGAGGACGAGACGCTCCTGCAGCTGACGCTGCTCCCTTATGACGGTGTCTTTGATGCCCTGGAGGACGACGTCGGGCTCCTCCTGAGTCGGACTCAACACGATCGCATCCCACCACTTCCACTCTTGCTCGGTGACAAGCTGGCCAGTGTAGTCCATCGTCTGGATCTTCGTCACCCCTCTGGTAAGCGTGTCCTGGAGGAGCCAACGAAGGGCTCCGATGAATTTGTCTTGCACCATCTTGGGGCGATACTTGCTGATATGAAATCGTTCGACAGCGATGGCCTTCATGCAGGGATCAATATCCCTGGCGGCGTTCTTGAGCGTAGGGCTGAGCCAATCCCAGGAAGTCGTGTGGAGGGCCAATGTACCCGCAATGGTCGAAGGTTGCGAAGCTAAGTCCCGATTTTTGTTGGCCTTCATCCTCCTCTCCATAAGGATCTTCGTGAGCGCCTCGCTCGCGATCGTCTCTCCTGACGGCAATCTCTCATACGCCGACATCAACTCCTTCTTGTCCTTCGCTCGTGGAACGACGCGTTGCTTCATATTGATCATGTAGTTCGTGAGTCGGACCATCAAGGTACGTCGGTGTTCCCAGATGATCCCCGCGATCTATGACGCAACATAGTTAGCGTATTCGGTCGCGTTAACGCTCCCCCCTCGAAACTCACCTTGGCGCTGTATTCGTGTCCCTTCCCAAGGAAACGCGAGTCATTGGTGATGTTCTGCAACATCACCGTCGACCAGTCGTCCATGGTGTGGGTCTTCGGGTGGAGCATTCGATAATAGTCGAGGAGGCTCTCGAACCAACGGCAAACCTTCGTTCGACATGTTAAGGTGAGTTCTGCGCGTCATTAGAACTAATTAATAATTTACTCACCTCCGCCAGTCCGTCTTGAATGCGCACGAACGAGTCCCATGACTCGTTCATGACGAAACCACATAGGAGGGGCTCAGGGGCGTGCACTTGCCCTTGCTCTGGGGTCAGATAGAGGAGGACACGGGCGACCACACGATCGAGGTGAGCGAGGATCTCGTTTTCTTCGTAGTCCTCGTTCGACGTGAGTCCCCACCCGTCTTGCAGCGTTTTCACCACGCTCTGGCGATAGATGCTCAGAGGTGCGATATACACCGGGCTCATCTCCCCCATGTGCTCGCTGATTTTCGACAGCGCCGACGACGCATTCTTGTCCAGGCCATCCATCACGTTCGCCCACAGCGAAAGGTCTTGATCGTCCTTCGCCTTCGGGGTTCGCAGCAGCGAGGTGCGTAATTCCGCGACCTTGGCGATGGCGGCGGCATCGCGAGCGTCTGCTTTCTCCAACAGGTCCGTCACCTCCGCATAGCTCGGGAACATCGCCTTCGAGCTCAAGCGCCTCAAGGTCTCGATGCGGATCTTGATCCACTGGAGATACATCTGGTGATAACGGTGAGTCGACCCTCCTTCATCTATACTAAAGCGAATCCACTCACGCCCATGCAAACGTTAATAGACTTCGCAAGCCAGTTCACCGTAAATTCACGGCGATGCCTGAAGTGCGGTCCGAGCTGCAACAAACGTGTCGCGAGGAACACGCACAAAGTCTCGTGCTCCAGCACCTTGTGCAGACGTGCGTTCTTCTCCTGCGACGTACGAATCGATAACAAATGCTCGACAGCGAGACGATCACGCTCGTTAACAGGTGACGAATCGTACAACACCTTGATCTGTTTGAATAGCGTGATCAGCACCTCCTCTTCAGTCTCCTTGTACTCGTGCAAGGAGCTGTTGCGGCTCAAATGGTTCGCGAGTTCGTTCCCTTTCGCCAGTAGTTTATCTAGTATGTGTATCGTTAGTATACGTGTTTGAATAAATAAATCATTCGAAGAACAATGGCATTAGGTCCGCGGATTGATGACTCTACATCGGCGGACCTGTGTACACTAAGGTGCATATGGTCCGCGGATTGATCACCTTACATCGGCGGACGTATACACACAAAGGTGTGTATGGTCCGCGGATTGACATGTCGACATCGGCGGACGTGTTTGTGTGCTAAGGTGCACATCGTCCGCAGACTGGCCTATCCACATCCGCGGACGTGTCGACACAATGTCTCGCACACCCGTCGTTTATTGTATAAGTGAGTGTGCACACAATACTCACCTTCGTCATATATGGTGACACCCCATTTCCCGATCCCGTACAGCAGGCCCTTCACCCGACACATCGCAGTGTGACAGTCGTTGTACGTCGCGATATGATCTGTGGTAAGATGTTTTAACGCGTTGATCTTCTCCCGCTTCGTCTCGAGTGCAGAGTACTCGTCGAGGAGCGACTGATTATAACGTTGTAGTGCGGCGAGTCGATGTTGCCCCGATGCGACGACGATCGCTTTGAGATCACGCATCTCCAGTTCCAGGACCTCCTCCGGATCGTCGAAATTCTTCACGAGTGATTTAGCATCCTTAAGACGCGAGGTCTTCATGATCAGCGGGATCGCCGCAACATCCTTCATCGACACGATCCCGCTCGTCTCGAAACTCCCTACTAATTTATTCGTTTCAGACTCGTTCTGGGGCCGGTCGTTGTAGACCCCGAACTTGAGCCGCCCTGCGATCGCAAGCAGATCAACCCAGGCAACCCCCACCTTACACTTGGCCACCTGGCTGTCTAGCTTCTGCGTCTCTTTCGCGATGTCTGTCGTTGGAACGATCGCTTCGATCGGTCGGTTGTTCATATGTAACACAGACGCCCCATCAGCCTGATCAAATTCAATATTTTAAAACGCTATCAGTGAGTCTTTTCTTCGAATTCTTTAATGATCGGCACTTACCTTCGTATTCTCTCCTCCTCCTTTGCTTTTTTTCGGCGGCATCTTCTTCACAGACTTGTATACAAGGTAGGGCAAGGTGATGGTATGTTATCAGACGATCTATTGTAATTTATCAGCGTCCCCCTGCTTTCTGACTCCTCTTTCCCCTTCCGTGCCCTTCATTTCCTCGAGGCTTCTTCATGTCCGCGACCGTCACGTGCTGATACCACGTGACGGATCACGGAAATTCAGAAGCCTCGAGGAAATGAAGGGCACGGAAGGGGAAAGAGGAGTCAGAAAGCAGGGGGACACTGATAAATTACAATAGATCGTCTGATAACATACCATCACCTTGCCCACGGCACGTCCGCCGTTGTTCAAAGGTCAATCCGCGGACCTATACATACTTGTGTGTGTATCTATACACACTATGTTACTATGTTACTATATTGTCTATGTCAATTTTCATTTTGTGTGTGTATCTATACAATACTTTTGTGTGTGTACATAATACTATGTTCATATATTGTCTGTGTCGATTTCCATTATGGTCCGCTGTTCATGATAGGCCTATCTGCGGACCTCTATTGACATCTACGTAGATATCAATACAAAATTTTAATCATTAACTCTCATGTTGTCCATCATCTAGTGCTGCCGCAGTTCAGTCCCGAACCTAGGTTCGAACCTGAACTTTTGCGAACGGAACCACCGTTCGGTCAGGGGTTCGACGTACAATACAGGACTGAACCTTACATAGGTTCTTCGTTCGGGTGGTCTCGGATGGACGTCGGACCCGTTCGGACGAGTCTGAACCGGTCCGAACCCATCATTAGAGTTGCAGGTTTGTTGCTTCTGTTCTGCGACTCCGCAGGTTCGAAGGATACTCACTGTCGACACATCAGTAAGTTTGCCGGTGAAATCATCACCGGCGCAATCCTCACCGGCACCATCATCACCGACACGATCGATCGGAATAGACATTGCATCACCAACACGATCGATCGAAATGAATACTCACATCTTGTTCTGGCCTTGCGCTGAACATCAGCCAAGAATAAAAGGGTGGGGTATATGCAAGGTAAGTTTATCAAAACATGTCTAACTCTGCAGTTAATGCTAATGGCATTTTGAAGGATGCATCCGAAATCGAATGGTATCATGATCCTGACGACGACATGCCCATCTCGCCCCATCCTGAATCCTCGTCTAAGGCTTTGCCCCCTGGCCCTCGTACCCTGGACTCTTTCGTAGGCTCTCACCGAATGCCTGCAACAGTTGTTGCTGGTTCTCGTCGCTCTGGCCGGCCTATCAAGCCTTCCGCAAAGGTGCGAGAAGCAGCAAGCAGTGCCATTCCTGCCAAACGTTCAGGTACTACCACCATGCCCCCTGCCACCAAGCGCCCGCTTGTCTCTGCAACCAGCTCTTCTACAATTGGCGACAATGATGGCGGCGGTGACGACGACGACGACGGCGACAAGGATGAGTCATTTGTTGCAGATTCAGGTGACGAAGAAGCCAAGGAAGCTGAAGCTGAAGAAGCTTACCAGCAAATTAAAGCATTTGGAGATGCCGACCGAGATGTAAGCGTGTTTTCAGACTCTCTCCTGCTTTCCTCATATCAGACCTCCAGGTTCGCAAAAGTCTAAAGAAAGACGAGCGGACGGCAGATCTCCGGATGATCTTCACCGAGGAAAAAGGCCACAAGAACACACACACCGGTGAAAGTGAGGATGGATGGTGGTGTAACGTTTGCAAGTATGTTTTGCTCCCCGTTTTCAAGCGTCTTTTTACTAACTTGCCTTCCATCTCATAGGGAAGCAAATGTGCCTCTTCAAAACTGTTTCTTCAAAGGCAGCATTTCTACCCGTCGTACTCACATCGCCCGGAATCCAAACTGCCACTTTCCGATTTACAAGAGTCGCTGCGAGGAGAAAGGCATCATCATGCACGAGCGCGCTATTCCCTTGAATGTCAAGGTATCCGACGGAGGGCAGCGAACTCTTGATCGTGCCCTTGTCCCCAAGCCACCACAGTTTTCTAAGTCAGGCCTCGTCGACTATATTGTCGAGCTTATCGTTGCCGAGGATGAGGTACTATTTGTTTATTTATTTCTTTCACGTACACATCCTCACGCAATTGCAGGCATTTCAACTTGTCGACAAAGGATCCTTTCGCCGCCTCCTGCAATACCTTCGGCCAAGTCTTTCGGATCAAGATATTCCACACCGCACTAAGACACGAGACGAGATTCTAGAGAGAGCAAAACTTGCTGTTGAACGAGTCAAGGAAAAACTAGCAGTAAGTGTTTGTTAATAATTGTGATTGTCTGATTTTCACTCATTATAATTGTCATAGCACGTTGACAGCAAGATTTCGATGACATTCGACTCCTGGACTTCTGAACCAGGCGACCCGTTCCTTTCCGTCACCGCCCATTACATCGACTCACCCGCAGACAAACCTCAGGAGTGGGAACTTAAGACGGAGCAACTTGCCTTTAGGCTCATCAAGGGTAACCACAGCGGCGCTAACATTGGTGGTATTTTGATCGAAGTGATCGATAAGTATGATATACGCAAAAAGGTGAGCATCTATGTTGTTGTACTTACTGTTTATCTAATTGTTTGATCATAGGTTGGCTGGTTCACAGCTGACAACGCCACAAACAATGACACAGCGATCCGAACTGTCGCATTGGAGATCGACCCTTATGGCATCAACTGGGACCCAGTCGAACATCGTGTTCGCTGTATGGAACACGCGCTGCATCTTGCAGCAAAGCATTTCGTTGAGAGGGTTGCCCCGACATCCGCCAGCGCTTTACTCAAGAAGACAGCAGAAGACGATGACGACGACGATGACGACGAGACTGATTTCGACGTTGCTGATACTATCGGTAAAGCCCTTTCACTTGTCACGCAGATACGAAAGTCCCCGCAAGCTCGTGTTTTCTTCAAGAAGTGCTGCGCTGAGGTTGACCTCCCCACCCTCGAACTTCTCAAATGGGTTCGAACACGTTGGGCATCACTCTTCAAGATGTTGGAGCGAGTGATTCGTTTACGCAAGGTTTGTTTTATATTAAGTGTTATGTTCTATCTAATTTATTTGAATTTAAGGGAGTGAACAGGTTCACGCAACTTGCTGACGACAGCGAAGAAGTCCCCAACTTACAAGGGAAAACATATTCGGCATTCAAGCTCACACAACAGGAGTGGGCAAAGTTGGAATTGATTCGAGACGTGCTACAGGTCAGTTCCTTCAACTGTCTTTTTTTCACCTTCTGTATTAACTAGCACTACACTGCGCAGGAGCCTGCTAACGCTCAACAGACTTTCTCGGCTACTCGGGAACCTACAGTCTGGCGCACCATTCCTGTCCTCGAATATCTTCAAGAGACGTGGGAACGCATGGCTGGCACTTCAACATTCGACATACTTTCAGCATCTGTCACATCCGGCCTAGACAATCTGGCTAAGTGGTACCGCAAGACAAATGACACAGATGTCTACTTCATCTGCCTTGGTACGTGCCCCATTCTTAATTCACACATCCTCATTTTGACAACACTCTTACTTTCATGCAGCCCTCGACCCTAACTACAAAGTTGCCTACGCTAAGGCAAAATGGGCGTCTCAAGACTTTGCTGATGGAGTGAAACGGCTCGAAGATGTGGTAAGTCCATGGGTATCTCAATAAATTGTCTGCGCACTAACTTAGTATCTAGTTTGATCAGTATTATCGTGCCCCTCCTTCATCTGCCGCGACGACACATTCTGCTACACCATCCCTCTCACGCCAAGGTTCCTACGGCCAGAGCTGGATGCGCGATGCAATCAAAGCTCGCGTCTCACACGATGCAGCTCGTCAAAGGCCTCGTCGGGAATTGGAGGACTACTTAGCTGCACCACTGGAGGATGTTGAGAATGTAGTCGCATGGTGGGGTGTAAGTTCACTTCCCTCATATCCTTAATATTCCGTGTAACTTGAAGCTGACAATTATTTTTTTAAAGCATCACTCGGTTCAGTATCCCACTGTTGCTCGCATCGCAAAAGACTACCTCGCTATTCAGGGGTCTGCGGTAGCATCTGAACGGGCATTCTCAAGTGGTGGCATCACCGGCACCACACGTCGCAACTGCTTGCTTCCAGAGACATTCGAGGCACTTCAACTGTTAAAAAGTGCGTACCGTCAAGGCCATGTCTCAGCAATGGTGCAGGCTGAGCTCGTTGCTCCTCAAATGTTTATTGTTGAATAGTCTAGCCTACTACAATTGTTCGTACTTGGAAAATTTTGCTAATTTCATGTTGCGTTCGGCGGTTCGAACTGGTTCGAACTCGAACCCGACCATTGTGAACCCGTTCGAAGTGGTCCGGCCCAGAGTCCACCCTACCTTGGTGAACTTGACCGAGGTTCGGTCCTCGGTCCTCAATTATTTTGAAAAAACCGGACGGAACTGAACTTCGGCAGCACTACCATCATCACTGAGTGTTTCTTCGTACCTATGTGTAAATATTAACCGTATATAGGGTTCATGTATCATTTATGTTGATAGTTTTATTGTCTATATGTTACTAAATTTCTATAGAACACACACGTTTTTGGTTTTGGGCCTTGGGGGGTAACATAACCATACTTTTAACCGAACCCATTTACAATATCCCTATATAATAGAGCTTGCGCATCAGAAAATTATTGAGGCCAAGTCCGCGTTATATTTTTCCTCTGAAATAACAGTAGCTGATGTTGTGCCCCAGGCTATCGCATCTGATCTTGGACAAGGTGTTCCGCGGCGTGCTGGATCAGGGACGAGGATGCTTAATCGTATTTGATGAGCTAGAAGCAGACGTGCGTTTTTTCTTACCACTCATCACTCATCCCATCCATGCTCATTTTTTCCCCCAGAACACGTATGGTACAGCAATTGGGACTCTGGAGCAGGTTCACAAGGTCGTTGAATGCCAAAGTGCGTCCATTTATTGTTTTTGGCTGCTGTTTCGCCTAGACACTCGCAGTAACATCCCCAACTGCCAGCATGTCGTGCTTACGAATATGTCATTAGAGTACTGTTAAAGATTGGCAGCTTCGCCATGGCAAGGGGTAAAATGGTCCCCCTTGCCATGACCAATTTTCCTGGTCGAGACGTAGCTAGACAGGCCCAGTTCAAGTCTCTTCGTACGTTGTTCCTTCGCTGTGTTTACCCTCAACTAAATATTTTCCAGCACTCTGAAACGTGAGGGTGAGGAAGAGCATGTATCTGTATATCGTAAGTACCAGAATGTGGAGGGCAGAGAAGACTATCGTCAGCGGGAGACGGAGAGCGAGATTGTTTGTGATATTGGTCGATGACAGGCATATCAACGAAGACGCTAGCGGGGCTGGAATGTTCCCGCCCTCGATCGATGCTGGGTCCAAGGCGCCTCCTTCGTACGTGACACGCCCTTTGGGTTATCTAGCTAGAACACGACCGAACACTGATGCGTTGATTGACTTGAAACCAATACGATGCAGGAGTAAATCTGATTCATTCAACGAAATGATATTATACGTAGCACTAGTACACAATGCAATGACATACGGGTAGCCTCGTGCAGCGCCACTACAGCCGATGTGCAGTCCAATCTCCCTGGACCATCAAGCAGTTTACCCTAAAAAGCGGACGCAACCTGATGCACAGCCTCGTTGCTGACATCCCCCATGGAAGAACCAATCACAGTGCAAAATCCGGGTCCGTGCTAATAGCTTCACATCCTAGTATTCTACTCAGTGGTCATGCGGAGCTGGTTCGAAGGGGAGGCCGCCGGAAGCCTTCGATGCCTTGGTGGAAGAGAACTGGACAAGCGACGCGTAAGACGTACACCAAGAGTGGGTAGGCCATTGCGGTTCTCGACTCGCTGAGTTTTGATGGAGCAAAAGATGTCGAAACATTTTGTAGACCTAGGAGTTTGCGAATCGTGTCAATCGTCCTTGTGATTGCAACTAGCAGGCGCGAGTCGTGTGCTGCGTCGTCACCTGTCTGGGAACCTGCTGAGCTGAGGACGCCTCGCAGGGATGTGAATGCTGCAGTGAGGGATGGTACAGACTGACCTGCTACGTTGAGGCATTCTTCCAAGTCGTGAATCAAGGAAAACGAGGCGGATACATGATATTTGCACCTTCCCATTTTGCAGCCTAGTTATCGTCCTGAAGTTGAAGTTCTGGAGCTTTACCAGTGTTCTCGGTTTTCTTTCGGGGGGAGCAGTGTCCGAGTCACCTGGTGCGTCTTTGGACACATTTTGCCGCAGGTGAACAAGTTCTGCAAAATTTCAGTAAGGCTTAGGGAACGACGTACATTCGAAGACTCAAACATACCTGCTTCATCTTCGTCTCGCTTTTGTTGCAAGGACTCAAGTTCTCTTTCGAGTGAGAGCGCAAGATTCCTCCACGCATCCTCATCTCGCATTGCCTGGCTAGGAAAATGGGACTGAAGATCGAGGACATAACCTGCATATACGATTAGGCATCCTCGTCTCTGATCCAGCACGACGTGGAACACCTTGTCCAAGATCATCTGCGACAGCCCGGAACACGACATCAGCGATTGTTATTTTAAAGAGAAAAAATAACATGAACGGGACCTCCACATGCGACCTTTACCACCGAGTACGGATACAAGACTAATTTCCAAGCTGCGCTTTTTGCGCTTCGACCACTCAATATTTAGGACAACGATTTGAGTTTGCCGGCTGTTAGGGATGGAGTTGAAGTAATAAAGAAGTATGCGGACTACACAGTAAACGTTGAGCATGTATGACAGGTCGAGAACAGAGGAACACTCACTCAGCTTGGTGGTCTTGGCCTTGGTGGTTGAAGACATGAACGATCTCGAGAGTGTAACATTGACTGCCGATCCATTAGAGGTTAATGCTGGTAATATGCTGGGTGGCTGGAGAAGGCGTGAATGAGCTCTTCATAGTCCTGGGGAGGGCGCAAATCCAAAGGCAGAGAGACCCGTAGTAGTTCTGCAGTGAATGTTCCAAGAGCGCTTGTATGCCGGAAGGATGATAACTTGGAGTATCAAATGCTGAGAGCAGCATTCAGCGTAGTACAGGAAACTGGCGGCGAGTACTAGTACTCAAGTACTCAAGTACCACATTGCGCCGTTTTTGCGGCACCCAAGCGATCTAGCACCTGAATTGCGCCCGGCTATCACTGTGCGAACGCGCCCGAAATGAAGTTCCAAGCGATCATTGTCTCCAGACTCGGTCGCCGAGGAAAAAGAAGGCTTCAGCCGGATCAATCATCAAAAAGTTTGTTGCTTTGCGATACCGAAAATGATGGAATATACATTTTGTAGTATGCAAGTCTGCATTGATATTATCCTCATTCTCGCGCGTCCATACGTTCATATGTATTTTTCTCTCCTATACAACAGAATAACATACTGTAATATCTATGAGCCTCGTTTTCACTGATGGGTTCGGATCAGCAGTTAGATGAATTCTAGATAGTGGGAACTATGGAAGTTCTCTACGTGCTAGGAAATAACCAAGCGTTCCACCAATAGGAAGCAAATACATATGGAGCGTCACAGAATACCTGACTCTTTCAGAGCATTCTGCAGGATCGTCTCCTGGACCACAGAGAAGACGAGTCTGATATTTGTCGTATCAGTGGCTTGTGTCAAGCTATGACGCAGTGAGTCGTGAGTGAGGTGCAATAAATCAAACTGACTGAGGGTGAATGCTCAAACACGCCCGGTTGGCTTGCATAAATTTCCAGAGAACATATTTTGCCGCTTTATTTATGTCTGCGCCGCCTGTATATTCTGGGAAGTATGACTCCAGCGGAATCTGCAAAGCATCAAGGAATCTGCATGTGTTCGTGACAATGCTAAGGGATACATACCTTTGGTAGCTTGTTCTTAAAGACATCCATCTTGTTCAATAATAATATGATGGAAGTCCGCAGAAACCAGCGGGAGTTGATGACAGACTCGAACAGGATTAGTGATTCCTGCATGCGATTCTATGGGCAACATTAGCGACAAGTTACAACTCATAATTGCACATGCGCATGACCTACCTGGTTCTTCTCTTCTAATAGTACTTGGTCATACTCCGATAATGCTGTGCAGAAAACGATGCTAGTAACTGATTCAAAACAATGTATCCACTTCTTCCGTTCTGAGCGCTGGCCACCGACGTCAACCATATGAATCCTACCAAACCACAATAAAAAAAAGAGCTTTAACATGCCGACGTACTCACGAGAGCGGTCCCATGTTAAACCAAGTTTCAGTGATGCCGATGGTCTGCGCTCGAGCACGTAGTACATCATTTTCTGTGGGTATATAGTCAGGAGTGCCTATACGGAGCACCTCTGTAAAAAAACTGGAATGAACATCAGGAGCGTGTGTGATCTGAGGGAATACAGAGACTAACTAGACAGCTGAGTCCATAAGATAGAACTCACTCGAACAGTCCATCACCTTGGGAATGATGGGATCCTGCCATAACTCGTGGATGGCTTGGGCAATGTCAGCGGAGAAAACAAAATTGGGAGTGCTTTTAACCCTGTATTCTAGGATGTGTTTGGCCAATACCTGCCGAAAGTGATAAGTTGAGATAACAAAGAAAGCAAGGGAACCGACATGGTTAGCAGACATTACGCACTCCACATTCATACTACGCATCTGGAGAATGATGCCCTGCGCGGAGTCAAGGGTATTGCGATATATAGTCGGACGGAAAGTTAAGAGTTGGTCCTGGGTGAAGCCATTCTGATGAATAATTTTCATCTGTTTGGCTATTGTCGACTTTCCAGATGCGCCGGACCCTGAGGTTGAATATGAGCAGTAAGATCAAAGAGATGGGGTTGAACGGATAAGGGCACTTCATGAAGATGCAACCCCGGAAACGCATCACGATCATAAAGCAAAAAATGACATAGACATACTAACTACATGAGGTAGAGAGGAGGGTTACATACCGAGAAGAAGTATCTTACAAACCTTCCTAAACTTCCTAGAGTCTTCTTCCAGCTGGCGGTCAATAGCGTCTGACCAAGCCTTATGATCTCTGTCGCAGTCATAATGCTGTGCTGAGACGCAAATTCCCATGGATGGAGGCAAATAAGACAAAATGAGGGATAAGTAGGTAAGGATAGAGAGCGTTGCAAGGACAAGGGAGGGGACCCATGGTAGGACATGGAATGTTCAATAAATTACGACAACGAACATAATTGCTCTAACCATATGTAGGTTCCATAATTTATTATGCACTGATGGAAGTTACTATCCCACACATCCAAAAGTAGTAACGTGTGGCATGCTACCCTGTTCGAAATGTCATTAATGTAGGGTGGATGAGATGAGCAGCGTTCTCTAAGCTATCGTTTGTGTACATACCATGCACACTACACTCCACACATCTGCACTAGTCCCCCACTTGGCGCCTAGAATGACCTCCGGACACCGGTATTGCCGCGTCTGAATGTCATCTGTGAAATGGTGCTCGACCCAGGTAGCTACGAAGATGGAGAGCACCGCAGAAGCAAATGTCAATGAGTAGCCGTACAAACACGATGAGAAAGACGTAAGAGGAAAGGGACCAACCATTCCCAACATCTGCAATTTTGACTCTGATCTTCGTGGTGCTCTCGAGCAGGCTTGATGTTGTTTGATGTTTCTGCCAGTACTGAATCCATGGACATGACAGAGCTGGAAAGATTTGGATCGACAGTGTTAGAATCTACGAGGGACTTGGAGCTTGAAGCAGCGTGTGGTTGAGAGGGTGTCGTGACTGGGAGTTGGGAGGGTGCCATTTGTGTTAGTAGCGAAGGCCCAGGGGGGTGGGCAGGGTGAGGCGTCATCATCTTGTTGAACCCAGATGGATGGAGCGAGACGGTGGAGATGTGCTCTGCAGTAACTTCTGTCGAGTCTGCACGCTTGGAGGAGACGTCCATAAGGCCCAAGCCTGTTGTCGCAGCTGATCCAGTGGATCCATCCTTAGCCACAGAACTAGATCCGTAAGATCCGGGTTTGGAGGTAGCCTCGCCATCGATCTTGCTCATACCGAAGGCAAGCTTGTCGAACATGGGGCTGCTGCTGAAGGACGAAGATGGGGACAGTAGGGGCTGAGATCCGGTGATGAAAAAGGATTCGGAGCGAGGCGTTTGGTTACCGTCCTGACCTTTGGAAGGTGGGACGCCGACAAGTCGGGTAGGTGGTTATGTGGCATTAGCTGATGCGGCAAGCTCTGTCTGGATAATAGACTCAACGTCATCGACACTAATAAGAACATTTTCAGGTTTCAAGTCTGTCGGAAGTCATGGGGTGGAAGGAGAGGGAAAAAGAACGAACCTGTGTGAATTATACCACAACAACAGTGCATGTAATCCAGACCTAGGAGAACTTGTTTTGCGATCTGTTTTACGAGGTGCACGGGGACGCCCTTGTTTTGATGTCGTTTAATGAGGCCGAGTAGGTTTTCACCGAGGACTTTAGAAACCATGCAGACGTGAGTGCCGTTAGGACCTTTATGTCGGAAATGATCCAAAAACGACATAACATGGGATCGACCGGGGTGTGTGTGGGCATGGGATGTGGGAGGGTTGGGGTTGGGGGTTGAGGGAGAGTGTTGGATGTGATCAGACGTCGGAGTAACTTGATCTCATCGAGAGCGGTCTCTGTGTACCTAGGCGCGGACTTTACGATTTTGAGTGCGACATGACGATTCATTCTGATGAAGGGAAAGTGAGACTTATATATGAGAGTACGAGTGGGTCCGATATATGTGCCTGCTTACTTTGTGTCTTTTGCGAGCCATACTGTTGCGAAATGGCCCCAACCGAGTTTCCTGACTACGATATACCTGCCTTCTGAAAAGGAGTCACCTATGTGAACAGGATGATAGCCACCCTTGACGTAGTGCTCCCAGTCTCCTTCGTCTTCGGTCATGATGGATTGGGAGTGAGAAGAATAGGACCCGTGAGACATAGTGAAATTCGGGTATGCTGTAAAGGCAAACAATAAGGCGAGTTCTATCAAAAGAATAGCTGGCAATTAGATTGTGAGTTTTGATAGCAACGGGAGATAAGCACACCTTGAGCGGTAAACTGAATCTATTATATCTTTCACTATAAGGGAGATAAGATCAGGGACAACAATAGGAAGACGATGAGGAGGACGAGGATGTTACGGATGGATGTAGATGACGAGGAGGAGAGCTGGAAGGACCAGAAAATTCGCTTTGCCCAATCATATACAGCAATGCGGATGATGTTGATCTCGCCTTGCACCGTTATAGATCCAGCCAGGTGTGGTACACGAGCTCAAACACCTTGGCCCGCCGCTCGGGATGCAATTGGAGCATCGGAGTGAGAAAAGCGGAAATAGTGTCAGCTTCGTCTTTCGGGAAGAGGTATTTGTTGTGTGATAGCGCTTCGAGGGGTGCAGCGCCGAGCCAGAATCTGCTAATTGAGGGAGAGAGAGAGCCTGTTGACAACAATCAGCAGCAGACAACACCCAGAACTACTAACACGCACCAAGATAGTAGGCCCCCCTACCCAGATAAGACGCCAGCTCCCCAGAACGAGCTACTTGGCAAAACAGCATGCGTGACACTGATGGGAATGTGCGAGATCAAGGGCCGTGAACGCTGCGCTGTCGGCGAAGAGAAGACACCTATTCAAGCCCCAGGCAAATTAGAATTAGCCATTGCACGTACGAAAGAAGGAGCTCACCATGCGCGAACGAACACCACCGAAACTCATTATCATTTTAAATAATTTTCCTGTCGAAAATCATTGAATCAGCTTCCCAATCGGAGATTTAGTCACTGGCACTCACCATAATCCCCCAGAACATTATTCACCTCCGCACTCGGACTCTGCGTTATCGTTTGGAACTCGGATACGGCAGACAAATGCGCGTCGTTTATGGGGGACTGTTGGAGATATAAACGACAATAAGGCGGGCGGACACGTGAAATATTAGCTTATATAATCACGTTCAATACACAATACTGAGATTATCATGATCCAGACCTATGATAATGAATGTTCGTCAGTATCCACTCAGCAAGACATGCATGTAGTAAGAGTGAACATGATTCAGAGAGAAGATCATCAGTCTTTGATGGTAAAGCAAGAAATTCGATAATACCCGAGCGTCCAACGACCTCGCGTCAAAAGAAAAATGGATTCATTTAATTCGTCAGATACAGTGGAAGAATGTAGAAATTCGAATGTCTAGCAAAGGGGCTGGAGGCGATCTTCCTCAGCGTTTGCTCAACAACCAAGTTGAGCGTAGGCTTGTTGATCAAGCCAACATCCAGGCCTTCCTTGCGGCAGCGCAGGACAGCGTCCCACGAGCAGTAGAGCATCTCACCGAAAGAGACAACGTATCCAGCCTTGCCCTCGACGATCGTCTCGTCCTTTCCAGGCACAAACTCGTAACCGTCGCCGAAGAACTTGGTACCGTCCTCCTTGAGGATGTAAGGCACCTTCGACCGCGTGGAGAAGGCGAAGCGGAGACCACGCTCGAAGAAGACGCGCTGGATGACAGCCACCATCTGCAATGGGTCGGCAGGGAAGTAGAGCCACGACTGAACATCGGAGAGACCATTGTCGGCGAAGAAGGAGTTGATACCGAAGTGGCAAGTGTTGTCGGCCATCTGTCGACAAAGTTAGCCTAAGCATCAGATCTAGCATCAATAATCCACACACCTCATTAACACCAGAGTGCGAGAGGTGACTAAGAACATTGCAGTTGTTCAAGCGGGCCATGGTGACCTCAGAGATAACCATCTCAAGGAAAGCAGAGAACGTTGAGAAGACACCAAACTTGTTCGCGTCGAAACCGAAACCGGCAGCTGTCGAGAAGTTTCCACGTTCCACGTTCCATGATACCAGATGGAACGAATACCTCAGGGTGCTTTTGGTGGATAACCCCGAGACCAGTGGAACCCTCGAGATCACCTTTTTTGAAGTGAGCCAAGTTCGTAAATTTTAAAAATGAACTTACTGTCGATACCCATGACTTTCTCGGCAGCCTCCTCCTTGCTAAGCTTGTCCAGCACCAAGTTGACAGCTTCACCAAAGATAACACGGTTTGCGCCAACCTCCTTGGTGGAACCAATGTATGAGTACGGCACGGCTGAAGGCTTAATGCTCTGCACGGAGGCCAGCGAGGGCCTTATACTTGGTTTAAATGTCGCGGGCGATCGCTTCGAGTGCCTCTTCGATGTGAAAAAGCTTGTAAAGAATACGTTTCAGGATGAAGTCATGCTGAGAACGTCATAAGGATTTTATCGAAATGAATGGTAAAATCTAGGCGCACTTTTTGAGAACTTGTGCTCCTGTGTCCGCTAATCAACCACTCAACAGCCTTTGGCATCGCGCAATACGCGAGAAACACAAATGCATTACGCTTGCACGTTGCATCACTAATCGACGATGTGCAGCGCATTCAGCCAGCTGGTAGGATGGTTGTGGCAAGGACTATGATTGCTGCTGGTGTGCGGGGTGTCACAGGGATACAGAAGGTGGGCGTGGCTGGTGAGTAGGCTATTGATGTTATCTGTATGAACATGCACCGCACATACGTGTAGTGGTGTGGCAAATTTCTCTGAGCTGTAGGTCGCTACACGGAGGAGCTCTTCACAAAGGTCGTTATCGTCCATTCGATCCGCTTCGTCGGATATGTCGCCAACACTTGCGAAGAGGATTGGACTGGGCATGTTGGCAAAGAGAGAGATGAGGGAGGTACGGATGAGATCACGCAAAGAGATGCGAACGTCGTTGAATTTGTGAGACCACTGAGATGCGTGGAATGCACAAGGACATTGAGAATCGCTGCAAGCAGTGCCGGTCGCGCCAAATCCATAGCATGTTTACAGAGATGTGCATGTTCATGAAAGAACACTTGCACCTGAAACAAATATAAGCCAGAGCGATGATGATTGAAGGTACATACGAGGTCCATAATCTCGCGGAAATGAACTTCCTTTCGTGCTATACGCCGCGGGTCTTCTCGCGGAGTACAAAGGGCCTCGAGGACTCAAAAAGCCGCATCACTGATTCAGATACCAAACTCTTTATCATCTTGATCAACCATGTCGTCGGCCCCTACTGTCGCATTAACAGCTATCTGGACAGACGACCGAAATACATGTAAAGGCCGTCTACGCGGAAGCTATAGAGTGGACCAGGCCGTGGGAATGTTACAAAGAGAAATCTGCAAACATGTTACTATGGTGTACGGCCTCGAGGCCCTCGACCCTCCATTGAACCCACTCGCCATGCAGGCGAAGTACTTTCCAGGTAAGCTTCAACCCATCTTTCGTTTGCTGCAGCAGCCGACTCATTCATCCACTTCTTTTAAAGGTGCTGAGCCTTCAGATCTGCTCAGCGTCTGCAGCTCCACTGGTCTCACAGCAATAATCAGTCCTGATGCCGAGTCAACTGGTCGAATCCAGACCCACTTAGCTGAGCAGGCACAGGCAAATCAGACATCCGTGGAACGCAATACGACATTGGCCACTGATAGCGATAGTGCGACCACCTCTCAGTCCAGCACATCAGTCCAGTCTCGTAAATGTATGTTGTAACATGTGAATAGTCTACACACGCGCTGACCGATTTTCCACAGCCAAAAACAGAAAGAAACGAAATACTTCATCGAAGGCCAATCTCCCTCAGGTGACTATGGACAGCCAGCTTAAGGACATGCTGGCCTCGATGCAGAACGAGATTGCGGAGTCCCGGAGAGAGAATGGGAGCATGCGAAATGAGATCGAGAGCATGCGAAATGAGATCGAGAGCATGCGTAACAAGAACGAGAGGGTTCTCAATGAGAACGCGAGGATTCTCGGTGAGAATGGGAGCATGCGCAACGAGATCGAGAGCATGCGCAATGAGATCGAGAGCGTGCGCAACGAGAGTGAGAGGCTTGTCAATGAGAACGAGAGGGTTTCCGATGAGAACGAGAGCATTCGCAATGATCTCGCTAACCTTCACAAGCATCTAGAGGCGGAGAAAGTTAAACGCGCTCAGGACATTGAATCACTGAGAGAAGTAAGTCATCCCTCTTTGCGATCACCAACCCTGACAACAATTTCCCCAGGTCACTATGTTACTAGTCCCCTTGCATCTTCGTGTCCTACTCGACCTTGCACGTAAAAAGGTTCTGGAACACCTTGGCCACGAGACTTGGGAAGAACTTCGCGATACCCGCAGTGTCTATCAACTTGCAGATAATATCTTCAACGACCTCCTCAAACGGACGGATTTATCATTCCACCCATCACACCAGTCCATCCTTTTCTTATGTTCGTACAATAATGTTAGGCGGGCGGGAAATGTGGCCGCTCACAACGCAAAGGAGTGCGATATCAAGAGTGCAGTGGAAACCCAGGCACTGGACTCCAATGATCGACGATGCTTGGAACATTTGTTTAGATATACGTACGACGGGGCGCTCATCTAGGAGTTATCATGGCATTTACTGCACGACTAATACTTGTTTTTCACATTTGTATCATACAACTACAACCCAAATGCCATTGATAGCAGAATCCTCGACCTTGAGCCAACACAGATGTGTTCTAATGTTAGAATCGTCAACGTCTGGCTACAGATAACGCAATCCCAAGGACGGCAGAAACGGCTTGCTCGTACTTGCGCTGTGTGGGTTTGCAGAGGTCAACCATGCGCCCGCGGACGCCTGTGATATGTGAGTGGTGACTTTCTGGGACAAGGGCAGCAGGGTTTACCTGGGAAGATGCGCTGCAGACTGGGGAGCGTTGCCTTGAGCTTTGCCTCGCGTTCCGATTCGTTCCTGTCGACACCTGCTTGGAACAAGCGCTGATAGACATCCGCGAGCTTTTCGTTCGTCTCGGTCTCAAGACGGCTGCAGGATAACAATGAAATAACGCGTAATAAGTGCTTGGAGAAGAAATAAATACCTGATCCTCGTCCGCTCACTCTGATGGTTTTCGTACTCTTGCTTTGAGCGCGTATGATCTCCCTGGAGGGAAGCAAGCTTTGTGAATATGATAAGCAGCTAGGATACGCTGAACTCGGAAAAAAAACGCGTACCTCGGACTTGGCTTGCTGAGTTTCTTCGTCGCCGCGCAGTCCTTCTGAGCTCTATTCCAATTCTTCATGTTTGGCCCTCACTTGTGTAAGCGTCCGGGACGCAGTCTTCTCGTCTCGGCTGAGTGTCCCCAGAGCTTGACGCTCAGAAACGGCAAGGACGCTAGAAGATGCTTTTCTGTTTGGCACCGCATGTTTTAGTTCGTACCCAAGTTAAGATGAAGCATTGAGTTCGACAACCTGTGGGTTGGCAGTATAAGCATAACTGTTAAAGAAACCACAAATATCGTCCGCACCTTGACTGTGTCGCTGGGAGCGGAGTAACTTCAATGCGCAGTGCCGGTTGTGCAAAGGTTGAAAATGAGGTCGTGGTGAGGTTGGAAGGGATGAATCGGAAAGCAAGATGTGACACCGTAGGATGGTAGTAAACTCTCTCCTTCGGGTACAAGTGGTGTAAGGACCAACATGGATGGAAGGCCTGCGAATTCACCGGTTTCAAAGGCGTAAAGCGTACAGTGCTGCTCTAGTCCCGAGTCTTGACCTGGCCTACGTGGTAGCAGCTTGCGATGGACATTGCGCACAGGACAGGATCCTTCCAGACACTGGAGCAGACGATGGGATGGTGGTATCGGAGTCTGAGATGGTCTTTGAGCGCAAGATCAGTGTCGAATTCCAAGAGAAGGTCGCTGTTGCCCTGGAGACCAAAGCAGGCTTTCAGGAAGCTCTCAAGCGCGTTACGCTGCCTGCCAAGGCTGTTGACAATGTCGGTACCTGGGAGCTTACATTAGCGTGATGATGGGCTATAAGCCAAAACAGTACTGACCAGGTTTGACGAGAGGCGCCTTGCATATGTATGAAAGGAGTGACAAGACGGCGTAAAGAAGCGCAAAATCAGTCTGGCCCTCCCCGCGGTATTTGACTCTAGTAAGCAGCTCAGTAAGGATGGTCTCGATCGTAGCCATTTCTAAGCAATTGTGAGATAACTTTAAGTGCAAAAAATAAGTACTCACGTTAGATCAATGGATCCTCGTTCCGTAGTGGGAATAAATCGGCCAGACATATGTCCATCAATAGTGCGCGGGGACGAACTGGACCAGGTGGTGTGACGCGGATATACAGGGGCGGGGCAATCTTAACAAGGAGATCGGCAGGAGCAGAATGTTGGCTTCGTCTTCTACCTGGAAGGTTACGTCGATAGCGGCAAGGTCGGCGAGCACACTGACAATGGCAGGAGCCGTAATGTCGACTTTGTGCACCACCGAGTACTCGCTCACTGCAGAGTCGATCAAGGTCTGAGTCTGGTGCCTCGAGATGGTCGCGGGTGTGAGAGTGGTTGCGAAGTTCAAAATGTGCAGCGTCAGGAAGGATACGATCTATTCGATGGAACTTCATCAGTGAGGAGCAAAGGTCAAGTACGGCAGGTACGTACGAGAAGAAGCTTCAGGCGTGCAAGGGGATTCTCTTCCTTAACTTCTGGCGGTGGGCTGTTCTTTTGTCTGAGCATAGAACCCTTGACACCCAATAGGGTCTCCGAAAGCTGGCGGCTAAGGCTGTTGTCTTGGACTTGGGGTGGTGAACGAACGAGGGCACTTGGTTTGCGTTCAGTAGTGAGATTGTTGGAGCTTCGCTGGTCATGTCGCGAGCCGCTTTAATCCTCCGGACCCATACACCTTCACACAGTCCAGGCACGAGATGGAGTCCGTCAAGAGTTGGTAGATCGAAGGATTCCATCTTGCACGTGAAACGATATATGGGAGGGAAGAAGTCTGGCAACGATGAAGGATAGACGGTGGACTCTCCAGGATTGAAGGAAAATTTGGTACTGGTTCCGAAGTCATTGCGGCGGCGTTCTTCTGGAGTTAGCCTATGTGCCCGGGCTGCATACAGGAAACGATGAGCGAAAACTGAAAAGCGGAACTTGACACTCACAATTCATTGCTCGTAACAGCCGCTCCTCATCAATGAAGGGAATCTTGACGATCGCTTCCCACTCTTGTTTCTTCCCATTTAGGTCTTGCTCGAATTCGATGGGGTAGAAGTCCAATATCGGTGAATTTGAATCGTACATTAGGTCCTGTGGGTGATTAGTCTAAAGTATGACGCAGGTCGTTGAACATACTTGATATGCTTGCTGAATGTGATCCATACTCGCGGCGGGGAGAACGCCCATCAATTGTTCAAAAGGATGGAAAGGTTTGCCCAGCTTAAGATCTGACGTTAAGCTGGTAGTAGATCTGATAAAGTTATCCCGTGGCAGATCTGTTTCATCAAAGAAACGAACACGAAAGAGGGGACGGGATGCTTCTACAGAGTCGTCGTGGTCCTTGTGTAAAGCCCGTACGATGGTCTCATAGGGCAGCAGGTCTGCTTCGGCCTCACGTTCGACGTGCTGAACTGACACTTCAAAGACACTTCAACGACACCAGAGACGCCATACCGTTGCTTACGAAATCGAACCATGTGACTGTTCAGTTTTCGTTTTGCTATTATCAGTAATCACCGCACCGTCCAAGCACTGTCCATTAATATTGTTTATCTCGGACTCGGGCTACTAGTACCATTAATATTGCTCTTCAATCTTGTCTCGTTCCTTCTCGTCCGAACCGTCTTAGTGCTTCACGCCGAAATTCGGTGTGGACCAAATCTTGGCCTCGCGCAGCACCACCACATTGCTCTTCAATCCGTCTCGTTCGTTCTCGTCCGAACCGTCTTAGTGTTTCACGCCGAAACTCGGCGGGTCTCCAAACGAAATCTCAGCCTCCCACGTGCTCCGACTCTTATTGCCCTCCACCAACTTCACGACAATGCAAGAAAACAGTTGCTGCTCGCCGCTCTGCAGAGTCTGCACAAATTCAAGCGTCAGGGTCAGTTGTACTGCTTGCCATCCTCCACTCCCTTCTTTCCGCGTCATTACTGTGCTTTAATCTTGCTGTTTACAGATGTCGCACTTCTGAAGGTATTTCTTTGTTACATAAATTCATTCTGTACAGCGCGGGTGGCAACCCTTCTTGCGATGTCGCTACCTGATCAACCTTCTCCCTCGTCAGACACCTCTGCACGTTTGACTCGCTCATCAATATTGATCGCACCGATCGCACCCATTCTGGCCCGACTCACTTATGAAGGCTCATCGACGAGTTTATTGGTTCTATGACTGTAAGTAGCTATTTTCAAGATCTTCGAAGTGAACACCAGACGCTGAGACTTCGTACAGGATAAACTCGCAGACACGCGTGCAAAACTCACCAATCAACACGCCCTATGTGAGAAACTCGAGATGGACCTACTCGCTCTGGACATCAACAGCGGGAGTGGACCAAGAGAGGAGGGTGGGGAGAACGGACCTATCTTTCCATGGAAGGCTTGCTTTTGAATGGTGAGTAGTCTTTTTCTGTCTTGTTTACTGTGTGTCCTGTCATCCTAGGTCATCATCTCTTTCGACTCGCTGCGCTAGCTTGTCTCACTCACCACGCTGCACTTTGTTCTGCCTCTCTCGTTACCTCCCTTGCTGTATGCTCTCGCCTCGTCTCTCGCTACCATACATTTTAGATTGCCGTCTCCGACTCTCGTTGCCCTACATCTCTGACTGTCTCTTATTGCCGTCTGTGTCTCTGAGTGCTATGTAGTTGTTATCAAAACAAAATATATTGATTTTGAGCTATATACAATTGTGTGCACAACGAAGGGTATCATAAGTCAATACAGTGAGAATGTTGCTGGACAGAGGTGCGAGTTTGGTAAGGAGGGTACATTTAGCGCTTGTTGACGAGTTTCAATATGGAAAAGTGTGAACTGAAAGGAGCGTTGCTGCGAGCGAGGACAGCAGAGATGAGAGCCTTGTTGGATCTTTGATAGAAACAGTAGCGTAGGCTAGAATGAGGAGGTCCTGAGACGCAGAACTTTGAAGACGAAGTTCGAAGACAGTCTGCAAACCAAAGAAGATAAGTCGAGAAGTAACACGCACCGAGCTACAAGTTCGGACCAAGCGCCTCGTGTGAGAACTCGATGTTGATGTGCTCGACAAAGTTTGAAGTGGGAGCGAGTGTGGTGTGACAAGTTGTGACAGCATGAACTTCGAGTGGAAGAGATGGTGTAAGTCAAGCACTATGAAGCCGGGAGATAAACGAACTAGTGCGGGAGCGAGCTGTGAGTCTGTAGAATACAATGACGAGGGATCGAGGTCAGCCGGTGCGCTAGAAAAAAAGATATGGGGGGTTTACCTCCTCCTCCCCTTGTAAGTTAGGTAGGGTGAAGTTTGGGCCTAGCTCGAGCAATTTTGACTCGGGAGACGAGCGGAGTAGCGCGGGAGCGAGCTGTGTATCTGCAGAGTAGGATGATAAAGGATTGAGGTCAGCCGGCATGATGGAAAAAAAGATATGGGTGGATTACCTCCCTCCTCCCCCCTAAGTCCCTCAGACAGAAGTTCTCGGGCATAAGTCGAGCAGTTTTGACGCGGGAGATGAGAAAAGTGGAGCGGGAGTGAGCTATAGACCTATAGAGTAGAATGACAAAAGGTCGAGGTCAGAAAGGGCGATGGAAAAAAGTTATGGGTGTATAACCTCCTCCTCCCCCCTCTAAGCCACCTAGAGCGATGTTTTGGGGTATAAGTCGAGCAGTTTTGACGCGGGAGACGAGAAAAGTGGAGCGGGAGCGAGCTATAGACCTATAGAGTAGAATGACAAAAGGTCGAGGTCAGAAAGGGCGATGGAAAAAATTTATGGGTGGATTACCTCCTCCTCCCCCCTCTAAGCCACCCCGAGTGAAGTTTGGGGCATAAGTCGAGCAGTTTTGACGCGGGAGACGAGAAAAGTGGAGCGGGAGCGAGCTATAGACCTATAGAGTAGAATGACAAAAGGTCGAGGTCAGAAAGGGCGATGGAAAAAATTTATGGGTGGATTACCTCCTCCTCCCCCCTCTAAGCCACCCCGAGTGAAGTTTGGGGCATAAGTCGAGCAGTTTTGACGCGGGAGACGAGAAAAGTGGAGCGGGAGCGAGCTATAGACCTATAGAGTAGAATGACAAAAGGTCGAGGTCAGAAAGGGCGATGGAAAAAATTTATGGGTGGATTACCTCCTCCTCCCCCCTCTAAGCCACCCCGAGTGAAGTTTGGGGCATAAGTCGAGCAGTTTTGACGCGGGAGACGAGAAAAGTGGAGCGGGAGCGAGCTATAGACCTATAGAGTAGAATGACAAAAGGTCGAGGTCAGAAAGGGCGATGGAAAAAAGTTATGGGTGGATTACCTCCTCCTCCCCCCTCTAAGCCACCCCGAGTGAAGTTTGGGGCATAAGTCGAGCAGTTTTGACCGCAGAGGCAAACGGAGTGGAGCGGGAGCGAGCTGTATATGTGTAGAGTAGGATGACCCAGCGCCGAGGGCAGGAGGGTCGAGGAAAAAAAGTTATGGGTGGAAAACCTCCTCCTCTCCCTCTAAGACCGAGTAAACCAGAGTTGAGGGTATAACTCGGGAAGTACTGTTCCGTTTGACAAAATTCTTGGCGCGGGAGCATCGTGGACTGCGAATTTCGCAGCCCAGGAAGTGTCGAGTCGGCCGGGGATCGTGGTGAGGAAAGAAAAATGGAAGAAGGTGATCAAGTGGGTGTGAGAAATTAAGAAAAACACGGTACCCTAAGTCAACAATTACTCAACCTTTACACAACATTAAGGAACCGGGATTTCTCGCGGGAGGATCGGATTTTCAGGGGCTACAAGATGAAGTAAAAATGTCTGAATGAAATGAGGGCCGTGAACCATATATTTTCCCACGGCCTCATAGAGTAGAGGATGGAGGTTTCTATCAGGAATCTGGGCGGAGATGAAAGAGTCGATCTGCTCTACAGTGCGTATCTTATGATCTGGATCCAGGAAGATCAGCAGATGCATATGAGGCAGACCACACTTTTGATATTCAATAGTGTAGACCAATCCCGCAACCTTTCCGAAGTAACCTTTGTGAACCTTCTTCAAGAGGGCCTGCTGCTTCTGATAGAATACGCGAGCCACCAAGTCTGGACGGTCCGTAGCGCTCTGGCCTGTGTGAGCAATTGTCAATAATAAAGTCATGCATGATGCATCAAATATGAATTCTTACCGGGCAGGAGATTGTCGGTAATCTCGGGCCAACTCCCATTGGCGGTCATCGTTAGGAAGAGATCTGGCTTTTTGCATGCACGGCAAATGGCCAAGGAGTCTTGCAGCAACTGCTGCATGTACCGAGGGCTTCCGGCATGAGAGGAGGGAAGTATTATGGAGCGACCTGTCTCAGCTAAATCTTGCATGCCATCATTGAGGAGATTGTCGGTCAGGCCTCGGTAGCAGTCCGCCCTGAGCTTCTTTTGGTTTGATCTGATCCAGTTCAAGTTACCTTGTTCGATTGAAGCCCAGGCATCAACTCTATATTGCTGGAACAGCCTTCCACCACGAAAGATGTTGTTTGGGTCGATGCGAGCCGGGCGGAGATGAAGGCGGTAGGCATAATAAAGTAGCTGGGTCACTTTCTTTGCACGTGCACGTCCACCCCTTTTCTATGTTCAGAGGGATGTCGAGATGCCAGCCCTCCTCACCGGAAGGAAAGAGAAGAACATAGTGAAGGGTTGAGTATGCATGGCTAAGCTGGCTCACACGTTGAAGTTGGCCACCTTGAAGTCGTAAAATGATGTCGTGTTTGTCGGACACCTCCTCGGATCCATCTCCAGGAATAATCACAGCAATTTCATCAGCAGTGGGAAGGTTATATCTTCGACCATCTGTGCCCTGCTGGAAGTGAATGCGTGCACGAACATCTGTGTGCTGCTCTGGAGGCTTCTCTCGCATTACTTGATAGGCCTGCTTATAAAGAGGAGCGTATGGATGGTTTCGGTACAGCATGTCATGCAGCACTCTGAGGGTATCATGATCCAGACCTTCATTTCCAGGTCGGTGTGCCGATCATTTCGGCGCTAGCCTCACAATCGAGCATTTAGATGGTTTATGATGCCAGTCCATTTCCCGTCGTATCCGACGCAACCCGCACTTTCCCGCACATAGTCCGTCGTTCCCGCGACCCGGTACTTTCCTGCGCATCGGACTACCCGGTACCCTTCGGAAACCCGCTAACCCTATGTCCAGTCCATCCTCGTGTGTTCCCACTGGTGAGTAGTCAAGTTTTACACATAACTGATGTCGTAGATAGCGCTGTTACATATGTTCCCACAGACCGCAGTGCCTCATGTCCGTTTACATACAAAACATCGGACTTCGTTACCTGATGCTATTTTCGCCTATAGGACTCCGGGTTTCTACGTAGTTAGTATATAGGATGATAGGATTCGGACCAATAGATCACCTTTGTTTAGTGGGACTTCCCATTTACTTGGTCCATGATCCCTTGATACCTAAGATACCTTGACACCTTGCCCAATAGCGCAAACATTAGCATTGTGCTCCTTCAATGCAGCAATATATAGTCGGCGACTCACGGGATGGGTATATTTTGGTTCATTTTAGTTGTTTGAACCGTTGTTTAGATGCAATGAGTTGTCTAAACACATTAATCACATCAGATTATTGTCCGTTTCTATCATTATTTATAAAGAAACCCACAAAAAGGTATATTACACTTGGCTGCAGGGGAGGGAAATTTCACTCGAGAATGCTGTTCAATTTGCTTGTGTTGCAGCAGCCAAATTGTGTAATGAATTGTGTAATGAAAGTGCCGTTATAATTTTGCTTTTCTCGATGCCAACTCCCCTATAGTAGGAAAACCACACTATTTGTCCGTGTTGTGCCTGGAGCGCAGTAGGCGTGCGGATTACTGTCCACTATATCGTGTTTGGTACGCAAGTTGTTTTTTTTTGACTCCGTTGAATTTTACCTCTCGAAATTTTCAATTAGGAAAGTTTTTTCACACCATTAGCGATTTTCTTAAGTTTAGCGAGCTAAGCGTATCTACGGCCACAAAACCACGCGAGATTTACAAAAAGAGGTTTTAGCGAGCTAAGCGTTTTTCACGTGGCGTTTGGCGAAACTGCCGAGCTAACCGCTGATACGCGCAAACCACGCGAGCTGGCGAGGACAGTTCGCACACCTCCTCCCATACTTCTTTGATGAAATGAGACAAGGAGTATTGAGAAATTACCATGTCTGTGCCCCAAGCAAACATACTAATATTTGTGATACAGCATGTCGAGGCGATGGTGTCAGATTTAAGTCACACACAGCTTTGATCCCATATTTTGGATTTACATCCGGAGTACGTCATGAGTTTAAAAGTAAGTAACCCCATAAAGTGTTTGACAAAAATCTGATGATCTGCAGAGAATTCAGCGACTATGACAAACAATGAAGCGCTCTGACTCAGGGCACAAACACAAGAACACGGCGAGAGGACACCGAAGGTGAGTGTCCTGCTAAGAAGTCTAGGAGGTCCAACAAGACAGCGAAAATGTCATGCTCCGAGCCAAAGAGTCGTGAGATTAAACTCATAGCAACTTGACATCCATGATGCGTGACCTGGTTCAATTGCTTCCATACAGTCAGCTACAGTATTGCAAAGGAGATCATACAAACTGAGGATAAATGTACCCACACACAGGGGGCCTCCAGGATCCCCATCTCATGCACAAGTAGGTTGTATAATTTGAGGATGAATGTACCCACACACAGGGGGCCTCCAGGATGCCCACCTTTGTACTGGTACACAACCACAACATTGACAGTATGCTGAAGTAAGATAGATTCAATGAGTTGTTGCACATGTTCTATGATCATTAGCACAACTAAAATTGAATCGAATTTTAATGTGTCCTGTTTAACCTCAACCAGTCACACTTAGGTATATACTGATGACATTCTATGCTTTGACATCTGAACATCACATCTGGTAACATCACATCTGGTATTTAGTTAGTTATGCCCATGACATTCTATTGCTTTCTCTGTTTTATCCTCAGTTTATACAACCTACTTGTGTATGAGATGGGGATCTTGGAGGCCCCCTGTGTGTGGGTACATTTATCCTCAGTTTATACCACATACTTGTGTATGAGATGGGGATCCTGGATGCCCCCTGTGTGTGGGTACATTTATCCCCAGTTTGTATGATCTCCAGCGAGCCCATCTCATGCATAAGCAGATCATACAAACTGAGGGGAGAGCAGAGGTATAGCAGTCCGTGCTTACGGATGAAGCTTGTCTCTATGAAACAATGCGAGGATCTGCAATCTATATCATGCAAAAGGAGATCATACAAACTGAGAATAAATGTACCCACACACAGGGGGCCTCCAGGATCCCCATCTCATACACAAGTATGTGGTATAAACTGAGGATAAATGTACCCACACACAGGGGGCCTCCAGGATCCCCATCTCATACACAAGTATGTGGTATAAACTGAGGATAAATATACCCACACACAGGGGGCCTCCAGGATCCCCATCTCATACACAAGTAGGTTGTATAAACTAAGGACAAATGGATCCTAGGGTTGATCCTGGAAGTGCATAAACTGAGGATAAATGGATCCTAGGTTGATCCTGGAAGGGCTCATAACCCTAAACCCTGTTTATGGGATGCGAGGTCATGGGAATAGATAAGGATGTCGTCAAGATATACGATGACATAGACATCCAGGAGGTCGGCAAAGATGGTATTGACAAAACGTTGGAAAGCCGCGGGTGCATTGGTAAGTCCCTCGGGCATTACTAACCATTCGTAGGAGCCGTAGCGGGTTCGGAAAGCGGTTTTCCACTCGTTCCCTTCCGCCATGCGGACAAGGTGATAAGCGGAACGCAGATCTATTTTAGTATAAACTTTGGCACGGCTCGGGGAATCCAGAAGGTCGGCAATGAGGGGAAGTGGGTATCGGTCTTTCTTGGTAATGTTATTGAGTCCTCGGAAATCCACACAGAGGCGTAGGGATCCGTCCTTCTTTTTGACGAAAAGGACCGGGGCTCCGTGCGGAGAGGAAGAGGAGCGAAGGAGACCGGTTGCAATGTTCTCATCGAGGAACTTGCGTAGAGCTGCAAGCTCAACCGGGGAAAGGGAATAGATAGTGCCGATGGGTGGGGAAGCTCCTTCCTCTAAGTCGATCTTAAGGTCGTAAGGCCGGTGAGGAGGAAGTTGACTAGCTTGACCTTTATCGAAGACATCCGCGAACTCGTGATAGTCCGACGGAATCCCGGAAAGGTCGGGTGGATCGGAAGGAAGGGTGGTGGACTTAAGGTCGACACTGGTAGCGCGAGGGTATATGCTGAACTGGACCGATCCCTCAAGTTTACAGGCCCGGCAAAAGGCGACTGCATTGACTAGGGAAATGTGAGGAGCGGTTTTATCAGGGGATGGGCCCAAAGGACCCGAAGGTTCAGAGGGGTCCGGTGAAGTTGGTAGAGGATTTTCTGGGTGAACCGGAAAATGTGACGTCGGAGGGTTTGTTGGCATTCCATGGGGAATCGTCCGGAAATCGATGCTGCCCATAACCCAGTCAATCAACGGATTGTTTTGGGTGAGCCAGCTATATCCAAGAACGATAAGACAAGATGAATCCAACGGAGTAACGTAAAACGTATTGGAGGTAACAACACCGGACGGAAAACGGATTGGTAGATCTATTGCTTCGGTAATCGTAGCGTTCGAGGTACCGTCAAATAACTGAAGCGGAAGCGGTGGAATTGCATAGGTAGGTAGATTGTGCTTACGAACAAGGCTAGTTTCTATAAAGCAATGCGAAGACCCACAATCTACAAGAGCCGGAAAACCGGAAATATCGGAAAACGTCAGGATGGTAACTAGAGGTTTCAAGGAAGATGGATTAGAGAATGCGACAGCGTTGAGTCGTAACTCCAGTGCATGGGTTGAGTCAACGCGACTCTCATCCCATGCGGAGGTAGGAGAGTCGCAGACTAGTTTTTTGCCTCCTCAGGAGCCTCGGAAATAGCTTCCGGGACCACTGTAGAAGCGCGGCCTTTGGCAGCGCGGGAGGTAGACTTGGAGCAGTCCCGGGCAGTATGACTGGGTCCGCCGCAGAAGAGGCAGAGCTTATTGTCCATACGTCTCTGACGTTCCTCGGTAGTTAGCTTACCGTCCTTGCCTAGCTTCGAGGTAAGGTCCGGGGTTTTTGTGGCCGAGGAAGCCGAAGGCGTGTAAGGCTTTGCGGGTTTACTTCCGGACGAAGCTGTCCGGTCAGTAGAAGAGGTCGACTGCCTAGCAGGAGGGTTGGGTGTGGATGCGGAGGTGGAAGGCTTACTTTCCCGGGAAACTTCCCCCTTACGTTCCCAGTATCGGGCATCGATAGTCTGGGCGAGGGATTTGAATTCCGAGAGCGTGGTGGGTTTGCCTTGCCGGCTGATCTCGTCTTTGATGCGGGCCGGGAGCCCGTTGTAGAACTGGCGGCGTAAAGCACCGTCGCCCCATCCGCGGACTTGGGAAGCAAGCCGCTGGAATTCAACGATGTACTTGTTGATACGCTGCCCGTCACGTAGGTAGAGTTGCTCGAGTTGCATTTCTGCATCCCCGACAGGGTCATGGGGGCCGAAGTTGGTTTGGAGTTCCAGCAGGAACTCGGAATAGTCGTCCATCCAGTCCGGACGGTTGCTATCGTCATCGGAAAGGAGGTCGGGCTCAAACCATTCGAGGGCCATGCCCTTCAGGTAGGATTGGGCGAAGTTCACCTTAGCCCGGTCAGAGCGGAAAGCACGAGACTTGTTCTGGAAGTTGAGCTCGCACTGGACAAGGAATGCACGAAGCTTCCGGGGCTCAGTACCGTCGAAGGTATCTGGTTCCCGAACTTTGACTTTGGAATCCTCGGAAGCGGGTTTCCGAGAATTGCGGGCGAGGTTGTTGATTGCCTGTGATAGGCGAAGGAAAACCCTGTCCTGAGCGTTTAGACCTACGTCTTCATCGTCAGTTGGGTCATCGGGAAGACCACCCCATCCGCCTCCGGGTTCATCGTCAGGCGGGCCTCCACCCGGCATATCGTCATCACCGTCATCCGGGCCCTTGGGCTGTGGAAGATCGGGAGTGGAAGCGCGGGTTGGGGTCATCGGGTGCGGTCGGTTGGTTATCTGGGAAATACTTTGGGATGTGCCTTGCGTACTTGCACGACGACGAGAGAAACTGGAGAATCCGGTAACTGTGGGAACCGGATCGCGTCGGCTTGCAAGGAAGCTGGCGGCTGCGAGGTTTGTACAGGTATTACTGGGAGCCATACAGAATGTAAGTATACTCGGTAAGGTGTGAGTTCGAATATACTGTTAAGACCGTGCTCAAAGGGCAGATCTGAAGGGCTTTGGCTTCAGCTCGTGCGCTGCGCCCCTTACCCGAGTACTAGCCCTAATTTCCGGGAGCAGGAAAGAGTTCCCGGTTCGTCGGGAAATAAGCCGGGAACGTATATGTAGTTTCCCGGGTCGTCGGGAAACAACTGGGAACGTCGGACGGAAAGGTGAAGACTACCCTAGACGAAGTCTAGTGTAGAAACCGGCCGATGTAGACTACCCGAAGGTAGAGACGGAGGGGATTGTCTTTGAGTCGGGAATCAATCCCGAAGACACAGAGGGGACAGGAAACGGAATGGGCAGAGTCTAAGATGATATTCGAACTGAGGAACTACTACGGGTTACAAGGGTTTATATACTATACACTTTCCGATGGTAATCCGTCGGAAGCGCAGTCGTCGGAAACTATGGCTATGTAAAATGGAGGCTAACGGAAATGAACTGTCATCCGGGCGATCGAGAATGGAGCCGGAAATGAAAAGGACAAAGGGAAAGACATAAGATGAATGGGAAATGAATAGACTAACGGAAGGTCAAGAATGAAGTCGGATATTAACTGTCAAGAAGGATCCGGGCGCATAGGGGTAGAATCCAGGGTACATACAAATGGAGAAGCCGAGGGAAATGAAATCTGGACCGGGTCCGATGTTCTAGAAGTCCGGACCGGAAAATCAAGGGTTAGGCACGGAATATGACAAAATCCGACATCTGCAAATTTGCGTGAGTTGAGGGGTTGATTTCACGCAAATCCGACATCTGCAAATTTGCGTGAGTTGAGGGGTTGATTTCACGCAAATCCGACATTCACAAATTTGCGTGAGTTGAGGGGTTGATTTCACACAAATCCGACATTCACAAATTTGCGTGAGTTGAGGGGTTGATTTCACGCAAATCCGACATTCACAAATTTGCGCAATATGTGGAGTAGAATATTTGCATGCACAAGATTTATGTGATGGTCAATTCACGCAAATCCGAGATTTGCAAATTTGCGTGATATGGCTATTCTAGATATGCCATAACCAAGGAATAACCTTAATGGACTTGCAAAATTATGCTTAGAATTTGCACTCACCTCGGTGTACCCCAACTTGACGGCTTCCAGCTCGTTGTGGACCTTGTCCATCACCATGCCCGTCATCAATGGCATGGGCATGTGAACATTTGGGATCGGCGTCAACCAGAGTAATATCCGCGCCAATACTACGTCGAGCCATTCTTTGTCTTCCAAACTTTCGCTGCGGAGGATCCATCCGTCGTGGAGTGCAGTGTGGACTTGATCCTCGTAACTTTTCAGGGCCTCCAGGTAATTTGAGTTCCAAGTACCGAACGTGCCCTTGTACGTCCGAAAACACTGTGATGCTGAGTCGTCGATGTCAGTGAGGTAAGGGATGAAAATCTTTGGGTCGCCAGGTGTGCCATTCACGATCTCATCGCACAGGTCCGCCAATTTATTCAGCCACAGTGGACGCATGGTGGCGTCATCCTTCAGAGATCTAGTAATCAAGGTGTCAATCAGCTTGTACGACGGGAACGCATCCTTTGATGCCAGACGTCGAAACAGATCTACGCCAGTCGACATATATATGGAATACATCTAGTTCGAAGGTGAGCATCTTCGTCATCTCATTCTCATTCATCGAATGGATTGACTCACTCCCATAGTGACCGATATTGACTTCCCAAGCCAACGAACGGTAAATTTGCGACGGCAGCGGTAGTGGGAGCCCATGGGGTGCAGGTCCATTGCGAGGGTCATCACCAACCTCTGATTCTTGAGGACTCGCGTTATATTCGAAGCCTTCTTATGCGTGGGTCTGCTGTAGTAATCTTCCAGGACTTTCAGTGCAGCTTCTTCCCTGGCTCGCTTGTATTCATCACCGATGGTCCTGAACGTCGCAACAATGACTTCCTCCGCTGTTTCCTTATAAACGTGCAGGTTCTGATTGCGACTCAAGTGGTGAGCGAGCTCCGTGCCATCAGCAAGGAGGATGTCTGGTGCGTAACTTAATCAGCATCAATCCACACTAAGCTAACATCAGCCCATCCAGATATATTCTACCTGGGCGGATGCATTTCAACAGCAACGCATACGCCGGCCCATCGAGAGTCAATGATCGATGGGCGTGATGATCAAGTCTGATGAGGGGGGATATGAGAACGATGGTGAGTCACGATGATCATTTCCAACGACATACCATCAGCACCAGCGCGCATGTTGTTGGAACCCGCCCATCTGGAATATTTCTGGATGGGCAAACGACTTGCTCACCTTGGTCATACAGGATCACACCCCACTCCCCGACTATGTTGATATGGCCCTTGACTGTGGCCAGTTTTTTTCGAACCGCACTATGCTCTTCTGCATCATCCTTGGTGGGTTCTTTCAAGTTTTCGAGCTCTTTCAAACGCTTGCTGAGCGAGCTGTCTTCATCCAAGTATGAGATCTGCAGTTTTCTCAATGCTGCGACACGGTGTTGCCCTGATGCCAGCACTATCGGTTCGGTGTCACTGAATTCTACCTGCATCAACGTATTCCGCTGGTCCCACTCTCCATCGAACATCTGATCAGAAGACAACCGCAAGCGATCGATGATGATCGGGAGTGCATTCGGCTCTGAGAACGCTTGGATGCCATTGAATTCGAATGAGGTGACCATCTTGTTTATTTCACTCGTGTTTTCAGGGCGATCGTTGTATACGCCAAAGATCAGCTTGTTCTCAAGCTTCAAGTTATTGATTTTGCCGATCCCGATCTTGGCCGGTAAGAGGGCTGCATTAAGCTGTTCGATCTTAAGAGCATGGTCGTCTGTGAGTTCCGCTGGCTGGACTGGGCGTGTATCTAACTTGACTGAATTCGAAACCAAAACGGTCGCAGGCTTGGTGAGTAGTTAGACATATGTGCGTTAACCATTGGTTTATGACGCTCACAGCAATAGCATCACTGGCTTGTTTCTTCTTTTCCTTGCGTGGCGGCATCTGTGGGTCGTGGTGTGATACTGGTATGTTCTAACACTATCTGTTATTGATCCATCGATTACTTGCATCAAAGTGCCTCATGTATTACCTATTTTGATGGACTTCTGATTCTCGTAGCATAAAGTCTAATTGTATGTAATGGTTTGATCGGATCAAACTACAATGCTTCCGAGACCCAGGCCCATCTAGAATCACAACTGATGGGCTGCTTACTCGGTGCACCATCTAATAAATGAACATTACAATAATTAGCGTCGCCCATGTAGAAGATCGCTGGATGGGCTACTGACCTGACATTTCCTCATCGCTGGAACTGGAAGATGTCGTGTCTTCAGGAGATCCTTCTAGCGAAGAAACGGTAAGTGTCGCCCAACTAGAATCAGACTAGATGGGCTGCTTACTCGGTGCACCATCTAATACATTACAATAATTAGTGTCGCCCATCTAAACAAGAGCTGGATGGGCTACTGACCTGATGATTCTTCATCTTCAGAACCTGTCAATTCATCATCTTCAGGAGATCCTTCTGACTAATGAATAGATGGTCAGTATTGATGCCCATCCAGAATATATCTGGATGGGCTACACGGATATTTTCATGTGTATGGGCTATGCACATATTGAGTCTAGATGGGCTACACATATATTTTCATGTGTATGTGTGATACATACATGGTCTTCTCATGTTTCTCACACATGCCCATCAAGAATATATCTGGATGGGCTACACGTATATTTTCATGTGGGCTGTGCACAGATTGAGTCTGGATGGGCTACACGTATATTTTCATGTGTATGGGCTATGCACAGATTGAGTCTGGATGGGCTACACATATATTTTCATGTGTATGTGTGACACATACATGGTCTTCTCATGTTTCTCACACATGCCCATCAAGAATCGACCTGGATGGGCTACACGTCTGATTGTAAATCTATTTTCCTGGGTATTTTTGGTACATACGCGGTCTTTGTGTTACAAAGGCTGGAACTGGAAGATGTCGGGTCTTCAGGAGATCCTTCCAGCGAAGAAACGGTAAGTGGCGCCCAACTAGAATCAGACTAGATGGGCTGCTTACGCAGTGCACCATCTAATAATTTTTAGTCAGTTAGTTAGCGTCGCCCATGTAGAAGATCGCTGGATGGGCTACTGACCTGTTAGTTAGTTCCTCATCTTCAGGAGATCCTTCTAGCAAAGAAACGGTAAGTGTTGCCCAAATAGCTGGTTGGGCTGCTTACTCGGTGCCCCATCTGATAAATGAAGATTACAATAATTAGCGTCGCCCATGTAGAAAAGAGCTGGATGGGCTACTGACCTGATGATTCTTCATCTTCAGAACCTGTCGATTCTTCATCTTCAGAACCTGTCGATTCATCATCTTCAGGAGATCCTTCTGACGAATGAATAGATGGTCAGTATTGATGCCCATCCAGAATATATCTGGATGGGCTACACGTATATTTTCATGTGTATGGGCTATGCACAGATTGAGTCTGGATGGGCTACACATATATTTTCATGTGTATGTATGATACATACATACATGGTCTTCTCATGTTTCTCACACATGCCCATCAAGAATCGACATGAATGGGCTATACGTCTGATTGTAAATCTATTTTCCTGGGTATTTGTGGTACATACGCGGTCTTTGTGTGTGAAAATGTGCGTGTAAACAGCACCAAACATCCGAAAAAGGTCATCCTAACCTGATCCCAACCCCAACCCACTTACAAAAAGGCCTAATAAATGTGGTCCTCTCAGAGAGGGGCCTGCTCACCACTCAATGCCACTGGCATGCACAAGAGAATACATCTATAGCTCGCTCCCGCTCCACTCTGTTCGTCTCCCGGGTCAAAACTGCTCGACTTATGCCCCATACTTCACTTGGGGTGGCTTAGGGGGGGAGCAGGAGGTTTTCCACCCATAACTTTTTTTCCATTGCACCGACTGACCTCAACCTTTTGTCATCCTACTCTACAGATATATAGCTCACTCCCGCTTTACTCTGTTTGCCTCCGCCGTCAAAACTGATGGAGCTATGCCCCAAACCTCACTCTGGGTGGCTTAGAGGGGGGAGAGGGAGGTTTTCCACCCATATCTTTTTTTCCTCGCTCTTTCTGACCTCAAACTTTTGTCATAGCATTCTATAGGCTTATAGCTCGCTCCCGCTTCACTCCATTCGTCTCCGCCGTCAAAATTGATGGAGCTATGCCCCAAAACGTCGCTCAAGGTGGCTTAGGGGAGGAGGAGGAGGAGGAGGTGATTCACCCATAACTTTTTTTCTCTTACACCGGCTGATCTTAAACCTTTTCCATTCCATTCTATAGGCCTATAGCTCACTCCCGCTCCACTCCATTCGTCTCCCGGGCCAGAACTGGTTGACTTATGCCCAAACACCCATTCCTCGTCTCTCTTCGTGGCACCTATTCTCCTTCCAGGAATCAACTGCACCCACTCCCACCACAGACACTCTAAATCACACTTTTATAAATCCTCATTTGCATCATACTCGTTCTTGTTGACTTGTTATTAATTCCGACTCTGACAGTACAGAAGATTAGGCTATGCTTCCTCGACATCCTCTAAATCCCGCTCCCACCCAGTCTCAAATGCCCAACACCTCATATCCTCCGCACTCTTCCCCAGCGCAGTTCTCTGTCGCACACTCAGTAGACGGCATGCCAAAGACGTCCTTGGCATGTCAGCTAAATCCATCACTTCGCATTTGTACCTTCAGATCCGTGGTTCTCGGGTGAAGGACCAAATGTGCCTCGCCCCAATTGTCTCAAAGTTCTCGCTCGCCGTTTGCGCGTCGTCCTCGTCGACGTCCGCTTTGACTTTCACGTTGTTGACGGAGCTTGATGAAGACCAGGTAGTCTGTTGTCGGACGAGGTGGTAGAGTCGGATGGGCAGTAGTGAATGTTAGAAGACACTTAGTGAATGTTAGAAGACACTTAGTGAAAGTTTAAAGACACGGGCAGTCCATCCATCAATCGTCGCTCGCTCACTCATAACCTCTCGCTGAAGGCAACTTCGTCGCCATGCAATCGCACCTGTCATGGGAGGGTGCATACGTCGTGCCCGTCGCGCTCACAACGCCAGAGTTGTATGTCATAGAACCAAGATGCCGGGACTGCGCTACAATGTCGTGGTTTGAGCATCATGTCGAGCTGGAGTGGGTCGAGTGAGAAAGCGGTTGTGTACCAAAGGTACAAGACGTGTTTCTGAAGTTGATGCAAGCTTCTTTGCACCCTGGGAGAACGGAGCGGGCGTAACAGGTTTGGGAGATAGTGGCTTCGGCGAAGGGGGAGTAATATCCGCAGCAATGAAGCTTGTTTTGGATCCTGAGACGGCCGTCTGTGCCGAGATCGCGAGACCACTGAGCATTAATTTGCCTTCGAGATTGAAGGTGTGCTGCTTGTAGGCCATGTAGCCGGGTGAGATGAGGAGGGCAAAGCAGAGCCAGGGATCGAAAGTGTAGACTGCTGGAAGGAGCGGTTGTTGAGAAGGATGCCGGCCCAGCGGATTACGGAAGTCAGAGGCAAGGATGGCAGTGGCTGTTGATAGGACGAGTTCTGCTCGATTGCCTACGGACGATATCTGCGTGTTCGAATATGTCAAACCAGGTGAGAACACAGAATATGAGGCTTGCGAGGGCGCATATAGTTAACGGCAGGAGATAATGCTGAATGCAAAGATAGAAAAGATTTAAAGCACAACTTACCGGATGGTCCAAACATCTGCATGCGAGGCTCTGCGAAGCAGTACTACTATCGCATCAATACAAGTGTCCCTCGGTGCTACCGACTTCAAACCTTGCCAGCGGCAGCAGCGCTCTTTTCTGCTCCTTCAGCTTCTGAATCCACTGCAAAAAGCCGATCAGCAAGCTCAAGGTCCTCCTCATTCCAAGCAAAGAAACAACACTCACCAACCGCCTCTCCTCCTTCCTCCTCGCCATCTCAACAGTCGTCTCCTCCTCGGAGATCCCAGCCATACTAGTCAGTGGTGTGTCAACAGCAGTATTCGGAAGAGGCCGAGGAGACGATACTGGTGTTAATCGAGCGCTTAAAGCGGGTGAGAATGCTGGTGCGAGAGTAGAAGTTGCGAGATATCTGCGGGATTGTGGGAGAGCGTACGTGAAATATCGGAGGGATATGAGGTCGCCCATGGATCAGGCGAGCGACTTTAGGTCGAGACGATAATGCCATTGCGCCCTATTCGTCAGGAGCTGTATTAGGTAGATCACGTTGATCAGCAGGAACATTTATGGAGAAGGAAGTGATACATACTTAGAGAACCGTGCTATAGGCGCTCTACGGCTGACTGCTCGCGGGAATGGAACGCGCACGAGTGGACTACTTGCGAAGACCGAGAAATGCCATGAGTGTGTTCTTAGTCTGTTCTAGGCTTCTAGCTCGATGAACTTGATAGCGGATGCATAATGAAAACTGAACAGTCACGTGGTTCGATTTCGTAAGCGTATGGCGTCTCTGGTGTCGTTGAAGTGTCTTTGAACTTTGAAGTGTCAGTTCAGCACGTCGAACGTGAGGCCGAAGCAGACCTGCTGCCCTATGAGACCATCGTACGGGCTTTACACAAGGACCACGACGACTCTGTAGAAGCATCCCGTCCTCTCTTTCGTGCTCGTTTCTTTGATGAAACAGATCAGCCACGGGATAACTTTATCAGATCTACTACCAGCTTAACGTCGGATCTTAAGCTGGGCAAACCTTTCCATCCTTTTGAACAATTGATGGGCGTTCTCCCCGCCGCGAGTATGGATCACATTCCGCAAGCATATCAAGTATGTTCAACGACCTGCGTCATACTTTAGACTAATCACCCACAGGACCTAATGTACGATCCAAATTCACCGATATTGGACTTCTACCCCATCGAATTCGAGCAAGACCTAAATGGGAAGAAACAAGAGTGGGAAGCGATCGTCAAGATTCCCTTCATTGATGAGGAGCGGCTGTTACGAGCAATGAATTGTGAGTGTCAAGTTCCGCTTTTCAGTTTTCGCTCATCGCTTCCTGAAGAACGCCGCCGCAATGACTTCGGAACCAGTACCAAATTTTCCTTCAATCCTGGAGAGTCCACCGTCTATCCTTCATCGTTGCCAGACTTCTTCCCTCCCATATATCGTTGCACGTGCAAGATGGAATCCTTCGATCTACCAACTCTTGACGGACTCCATCTCGTGCCTGGACTGTGTGAAGGTGTATGCCTCGGCGCAGAGGCTCTCGCTGGATTCCCCTCCCTCGAATGGAACAAACATTTTCTTCCTGGGCGAACACGCTTATGGCGTGGCTGCCCAGGTGTCTTCGACTACCGACAGCGCTTTGTCTGTTGTCTTGGCAGTATGTCGCAATACCCTAACACAATTCATTTTTCTAAATGACCTCGTAGTTCTTCCCCTCAGATAAAACGGAGAATAACAGGTTCAAGTCTGTTGTCGAGAGTCGTGCTTCCCAGCACTATTCGCCATCGTTCAAAGCAGCTTCGGCAATCGGAATGTCACCCAGAGCGCTCTCCAAGATCACATCAAGCTTCATGGTCCTCACCTCCGATCATCAAAAGTACAACCTCGGACTAAGCATCAAATTCGAGGCCAAGAGCTTGAAGGTTATCGACTACTCGCGGAAAGCTGGTCGCTATTGGGGGTTCAGCGAGAAAGCAGTTGACCTCATTCGCGAATATAAGGTTGGTCCTATCCAAATCGCCTCTGAATTCCAACTCAGTCCTTTGCAGGATAAATACCCTGAAATATTCGCGATTCTGGACCAAGGGGGCGACGGTAAGTTGTTGGACTAGCCAGGAATTCATTGATCTCACCTCTGGAATATTAGATATGGCTCGCGCTACAGACATCTTTGACGCCCACGCTGATGCTAAGGTGAAGGAAGTAAAGTCTTGGCTCAAATCAAAAGGCGTCCGAGATCTTGAGCCAGTCTCCCTCTTCTCGGACAACTTAGCGAAGGTATATCAGAGCCACCGTTTATCCCAAGTGATGCTTACTCAAACTTGCTTCTAGAGTACTGTCAAAGAAATTGAAGAGGTTGCCGATGACATCAATAAGAACAGGTCAAAAGCGGGAATCAAGAAAGCCATAGTGAAGAACATCCCTCGCCATGCAGTTCTGAAACCATCGCACGCTATCTATCGGCTCCAGAACCAGCACTTTGCCTTGGGAGACAGGGTTACTATGGTCCAAGATTCAGGTGGAGTTCCATTGTCTGTGAAGGGCGTCGTCATTGGATTGAACACGAATTCGATGGAGATGCTCTCAGTATCGAGGCTCAACGGTGGAGTTCAATTCATGTCTAAACCTAAGCAACCCCCAATTCATCGCCTCTACCTCCCCTGGGTCGAATTATCCTAAGCCGTTACCTTCTCCCGCGCTACCTCTCCATGTCACAAAGAGCCCAATATCCTACTCTCCTGACATTTCCTCCCTCACGCTTTCTCAAAGTGCTTCGCAACAGCACTACTCTGCCCGCCCGGTCATTCTGATCGACCTGCGTCTTTCGACAATCTTGCCAGCGACCTTGTATACCGATTCGAGCAGCGGGGTGTCCCGTCTGACCTTGATGAGGCCATCAAGCTCCACCGGGATGTACTGCTCCTCCACCCACCCAGTCATTCTGGTCGATCCGGGTCTCTCAACAATCTTGCCAGCGGCCTTCGAAACAGATTCTACCAGTGGGGCATCCCATCTGACCTTTGATGAGGCCATCGAGCACAATCGGGCTGCACTACTCCTCCGCCTCCTCGTTCATTCTGACCGATCCAAGTCTCTCAATAATCTTGCTACCTGCCTTCAGGAGAGATTCGAGCAGAAGGGCGTCCCATATGACCTTGAAGAGGCGATTGAGCTCCATCGGATACACTGCTCCTCCGCCCACCCAGTCATTCTGGTCGATCCGCGCATATACACTCCCCCTCGCATTCTCACTTCTCTCACACCCATAGCTAAGGCCACGCCCAAATCCACTCCCCCAATACGCAATTCACACATCCACGCCCTCCCCTACATCTTCCGAATTCTCAGCGTTCGGGAGACACGGGAGACAGCCCAGTATAACCTTGACACCTACTCCTGATGTGGAGGGTGTCAGGGAAGGATCGGGGAGGGAGAAGAGGCAGAGGAGGATGGGGAGTGTTCTTAGTGTTGGAAGTGTTGGGAGCGTTAGTTCTCCGATGGGGGGCGGGGGCGGCCCTGTCTCTGGGATTGGTTCTGGGATTGGAGGCGTCATTGGTCTTGGAGGCGGTGTTGGAGGGGAAGAAGACGCTGAACGAGAGATGAACTTGGCTTTGGATCCTGATCTGGATATGGACGTCGGGAGCGGTGGAGAGAAGAAGCAGTATCAGAGGGCGAGGAGCGATTCGGCGCCTATGTGGGTTACGGGCCAGAACGCTGGTGCTAGAACAAGCTTTCAGAACGAGAAGCAGAAGCGCCTTCTCGAACTCGCAGGCTCTCAGCGCGCGAGGTAATGTCTGACTGCTGCTGCGTATTTCTCAACCGACTGACCCTTGGTACAGCAAATTGATGAATCAAAAGCGATGAAGGACCTCAACTCATGAATCCAGCAACTCACGAAACTCATTCTAACGTCTCAAACGGTAGATGAAAACAAAGGAGACGAATCACGTCCCGCCAGCTCATCTAAAGTTGATTTCGATACGTCACCGTACCAGGTTCGTAAGCTCGGCACTGTGGGGTCGTTTTATCTAGTTGAACATTGTCGATTCATGACAGCTTCAACAAGAGCTTCTTGCGACTCGCCTTCAACTCGAGTCACAGTCGACTCAAATACTTTCCCTGGAAACTGCTCTCCTGTCTCGCCCAGAACTTCCACCAGGCGCTTCAGAAACCGAGAAAGACAAGCTCATTGCTGAGCAAGCGAAGACGATCCGTGAGCTTGAAATTGTAGTGCGTGGGTATGAGGATAATTTAGGGGAGCCTTTGAGAGCCGTCAGAGAGGATGTCAAGAAGGAATGGATGGGCAAACTTGAGGAAGAAGTGAAGAAGCGAGAAGAGAAGGAGGCTTGGGCGGCTGAACTTGTCAGGCAGCTGGACAAGGAAAAGAAGGTCGGCTTGTGGATGTTGGTTTGCTTTCTAAACGCAGTTGGGGAAGCTCGCGCACATGCGAATGCCAGTACTAGTGGGAGTGTAGAAAGAGCTGCCCTGACATTGGCTGAGAAGTACGTCCCGATTTCTGCGTACCTGTATTGATGCCAACGGAATCGAATCTCAGGCACGCCGACCTCCCTACACGCAATTGCAGCCGCTGAGAGTAGACGTCTCGAGCTGACAGGTCACCTTGCTGCTGTTGAAGGGGATCTAGGAGAACGTGAGTTCTTTCATTTCGTCCTTTTTGTGTCCTCTTCCTCGGTGCCGTCGTTCCGCATTATATCCACCTAAATTCTCAATCAGAGAGAACTGACCATCCCTCGTTTCCTAGTAAAACCCAAATGAGCGTATAGTCAATCGCGAACCATACCACCCCACTCTTCCCTCGTCCACACCCGCTGCTTCTGTCGTAGATGGCCTCAAAGAAGGCGTAAGATTACTCGCAGCGGGCCTGAGACACCTAAGCGACCTCTCTTCTCCCATCCCTTCACCAGCTCCTCCAATACACACAGAAGAAATAACGGGTGTCCCGAGGCGTCATACACAGCGCGTTAGCGACTCGTCCACATCAGCGTCTGCACGTTCAGGGGTGAGGAGACTCTCGAGGAGTTCTGTGTCATCTATCTGGGACGAGGTGGCTAACAGAGGTAGACGAAACACACCGACAGCAACTTCTTTCTCGCAGTCACACGCAGGTATGCTCTTGCTCATTATTGGTTCTGCCTTTCAATTCACATATGCCCTGCTACTTGGCGATACAGCTGCGCGGTCACAACCATAACTACGGTGCACCACGGATACGTCGTCGAATAACTGTGGTATGGGCGCCTGCAGCTCCGAATGTCCTGACCATCTGCGGGTTAGATGAGGATGATACGCAGAGTGCTCCTCGCATCTTCCAACATTCTGACATGCGACGGTGCCCTTCGAGTACCAGATGCACTCATCACTTCCCTAACCACGGCATATCGGCTCATCGCCATACGAACAGGCTGTGTGGGACAACTTCTCTCCTGCAGAATCAGCCTACGATGTGAGTCTTCCTGACACGACACATCTACGATCACAAACAGCGGCATCAACCACTTCAGCATCGGGGACAGCAATTGGTGCCCTGGGGGATGTCATGGTAGTTGGAGACGTGTAGACTACGTTGAGAGCGTGTCCGCATCACAACGTATAATGTATTGCATCACTGGTACTGACAAGTTGGGTCGCACTTGTACAATAATAACATCACCCCACTAGGGTCAGAACGACAGCCTGACGACGAGACTATCGAGAACCACGATGCGTAAGAGGCCAATTCAGGTAGAAGGAAAGAAAATGCCACTGAAGACCTTGTGCGTGTAGGTCACTTCATAGTCAATAGGACCATTCGATCGAAATACAACATGTACAATCGTTAGTCTCGGAAGAAATCTTTCCAGTACGACAAATGTTCATGTCCTTCTCCGTCCGATCCCGCCATGGCGATTTGACTTGTAGCTTACTCGTCCGTGATGGATTCGGGTTGAGAAGTTGTTGAGAGGAGAGAAAGATAGACGAGGATATGGCGCCTCTGGATTCTGGAGGAGACTTAAGGCAGTGGTCCGTGGATGAGACGGCAGAGAACTCTGTGGTGGGATTGAAAATGACATAGATCTTAGAAGCATGCTGAGATACCCGACCGTCGCCCGTCGAACTGGATCACGTCAAAAACTGATGTCCGCCTGATTCACGCACACACTAAGGATTTTGCCTGACTGCGCATGTCACGCGTCTCACATGACTCCGCCCATGGCCATAGTCTGCAAGGAGAGTAGTTATTACTGGGAGGTGCACGAGAGACTTTCAAAACACATAATAGCCTTACCCCAGATTATCTATGAAGATGTTGATGACGAGGAAATGAGAGCAATAGTTAGACCAGTATCACTCGGCATGGCGCTCGAGCTCGGCCATTCTTGCTCGCATTCGGTTCAGTTCAGCCTCATACTCCCTCTCCGCTTCGTCTGCTCTCCTTTCTGCCTCGTTTGCTTTCCTCTCCGCTTCCTCTCGTTGCCTCCTCTCTTCGTCAACCTCTGGTTGACGTTGAGCCCGTCCTTCCATCCTCAACTGTAAAAACAAATAAGTAAACACCCCAACCAATGCCAAAAAAGAACACTCACCCGGTGCACCTCCTCCTCCTTCACCCTCCTCCTCTCCTCTGCCGCATTCTCAAAACGCGCCCACTCGGCGCGATACAGCTCACACACCACCCCAACACTCTCCGCCTTCCTAACCTCTTGCCCGCAAAAGCAAGAGCGCCCCTCGCTCAGCAATGTCTCCCGGCACCCAGGAAAAAGGCTCTTGAGCGCCTCCCAAACAGTGTAGGCGAACCAATAGCATTGGTATTGCCACAGATGATAAGTTGGAGAATGCTTTCGGAGCACGCACAACAGCACAGATACTTGCATCGCCGAAGGACGAGCAGAAGCGGAAAAGTCGAGGTTACAAAGGTGCTTGTGCTGGCCATATCTGTTAGTGATGTATGATTCGATGGCAGAGCCGTTGTTGGGGGTGGTGAAGATGGAATCGTGGGCGGGGGTTGCAGATACTGAGGGGGAGACTACGGTTGATTGGCCAATGCCAACCGATCTCGACGAGCCATTGCCATTATGATTTTCTGTGGAATCCGGGCGCGATGTCCTGTCCAACACCAGGATAGCGACAGCGTGGTGTTGCGTTGGATGACGGAAATGGAGGAGCAAGAATTCATGTTGGACCCTGGTGGTGCTCTTGCAAAAAACCATCCGTTCGAGCTCGCACTGCGAAGAAAGCTCGTTGTTCAAGAGCAGCGTGTGCCAATCTCCTACGTCATTGTAGCTATCGCCCAAGGTGAACACTCCAGGGGCGTCGGTTGGGGATGTCATGAATGGGTGCAGGATCGCTGCGAGGAAACCGCGAATGCTGAAACGCTTGACGCTTTTACTTTTGAAGGCCATTTCATTGCCTTGTGTGTCGACAAAGGTTGGGACACGAGGCAGAGAGGGTGAAAGGGGAGTGGCTCATGTATTTGGGAGAAGCAGCGTGGTCACCCTAGTACTGTCAATGTCATTCAACATCCAACTTCTTGCTCCTTATGGCCATGCCTCGGGTCTGGACATCTAACCGGTACTTACAGCCCCATAGCAACAGATCTAATCGGGCAGTTGATTATGTACCAGGCTGCAGGCAAGTTCTGCGCCACGACCATCAGAACCCACAGCCCTTCTGCCGTTGGACATGGCGACAAACGCACCTTCCAATGGCAATAGTGTACGACAATCCCAAGAAACGGTTTGACCCGGGTGTTTCTCCCCAACAGAAGGCTGCTGTTGCGGGGAGGCAGCATGACCGACTGAAGCGTATCACCCGGCAGTATGGAAGTGCACAAGGCGAGAAAGGTGCGCTTCATCTATGCCACGCTGCACAAACCTAAAGTCTATATCAGAGTTATCCATTGATGCTAACGTTAGTTTTGACTACAATGACCATCGTAAGGACACTCTTCTAGGTGCCGCTACCTTAGAGCAGCAAAAACTACTGGAGGATGCAACCCAGGAACGTTTAGAGCTACCCGTTTTGAAAGATGGAAAGGGTACAGGATTGATCCGTCTCAACGTCAACTCCTTCCCGTTTTTAAAACCTGAATTAGTCGACGGCAAAGACATACTGCCTCAAACAGGTGCGTTCATGATTCATTCAAAAGCCAAGACTTATCATTCTCACTTGACGTTGCAATTGTTCGCTTGACTATACATCAGGCCAAGGAACTTGATGCTACAAAATCACTTTTCGGCGACTTGAACCTCCTGGTCAATCGACGGCAACATATGCAAAGGGCACCTACACCACAGAGCTGAATTCGTATCAGCTTTGAAGCATATGGAGTTTCTCCACTGAGCTTGGTCCTGCGGGCCTTATTGGTATAACTTTCGGTGAGCGATCCTACCCCTTACGTCCTGTTGAAGATGCGAATAGAGATACCGGATGAACCTCTGAGGAGGACATGCCGAATATTATTGTTCCTATTGAGACTTCCCTCTTCCGTTGTTTTTCGAATAACGCTGACTGACCTTTCTTTTTCAGCATCTTCTAGATACCAAAACATTGAAGCAAGACTCAATTCCGCTATCCTTGACCCCTTGGATCGTTAAGGTCGCGTGATGTTGGTTGAAGGCGGCTTTCATGGAGCGGACTCGTCGACAAAACCCTTTGTAATTCTCATTGTCCTTCTTCTCCTTGCTGCTTGGCAAGCGTTCTTCTACCTCAACTCCCTTTTCTGCCCCAAAACGCTCCAGCTGGCGCGTCTGCATCCTCTGGCGGTATCCTTGATTCACAACATCACTTTGTCACGAGACCAACGCAGGTCTTGTTGGCAACGACGGTCTCTATTCAGAATCCAAGATATCTCTGGAAACCCTGCGCTGGAACTCACGTGTTTGGCTGGTTGGACGTTTCGGCAGATGGTGCGTCGTGTTTACTTTTCCTTCCGTGGGATATAGCCAACCCTAATGGAATCCTGGCAGCTCGCCTTCCACACACTCTCGGGATGTCGCATGCGTGCTGGGGATTTGATAGGAATGGGAGCATTATCTGGAGAGGTCCGTTCTTTATCTCTGCTTTCTTTTCCTTGTACTGATGCCCAATGCACCGTCACTCGTTCCCTTGCAGGACCCAACCTCCCTCTGTTCCCTCATTGAACAGCGCAAGCACTTCCCTAACCGAATGTTCTTACAAGACAGAGATAAGGTTGCGCTCACGGCTTGGTGCGGGTTGCCCCAAAGAGGAGCATGAGCTATGTCTGCGCTAGCCAAGCATACGTATGGTGAATTGCAATTGCCATTGTGAAACCTGACGCGTTGACGAGCTACATGCATAAATGTCTTGCCGTCTCCAGATTGCCCGAAGCTCCAGGTCTTCGTTCAATCGACGTGCGTCCTCTTTCCTTCACATCACATTATCTCATTTAGTTTCCTTGCAGCATCGTAATGTAACACCCGGCTCCCCTTTTCCATTAATTTTCCCTGGTATGGCGCCTTACAAACCCGCCTGCACTGTCGACCCAAGGGTGCGCTTCTGCTCCTCATATCCTCGCGACTTCTACTCTCGACCAGCATTCTCACCCACTTCAAGCACTCGATCAACACCAGTATCGTCTCCTCGGCCACTTCCAAATTCTGCTGATAATACACTGCCGACTAGTAAGGCTGGGATGTCTAAGGAGGAGAAGGCCGCTGAGATGGCGAGGAGGAAGGAGGAGAGGCAGTTGGTGAGTGTTGTTTTTTTGTTCCTTCGTTTGGAATGAGGAGGACCTTGGGCTGATGCTGGTTGGCTTTTTTGCAGCGGATTGAGAAGCTGAGGGAACAGAAAAAGAACACTGCTGCTGCTGGAAAGGCTTGAGTACAGTGTTGTCGAGGGACAAATTGGACAAGGTGCTTTTCCTGGACAATTTGCATTTCCAATCCTTCCTCATCTCTTTCATGACAGCAAGCTCCAGCAGCTTCTCCGTTGAATTATACGTTCAAGTAACGACTTTGAACCACATCCGAAAATAGCCAGCCAGCTGCGTTCGTTGAAAAAACGGAACATGCACTAATGGTCAGCTCAGTCATCCGTAGCGCCCTTTCATTCTTTACTAAACGTTGGTCCGCAGTGCCTTCATCTTCACATGAAATGTACCATCGCGAAACCAGGCTAATTCATGTCCAGTTGGATGTGAACAGAAATGACAGGGAACGGTGTGGACGAGTCGTGCTTGGCGAAAGAATTGGTGGGAAAGCCTGAGCATGAGGAGCGCGTACATCGGCTGACATGATGCAAATAACTGCAGTATGACTCACTAGCAATTGAGACGCTCTTAGGATCTCCAGCTGGCCATGCAATGATGAAGATGTGGAGGATGGTTGGAAATTGAGCGGGGAGACAAGGGAACCACAATGTGTATAGGTCGCTCAGACGAGTACTGGAAGTCACCAAATCTCACGGAGATAATTTTTTGGGGTGCTTTCGGATCTCACGTAGTTCCGCCTGCAAAGGCCGGATCCGACTGATTCCGACAGCCCTTCTCCCACTCAAATTCAAAATCCAGATTCATGATCAAATTGGCCAAGATACCGTACCGTACGTAGGTGATTGTAAATGCAAAGAAAACAAGTGTGACAAATAAACAAATGAAAGCTCATCAACGAGCAAGATGATAGGTTTTGCAAAATATACCGAAAAGCAAAAAAAAAAGCGGAGTTCTCTGAGCAACTGCATCATAAACACGAGAGAAATGAGCCTGAAGCAGAAGGAAGATCTTGAAGTGAGGAGCTTCGAAGTCTGCACGATCGAGCTTGATGGGAACGCGGTTGTAGATGCGGCGGAGATCGTGACGCCTGATAGGAATCAACTCGAACTCTACAGAAGAGGCAACAACTTCCAGAAGACCTTTGAGTTTCGTCCGCTCCTTCAGCGACAGGGTGTATACCTCCGCAGTGATGTAGGAGATATTATAGTACGCTGCTATCATCCCGAGGTTCAGTGTGATCGACGGATCTGGCAGGCCGTTGGAAGGTGGATGGGAAGCTCGCGGATTTTGTAGTGCTGCGAAGCACATGGCCAACCTCCGCGTAATTGGTCACATTGGTATAAGGTCCACAAGGCTTTGGCCGTGCAAGAGTGCTTGCCAAGGTCCTTCAAGTAACCCTCCATAAGCTCTGGGTGCATGCGGTCCTATTGTATGGCGTGAAGCCCTACGCGAAGAAACGGTCGCCGCGAGAAATAGTGTAGCCTGGCAGAAATGAAATGTAAGTCTACACGAGAAGCATCTGAAAGAAAAGGTAATACCTGGTCCGAGTCCTGAGTACTTCCGACGTAACTGACGGGACGCGTTTCTTGGCACTGGAGCCACATTTCCCCATCGTTTTCGTCCTTTACATTACCCAGGCTATCAGAGAAGTCGAGTAAAGGGACAGCCGCAGAAGGAAGCTCGTCGTCGCCTGTGCCGAGCGGCGTAAGACTAGAGCTGCGGGCAGTGGGAGGACTCGAAGATCTCCCAGTGGTATGTGGACTCAAACTTCTCTCTGTTGGACGTAAGCTGGAGGTCTTGGCCATGGGCATAGGACTCGAGCTCCGAGCTGACGCGTTTGACTTGACGCGGGGAGGTGGTTTCTTCACAGGCGTTGCAGTGACGAGGGTGATTGCTGGTGCTACGCGAAGAGAGAGCTTGAGGAAATAGAGCAGGATCTGGATCTGGACTCTACAAAGGCGTTATGGTGCGCCCAGAAGCAAAGTAGTAGGCACTTACTCACGCTGCTCCATGCGCTCGAGCCAGCTGGATATCCATTTGTTTTCTAACATTACAGGGTCTTCTCGGCTGAGGTGTTCGCTACGCTCCGCGCTAGCATCGGTTTTCTCATACCCCAGCGCATACCACATCATACTCTCCTCTACTTCGCCTGCACCGCCGCCGTCGGCAATAATCCGAGGGAGCTCATTGCGGTACTTGTTCGCGACTGTGCGAAGGGAGAGGAGAAGAGGTTCTATCAAGGCGTGAAGAGGATGTGGTTGGTCTTCTGCGACATCTGGAAGTGCTCGGATGCGAAGAAGAGAGGGAATAAAGACAGAGAGGGGCGTGATTGACTATACTGCTGTTAGTGAATATATATAACGGTTAGAGCAGGGCGTACGTGAGGAAGCCATAGGAAGTGAAGGTAAGTGTGCTGGACGAAGAGGCCTGGGTCCGCTAGATCGTGGTCTTGTAATGGGTAGCCTCCGCTCAGACTCTTTTCCTGGGCTGCGGTCCGCTTGTGAGTGGAGTACGGGTATGCACAGGGGGGAAAGGGAAGGACATACTGAAAGAACTTATAGGCTCTAGGATCTCATCCCCTCTAACCCCGTGAAGCTCAATGAAATTCGGGATATCACAAGCTGATTCTGGAGAGTCGTATTTGAGCCTTGTTTGATGAATATGGACTTGAGAAGGCGGCGAGCTACCAGCAGAGTTAGTAAGAACGGCAGATATACTGATGCTTGTGGATATGGATATACGAACCTCGTGACATTCGCCTGCGCTTGCCAGCCTGGAATTCATCGGGGTAGATATTGAATTCGACATCCATCCGCTGTCGCATATTTTACTCAGAGAAGGGGCAGACTTGAATCCACATAGACGTACAGGAAGTAGCCAATCGCGGGAATCAGCATAAACGCTGCGGTAGTGCTCTTCGACGCCTTCCTTGGGGCGAGTACCAATGCGCTCTGCGATCACCTGCCAGTTTCCCCCTTTATCACTGTACCATAATGTCGTCTCTGATATCCGTCGCGTCGTTGTCTACCTCCAGCTCCAAAAACGCACATCAACAGATGAGATCCTCGAAAATCTGACTGCCACTGGCAGACAAAAGTAAGCTTCATATTCATTCATGATAGCAGGCTCACCCCTATCACACGAATCACGCGACCTATGGTTGAGCGACACGTCATGTATGCGCATATATCCATACATTTGCACTCAAATAATGACTACAAACCACCAGCTAGGTATGGGCTGCCTAGGCCTGTCGCATTCTTGTTGTTTTGCCTATTCTGACCCTTGCTCCTAGATTTCAGCATTGTCACTTGCTGTATTTTCACCCACTCGGGTCCATGCTGTATATCGCTCTCGCATTCGCAATGTCTCTAGCATCATTATTTTTGCGAGTCCGATGCGGTCCGAAAGCACGATCCAGATCAGTTCTGTCACACCTATGTACTTTTGCTACTTTCACCACTGTATTGTACGATCGTGAAATTCAATTTTGTTTATTGCATCGCAGCGTATAACCGTGACTGTCTAGTATGAGTCATGTAAGCTACGAACAGCCTGGCAAGGCTGGATCAACATTGCAAGGCATACCAAGGCTTTTTAAACAACACGATTCTGATGGCTTTTGACCAGCCTGGTGCCCATCTGGTATGAGGGAGAGGTTGTCTGCAACGTGTGTTCAGTCTTAGCGAAGTTCGTCAGGCTGGAGGGATCTGGCCATCGGGCACAGCCTCATGGAGTTAGAACATGTGCCGTGACACTGACAGATTCTTCTTGTCAGTCATGACCACATTCACCTAGCTCGAACTTCAGAAAGGAACACATCTTGCTCTCCTCCCTTCCTTCCAGCATACAGTCTTCCTACGATCACCAGGAGGACCACAGCTGGGTCATTTTACATACCTTGCGTCACTGAATTACGAACATCACTGAACAGCAGTCTCATTCGAATTCGAATTCGAATATCTCTGAAGAGTTTATACATAGGGAAGGTTCGCAAAAGCGACAAACTAATTAGTAAATTCCAGCAGAAACACTAAAAAGTGTTTATATCACAAGAAGAAGCCTCCGCCTCATCCGCAGGCCCGTCTGCGAATTTTGATCCGGGCTCACGTTTCCTCTTTTGGCACGCCGAGCTCCGCCCGCGCGGAGCGCAGGGCCAGGGGCTTTGCTGTTGATATACTAACATACCAGCACCCGGTTCCTGGAGGGGGTACAGGTACAGGTTGGTGTCTGCGCACTGCAGGTTTGCCCCTGCTGATCCCTAAGCACTGTGATGGGATTTCCGAGTATACTACGAGTCCGCTATATCTGTATAGCTGTGCCTGTATCTAGCTAGCACTGAGCAGTGCACAGCGCGAGTATAATATCCATTGATTTACTATTAATACCTGGCTAGCTGAATATTATTGCGGCCGCATATATATATATTATATCAATAGAGGTATACAAATATTAAACCTCGCGAGGTCGCCTTATCGAGGATAGGCCTGGTTTCAGCTGGTGTTGACGAGAGGGCGAAACCTTGACTGCTACATGGAGGGAATGCGATAAAACCGCCATGTCGACGCCGGTGTCCAACGAAAGCGCTGACGTGGCTGAGACCTAACCCTAACGTCAGGTTCTGCTCTCGTTTCAGATGGCTGAAAATTTTGATAACACGCAGTGGGGGGAGATATTCGTTGCAAATGTCTACAACACCAACATATGCGAAAGTATTCCTTTCAACCGTTTGTATAGCCCGACATCCACAGATCACTTTTGCATCACGAGTGCATCCATGATCCGAGCTCGAACAAGTTCCATCACCGAAGGTATATACTTCTCCCCCTTTATTGTCGTCTTCGGGTATGACGCTCATTGGGTGATACATCTCGATGGGCCTGTGCCGGGTGTATAATCTTTGAAACGGCCCCTGCTAAATACTGTCCTGTGATTCGAGTCCGGCAAGAACGAAACACGATGGGAGTGCTGTGGTCACAGGGGAAGAGGACGTTAACCACAGTATACGAAGAACATCACAAGACATCACGCACCCAAATGATATGCAGTCATCAGCAGCATCATCTCCAAACCACATACCATCCGTGCGCCAATATCTCCTCAAACTATATTCTGGAGCCCCGGCAGCGGTCTCTGCCTCCATTTACCATCGAACAGTCTGAGGAGATAAAACACCGGCCACCAGACGCGCTCCGTCAGAGTACTATCCTCATTGACAAAACGGCCATCCGAATGCCATGCCACCACAATCCACGAAGTCGCGCACGTGAGAGCCAAAGCCACCGCGACATAATGAACGAGCGTCTCCTGTCCTTTCGTCCCGCTGATCTCATTCACATTCATCCCAAACACCGCCTAGCCCGCACAAGCCCATCAGCATCCAGAACCACCCGTATACCTAACATGTTACATACCGCAGTAAAGGAAGCAGGAAGGAATATCATCGTGAGGTAAGAGATCTAAACGGAAATTTCTTGAGAACTGCAATGACGAACGCAATAATGACACGCGCACCTGCTTCATCGCACCCGAGTCCCGCACAGTAGCCTCCGTCAGCTCCCTCATATGCTTGCTGTCCTCAATATTCACAGTCGCAAACGACAGATCCATCACGTTCTTCAGCCTGCTGCTCTGCATCGACCGCCCGTTCTCCAACCTCCCGATCTCCGAAAGCAGATTCGCACACTCCCTGTTCATGAGCTCCACCGAGTCCTTACGCTCGGCAGGGCTGTAATCGTCGGACTCCATAGCGGGATTCGGCGTCTTCTGCAAAAAGTCGACAGACTTGTGGTAGTCTTGGAGAAGCGATTGGTATTGGAGGAGGTGGGTTTGAATGATGTAGAGTTTACGAGTGAGAGTGATTTTATTCGTTGAGAGAACCTCGGATTCCTACATGACATCAATACACAGCCGATTTGGAGAACAAACGCAGTCTCTGCGACGCACCAGCGAAAGAATATGATTGTACAGCGATTCAAACGCCTGGTCCCATGAGTAGAGCGCATACCACAAGATAGCCAGGAACAAAAACGTCGGGTCCTTGGATTTATCGAAGATTTTTTGCCAATATACGCTCTGGCCCGCACGGTAGACGAGGGAGTGGAGCCGCTTTGGGGACGGACGGCGCCAACTAGAGTTTGGATGATGTGATATGATCGTGCTCGAGTCCTCTGCGCGCGCCATGTGCATCGCGAGGAGATCGTGGAGGAGAATGTTGCCACCTGCGCAGCGTAGTTATTGATATAGGCCAAGATGAGAATTTCGATCAGGACCTGACTTACAGCTGAGAGAGAGCGCTGCTTGGGTGTCGATGATTTGCTGTTCGTCTGGAGGCAAATACTTTAGCTGGGAGTGATTGCAGATGGAGCGGGCAACGACCTACCAGTGGAAACGTGCTGTGAATGACCAGATCTGACCGAACCTGAACCTAGTGTTTCGCTGGGTGTTGATGGCCGAGTGACTGGGTTTTGCGTCATCCGGATGAATGGGAGTGTGATGGTAATATCTGCATTAAAAGCAAAGAACTCAGTACTCAATGGTCCATCAAACCCCAGAGCCAGCCAAACACGCACGATCACCCTTTCCCGGCCGAACCTCTTCTTGGTAATGCGAGGGTATCCAATTCAGGGATGAAGAAAAGAAAAACGGCTCGATATTATACCTACAATTTTTGTTAGTCACACAAGCAACGAGTTACGAAACCACTCACTTCGTTCCAAGCATCTGCAGCACAGACATGGAAAGATTATCCACGAACAACGCACGCACGCGGATATTCGCAGGTCGCTAAAGATTCACAAAAAAAAAGCGTCCAATGATCATCGCACACAGTAGTAGTAGCACCGCAAGAAGAGAACAACTCACAGGCGTCTGCAACAGCTCCCAAAACTCACCCATCCGGTCATGCGTAATCCTACTCGTCTGGTCTATTCCCTCCTCAACCAGAATCTTAAAATCCCCGTCTTTAAGGACATCCAGCCAATGCACAGAGCACGTATCGACCTCGGAGCAGTTGCTCAGCATCTTGCTCCGCTTCACCTGGTCTGGCTGCCAGTTCCCAAAGAGTGCCGCAGGGTATCCGCGCCATGGCTCGGACTGGCCCGCTGCACCAGCCTCAGGTGCGGCTGGTGGTTGGTCACGACTGAGGGTAACGTCAGAATCGGTATCAAAGTCCATCCATGGCCAGGGGCCCGATGGTGCTGCGCGGCGGTATCTACAAATTGTTGAAGTAGCTGTGTCAGTAGGTAGGGAGATCACTCACATAGGTGTAGGAATGGCAGGAGGCATAGTCCTGTCGCTCGTGTTGCCATTACGCGGAGCACTGCAACTCTGACGACCTGGAGGAAACGGAAACGTCACGGTAGAAGCTCTGTTGCTCACTGGCATCTTCACCAGGTATCGAATGCAAAGTCTAGCTGGCTGCAGGAATAAGGGAATCGTGAATTCATCCTTGGCTGTAGCACACCAGATATACTAATGCGCATAGCGACGCCGCCGGGGATCAACTTGAACCCCCAGCGCCCCCGCAGTCACCTGCAGTCAACGAAACAAGGAACCTTTACCCTGCAGAGTCATGCGGCACAGCATTGGCATGGAGTTTGAACCTGTACCGTGACAGATTCTTGTTCAGCTTTACGTTCGCATTTGCGATGCTATACTGCAGGTGTCCCCGAAGTCAAGGTGAGACTACAAGTGTCAGTCATGACCAGATTTACTTAGAACTTCAGAAGGAACACCCGACCAGAATTACCTAGAGCTTCAGAAAGAACACCTGTATACATCAGCAAAAGTGGCGGAAGCTGACAGGGCCTCGGCAGATACCGTAAGCCTGGCGTAGGTCCCCAATGCCTTACAGGCGTCGGCATCAGGCATTGCAAGGCTTAATTACAGAGCCCTGATACATTTGCTGCTAGTCATCACAGTCCCGCCGCTTGCGTTGTTCTCATCCTATTCAGCACTGTATGAGTTCAAACACGCCAGTTCCCTCGCGCAAGTGACTAGGATCTTTGCCAGTCTTTCGTTACCGCAACTCGCATTGACTTCGGGTCTCCCAGCAGATCAGTCACGGTGGATCTACCTCCTAGAAGGAGAGAACAAAGGCTACGCAAGCTACGATCAGCTCATCTCCTCTACTCGAAAGAATAGCATTCCACGTCTGCCAGTCCGACATACTACCAAGGACGCTCTGGCTTACCTGATCTTGTGGAGCGAGTGGTCCTCCCAAAGGTATGTGTCTCTTTTTCTTGTCTCGCTTCCAAATCGCAAAATCGTAGATGCAGCGTCTGACTGTATTGTACAGCCGTCATGGTGTCCCACGGAAATATCACTAGTGCCCTCTCAGCGATGGCGGACGGCGTGGAAGTGGCTAAAACTCAGGCTGTAGGCCTTCCGGCGCTACATTCTTGGTTTCCCTGACTCCATTCCAGCCACCAGTATGGAACACCCCTGATGGGCTACAAGTGACCTTCAAGATCCTTCCGGTCTATCACTCTCTCGGCCTTTACGCGACCAGCTTCTTCAGCTTCTTTAATCCCTCCACGATTATCATGCTCCAGAAATGGGACATCGATTTATTCTTCGACAGCATCCCGAAGTAAGTGGAGCCTTTGGCGCGTCCTGCAGTGCTTCTGGTACTCATACTTGAGCCGCGATGTAGGTGCCACATCACGACCATATTCTTCATCCCTTCTCTTGTGTACCAGCTCGTTCACCATCCACGCTTCAAAACTACTGATCTGAACTCAGTCAAGACAATCACAAGCGGTGCCGCGTCACGGTACCTCCCGCCTCAGCTCGCCGACCAGATTCTTGTCTGTTTCACGAACATGCCGAGAGTTACCGAAGGTGCATCATCCACGCCTTGTGTGTAGATCCCTAGTGCTAATTTTAACCTTCACAGGCTACGGCCTGTCTGAATTCGTAAGTGATCTCCCCATCTACACTCCTTCCGACCCCCTGATGTCATTGTCTGAGGTAGACAATGGCCATCGCCATGAAGCCCATCCCTGGCATGCTCGATGGACGCGCCAAGAACAAGCCTGGATCTGCCGGAATTCTCGTCCCCGGTGTCGAAGCCCGCATTGTCCGTCCCGACGGGTCCCTTGCGGGCCCGAGTGAGCCAGGTGAGCTTCTTGTCCACGGAAGCTCTGTGGCGCTGGGATACAAGGAAAACGACAAGGCCACCTGGGAAACGTTTGTCGATGGGTGGGTGCGCATGGGTGACCAGATGCGGATCGATGAGGATGAGGTACTCTTGTAAGCTGGTTCGATGGCTACGATATGCCTCCTATCATACAGAGGTTGACCTGCCCTGTTTGCAGCTTCGAAGACCGCACCAAGGCAAGCTGCACCATCCACGCACATAACTCGTGTCGTATTGTACTGACCCCATCATCATAGGACACGCGCAGCCATTTGGCTTATCTTGACGTTTCATCTCAATCTAGCCTTGGATTCGAAGCGTGGTGCGCCAATGAGTCGGCCGAGTTCGACGGTGTCGTATGCTCGTAATGAACATCTGAATCCAGCCCTTTATGCTGCTTCGCCCGCCCCAGGGCCAGCTATTGCATCCCATTCCACGATGTCCCACCGGGAAGCAATGGAACGCTTTACTGTAAGAATGCCTTCCATTTTACGCTGTCGGAAACCTGATTATTGCGTGCAGACGATCCTGAGGGACCTGGAGAGCCTAATCATTCAGTTGCCCATCCAATCACTGGCTGCCCTTCCTCCCAATCATGATCTTCGCCACCTTGTTCGGCAGATCCTGTTTGTCGCAGCGAATTTCATCGATCACAACCGCACTCCCCTCCACATGTCTCAGAAGATTGTTCAGCTCCTGTACAAGACAAGCTCTCAGCTTGGTAGAGAGATTTATGTTGCCTTGTTGGAACAGTTGTGCCGCTCGTTTGAAGACGTTGCTAAAGAGGCTATTACATGGCTGCTCTATGCGGAGGATGAGGTTGGTCCACAAGTACCTCTTATATACGCGTCCGCTCACATCTCTTCAGCGCAAACTCAACACTCCTGTCACTGTGACTCTGCTACGCAGCGGTCTTGTCAGCACTTCGCTTCAGGATCAACAGCTGGCGAAGAACTTGTTTACTGATCCTCGCCCCAGTTTGCAAAACTTCGCAGCAGGTCTCATTCGCGAATGTCTATCAAGTGATCCCCCAGTTGCCTCCCAGAGTCAGTTGACATTCTCTATTGAAGTTCTTGGACAATTGGCACAGGCTGGCGATGCCAATGAAGAATACGTCGTGACAGAATCCTATGTGTTGACCAGTGTACTAGGGTGAATCGCCTCCTCGATGACCTTCGAGTCGTTCGCAGACCCACGACGTTGCCGGCAGATGGCATGGTAGTCCGTCAGCCCTCGGTCAAGCCAGAAACTGAGCAGCTCAGGGAAAAGTTGTTCAGCTGGTTCCAGCAATGGGTTTCCATCTTCCAGAGGTCTCACTCTCCGGTCCCCTTCATCTCCCAGCTCACGAAGCAGGGAATTTTGAAGGTCGAGGATATTTCTTCATTCTTCTTCTGTGTGTGTGCGGAGGCAGGTGTGAATAGCTATATCAAATGCATGGCAAACGGAGGGTTCGACTACACTTTCCAAGCTCTCGACGCGATGTCGCGACTGATTGTCTATATCATCAAGTATCATGGCGACGCTTCCGGGATCGACAACGACCAGGCGAAGGTTCATTACCTCACCAAGATTTTGTCGATTTTCGTTCTCGTTCTGGCGAACATGCACGAAGAACAAGGCGTTCTCTTCCAACAAAAGCCATTCTTCAGATTCTTCTCCAGTCTCATCAGTGACCTGCACTCCATCGTAGAACATCTAGGCTCAGCTTATTTCCAATTGCTGATCGCCATCAGGTAAATCATATGTTCTAGTATCTCATTTTTGTTGTCGCTGACAGTCCCCCAGTGATACATTCAGCTCTTTGCATAGACTAATTAAGATGCTTATTCGTCGCCGCGGCTCCTTCAAAACCTGCTGCGAAAGAGAAAGAGGTCGCGCAAATCGATGGCGCCGCTCAGATTGCCATCGGAGTCAAGAAGGAAGTTGATTTCTCTACGTGGTAGAACTACGTAGCGAGAGTGATGTTCTAGTACACTCAGTTAATCCATGGGGAGTATGCAGGGAGCTTTCCAGTCTCCTCCATCCTCTGAATCAATGCACGGTTACGACGCATGACCATCTCATCGAGGAAGAAATCATACTTGTCAGGGAGCATCTCACGAACAGGCTTAAGCACAAGACCTCCGGCTGGTGTTGAGGGAGGGGATGGAAAAGCCTAGGGTACCGGAGCTCAAAAGAGCATGACCAAGGAGCTCGCGATCTGAAACTGGTTAGCGCAAAGGTAAACGCATCATTGCAAGCGAAGGGGACGCATGTCGTTGGTGACAGAAGTGGAAGATGAACGTGTTGTTGTGCCGTTCGACGCCAAGTGACCGCCGGAGTCCTGTAGCATTGGGAGTAAATCTCAGAGGTGTAATGGCAAGCAGGACAAGGTCTCGAAAACGAGCTGACTGGCGCCAAGGAGCGGGCAGGATGACAGAATGTAAAATAACATATCAAGCCTGTCAAATCACGTGACTCACATTATACATATGGTTCGACGAAAATTTCAAATCTTCCGTCCCACCAATCATGGCTAAGAAGACTCAACGAGGCATCCGCGGTCCAGAATCTCGTGCTGTTCGGCGAGCAACTTACCTGGCTAAGCAGGATGAAAAGAAATCCAAAAAGGTCAAGGCTGCTGTTGAGCGAGGGATGCGTGCGTATTAATTTGCTGCTGCTACTGGCATCCTGCTGAGCTTCCACCCAGACACCCACCTCATCAATAAATTCCCCGCAACTTTCCTTCGAGCACGACCCAATGGTGCTGCTGTTCGAAACACCATGACCAACGATCCCGACCAGCTCGCTGCCCTTCCAACCACTGGCAAGGTGCAGGTACCTCTCCGAGACCTCCCTGATAGCGTCACGGTCCCCAGGGGCCTGCCACCCCACTTAATCATTCGATTTGATCGATTCATCACTGATGCGGATCAAGAACGTCTCCGAAAGCGATGGGATGACGTCTTAGCTAGCGGCGCAAAGCCCCAATCAGGAAAACACGCCAACCGTTCTGCTGATGATCCCGCCTTCCATTTCGGCATCTGGGAGGTCACTAGCTCCGCGCCATACTTGACTGCCGATACCAGGAACCAGACCCCGCAAGCCATCACTGCTATTGATGCCCTGCTGAAGTACATTGGCGACTTCGTAGCTGGGAAGATTGGCAGCGTCTTTGAGACTCACGCACCAGAACAATGGGAAGCTATGCAACGGTAAGCTTATCCTTGGCTAATCCTCAGCGTAATACTCTGCTGACTGGACTGGCAGGGCATACCTGCGGGTTCAAAACTTACTGGCAGCTGAATTGCTTGCACGCCCCAGTTTGGACTTCGGAGGTGCATTTTTTGCAGTTGCGGTCAAAGAAGGGGGCTCTGGGCTGGTCCATATTGACTGGCACGATAGCCATGCAATTTGGGCATTTGTATTCGCAGTGGGTGATTGGGAGGGCGGAGAGTTCTGCGCTCCTGAGTTGGGGATAAAAATTCCTATTCGACCCGGTCAAGTTTTTGCTGTTCTTGCGCGGGTAGTGGCTCACTTTAGCGCTCCTGTAACTCAGGGCCGGAGAATTGTCTTCACCTGCTTTACTGACAGCCTCACAGTACTCCATGCCAATCCGGACCTAGTTACAGTGGTGGCGTAGTGGATTCATGACTCTCCTCATCACAACTAGTACATTTGTTATCATTATCATATTCCATAAAACTACTGCCGCTGGCGATGTGATGCTGTCGCAAAACACGCCATTGAAGCTTTCTACAAATATATGCTCCATTCGAAGGAGGAGGGCTCGGGTGTCATGGACTGTGCAAAGCCTGAGGCGGCCTGGGCACTCAACCTCGGTGAACCTCTTGCAGCCGGTCAGGTGCTCAGACCTTTCTTTTGACGACCCGCTCTGACATCGTCCGCCACGTCATCAGCTCAATTGGACTTCAGAGCTTCACCCCGGCCTCCATCTTGTCCTAGCACTAATTCCCCACCACCCCCCGGTCAGAAGGCCAGCAATCATACTGGAAGGCGGGTCGCTCCATATCGGTTTCAAATCTGCTGCGGTCCTCTCGCTGAATCTGCTGCCAGAAACGGACAAATTTCCCTCGCGCAGCGGCCTCGGCTGGGCGATGCTCCCATTCAACTACGTCCGTGCGCTCTCGCTCGAGCTGGAATGTGCTTAGCACAAGACCGGCCAGTCACTTCGCATTCTCGACAGAGAAAGTGCTGCACATTGCGCTGGCGAGGGTTCACGGTGATCCCGGAGCTGGTGGATGCGGGTTCGAGCTGGCGCTAGGTGCTGCGGTTGGAGTTGTTATATTTGACGGAGGCAGATGAATGAGCGGGATGTGGTTGGTCTCTTGTTCTGCGCCATATTTGTGGGGGCTGGTGTTAATGCTCCTGCAGGGGCAGGTCACTCGGGGGTTCCATACCAATCGTCTCCTCAATTGCGAGACTGTCAAGCATTTCAGTTGGGAGGAGTATGAAGCGCAGAGGCATGCGGAGGCTATTAAGGTTTAAAGCGGATAGCTGCCTGAGCCTTTTGCAAATTCTCATCGTAACCTCCGGCCTCTTGGTCGGTTCTTTGATCGCTGCGTCGTGCATTACGACGGGACAGAGCAATATTAGCGAATTTGTGGTGCTCATTACTTATTATGTGCAAGTGGGTACCTTATCTTTTTCGCGTGGTGTAGAGCTGATGTCCTTTGACAATGAGCCCACTGAAGTGGTCGATGAGCCTGGCGCTGAGGAATTGGTAGCCTCCAGTAGAGAAGTTGAATTCGGTACGTCATCGCTCCACTCCTCCCAATCCGTCTTAACTACCCAGCCAGTGCATCCTTCGCCTATGAGGACCGAACTTCCGCGCTGCACAGCGTGATTGTTGTTGGATAGGCAGATCAATTACATACGCATGATCGCTATCTATCATTCACAAGTAAACCCAAGTGAAAAGCGTGAATTGGTCAAGTCCGAACCTGTGATGCGACGAAGGAGAAGTAAAGGCTGACCGAGTCCTTTTGCGTCGAGGCTGTAGCTGATGAGCATATTGTTAATTCAAGTATATACCAGCAGCGCGCGTGGCTCACGTATCACCCGTCCAGATGCCATATTCACTTAGCTTTTGAGTTCCGCTGCTCAAGAGATCATCACAAGCAAATGCTTGGTAGTGATCCGAACCGGGACCAAAGCTAACGCGGAAATCAAGCTGATTTACCACATTACTGACCAAAAGGATATTTGATGGCTTACCTGGAGCCGTAGCGGTCACCAATTGTGATACGGCCATTTTCTGGGTCGATATCGAGGGTCCCACCCGCCAATGACGCTGGCAGGTCATTGGCTAGGTCGAGCACAGAGTACGGTTTGGGAGCGTGAAGCGCTCTAGCCCAGCACGACGCGTCGACGTAGCTTCCATCTTGATATCATTATCCAAATTCAGCGAAAAGTAGCCCGGGTACGCGTCCGCTCCCTTCATTTCAGCGCCTAGGACTCCATACGGTACAGGACGCCATACCATCGCTATCGCTCCTTCCTTTCGCCCTTGTCCCATTTGCCTTCTCCCAGTTTATCTTGATCGAAGCCCTGTCGAACCAGGGTTGGATAGACCTCTTTGGCACGTGGCTCCTACGTGCGACGCACGGAGACATGTACCGCACCATCTGGCTGATCGGCGTTCTCGGCGTGATCCTGTGCAACATCTCCGGAACGAACATCGGCGCCACGATTCTCCTCACCAAAGTCGTACGGGCCGCCGCACCGATGTTATCCGATCAGACTATCCGCGCAGCAGCCATCGCGCTCGCTGTAGCGAGTAATATCGGCGCTGTGTCGTTTACGTTCAGCGCGAGCCTTGCGGGGCTGCTGTGGAAGGGCATTCTGAAACAGAAGGGCATCATCGTGACGCAGACGACGTTTGCGTATTGGAATGCGCTGCCGTTGGTCGTCATGACTGCTGCTGGGCTTTCGGTGGTGTGTGCAGAGATGGCTGTGTTGTACTAGGGCTGTGTTCTCCAGGAACCGGGTGCTGGTATGTTATATTCAACAGCAAAGCCCCTGGCCCTGCATGTCAATGACCGCGCTCCACGCGGGCGGAGCTCGGCGTGCCAAAAGAGGAAACGTGAGCCCGGATCAAAATTCGCAGACGGGCCTGCGGATGAGGCGGAGGCTTCTTCTTGTGATAGAAACACTTTTTAGTGTTTCTGCTGGAATTTACTAATTAGTTTGTCGCTTTTTGCGAACCTTCCTTATGTATAAACGCTTCAGAGATATTCGTATTCGAATTCGAATGAGACTGCTGTTCAATGTGCTCGTAATTCAGTGACGCAAGGTATGTAAAGCGACCCAAGTGTGGTCCTTCTGGTGAATCTATATGCTGGAAGGATCACAGCAAGAGGTGGTTCTGGGTGAATCGCAGGCTGGTCGAGTGTTCCTTTTGAAGTTCTAGGTGAATGTGGTCAGGACTGACACTTGGAAGCAGAATTAGAATACAGTTTGAATTGAGAGTAGGTAAATTTGATATAGCTTCCTACGGAGTTCCCCTCCATGCTCGGGGGACCCGGATAAGTTTAATTGCGAACCGAGAGACAGAAAGTACAAGTCAAGGCAGCATAAGGCAGCGTAGATGCGAGACTGGAGGATGTCACTGTGCTTGGACAAGCAAAGAAACTGTAACAGTTCCATGCTTTGTCAGCTACTTAATGATCCACTCCAGAAGCCATCATCAGACTCGGATAGCTATCGACGGAACTGCATTAGTACTATCTTTTCGCTATGCTGAAAGACCTCGAACTCTAAATCCATGATGCTGTACCCGAATACAGGTGCTCTTTTCTGAAATTCTGGGTAAATCTGATCGGGCGTCCCTTCTGACACTACAGTGTCACGTCTTATCTTTTCGGGGAAACGTGCAGTACAGCATTGCGAATGCGAACGTAACGTTTGAACAAGAATCTATCACAATACAGGTTTCCACACGGTGATGTTCTGCATGGGGTCACGGTAAAGTTCCAGTTTTGTTGACTGCAGGTGACTGTGGAGCCACTGGGGGTTCAAGTTGATCCCCGGCGGCGTCGGACTCGCTACGCATTAATATATCTGGTGTGCTACAGCAAGGAATGATTCCAAGTCCCTTCTTCCTACTGCCTGCTAGACCTCCCATTTGATACCTGGTGATGAGCAACAGAGCTTCTACCGTGACGTTTCCGTTTCCTCCAGGTCGTCAGAGTTGCAGTGCTCCGCGTAATGGCAACACGAGCGACAGGACTATGCCTCCTGCCATTCCTACACCTATGTGAGTGATCTCCCTACCTACTGACACAGCTACTTCAACAATTTGTAGATACCGCCGCGCAGCACCATCGGGCCCCTGGCCATGGATGGACTTTGATACCGATTCTGACGTTACCCTCAGTCGTGACCAACCACCAGCCGCACCTGAGGCTGGTGCAGCGGGCCAGTCCGAGCCATGGCGCGGATACCCTGCGGCACTCTTTGGGAACTGGCAGCCAGACCAGGTGAAGCGGAGCAAGATGCTGAGCAACTGCTCCGAGGTCGATACGTGCTCTGTGCATTGGCTGGATGTCCTTAAAGACGGGGATTTTAAGATTCTGGTTGAGGAGGGAATAGACCAGACGAGTAGGATTACGCATGACCGGATGGGTGAGTTTTGGGAGCTGTTGCAGACGCCTGTGAGTTGTTCTCTTCTTGCGGTGCTACTACTACTGTGTGCGATGATCATTGGACGCTTTTTTTTTGTGAATCTTTAGCGACCTGCGAATATCCGCGTGCGTGCGTTGTTCGTGGATAATCTTTCCATGTCTGTGCTGCAGATGCTTGGAACGAAGTGAGTGGTTTCGTAACTCGTTGCTTGTGTGACTAACAAAAATTGTAGGTATAATATCGAGCCGTTTTTCTTTTCTTCATCCCTGAATTGGATACCCTCGCATTACCAAGAAGAGGTTCGGCCGGGAAAGGGTGATCGTGCGTGTTTGGCTGGCTCTGGGGTTTGATGGACCATTGAGTACTGAGTTCTTTGCTTTTAATGCAGATATTACCATCACACTCCCATTCATCCGGATGACGCAAAACCCAGTCACTCGGCCATCAACACCCAGCGAAACACTAGGTTCAGGTTCGGTCAGATCTGGTCATTCACAGCACGTTTCCACTGGTAGGTCGTTGCCCGCTCCATCTGCAATCACTCCCAGCTAAAGTATTTGCCTCCAGACGAACAGCAAATCATCGACACCCAAGCAGCGCTCTCTCTCAGCTGTAAGTCAGGTCCTGATCGAAATTCTCATCTTGGCCTATATCAATAACTACGCTGCGCAGGTGGCAACATTCTCCTCCACGATCTCCTCGCGATGCACATGGCGCGCGCAGAGGACTCGAGCACGATCATATCACATCATCCAAACTCTAGTTGGCGCCGTCCGTCCCCAAAGCGGCTCCACTCCCTCGTCTACCGTGCGGGCCAGAGCGTATATTGGCAAAAAATCTTCGATAAATCCAAGGACCCGACGTTTTTGTTCCTGGCTATCTTGTGGTATGCGCTCTACTCATGGGACCAGGCGTTTGAATCGCTGTACAATCATATTCTTTCGCTGGTGCGTCGCAGAGACTGCGTTTGTTCTCCAAATCGGCTGTGTATTGATGTCATGTAGGAATCCGAGGTTCTCTCAACGAATAAAATCACTCTCACTCGTAAACTCTACATCATTCAAACCCACCTCCTCCAATACCAATCGCTTCTCCAAGACTACCACAAGTCTGTCGACTTTTTGCAGAAGACGCCGAATCCCGCTATGGAGTCCGACGATTACAGCCCTGCCGAGCGTAAGGACTCGGTGGAGCTCATGAACAGGGAGTGTGCGAATCTGCTTTCGGAGATCGGGAGGTTGGAGAACGGGCGGTCGATGCAGAGCAGCAGGCTGAAGAACGTGATGGATCTGTCGTTTGCGACTGTGAATATTGAGGACAGCAAGCATATGAGGGAGCTGACGGAGGCTACTGTGCGGGACTCGGGTGCGATGAAGCAGGTGCGCGTGTCATTATTGCGTTCGTCATTGCAGTTCTCAAGAAATTTCCGCTTAGATCTCTTACCTCACGATGATATTCCTTCCTGCTTCCTTTACTGCGGTATGTAACATGTTAGGTATACGGGTGGTTCTGGATGCTGATGGGCTTGTGCGGGCTAGGCGGTGTTTGGGATGAATGTGAATGAGATCAGCGGGACGAAAGGACAGGAGACGCTCGTTCATTATGTCGCGGTGGCTTTGGCTCTCACGTGCGCGACTTCGTGGATTGTGGTGGCATGGCATTCGGATGGCCGTTTTGTCAATGAGGATAGCACTCTGATGGAGCGCGTCTGGTGGCCGGTGTTTTATCTCCTCAGATTGTTCAATGGTAAATGGAGGCAGAGATCGCCGCCGAAGCTCCGGAATATAGTTTGAGGAGATGTTGGCGCACGGATGGTATGTGGTTTGGAGGTTCTGCTGATGATGATTGCATATTATTTGGGTGCGCGATGTCTTACGATGTTCTTCGTGCACCGTGGTTAACATCCTTTTCCCTTGTGATCACAGCACTCCAGTCGCGTTTCGTTTTTGCCGGAATCGGATCATAGCACAGTATCTGGCAGGGGCCGTTTCAAACCCGGCACAGGCCCGTCGAGACGTATCACCCAATGAACATCATACTTATTATATCACAGTATACCTACATAATGAACGAATAGTTACACACAGTGATATAATACATCATACATATTTAACATGTACTTTCCCTACGCCGGGAGCCCGATGATATCAATGAAGGGGGAGAAGTCGAAAGCAGTATACTGCTGAATCGATGGGAAAGGCTGAGAATATACTTTCGGTGATGGAACTTGTTCAAGGTCGGATCATGGATGCACTTGTGGTGTAAAAGTGATCTGCGTATACCGGGCTATTCAAACGGTTGCTTTTGCATATGTTGGTGTTATAGACATTTGCAACGATCTCCCCCGTAGGTGCGTTTCGGACCATGACGTAGTGTATAGATTAGAATTATGAGAGGCGTCCATTCGATTCAGCTAAGGCAGTCCAATGGCCTGCACCAAGTGCCTCCATGCGGAAGGGGAAATGTTTTACGGCTGTTATCATCTTTCCGATCACCCCGCACGCGCCCGGTTGATTAATTTCGTCAAGACCTGCAGATGAGTCTGGATTAGTTTCCTATAACTGGTATAAGTTTAAATGCCCTAGAGTTAGAATTGTGCGACACGACTTCACCAAGGCTCCAAATCTACAATTCCAGCGCTTCCCACCATAGTCTTGCGGACTCTCCATCTGTGGGTAATCTCTTGATGGTGCCCACTATTACTGCGTCCCGGTGATCTTAGGGTCAAATAGGGTGGCAGGAGCGCAAGAAACTCTACTCCGGGAGTCTGCTTCAAACGTGAACTTACACGTTGGCTCGAGCGCGCTCAAAGTCGGCCGCATGCAGCAAGCCGGGGATCTAGAATTACGAGCATTTGAGTTACGACGGTCGTGGATTCTTAGATCATAAAGGTAAGTACCCAACCCACTCTCTCACCCGCAGATGCGGCCTGATGCGATCGCACAAAACCAAGTCTCTTGGCTACCCGATTAATCGCGGCACGCAAACGCCTCCGCGCAACTTGCGCCCTTTCGCCCTGGAGCCGCAGTGAGGGCCCGATCAGAGGCTTTGATATACAAGGTCGACCGAACTGGCAGCGGGTATCTGAGCAGGCCATCCGCACAACCAGCGACTGTGCTTTGCGAATAATATTGGCGCTCTGTCGTTCACTTTTGGTCAGAGAAGAAGGAACGCGCCTGGTTGGTTTCAGCTGAGGGACTTGGGCCATTGGCGAGCAGGTTCCCGCTTCTGTCTCGAAACCAGGACTCGAGAGGGGGTGCGACTTCGCCAACGTATTCCCCCGTCAACTTCAATAAATCACCCCCCCAAGCGACTAGTTCGATAGACCCTAGCCGCTCAGCATCAGCTGGCTGCTGCATAGATCGGGTTGGGAGACCGATTGAGGACTGGAGTGAGGTGTCGATTGATGAGGAGGGAGACGACTACCAAGCTGTAGTCACGTGATAGCAGAGGTCAGGGTCATGTGTAGTCGGCAATAGCCGAATCGGTGATGCAAATTTTACCACAGGTTCTTTCGAAAGCACATTATCATTTCCACTGCCCTTCTGACTCGGCCCGCACGCTTGCCTCACCCAGCCTGTCCCGAAGTTTCGAAACTGGGTCCACGCGTGCTCGGTGCGTCAGGGTGCTCTACGAGCACCCTGCAAAGGCTGACGCCCTTGCGCTCGCCCTGGGGAAGCTTTGGGCAGCTGGAGAGCGCTCTTATTTATGGATTTTGATCTTTGGTCCTGGTGCTTCACAACTGGGTGGAAGAGTGCTCGGTGCGTCAGGGTGCTCTATGAGCACCCTGCAAAGGCTGACGCCCTTGCGCTCGCCCTGGGGAAGCTTTGGGCAGTTGGAGAGCGCTCTTATTTATGGATTTTGATCTTTGGTCCTGATGCTTCACAACTGGGTGGAAGAGTGCTCGGTGCGTCAGGGTGCTCTATGAGCACCCTGCAAAGGCTGACGCCCTTGCGCTCGCCCTGGGGAGGCGTTGAGCAGCTGGAAAGCTCTTTTTAAAAAAAATTATTTTGATTGCTGGCTGGGCTAGCATCTTTCTGCGGCTTGCGCTGATGCTTCAAAACTGGGTGGAAGAGCGCTCGGTGCGCCAGGGTACTCTATGAGCACCCTACAAAGGCTGACGCCCCTGCGCTCGCCTTGGGGTAGCTTCGGCAGCTGGGGAGTGCTATTAAAAAAAAATTATTCGGTGGCTGGCGCTGATGATTCGCAACGGGGTCCGCACGTGCTCGGTGCGTCAGGGTGCTCTGACGCCCTTGCACTCGCCCTGGGAAGCTTCAGGCGGCTGGGGAGTGCTTTTAAGCACCAATCGAGTCAAATGGAGAAACGACAGCGCCCTGATAAGTGCACATAGCGCTGGCACAGGATGAATCAGCCATGGAATAGAGCAATCTCTTCGCTGACATCTTCAACCGTGATAAGGAGTGTCTCGGCTGCTCTGTGGGTCATCATGGATCAATCAATATTGCGGAGGGGAGCGGGTGATGGGCTGCACTTTTGCTTGCAGCTGCAGCTTGGGGAAGCTGTGCACTGAGCGGGTGCACAAGCCTTCCAGCATTTGGAATACCAACTGTCCAGATTCCCCTGTAAATCCCGGCCGCCGTGCAGCATTTGCCCAGCCCATGGTGACAGGGAAAGAGTCGACTTGATGCAGCTGCAGGCGGATAAATCACAGCAACATCTCCAGGGTCATATCTGTATTTCCGCATCAGTAGCTGCAGATCCAAAAGGCAAAGACCTGCGCTTTATACCGTCTTCGAAGGAGAACTCAAAGTGACGTACGCCCTGAATCTTGTCCTCATCCAGAGGATACGGATCCAAGGAGGTGTCAGACGCCAAATTGCTCAAGGATACGCGAGGTGGTGGTCGACCAGCCGGAATGTTATATTGCTCTTGTGGTAGTGGGTAGAGCTGTGTTTGGACTTCCAGGATGTGTTTGATCCCAAGGATCCAAAGCACCATCTACCCTGCGCGTTGATCGACCGCGTGAAGCGCAGAAAATAATATGATACCCACCCCAGGCGATGCTGTTCGCCTCCTTCCCCTCAAGAGCATATCTCATAACCTCCCAAGCTCTGCATCCTTCTCGATAGCTTCTTTGCCGGCCAGCAAAATTTCTCGTAGGCTGTGCCTCCAAGGCCGAAAGCACAGAAATACATATCCTCGAATAGATCATCTGGGAGATCAGACCTCAGCAGCATGTTCCAGAACGAAGTCATGGCTCTTGGTTTCAGCTCCCCAGCCTGCGGTCGAAGCCGCGAAGATGACCAGGTGTTCTGAAATCAATGCTTCCTGCAAAGGACCTGAGCACTATGTTACAATGATTGGGAAGCTACCTACCGGTGGATATGCATCCATGCTCTGCACACGGCAGTGAAAACGGACTCTTCGACATTCCCTCGCCATACGATCAGCAGGCTCCTGAGCTGTACAAGTTTCCGCCGCGTAGAGAATGAAAAGTTCGCGAGACGCAGATGAATGCCGGTCAAGACCATCTTCTCCTGTTCCATGATCATCGTGTGTAGATATGTTGGACGTTTGATGAGCGAGAAGGCAGATAATCAGGTAGACTAGGCTCTAGAGTCTCTAATTATAAGTGGATATTTAAAACTGCAGCTTGCATGATGTTGGGGAAGAACCTCCGCGACGGTAGTAGCCGAAAAACCCGATGGGGACTCCGGCCGAGTTTCTGTCCTCAATAAAGCACGAGTTGCATTAGGGGGCATTACCAGTGCAGTATCTACCACGTCTGTGGAGCTCGAGATTGTTTACAACGTAGGGTCCAAATAATCTATGGGACTCACGCAGGAATAGTCCCACTCAACCTAAAGTCCCTGCTACTTGCCCCAACAGAGAAAGTGATAATTCCTCCTGGTTTTGCCCACCCCTGGCGAACAACATCCCAAATAGAAAGGTCGTAGCGGGACAGCGTGATCGATGCAGAGGTAGTCTGGCCCGGTGAGACCTCGACACTTGTAAAGCCCTTGATGAACGAAGGCGGTTCACCGGTTGACGGTGGGCGATGGATGTATAATTGGGGAATCTGGAAGGACGGTTGCCAATAATGTGCGCAAAAAAGGGTGGTGGAAGGACGTGCCTCTCCACTGTATAAAGCACCAGTGCTTTTCGTATCGAAGGTAACCTTGTGCGCTGGCATATGCAGCCTTTTGTACAGTATTAGTGTGATGTCATGAATTATCGTATCTAAGCACAGACCAGAGAGCAGTTGTTGACCCTTCAGCGATGGGTGATGCACCCCCATTTTCCCAGCTCAGAATCAAGTCTGTTTGCGCGTAGTCGGCAGAGTAAATCGTCGTGATGGCAAGGTCAGAGTACTCGAAAGTCGTGTAGCTCAACCCGAAGCCAAACTCATAACGAGGTGTGATGCTTTGCTGTGGACGGTAAAAGGACCGCGGCCCCTTGCTCGAGCAGGCGTCCAACAGCAATCCACATTTCGTGCGATGTAGGGACAGGCCTGCGGGTTTTGTTGAGTACGGCTTTGGCGCGCTCAGGTGTTTCGAGGGGGGCAAGAGCGAGCCAGAGCTCGACGGAAAAAGGAATGACCTCCGCGGCGCGGGAGAGGAGTATGCCACTATTGAGTGATGAGAGGTAGCCCTTGGGATCGACGGAGGTAGCAAAGCCTGAGCTAGTGGAAGTCCCAGAAATCTACCATGCGATCATTATGATGCCAATATCTTATCACGAGCTTGACCAATTTCAACAAATTGGTCATGGTGCCAGAGCCAGCAGGAGTCTGAAAGCCATTGGCTTGCTGTTATCGAGTGCCTAAGAAATTTGTATTCAGACTTGCCTCAGTCACCAGCGATGATGCTGTCAGGAACGACAAATGTCCTTTCGTCTTTGCTCCGCTTCTTCCGGGTAAGATTACCCACTTCTGGTATGCTCTCCCCCTCCTGGTCGGTAACGACGGACAGACCACGCTTCAGGTCAGTGAACTGTTGCTGAATCTTAGGGCGCTCGGCTCGGTGCTTTACAAGTTCTGCATTCTCTGCCGCCTCCCTGGATAGAAAAAAAATGAAGAAGTTGAACGCGACAAAATGATACAACTAACCGGAAAGCGCACACCGGTGTGCCCGACGCCGTGAGTCCATCTTCCGAATATTTTGTCAGCTTCTTCATCATCTTGTTCATAAGTTGTGCCAGCATATAGGCGAACTGCTTGCGCAGTGAAGTGAATGGTTTTAAGGCTGGGTGGGTGGCGTGAAGCGAAGCTGCTGCGAGGTGGTGCGCCGAATGGTCTGAGGCATGGCAGATGTCAAATGGGAGTGTTGGTGATTCCCATGTCTGTGGGACTGAATTTGAGTGTGATTGTGGTTGCGGTTGTTCCTGGATGACGGTTGAATATTGAATGGCTTTGAAATGAATTGCGGAACGGGCATGGGTGGAGGACGTGGTGCATGGCGAAGCGTTAAAGGGTGAGGTGGTGCCAGAGGCATATAGGGGGACGGGGGTGGTCGGGTTGCATGGGGAATTGGTGGGGGAGGTGCGCGTCCGCGAGAAGGAAAGCGTCAGCTTCAATTGCTCCTCTTCAAACTGAGACCTGCTCGCACGTGTTAGTCCGCCCCTCACCCTCGAAATCATCAGCCTCGCAACCTGCTGATCAAATTCAGTCGCGCCAGACTCTCCTCCTCGCCGACTTTCAACTGCATTTCGTCGAGGTGATCTTCTGGACGAGGACGACCGAGAACGCAGCGGACGATTTGGGGGAGAGACCGCTAAGCCCTGAGGGAGGAAGTAACGGGGCTAGGCGAGGGCTGGGAGTTGTGGAGCCGAAAATATTGGAAGATGAAGGTGCGGTACGGTTGGAAGGGTATGTGCGACGGTACATTTCATGTGAAGATGAAGGCACTGCGGACCAACGCTTAGTAAGGAATGAAAGGGCGCTACAGATGACTGAACTGACTAACTGGTGCCGTGTTTCGTTTTTTCAACGAACGCAATGGGCTGACTAGCTTCGGATGTGGTTCAAAGTCGTTACTTGAGCATATAATTCAACAGAGAAGCTGCTGGAGCTTGCTGTCGTGAAAGAGATGAGGAAGGACTGGAAGTTCCAGTTGTTCGTCGCCGAGGGAAAAATTGATAGAGGGAGACGAGATTTGATTGATGTTGATACGCGCAGCCCACACCACAGACTGGGTGTGCCTACAGAAACCTCCCTCCATCGTTGACATACTCCAGTCAACGACGCGGGAGCCTCTCGATCTGATAGCGACCGAGAATGACCGAATTCTGGAAGACAGTAGTGGAAGATTTGGGACAGGACTTCAGTCGGCAAGCGCCAGAGACAAGTCGCTTCTGCAAATTCAAGGACTGGGTGAGCACTGGAGCCGACTTTGGAGCGGGAGGCGCTCGGCCATTTGGATGGCCCGCTTGGTGAGGAAACTGGGTGAGTCCCATGTATGCGTATGCGCCTCCGTTAGCGGAGGACTTGGAGGTGTGCGAGTGCGTGCGGTGATGCAGATTGTGTATGGGGGCATGAAGAGCGGTGCTTGGTTGGACGTTAAGTTACATCCCGGCCTGGTATCGAGAGGGACATACTGACCACCTGTAGGAAAGCCTCGCCCTGAACCTTGCCTCCTTCAACGACTGTCTCGACTTTGGGGAGAAGTATGCAAGATAATAAGACACAACGCGTGTCGACAATAGCCAGCGGAGACTTGCACTTCGGGGTTGAAATTTGTGTATGAGGCTGGGATTCAAGGAGGATCTGCGAAAATAGCGTAAGCAGATTGAATGATGTACAAAGCGTGATTGAAAGACCTGTTAGTGGGTAAGGACAAGGATGTGCGGGTGCCGGAGCTTGATGTGGCGGATTGGGAGCGTAGAGCTGGTTGCACTGGATTCAGGCTTCGGAATTTCCGAAGCCGGAGCTGGGCATGTAGTACATAAGAAGCCAGATGGGGGAGTTTACCTGGAACAAAAGATGAATTGAATAATTTGGAAGGGGATAAAAAAGGAGGAGGACAGGCCGGACGCCAAGTTCCAGATTAATAATGTCATGTAGATGTGACTGGAGCGGCTGCACTGCGAGGTAGCCGTTTACGTGTTTGCAACGCGCCAAGAGCGCGGGGTGCTCGAGCGCTGAGGGCTCTGGGTGATAGCTGCACGGGCTGGGCATCTTGCGAGGTCCCGTGGCAGAGAAGAGCGGTGATGACGGACTTACATATCGATGCGTGACGCATGGTCGCGACCTACTCAAGATCACCGAGTACCTTGTGCAACGCATAGGTCGCGAATTTTCCGCTCTGCCAGGAATGACAACTTCCTCCTAATTCAACCTCGCAAGAGCAGGCGAGGCAGGGCATGGCCCATTCTCAAACGGCTCAATGCACTGCTCGAATGAGCATACAGGCTCTTCGGTGCGGATGAAACCAGAGCGGGATCTGTTGGAGAGTACGACGGGCATGCAAACTCGACAGCAATCATCAGGCCCTGACCCCGGATATCGACGATCGTGCTTCCTACTTCTGGGTCATCACGGATGGACTTTAACGATGTTAAAAGTTCGCTCGAGCTGGAAACTGTCAGACTACCGAATTCTGGATCGCGTATGTAGTGATCTTACCGAGCAGAAACATTGCCGAGCACCTTCTCCTCACGGAAGGCGTTAGCAACGGCTACCGCGGCGGCGCATGATGCAGCGTTGCCTGCATATGTACCTCCCTTAAAACGCCGGTCAACGGGACGGTAAAGCATGGGCTAGTGGTAATGAGCTGACCATGAAACCTGGCACCAACTTATCGGTAAGCTCCTTCCTGCTGACTACACCACTCAACGGGAATCCATTTGCAAGACCCTACAATCAATCAATTAGCCATGACTAATAATTACAGAAATTTACTGCACCTTTGCGATTGTCAGGATATCGGGTCGGACACCACTATATTCAATATTGAAGTACTTGCCAGTCCTGCCGAATCCGCTCTGTACTTCATCCACGATAAGGAGGATGCCGTGTTTGTCGCAGACGGCGCACAATCCTTTCAGGAAGGATACAGGGGCTGGTACATAGCCACCCTCTGCAAGTACAGGCTCAATGATGATGGCAGCTGTGTCCCTGGGAGCTGTTTGTTGTTTGAGAGCAAGATCTAGTTGATACAATGAGAGTCGGACGAGCTCTTCTTCACTCGTATCGAGTGGTAATCCCAGTTGGTGCCAGTACGGGAATGGTATGGCGAATACCCCAGGCTACGATGATGTTAGTCTAGTCACTGATGTCCTGAGCACCGCATTACCATCAACGGAAAGAATCCTTCACTATGGACTGTCTTGCTCTTCGTGACAGCCATGGCACCAAACGTTCGACCATGATAACCGCCTGGGATGGCGTAAATGCTTCATGAACTCTTCACTGCGCGAGTGCTCACGACTAACTTACCCTGCATGGTGATAACGTTCTGCCGACCAGTAATTTGTCGTGCCATCTTGAGGGATGCTTCAATGGCTTCAGAGCCTGAGTTCCAGAAGAAGAACGAGTCAAGCGAGGGATCAGGCATTATTGGAAGGAGTTTCTCGATCAGGCGCAAGTAAGGGCCATGGAATGAGATACTGCACTAGAAAAGTATCAAGGTGAGTTTATCTCAACTAGCATTCGAAGTCAGAGCATACTTGAGCATGAACAATATTCACGCATTGGTCTGCTGCAGCTTTGGAAACCTTCGGGTGGCAATGACCTGGTGCTGCACGTCATAGTCGAACTTGCCAGCCATGGGACGCATAGCAACTTACCAAGATTTGTCACTCCAATACCGCAGCTGAAATCTAGCATCTTACGCCCATCTTCAAAGCTCACGTATGAACCTTCACCCTTCGCCAGAACAGCTTCTGTGAGGCGGCCGTGGCCTCTGGTGACGTGTTGTTGTCCAGCCATCGACCGCGACTGTGACTTGGGCGTGCTACCTGCAGAAGCCACGCGTTCACAATGTCGGGCATGATCGTTTCTGAAATGGCGCAGATCAGTAACCCAGAGTGACTACAGATGCGTGAGATGTCTACATAATCACTGGAGATACTGAACATTTGGCGACGCCAGAACTGCCCGTTGAACGAATAGCCCTTGCGCAGGTAGATACTCTGCTAAGAAGAGGCATTCTTGCTATAGAGGCCAAGTTGAAGCACAACCTTAGAATTCTGGAAGCTCAGGGGAGTCTTGAACCAGTACTAGTGTTATCTGAGCGTTATTATGTATAATAACGCGTTCAATAATTCTAATTATAGCATGCGGGGTTTGGTCAGGGGGTTCGGCTTCGACTTCTGGTGCAAGCTTCTACGCATAGCACAAAGCGCTTGTATTAACTAAATTCAACGGAAGAACAGACGGCGTTCCGAAAGATCACTGGCATGATAAAACTCGCGCAACTCCTCCCACTCTCATCGATTTGCGCTGAATGTGGAAGGCTGGGAAAAGGAACAAGACTGCAACGCACTGGCAATCACAAGAGCTTGCCAATGGGAGTAAGGCTATCAAAGCCGTTCTGCGTCCTATCGTAGGCCATGCGGCCCCGCAAAATTGTTTGCTGCACAACTCCATTTAGCACCATCCCTTCGTATGAGGAGAATTTGTTGTTGAAGTGGAAGTGTTCCTTCGACACCTATCATCATTAAAAAATGACTTGGCAAAGTGCTTATAATATACCTTGAACTCGGCTGCAGGGTCCCAGATGACGAGGTCGCCATCATACCCTACTGATAACTGGCCTTTGGATGATGAAAGCCCAGCATGTTTCACAGTTTCCTCGCTTGTCCAGCGAATAATCTGACCAAGGCTGACGCCCCTCCTTCGGCCTTCTGTCCATAGAAGGCTCAGGCCAAAACCGAGGCTGTTTATGCCTCCCCAGGCGGTCATGATATTCCCCTCCTCGAACTTCTTCAGCTCTGCTACCCATGGACTGTGTTCGGATACCACACAGTCAATGGTCCCGTCTATCAATGCCTCCCACAGTGCATCTCTGTTTGATTCGGAACGGATAGGTGGACAGCACTTAAATTCAGGTCGGCCGCGTGGTACGCTGTCCGCTGAGAGGCACAAATAATGGAAACATGTTTCCACCGTCAGATTCAACTTGCGAGAACGCGCAGCGCGAATAATAGGAAGAGCAGATGACGCAGATAAGTGAACGATGTGGCAACGAAGGGAGTTGTACCTTTCTTGCAAGCGCGTTATCAGAGAGATAGCGTTAACCTCAAGCTCTTGAGGGCAAGAGGAAAGGAAGGTCTGATATGCTGTTGGATCGTGTTCCTCGTTATTTTGCACTGAGCACGAGTCGCCCTCAAGTTCTGCGTGGAACAAAAGGACAGTCGATTGATCCTGCGAGAGAACAAAATTAGCTAGCTCGCCGGGTCCTCATATGGAGTTTGACCAGGAGCTCTTGCATGTGTGCATGAGGATCATGCTCTGAGACGCAAGGGAATTCCTGAAAAAATGGTATTGGTCATTGGATGGATGATATATCGAAATCTCTCCCTTACCTCGACGCCACTTTCAATCAAAAAGCACTTAAATCCTTTGACTCCAGCTGCCACCAATGGTTTCAGGTCAGCCTTTATTCCAGTTTCAGCCGATCTCCTCAAACAGTAGTATCGAACGCGCGGCTTGCCTGGTTCCCTGGAATAACTCCACCCCCAGAAACCAACGTCGGCCCAGCTCTGGCCTTGTGCAGTTTGTCGCTTAATCTCGAGGTTCTGTAATGTGGTCGCGGGCGGTATAGAGTTTAACGGCATATCCACGACCGTGGTGATTCCTCCTGCCACAGCCGCTCGCGTACCGGTCCAAAAACCCTCCCAGTCCGTTCGACCAGGCTCATTTAGATGGACGTGGGCACTGCAAAGACATTCAAATGGTAGGTTTTCTTGAGGCCACAGGACCAATCACTCACTCGACTAGTCCAGGAAGAACGAACTTTTCTCCTGCATCAATAAATGTTGTCTCTCCCCCCGGACTTCGTTCTGCATACACCGTTTGGATGTCTGTGATCTTACCTGTGCCGATGTTCACCGTGATCGTGGCTGGCTGTAGCTCATTTGAACCAGGCAGCAGGGCATTCCGGCTAGTCACGACTAAGGATGCAGGGAGCTGACGCTGGCGATCGCGTCCGCTGACACAAGCAAAGCAGACGCGAGCAAAACACCAAGTTGGAAGAAAGTGCACGAGCTGAGAAGAACAAATCAGCGAATGACGCGTGCATGCGGGCGTATTGAGAGCAGGCGGGGTGTCGAGCGAGTTCGATTTCTGACCCACTGGCCATCACGAAGATAGTATGTGGGCTGGGGCGGAGTGTTGAAGGAGCGAATGAAGCGAAGAACGGAATGTTTAATTGCTGAAAGGACGTGAGGGCCCCGACTATAGCGAAGTAGGCGATGTTTAGGGCAGTGCGTCCAGTCAGAGGGCGGAACACATTGTGATCACTTGGAAAAATGAAAATAATTGGGATGGACATTTGACGCGCAGTTGTCCGGATCGAAACGTGATCTGTAGGGGAGTGCAAAATGCCGATACGAGGCAGGAGCAGAATGTATGCGCTGTCACGACATCCGGTGTCTCGAAGAAAGAATTTCGACAGGGCTCCGTTCTTCAAATGTTGATATGGAGGGAGCGTGAGCTGAGGATAAGACGCGCTGAAAGCAAGTGTATCAGGCTCTGTGCAAATGGAAAAGGATGATTTTGAGGGATCAGCGCAAGATTGAAGCGATGAACAAAAGAGACGTACCTGGCCCGTCGAAACCAGCCTAATCCATGTCCAGTTGACGCGGACAGAAGCGACAGGAAACGTTATACTTGGCGAAAGAATTCTCAAGACCATAGCCAAATATCTGTGTCCTCGGATCAGAACTTGGCGTTTCGTCTGCTTGGACAGAATGCGGATGCCGTACCTCCCCGCGAAGCCAATTTTGCGTGTAGAAGCGTCTGCGTTTGGGGTGGTCACACCCAGGTAGAAGACAGTGTGTTGGAAAGTCCCTGGCTTGTACAAACGGATGATAGGGAGGCGCTTCCCCAGGTCGTTGACTTCTGGAACATTCAGGAAGTTGAAGAGTTCGACAGAGCGTGGCTGGATCACACATTGATGAGACTGCGGGGCATAAGAGAGGTAGATGTATGGCAAACCTGTATTCCGTTGCTGGTGTAAATGGTATTTTCGGACTGGACGGTGATGTTGTTGGGACGACGAACGTCGGTCGGATGAGCTAGAACGATTGAATCCAGAGACAACACTTCGAAGACACTTCGAAGACAAACGATTGACTCCAGAGACACTTCGAAGACACTTCAGACTTGTGCACTCAGATCGCCAAACTGTTGCTTACGAAATCGAACCACGTGACTGTTCAGTTTTCCTTCGGCGGAAAATTGGTCATGGCAAGGGGGACCGTTTTACCCCTTGCCATGGCGAAGCTGCCCTTCAAATATTGGAAGTGACAGTGTGATCACGTGAATTCACGAGGGTGGTAAAAGAATGGAGAGATGCCTATGCGCGTCTGTAGTAAGCGAGACTGGCGATATAGTATTAGCAACGATAAAGCTTGAATGTCTAAACTAGATAACTATACTAATGTATGTATCGGTACTTTTGGGCTATCACCCAAGAAGGATATATCATCCTGCACGTATATACCATTGAAAGGCTGCATAGGATATTGCCGTGAGTTTCTTCGTTCTATCTCACTTGATGCTCCAAGGACATTTGAGTTCTGATTGTGCTGACTGCTTGCGACGCGAATGAACACCATGTAGAAGGCAATCGAGATGATCGGGACATTCTAGTTGATCTAAACTCAGTGATTTCGATAGCAGATGTTAACAGCGGAATTACCAAGTATGCCATAATATACAGTCCATTGTTCGAGAGGGCGAAACATATTAGTGAGGAGCAGAGCGTCGCAGAGTATAAAATGGCAGCATCTATAAGCACGCGCAATAAAGGCATTCTCCCTTTCGTAGTGCGAATCGCAGAAACCTTGCGGTCGATCACCCAGATGCGATATGCCAGTAATCCTGCACACATCAAAGTTAATATGCCTCAGCATCGCACTTACGCAGAAGTGTGCTTACCTGAGCTGAGCAAATTGGTTGCAAGTGTCAAGGTTATGAACGTCGCGACCAAATGTCCAGTCTTGTTGGTGAAGATATTGATGTCGGTCGACGCTCGCGAAAAGTTGCAGGTTGTAAAAACACCAAACACTGTGAGACAACATCAGAGCACGCGGTTCCTGGATATGATTGCAACCGAACCTGCGACACCACACCACATCATGCAAGGTAGAATGACAATCCCCACAGATTGCCAAACGAGGTAGCATCGATAAATCTTTTGATAGAAAGGAAATTTCTGTAAGATACGCGGTTATCAAACTTGGAGATGAAAACTTGAACTCACCACCACACCGTCGCCAATCAGAGTTTGTAAGACAATTATCGCATACTTGATCACAAACATTTCGTCGGAAGTGTCTGCGAAGAACACCGCTGGGCCGCCTGGGAACGTGTCACGATACTTCACTAGTCCATCTTCAAGACGAATGGTGCCTACGACCATATGCTTGAGAGGGTTCAGCAGATGACACTGGGTGCAAGTGGCGAGAGGCTAACTGCGGTGCTCAGCAAGAACAGCAAGGTGGCAACTGCAGTCGCTGGCCAATTGATCTTCTGTATGCGACGGCTGTAGGTGATCATCCAGATGGTACGCATGAACATGAGAACGGAAAAGCCTGAAGAGTGCTAGCTTGGGTGGGCATAGGACGGGCAAATTCATTGTGATCCTACCATATAAAATGCCTTCTAGCACCGATGACATGATGGTAGCGGTATCCAGCGGGATGCCTGAAGCCATGGCAAAATGGTGATAGGCCTGCAGGCCTGGGGGATGTATGACAGTGGCTTCGCCAGTTCGCATCTGTATCGTTATATAAGTAAAACCAATATTCGGTTCAATCAGTCAGCAGGGACCGGCTACATTTTCGCCATTCTAAGAAATAGAAGTTGCTTGAAAGTTGAAGTTGAAACACCAGACTGTCGGACACATCTCTCGCACCAGATATATAAGCAAGCCAAATCAAACATTCCTCTTGCATTTATGGCGGACAGCAGCTGAGCGCTGAGCACGCAAATAGGAACATGGGGTCACTCAGTCACTGCAAATCCGAGTCTTGGCAAGACTCCGGGATAAGTTCTTAGCGAAGTTGTGGGTCCAGGAATGTGCTTAGGTAATCAATTCGCTGACTGTGTTGAGTTTTGACACTAGTACTGCTAAATTCTGATAAGTATAGAAAATGCATGATACCTGGGCCGCCAGTTCTGCAGCATAAATGGCCATATAATGTTGATATAATGACCATCTAACCAGTACATATGAGAAACAACTATCTCCACAAAAAGTCTTCGAGAAAACTTTCATTGGAACGCATCCGCAACCATCGCCAGTAGCTCCTTCGTGCTCTTCCCAACATTCAAGCATCTCAGGTGCATGCCATGACAATCGACGCATGTGCGTGCCATCTCTAGCTTGCTCGCAAGCACCCACAAGGTAATCTCCTTCGGGCAAACCCTAAGGCCTGCCATGTACGAGGCACGAGCTATGGAGTAATTCCTTTGCATCTGGCCGATCTGCCCTTGAATCGTGTACAGTTTGGCAGACTCAGGAAATTTAGATAGGGCGGCGGAGACGGTTTCAAGTGCTGCAGCGTACTGCCCTTGCTGGCGCTCGAATACAGCAGATTTCATCCAGATCTGAAAATTATCAGTCAGATCGATCGTCGATCTTGAGGTGAGACACTTGCCTGCTCAGTATCCGCGACTGTCTGTGCACGTACGAGTAGCTCCGTTGCAACCCCAGTTTGCCATTCGCAGCCTCGAGCTTGATAGCGGCGAGCCAGATTTGCTCGCTTTCGGGATTGGCGATGAAAGCCCCTTTCGAGAACCTCGTGCACCACCGGCACATTGCCAGCCAGCCACTTCTCTTTGGCCGACATAAGCCAGAGGACTTCCGCCTGGGGGCAATATTGTACTGCCTGAGAGAGCACTCCATCAAGTGGTTCCCTAAAAAAAGATCAGTACGATTCATACATACCGCAAAAAGATCATCTTACTTGGTGCCGTGCGCCTTCTCCACATCTGCAGCCTTTCTCCAGAGGTTCCGCTGATCCGGGAACACCTTGAGCGCATACACAAGCATGGCCCTCGCAGTCCCGATCATGTCCCTTGCCACTGTGCTCTCCGCATCGCTAACCCGTGTATTCAGCCTGTCCTCGACCTCGACCTCCATACTCACTGTAGCTTTGATAATTGCCTCGCACGTCCGCAGGCTGCTGTCGCTCTCACACCGCTCCGCCTCCTTTAACCATTGCTTGCGCGTGAGCAGCACCCAGTGCTGCCGGACGGGTGAGCTCAATGGTCTTGTCTACTAGCTCAAATTCTTTGCTTCTGGTTTCTGTGGACTTGTCGGGGTCGCCTGTGGCCCCTTGCTCGAGCAGGCGTCCAGCAACAATCCAGATTTCGTGCGACGTGGGAACAGACTTGCGGGCTTTGTTGAGGACGGCTTTGGCGTGATCAGGTGTTTCAAGACAAGCAAGAGTGAGCCAGAGCTCGACGGAAAGAGGGATCACCTCCACGGCAAGGGAGAGGAGTATGCGGGCGTCTGTGATTGATTCTTCGAGTTTAACAGTTTCATTCCATAGCCGAACGGAATTGGGAATATTCTCTAGTGCTGTGTATAATGTAAGTGATTCGTGATGGATTCGAGGGGGGAAACATATACCTTTAATGCAAGACACGTTTCTTCGGCCCTACATCTCGTTCATGGTCAGCTGCTGCGAGCCAGATCTTGACACTCTGACCGACATGTTGAACAGCGTTGGCAATAATGACTTTGGCATCGTCATTGTTCTAGAAGGGATATTAGCGGCAGCACAGAGAGGTACCAAGAAGGGTTCACATACATATGGCCTTGCTGCCTCCAGGCATACATAATCGCTCTTGGGACGCTGCTCGCAGCCTGCTTTTATGAGTTTCCTTGCAGCAACCATACGGCCAGCATGTTCTTCCAGACATGCAGCTGTAATCCAACCAGGGGCATGTTTGGGGAAAGAGAGTTAGCGCTCAGTGACCATAAAAATGAGTGAAGTAGCGCGCACCTTTCTCAATACATCAAGCAGCTGGGACTCGTCCGTGATATCACCGGAATAAAAGTCAACATCATGATGTCGCTGGACGATGTCGAATACACAGACAATGTCCCCACGAGCTAGAAGGTGCTCGACGATGTGACGGCCAACAAAGCCACTACCGCCAATTACAAGATTAACCTCTTTTCATTGCGATATGAAGAATGGTTGTAAGAGAGGCCTAGTTGTGATTTCCGTAACCTGTTGCTGCTTGTTCAACGTTCAGCGCTCAGTGCTCCACTAAGACTCCGCTTCGGTGACTGCGCTAAAGTTTCAAAGTTGTATCACCTTGCTTGCAAGGTCATATGCCAGGTGGGTAAATCTGACGGACCACTGGCAGACTAACCAAATAAAAATAAATATTGATAAACAATGAACACAACGTGCATGATCACATGATCTGTAGCCTGTTTGGACCCCCTCAAAGGCAGCTTCGCCATGGCAAGGGGTAAAACGGTCCCCCTTGCCATGACCAATTTTCCATTTGAAGGCCGCTCTGACACCCATCTCAAACACGATGTTTCGTACAAGGACGAACAGCGCGGCCTAGGACAAAACCAAACCCGGTCAAAATGAATCGGAACCAATGCTCTTGCGTAGCTGCATACCTTGAACTCCGAGCCTGTCAACGCGAATAGCCTCCCCAGGCACACCCGCGCACCACTCGTCTGATCCGTTTTCGCGCCCTCATTTGGAGTGGAGAGGAAACCGCCCCGCCTCTAGGGCAGCTGCGCCATGGCCAGGGGTACGGTCCCCTTGCCATGACCAATTTTCCCTCTAGGACCGACAAGAGTCACAAGACCCTACTACTAACGTGGGAGTCGGGGATAACCCACCATTTTATTATCGCTTCGATCTATTTCGATGCCGTGATCTTAACTGGCAGTGAAGGCACTGAAGGGTTCGCCATGGAAAGGTAGGTCAATCTGTGGCAGGATGCGAGGTTAAAGGCTCTTCACCAACGTCATGCAGCACACCATCTATCATTTTCGGCATGCGTCCATTTCTGCGAGATAGCTGTGATTAACTATGATGGTGACAGCCGAGTGGTTCTCGCGAAACAGTCGCCGAAGGCCCAGTTTCTCTTGTCTCAAAGAGTCTGCTCGAACGTGAAGGGCAGACTCAGTGGATTGCGATAAAGACATCTACCATCCACCTTAAATATGTCAAAGAACCCCACGATATCATCAAAGAGGCGAGGCTGATCGCCTCCGCATGTCATCCAAATGTGAGTCTTCGCTCAGTGTGATAGTGCGGGTCTTACCTCTCATCACAGGTGGTTTCTATCTTGGGCCATGGCATCGATTCAAGCTTACAGACGATGAGCTTTTGGATGCCATATGTGCCTTCGTCTTTGCTCGCGATGTTGTCTTCGAACGACTTTTCTCCCCATCCACTTGTTTCAATTATGCCTGCAGATCCGTCAACTCCAAGTCCACACGAGCAGCGATTTGTTCTTCTCGCCAAATCACTAATGTTTCAAGTCCTAAATGGTGTGGCATTCCTTCACGAGACTGCGAGATCGGAATATAAAACCAAGCAACATACTTCTCACTCTATCTGGCCGCGTTCAGCTCATCGACTTCGGTATCTCCTGGAAAGAAGGGGAAGATCTCGTCGCAAAGCAAAACGACTTATGGGTCGAAACCCCGGAAAATATGTACTTTGAAGTTTCTACAGGGTATGTCCCTGCCTGACCGAGTATGCACTGGACGCTCACTAAGAGTAGACCATACCGCGCGCCTGAGCTCCTGTTTGGACCCAGGAATTATGACGCATTCACGATTGATTCTTGGAGCCTTGGAGCAACTTTCGCGGAATTCTTCACTTCCGTTCGTCTCTTTCACCCGTTTGACGACGAAGACTTCGACTTTGGGGGCGATGAGCAGTCTGACTCGGGCGACGAAAGCCCGGCGAAGCCAGCCGAGCCATTCGTTATACCAAAGGGACTTCGCGTCGGAGACCCTTCCAATAGGTGGGCCAGAGATTCACTATTTGATTCCACACGTGAAGAGATCGGTTTGGCATGGAGTATTTTCAAGACACGAGGTTCGCCAAATGAGACAACTTGGCCAGTAAGTGTCGTTGAATTTGTTAATGCGATCTTCCTCTCTGACTTCGACAAGTCCTTTTTGAGCTTACCGGATGCAAACAAGTTGTCCTTTATAAATGCGCAGCCTGTTGATCTCCCCTCTATCCTACCCAATCTTCCTTCGTCCGCACAGCAGCACGAGGTCGATACGAAAACTCACATGCCCCCTGAGGCGATGTTACCAACTCCTGTTGATCTGATTCACCGATTCCTTGTATATGAACCATCTCAGCGTCTCCGCCCTTCCAAAGCACTGACTCACCCCTGGTTCACATCCGAACCACCGTTACTTCTGCCAGCTGACTTCCCTGTTTCAAGTGCTCATGGCGAGGCTTCAATAAGTCTAGGCTGGGGCGGAAAGTCTCTGGGAGAATGGTTATCAGAGGTTCATCCCCAGTGGCGCAATTTGAAGGGATGAGTAGAACGAGGGATACGATAGGATAGCATCATTTATTACACAATGCATATATATAATGTACAAAACATGATTGATTACAGAAAGCGAGAACTCGACCATTACAGAGTGCTAATGCAAGCATTTCAGGCTGCCGCCGGCACAGCCTTGATGGTTCGACGAGCAAGAGCGTGGTTATCGATGGATATACCTGTGCGAGAACAAATGAGAAACACGTCTCGTAAGATAATCATGTTACCGACTCTGTGTTGCGTTTGCTGTCTTGTAGATACCGATGAGACGGTGACTTAGCTCAAACATGTCGTTCCTGAAAATTTATATTAGCCATGGCGGTTCTCGGGAGAGAAGGAATAGTCACCTCAAAGAAATGATAATGAACTGTGCATTCTTGGTGCGATCCTTGATATATAATTCGCCACAATCGAGACATTCCTGAAGTCCAGGGCTGCATCGATTTCATCCATGAAATAAAGTGGCGTAGGCTAGGACAAATTGAGTCTACTGAAACTGCTCACGGAGTTGACATCAGATTTACCTTGAACACATGCAGAGCGAACACGAGAGCAAGTGAGCTAAGGGTCTGGAGGATGATTAGTATGTATTCCCAGATCCTCAAAGTAGAGTGTACCTTCTCGCCCCCAGATAAATTCGAAATATTCTTCCAACTCTTCTTCGGAGGCATGACGCTGAAAATGATGCCCTCTGAGAAGGGATCCATACTGTCGACAAGCTCAAGCTCTGCGTTTCCACCAAGAGTGATCATCTAACGGAAGATATAGACAATTCTGATCAACCAAAGAACGTCGGCACGGACCTGATACATTTCCTTCACCTTCAATGAAATTGAGCTGAAACCTACCATGAATTCGTCCAAGCGTTGTTTCCGGAGACCGTCGTAAAGCTGCTTCTGCGTGTCGCGCGCTGTCGTCGTCTCCTCCAAGTCTTTGGCGCGTTTCATGAATTCCTCCTCTCGCTTCTTGTATTCTTTGAGAACGTTGAGGTTTGGATTGGTGTTCTTGAGTTTTTCTAAGACGAACAGTTAGTAGTAATCACTTGTGACTAAGGTGACGGAGCATACCATCAAGATACTCAGAATCTGCAAGCATGTCCCTCTTCTTGAAGCGTGCAAGTTCTTCGGCGCTATATATGTATAGCTCGTTCGATGGCGTTCGTTGACGAGCCTTTTTCGTATACGTATAGAAACATTAGCAAACAGACTAACCCATAGCAAGGAAAGGAAGAGGACAGTACTGTTACTAGAATATGAGGATCGACGATTCTTCTAACTCGGAGATGGGGAAGCTTATTACATAAGCACCGCTATTCTGCAACTTGAAAGTTTATCAAAGTCCATTATAATTATGAGCCTACTACGGATTAGCGGAAACCTTCCTTAGAAGCACGGAGAGCTGTTCGACGATGAATGATATGCGAGCAGATGTGAACAATTAAAGAGGATTTGAAGGGAGATATGGGGAGCTAGGGAGGCGCGCGTGGTGGTGGAGTCGCATGACGAAGATAGTAAGATCCGACATTAAGCTGGTAGATCTGATAAAGTTATCCCGTGGCTGATCTAAGAAACGAACAAGAAAGAGGGGGCGGGATGCTTCAGAGTCGTCGTTGTCCTTGTGTAAGGGTTTGAACTACTAGTACCTCGCTTCAACCCTTAATACCTTCATCCATCGAGTAAGTGGAAAGGACGGCTGCGTATCAGGTCGTATCCTGCCATGAGAACAGCCTGGAGGACAGTGCTACGATACTTCTCGAATACACCAGACCTTTAATGCGAAAGTTGCATCCGCGCACCTAACCTGTTTATAGGGTTTGAACTACCTCGCTTCAACCCTTAATACCTTCATCCATCGAGTAAGTGGAAAGGACGGCTGCGTATCAGGTTGTATCCTGCCATGGCAGCGTCCGAACCAAGGATAACGCGGAAAGGCCGCTCGCGGCAGAGCCCGCTACGGTCGCTTTTTGCAATCACTATCGGTCTCGATTTCTCTCGTGTCGTTTTGCTGTTGCAAGTGGCCTTCTCCTCCAGCGCCATATTCTCCTGTAAGCTGGTGTCTACGAATACTATGAGCCCGAACTACAATCGATTCACAGCGGGAGTTACCAATACAGAGAGACGTGACGTGACGCGGAGATACGATGAATGATATAAGTGCAAGTAGACAAGATGTCAGGCGCAGGTGCTCAATACCAGTCGGTCTTCGCCTCGTAGCCTTCAAAAAAGTTATTCGCATCATAAATATCATACTGCGTTACAGATGGGCCCGCTTGGGTAACTATAGACGAGGGACCCGCTTGGGTAGTTGAGATATGGTCTCCGCCTGTAACAACAGGTGAAGAAGTACCTACACACCTCTGTTAACACTCGCACCCAAAAACGATCAACGTACATACCTCCAGACTGAGTAATCCAACAGTGACCATCAGGAAGCCGTGCAATTTCCATTTCCGAAGGACGCTGAAATCGAGACCCAACAAATTTTGCATTCACAGATGCAAACCAATCAACACCTAGCTCGACATCGCACCCGTTCAGATAGGCCAAACGAAACGGCTGTCGGGAATTGTACCAACCGTCGACGGTAGGCACACGCGCAGGTCCAGAAGTAGACTCCACAGCCACCCCGTCGTGATTAACGACAGAACGCGGCACATTATAACGGTGCAGAAAAGTCAAGGATACGGAGGAATCAGGACACGTTTTGTCGACACGAATAACGGCTGGAATGTCAGAAAAAAACCAAGAAGCTCGCAGCAAGTAGAAGACATGATTGACTTAGAGGTAAGAAAAATCACAGAACACGCAAATAGCAGAATCGATATGCGTGCGAACTAAAGACCATTAACGAACGATTTAGGGCCGGAAGTGCATTTTCCACCAAAAAATTTGGTCGTTCATGAAAAAAACGCGATGACAGAACAAAACCCACTACTGACGTAGCGGGAATATTTACATAAACGATGAACATGTATGTGTTTGCTTGAAGCGCCCATTAATTATCGATGGGATAGTGGAACATTATCAAAGACTAGTACTGATGTGGGTTACACGGTGTTGGGTTAAAGTACTGTTGCAACGGTGCTCACGAATCGCAGACTTGCAAGGACAAATGTTCATTAGTTCGAGCATCATAATATTATGCACTGGACTTGTCGTTGAACTGCCTTTATTTATGCATGTTTGCTTCACATAAGAACTTAGGCCTCATGTTCGACGCTGCTAGGAAATACGTATACGACCGGCGTCGTGGGCTATTTGAGACGTCAGTTGTGTTCTGTGGAACGTATGCTGTGAGCCGTTATGTCAACGAAAGATTGGAGGAAGCCAAGGAGAAGGTTGTCAGAGAAAGAGCTGCTCAAGAGGCGTATGTTCGCTGACTTTGTTAAATATTCATTGATTTACCCGCTCATTCATTGTTATCAGACTTCGAAGACGCTTTCAGAGTACCCATGATGACGCATGCTTCACCATCATGGCACTTGTTCCTACACTAGCTGAACAAATCCTCGAGGAGATGGATGTCGAGTCCCTTACCAATGAGCTTCAATCTCTGTCACGCACAGCTCGTCCTCGATCCCGCTTTCAACAACCAGAGTCTCATTCTGAGTCCGAAGTTAGCTCCGCCTCAGACGTGCACTCAGATGCCGGGTCTGCGTCATTGTCGTCCTATTCAGGCATTGATGGAGAAACATCATCGAATATGGCAGCTTCAACAGGCAGCTGGGTTGATCGCTTTTCCAGCTCCTCGTCACACATGAGTGATCAACTGCAGCAACCCCACGATTTCCTCGCCTCTGCTGGTAATCAACTTTCCGACTCCATTACCACCGCTAGTTCATCGCTGAGCTACAATCCTGGCGCCCCTTTTCATGTGAGCTTCTCGTATTCGGAATGTCCGAATTCAATTTTATGCACAAACAGGAACCACGGGCTTCTACGTCTACCTCCATGAGCGAGAGTAGCACCCGAACAAAAGCACAATTGTGGAAGGAAGTAAAAATACTAAGTACGTTGTTATATCCAGTATGACTTGCAATTTTCTCAAGGCAATACATGTCAGCACTGACCCGTACACTGACGACACTCTATACGACCACTTTGCTGTCCCTCCTCACAAGCATACAGCTAGCCCTTCTAGCTTGTGAACGCTACGTAACCTCAGTCCTTTCTATCGAACGCGCCGAACGCATCCGCGAGGCAGCACCAACGCTTTCTGGTCTTATCTTCCGGGAGGCTGTATCTCGTGTTGTTGACGTGGAGGCGATATGGCCGGCATGGTCTGGCCAAGAGGACTGGGATGAGGAGATCGAAGGCGTATCGGAGGAGACTGAGATGCGCTTCTTGACGCTTAGCTGGTGGATACTACACGTAGGATGGAAGGATGTAGCCGCACGAGTGCGAGGTAGTGTCGAAGCTGTCTTCGAGGAGTATGTGCTTTCTTCAGCTAGGTACTCGTATATTTCACTGATGTTTTATTGTCAGAGTATCCCTCAAGACGAAATTGTCACCTTCTGAGCTCCACGTACTGATCCTTGATGTTCGACGACGTGTTGAAGGGGACGGTACTAGCGATAATAAAGCGAGTATTTCTGGCCGGTGAGTAGAGCCCCCATCGCTGCCGCACTGCCGGGTTCATTGACTCACTCTACTACTTAGCTTTCTCAGCTCCCTCCTTCCACCAACTCCCGAAACGACAGCCCACGTACTTGCACAAGGGGGTGCTATCCCCCAAACTCCTTCTGAATCCTCACTCCTGCCTAGTTCTTCCATTTCGTCACTACGCGAGAGTGACGACTCTCCACCAATTGCTGGCCCTACGCCTCGTGTAGGTATCTTTCCAACCCCGCCCTCATCCATTCCCGCCTCTTCTCCATCGCCATCCTCCAGCCAACCCGCCCAAAACACAACGTCTACACCCCCAACATCGCAACCCCGCGCCGAGCTCAACGACCCAATATTCTCCTCCCTCCTTTCGCAGACCAGAGCATATTTGGCCGGTCCAAATTTTGCTTACGCACTCAGCGCCGCGCTCGACCGTGCCACGGTGGTGCTGGTCGATGGACTCCGGGCCAAGGTATTCGTAGACTCGAGCACGACGAACCTCCCAGAGGGTTTGTCTGCGACCGACCCGATTGATTTGACTGTGGAAGAAGAAGCGAAGGAGGAGATAAAGATACGGTTGGCGGGCCTTTTGCCTGGACTGGCGCGGTGGAGCCAGTTGGCGCTGAATGCTGTGCCGAATGAATTGGTAGATGTGAGTTTTCGCAATTTTTTTGGGTTCTTTTGGTTCTTTTGTGTTCGTGACTCCTGTTTTCGAACATTGGATGCCACGTTCATCTCATTTGATTCGTGTTACGCTATCAATGCTTCGACTGACTGTTCGTCTTTTTTATTCTCAGAATGTCATGGCGGTGCGCGAGCAGCAGTGAGCGCTTGAGCACCGGACAGCCCTCTTCATTCAGCCTACTTACCACGTACGTTCTATATATATACTCCAACTGTTTTGCATATCTCCAATAACAACGGTACTTTCTGTAGGCAATCATGCAGCGCGCTCTCTCTCTTCATTCCCTCTCCTTACCATGTTCGATCATCCCGATATCACCAAGGACCAGTCTCATCTCCTCCGTCCCATTCCTGCTGCCGCTAACATGTACCACAATGCGTTCCCTGTATCCTTGTCGTCGGTAGCGGCGCAGGTGAAGCTGGCGGGAGTACCATACTCTGATGTAGGAAATGACTGATTCTAGCGAGGGACACAGCGACCACCTCAACAGAGATGACCCTGTGATAGGCTAGAGGATCGAGGGCTGGCTGACGAACACGTGGATCAGGGTGAGTCGGTGTTTGTTGCCCTCTTTCTTTGTGCATCTCAACGTACTTTGTGTACTTGAGATCCAGATTTTGTTGTATTTCCTCAAGCTCTCTCTTCCTGGATCGTGCACCGCCTGCAGAAGTGCAACCCCTCCATACATCAATATTTCATTCCACCCGTCGAACCCAGTCACTCGCGAAAAAGAAACTTCACTTGGATCACCGTGCATCCTCTCAGCTCGCATCTTCATAGATACTGTTAATCTCGCCCTGAAAGTGCCGCTCCGATCCCTTCCCGATCCCTTTCCTCCACAAACAATTTCTCTCTGCTTCTCGTCTCCACCATTCGACATCTACACCCGCAGCAGGACCACAAAGTGCGGCAACGACAAACACTCTCGCACGCCCTCTCCCCCCCCTCCGCGTCCCTCTCCAAGGAAAAAGAAAACGAGCGCGCAGCAAGCGTGGACGCAGCACTGGACAAGCAGAGATGCAGCTGCCTAAGCCGGTGAAAAAGTGAAAATGCTTCTCGCCCCACTCGTCTTCGACAGCGTCGCAGTCCAGGGCACCTTATATTCCCGTCCAGTCCATATCTGCGTCTCCAGCTGTTGCCCCATCCCCCATCGACGCGTGGGGCACGTCATCGAGGAAGAGGATATGCGGGCATTTCCAAGCCTTGAGGACGTTTACAGGGGTCATATGGAGACCACGAGTGCGTTCCACTTTTTGAAACTCTTACTTTCTTTCTTTCTGAACCATGTTCAGGATCAGGGGCAGTCCGCCAACGTCGACTCGGCTTGCACTAACCTTGCAGGCACATTTGTCAATACGTTCCTTAATGCTGGCTTTGGTAACGATCAATTGATGGTGGAAGCCGACAAGGGCAACAGCTGGGTGTATAAGCACAAAGATCACGGTGACTGTCTTACCAGTTCGTGAAGCTGGTTTCTTGATGGCCTTGCTAGGCATGATGAGCGCTGCAGCAAGTCTCGGATTCGGACTCCTCTGGGACACGGACATCAGCCTCAGCCACATCGACAGATATACATACCCCCTTGAGGAGTGGATCAAGGTATTTATTTACACCATGACACTGCGCATCCGTATTAATTACTCCGGCCGGTGCATTTTTTGCCACAGGCTTGCTGAACGCAAGTGTATGCACGGAAACAGACGCCACCCTCGCTCTGCTAGCAGAACACGCAGAGAACAAATCTGTCCCGCTCAAAATATCTGCAATAATGGGGCTCGGGGTAGCATACTCAGGCTCTCACCGCGGGGATTTGCTCACTCTCCTCCTTCCTGCGGTTGCGGACGACGGCGCATCGATGGAGATCGCTGCTATAAATGCTCTCGGTCTGGGATTTGTGTTCGTGGGCAGCGGAAATGAGGAATCTTGCAGCCGCTGATGGAGAGGGATGACACGGCGCTGGATGAAAAGTGGGGACAATTCATGGTTGGCGCTGCTCTACGTTGGTACGTCCACATAGGTTGTTTGGGTCGAGAGACGTGTTGAGTCGGAGTCACAGGCTTGCAGGATGCTTCAGATGCAGCACTGGAGACACTGAAGGCTATCCAGCACCCGATCTCAAGGCAGGCATAGATTCTTGTACAAATGTCCTCTTTCGTTGCCACCGGGAACGTCCTGCGGTTGCAGAGATTGCTGCACTTGTGTGGCGAGCACCTAGATGCCCTCAAGGAGAAGGAGCAATCTGAGAGCGTAGAGGGGAAGAAGTATGGAGCCAGGGATGAGAAGAAAATGGAGAAGAAATCCGATGATACTTTCCAATCGTTCACCGTTCTTGGTACTGCGATGACCGCAATGGGAGAGGATATCGGTTCTGAGATGTCCATGAGACAATTCAACCACTTGGTATATCTTTCTGCAGACACAATGTCCAATCGTATCACTAACGCGTCATTCTCAGATGCACTACAGCGATCCCATCAGCCGCAGACCTGTCCCCCTTGCTCTCGGCCTCATCAGCACCTCAAATCCACATCTTCGACGTGCTCTCAAAATACAACCACGACCACGACCTTGCAGTCGCACTTAACGACATGTCACTGCAAAGCAACGCACCAAATTTGAAGAAACACCGACAATGACGCGACCCCTAGTTTCCACACCTGTCGCCCAGCAACCGCATCTCTCTGTAACAATTTGTGTGCTGCGGCCCAAGTGTCTACAGGTATTCTATCACTCTGGCGCCAATCCAATGGACCCATATGCAATGGTCCTCGCATATCATGCCTCTTCAATGAGCGTGGTTAGCTCTCGTCACGCCAGCAGTCCTTGCGTGATGGGCTGGTGAAGGAGAGCATTTGGGAGGACAACTGTGAGTTTTTTAAGGCACTCCAAGTCTCGAACATTTTACGCTGTACTTGCATCACTCGATGAAAAGTGCAGAAAATTGGCCAGCCAAGTGATTGAGGCTTTAATTCTGAACCTTACCTCATCTCCGTGACCCATCTTCTGGCTTGTTGGCTTGTTGTAATCCAGGCATCATTCGCTCACATTTTCAATAGCTTGATGAAGCATGGACTGACAACGCTGTATCCAGCCCGCATATGTCCTACCCCTCAGGATATTCGACGCTGTTATCGGGAAGATCGCCGATGTATGCGCCCTTTTTGTCGAACCGAACTCACGCTAACTGTTTGCTGACCGCCTTCCCAAGTCGGAAACCTTGTTCTCCTGGCCGATAATGAACTGACCTTGTATGTTTGGGATGAGTTGATTTTCTCCTTTCGGTGAGTGATTTGCTCCTCATCCATGTACATCTACTAACATGCTGCAGAACTGTCCTTTCCACCCGTTTGTGGTGTCCATCCTTCCTTCACGTTGAAGGTCGTCGTTCTTCATGCTTGCGACAATCAGGATGGCGCACTGCTTGATGTGAGTTACCTCTCCACCTCTTCTCTTAATCGTGTATGAATGCTTTTGATTCTCGGGTAATAGTTCTGATGTCTTCGGATCCAACATCTCCACTCACGAACCTTACCTCGCCTGTACGATCGAAAGATGTATCTATTGTGGAGTCGGCCTTGTGGTGCACTTTTTCAAAGAGGACAGAGCACCGACTGAAAGTTATACAGTAAATATCAGTCGTTTTCCGTCCATCTAGGTTCACAACACCTCCTCGGGTACGTGGTCTATAATGATGATGTCACAAGTCTTGGTCTCAACGATGACCTAGCTAGGGATCTATTGCCATCTTCCCAGCAAATAAACATCCACACTATTTTGCGACCACGCGGAATCTCTTATCGTCAAGACTGCTTCATCAGGATGCTCGTCATCATATGCTCGATTCACCCCTCCGCCTCTTTGTGAGATATGCGAACCTTCTGCTGTCGCAGTGTTCCAAGGACCGAGATCATGCCAATACTGTTGTCTCCGATCGCCTAGACATTCAGCATATGGTTTCGTTCGACCTTGCCCCCTTCCTGGATGGCACAGAGGATACATATGATGCTTGCTGCCCATTTTTGTGAGGCATATCCCTTGCCCGACTGTCCTATTTTCAACATCGTGGAGAAATTCTCCCCGTGGATGCTAAAAGCACGCTGCTTGTATCGTATATCGGCTGGCTCTACGCACTCTTCCTCCGCTCACCAAATTAACAAAGACCAGACCAGTCGCTCAGGCTCTCTTCCTCTCCGCCGGCGACCACTAGCATGTGACAGTTACGAATTACTTGTGACCCATGGAAGATCACGTCCATGGACTGAGTTCCGAGATTTGACATTGGCGGGCCAAATTGTATTATTGGCAGAGACTGTACAAATGGAGCACTTAGAAAGGTCAAGATTCTCGTGCAATATGATTGAATGTATTGACCGCTATCTTGTTTGTTGTGCACTCATACATCCAATCATGTGGGTCATATAACCGCCGTACCCTAGCACGTCAACGCACCCGCTTTCCCTTTGCCTATCCAACGACAATCGCATCTACAAGGGCATACATGAGCGGCTCTAATTGAATTCTGTCATCCTGAGGCATCTCGCCTTGCATTCCTTGCTATACTTGCTCCCCCTCCATATCCGACAACGCTCGGCCACATTGACATGGTCAAGTCTCTTCCTCTCCAATAGAGGCACATATTTTGCACCGCGCTTATACGTCCCTGCGCTGAGTGGGACACCAAGAACCAGTTCTGGGCTCAAGTTCGAATGAGGGAGTGTATCGGGTGTTAGCCCTTTCTGACTGAAGCGCAAGTATTGAGGTGATGGAGAATGATACTGCGTGTGAGCGGTGAGGAAGTGCTCGTCCAAGACTGACTGTGATGAGGGAGCGTTGATGTATGGAATGAAGCTGGTGATAAAGGTCTGAGACTGTGCTACTTCTCTGTACGGTCGTCGTCAGTTTGCCATGTGACATCTGGTTCTGCGTATACGCAATCTCAGAGCATGAGAGGGAGACGCCTGTCATCAGATATTCGGGCTTGCGATCCACTTGAAATTCAAGCAATGTATTTGATGTGTCAGGAGAGACGTTCATGAAAACTGAGATTGTGGATAGTTTTTCAAGTCCTGCTCCGACCAGGAAAGAACGGACGACCATGATATGTCGGACTTGACGGTGTAGGAAAGCTGATCCTACAAGATCGAATACGTATACACGGTTGTCGACATCAGCTTCGGGAAAAAGTGGATTGATCTGTGCGCGCATGACGCAGTGGAGGACTGTGTCTGGCTTGCAAAATTTTCGAAAGTCGTGCTCGCCGACGAGACAGTTCGCGGATGATTGCATCAGGGATATGTCGAGTCCGTGAGAGGTGAAGAAGTATTTTTAGTGTTTGTGTTTGCAGCTGAAGTGGGCGGAGAAATTGGGAGAGATGGGGGGCCTATTTCATGTCCATTGGCACCTCTCTTTGATTTCTTGGAGGGGTTTTTGCTTCTTTCCCAATTCTTTCCCAATCAATCCATCATTATGACAACGATGTCTATTTCCTTATTGGGACTCAACCGCTCACACCTGGAACTTGAGCTGCACTATCGACTATCACGTCACCGGCTACAGAAGAACATTCAGAGCATGCGCTCGCAATCTCATCCTCCTTGAAGGACCCCAAGGCCCATGGCCAAGATAGCTCAGAGACTCACATCCACCTCGCCATTCGCTCTCGTAGACGTTCCGATCGTGAGATTCAGGAGAACTCTCCGATCATCGTCAGTTCCAACGGGGCGAAGGGCCAGGAAGTCACCATCGACACTTCCGCACCTGTCTCCAGTCTAGGTGTTATCACTTTGGCGCCTACGCGCACTTATCCCTTCGATCTCGTCTTTGGCCCGGAAGCGGACCAAGCCATGATCTATCATGACGTTGTTAGCCCCATGCTAGATGAAGTCCCCATGGCTTACAACTGTACGCTGTTTGCGTATGGACAGACTGGAACTGGCAAGACGTACGTCCCTTCCTTGATCACTCATGTTATTACTGTTGACTCGTTTACAGCTACACTATGAAGGCGACCTGACGCCCACTCCAATGGGAAATCCATCCGCCCAAGCAGGCAGGGTACCGAGAGTCCTGTTCCGCCTATTCCATCAACTCGAGACATCTGCTACAGACTACAGTGTCAAGATATCCTTCGTCGAGCTCTACAACGAGGAGCTTCGAGACCTGCTCGCGAATGAACTTTCTGCTCCTGCAGGACCTGCGCAGCCTACTGGTATGGGAAAAGGTGGCCCTGGGGATAACCAAGTCGGTCTCAAGATCTTCGACGACGCCAACAAGAAGGGCGTTTTTATTCAGGGTCTCGAGGAGATACCAGTCAAGGACGCTACAGATGCACTTGCCCTCCTCGCGAAAGGGAGCGATCGCCGGCAGATTGCTGCCACTAAATTTAACGACCACTCCAGTCGATCACACTCCGTGTTCTCTATTACGATTCATATCAAGGAGACATCAACCATGGGAGATGACCTCCTGAAGGTGGGCAAGTTCAACCTCGTTGACCTTGCGGGCTCGGAGAACAGTGGACGCTCTGGTGCAGAGAACAAGAGGGCACGAGAAGCGGGCATGATTAATCAAAGCTTACTAACTCTGGGCCGTGTCATCAACTCTCTTGTCGAGCGTTCAGCCCATGTGCCTTATCGGTAAGTGTATTTGATCTGCGAGTCATGTAGTTATGCTAACCCGTTTGTATCCGTAGAGAATCCAAACTTACCCGCCTCTTACAAGACTCACTCGGTGGTCGTACAAAGAGGTACATCATCGCCACCATCTCTCCTGCTCGTTCCAACATGGAAGAGACCCTCTCCACCCTTGACTATGCCATCCGCGCAAAGTCTATCCGCAACAAACCAGAGATCAACCAGCGGATGACACGAAACTCCTTGTTGAAGGAATACGTAGCCGAGATCGAGCGTCTTAAGGCCGACGTCCTGGCTGCACGCGAGAAGAACAGCATCTTCTTCTCTGAAGAGACCTGGAATCAGCTCACTACTGAACAGGAGCTTAGGGAGACGGAGATGGAGGAGGTCAAGAGGCAAGTCGAGATTGGCGAGAGCCAGTTGATGAGCGTCAGGGAAGAGTTTGAGCAAAGCATCGCATTGTTGATGAAGACAGATGGGGAGTTGAAACAAGTGAAGGAAAAACTGAAGGAGGCTGCGGGAGAGCTGGAACTCAAGCAGGGCCAACTGAAGGTGGCGAAAGGAGCTCTCGAGGAGGAGGTCGTCGTCCGCCAAGCCTACCAGCTCAATGAAGAAAAGCTTGATGGAGTTGCCTTAGGGCTGAAGCAAGTTGCCGCCGAAAGCATCGACGACATTGGCGCGCTCTTCGAGAAACTTCGTATGTATTTCTTTCTCTTGCTCTGCGGGTCAGTGAAACTCACGAATTGTCAGAGCGGAAGAACAAGACATTCGCGTCGAACATTAAAGCTGTATCCTCTCATGGAAGGTCTATCTCCTCCGAGGTGCAGTCACTCTCAACGAAGCTCGATGACTTCATGAAGACCGCAGGGCACAGCACGCAGACACTGCGCGCAGAGGCAAAACAATTCCAAACGAAGGAGTTCGATATCCTCACAAGCCACTCCGAGCGGATTGACCAGCAGCTCCAGCGCATTCAGGACTCCCTTCGGACCATTAACACGAAGGACGATGCATCCGCAGAGGCTCTTACAGCTATGCAGAACGCGGTCAAGGAATCGCAAGAGACCATGAAGAGCTCATTCAGTGCCTGGTCCGATAGCTTACGCACAACATCCCAAACGATGTGCAAGGAGCTGTACGCAGCGAATCAGAGTAACTTCGCCTCGGCAAGTATTGGTTTACTCACGTTTGAATCATCCAATTGACACGCACGCAGGTGGAGAATGCTTTGAAGGCTATGGGGACACTTGTTGACTCCGCCGTCAATCAACCAATTGACTTCACCAAGGCCAATGAAGAATTAATGTCACAAGCGAATTCCCTTGTGGGTGACATGGCAAAGGCGGAAAACGCAGCTCTCCAGGAGTGAAATACGCTTCTCGTTCAATTAGTGGAAGCAGAGAAGGTGAGGTCCGCAAAGGACAACGATGTGCTCGTGCAATGCATATCAGGCCTACTCGGGGAGTTCGTAGCTTCCCGTGATCGCGACCTACGAGAAGCATTTGGTGCCGTTGTCAACGCTAACGCCAAACACGAAGAGGAATTTAACGAGTTTGGTCAGCGTCACGAGCAATTGATGAACGAGGCTGTTGTACGCAGCTCGGAGGCCATAACCTCTTTTGAGTGGAGCAGTACAGAAGGGAAGAGGACACGAGACGGTGCTCTTAAGGTCAGTGATTTTTGGCTTGGTGGATTTTAGCCCTGCTGATCGCAAGGTATTCAGACCGTCGGATCTGTTCAAGTTGCCATCAAGGATGGTTTATTGGCCACACATAACTCAACCACAACAGCCACCATGACTTATACTGGTGAGCTGCAAAGGCAAAGCCAGACCCTCCAGACCTCCCCCGGCGCAGGTCAGTGATCCTGTGTATCCGTGTCGTGTTTGATCCTCATGTTCCTTCAGGTCTTGATCGTCATGACCGTGCCAAGAGAGCGCGTATCGAGACTACCAATGGCATCGCGACTGAGGTACAAACCGAGTTGCGGTACCTGCAGCCAGGTGCTGCTTCCAGCTCAAGAAATGTTGAAGGCTTCAGCGGTCGCGTGGTTTCGGAGGCAAGTTTAATTATCATTATCGATGAGGTACTTTTTCTAAACGTCATTAATCTCCTTCAGAGCACAAGTTTATCGGACACGATCGAAAAGCACGGTAACAATACGACTTCGAGGCTTGCTTCTCTGCACCAAACAGCCCGGTCACTGCTTGATCAAGGTACCCGTGAGGACGTCCCGACTGGAATGATGCCGTGAAAACGCGGATGGGAATACGTCGATGAGTGGGAGCTGACCCAGAGTCGAGATGCCATCCTCCAGTTGCGGAGACAAGGAGAGCCGATGAGGCACGCTTCCAAACCTCCCCCTTCGCAGTACCCGCAATCTCCCGTTGAAACCCTATCATTAGGTCAGGTGAGCGGATGTGACTTCCGCGTGAAGGTCTAGTTGATAGACTAAACATCATTCCATGCGTTCATTAACATCTATTTAGATTGTGCAGTTGACCTCCCTTCGACCCGCTGCCGACCTATTTTGCAGCCTCTTGCGGGAAGCACTGAAAGCGGAACTGCAGCGTGGTCAGATGAAAGCTGTGAAAGGTTTTGTGAAGACTTGCTACTCTGAGGGACTTGTGTCGCCAGCGGGCGTCTTAGACAACGAGCGGGAGGATGGAAGTCTTATCTCAGACCCAAAGGAAGGAAGTTCGCCTCCAGAAACAGAATTCCATGGCGGTCTAGGCTTGCAGTTTAAATTCCCTGGTGACCCAAAGAAGTTAATCTTTTTATGCGTGCTTCATGCCTTGCACTAACGCATTTCAGGTTGCGCGAGGCTTCAAAAATAATCAAGCTATGGACGATATATTTAAAGAGTACGCCTCATAGCGCATTATAATCGTGTTGCATCTGAAACGATTGATGTAGATCACGGCCGCAATCTTACACTACTGAGATACCCGCAGTGCACTCGATCGGTTCAGGTCGGCCTCCCTAATCGGCTTCGTGGTGAGATGTGGGAGACCTTGTCTGGATCTGCATATCTTCGTTACTCCAATCCTGGAGTATACGATCAATTGGTGTTGGATATTGAGGGGACGAACAGCACAAGTTTTGAGGATATTGAGAAGGATCTACACAGGAGTCTTCCGGAATACGTAGGCTGTCAAGCTGACGAGGGCATCAGCTCTTTTCGTAGAGTGCTACAAGCCTACTCGCACAGGAACCCAGAAGTCGGCTATTGACAGGTACGGCTTTTTCGTGTTATGCCTTTCATCCATTGATTCTGACTTACGTTTAGGCGATGAATATACTGGCAGCTGTGATTCTAATGTAAGTGTTTCACTTTCACGGCACGTTTGTCTCATGTTGGTGAAGTTACATGTCAGAAGAGCAAACCTTCTGGCTTCTCGAAGTTCTGTGCGATAGACTTCTGCCTGGCTACTGTAGGTATGTTCTGGGTACCAATATGCTGTTCTTGTCACTCAACACGCCTAGCCCAACCATGCATGGTACATTGCTGGATCAACGAATTTTCGAGTCTCTTGTGACACGATGCTTGCCAGTGATAAGCGATCACTTTCAGGTGGTTGATGTACAGCTCTCGGTCGCATCTTTGCCTTGGTTCTTGAGTTTGTGAGTGTATATGTCATTTTGTGCTTCATACTGGACATGACTCGCTCTTCCCAGGTACATCAATAGCATGCCTATGGTTTTTGCCTTCCGCATTGCCGACTGTTTCTTCTGTATGGATCCGAAAGTGCTTTTCCAAGTAGGGTGAGTCGTTTCTCGTTATTTAGAGCTTTTGCGTAATTTACAAACTTGTCGGGTTAGGTCAGTCTAGCTCGTTGCATATCTCTGACTCCTAGAGCAAAGCCATTCTCAAGATTAATGGTGAAAACTATTGCAGATACAAGACGACGGGGGTTTCTTAAAGTGAGCTAATTTCAACCCTTGATGGCCTATACTGAGTATGACTAGCTTGATGCGCAAATACTTCGCCTCACTCGGTGACTCTGCGCATCCAGAGTCTGCGATTCGGAGGTAATTGTGTGAGACATACCTCCGTTGGTATGCGTGCAGTCCCAAACAATCTACTGCACTGATCCATATCTAGTGGACAACCACGTACGGCATCGGGTTCAAGTCGACCTTGACGGAGGTCGTGAATAAATCCTAATCTGTTTTTATATTGGCTTCCCCTGGCCCCTCATGACAATCCTGGAGCAACATTGATGCCAAGCTAGAGAGCCCTCCGCGTCGTGGATACCGCCTGGATCCATTAGCAAGCTCGTTAAGATGGGATGCGTGCTTTTCCAGACATGCTTGGTGGTCGCATCAAAGATTTGATTCATTTGCAGCCTCCAAAACGCAAAACAAGGCTTGGAAATAGGATGAAGGTGATTACGGGCAAGTCGTGAAGCACAAGTATAGATAGGCCTACCTTTCAAATCTGCAAACACTTCTTCGCTTTATTTCGTCATCTCCTGAATTAATTTGCTGCATTAGATAGTCTAAGATTAGGGGATAAACGCTTGTGAAACATGCATGAGATGATATCGTTGGAGAACGTGCATTCTTGGAGCTGAGGGTCTTTTGATTTGAAGGTCCCTCATCATCGCGTGATGGTGGTTCAGATCCAGAGCTATGGGCACCACAACGACAGCTGCGTCATAGCCTGAGCAAGGGGCCGACTACCAGGCTGCTTTCGCTCCAGTCCATTTTCGAAGTCAGCTTCGCTTCATTTCAGTTCAGTCAGTGAGTTCACCTGCCATAGTGGCGATTTGATCCTCCTCTACACCTAGTAGTACTTCCGAAGCCGCATTGCAAAATGGCATGCGATCAAACAAGCAGCGCAATGGAACAAGTCATGGGCCCGTAAGCAAATCATTCCTTCTAGTACAATGGAAGCTTATGCAGTCCGACAACCGAATCACGCAGCGTCTTTCATTTTGGCATATCAATGCTCAAGGAATATCACAAGCAGGTTATAGCAGAATCAGGTTTCAAAATGTGTTCCATAATAGCCGGATTCCACCAGGGAAGTCCGATTGTATACACGTACGGAAGACTTCCTTCTGGCTACTTGGTCTATGGCCGCCATGTACTAACTAAATTATGTCCTATCAGGGTTGAAAATGAGAAGAGCGCATTCGAGAAATCAATAATCGATAGACTCACCTCAGTCCTAACCGCATCAATGACTACTGGGCCTAGTGCAGGTGAATATAGGACTGTCTCCCAGTCTGCCAGTCGGTTAAACGACGTGACATTTCTCTTTTTCAGTGGCTTCAACGGCACCATCGGTTGTTCACTTGAGTGGTATTTCTAAGGAAGATGCAGATGATACGGAAGATGAAGATAGCAGTGATGACGAAGTTGATGATGGGGTTGATGTCACAATCGGTGTTGATGTAGGTCAGATAAAGCAAGGTGTCAATTACTCGCTATGGTATCGGCCTCCATGCTCATGTTTTACCAGATTTGCACCCAGAAGGCCTTGACATTGAGGCTGCGGTTCAAGATCTAGCCATCAGCACTGAACAGGCTGACGTCGAAGCTGTTGTCCAGGGGATGGAATATTTGGCCATCGGGGATGACAACGCCGGAGAAGATTTTACAGCAGCGCTGGCTAATGTGTCATCTGGTGAAGATTCAGCTGACGACACCGATAGTGGTACTATGCCCCGTCGAGCCAAAGATTCTGCTGAAGCCCCATCAGCCCAACCAGAACGTGCCTCAGGGTCCATCGGCCCTGCCACAGAGGCTTTGGTTAAAATTATTGGCTTACCCAAGGTTCGACCATTTGTCCTGGTTCCGCCAGCTCCCTATATCACTCAGGGACCTCCGCGTTCGATTGCTTCATCTGCCGACGCCATGCCTCCCTATTCTTCTAAAGTGAGCAGCATCCCTGGTGATGAACTGGATCGACTCCAGAAGTTTGGCATTGACGTCTCCAAAATATCTGGAAGAACAGTGAATCGCAGGCTGTTCCCTCCTGGGCTGTAAGTGATGTCTTAACATTGAGGATTTGTGTGTCGCTTACACCTGTTCCAACGCTCCGCTATTAGCCGGAAGCACATAGTTGAGGAATTTAGCCCGCGCGTTAACCCCAGTGCATCTCCCGCTCTCAACAACCTGAACAACGATGATGTTCTCCAGAAAATTCAGTGTGCCTATCTGGAGGACTACGACCTAATTGTGTGCCGACACCTCCATGACGGTGTATACTGTGGATACGGTGTACCGCTGGTTGAGCTCGCAAGCCACTGCTTCACCCTGTCCAGAGGCTTGTCTGTCAACAACACCACCCGTCACCCCCATGCTGTGGCTCTTTTGAAACATTCGGCCGTCAATAAAAGTAATCCACAAATCAACGCAATCTACGCTGATATTTTACGGGTCTTTCCCAATGTTGTCTTGACGAATGCCGAACTTCGGGCACTGCGACCACTGGCTAATCAACGTGGGCCTATAAAGCACATTGGGCAGCCTGTACCTGGCCGCAAATGCTCCCAATGTGACTACGCCTGGCCGAATCACATCACTAGCAAGGGGTTTAGAGAGCATTGGCAGAACCATGATAGCAAGAGTTCTCGCCGTGGCAAGACCCCAGTCGATGTGAGCCGTGACTCCCAAGCTGTTGAAGTCCAAGGCTTCGAACGGGGTTTGAAGAGAGCTCTTTATTTCCCAGTCAGGGGTGGTGATAGTAAAGTCGGTAGTAATTCGCAGAAGACAGGCGGCTTATCTATCCTAGCAACTGAACTGCGACGGTTGATGCCTGCAGCTGCCGACCAAGGGGGACGGAAACTCATGAAGAAGGCCGTACTACCCTTTTTTGAACAGGTTGGTGCATCTGATCATATTGCACCATACGAGGCAGCTGCATTATACGACCTGGTATCCCTTCCTGCCAAAGGGGAAAGGCTACTGAAACGGCTCCAGAAGGCTGTGGTTCTTCGCATTGAGGGACTCTGTGAGGAGGTTCCCCAAGCCAACTTAGTAATCCGCAAGCTCCTAGTTAAGCCACGAAAGTGCGTTGATGCGTTCTGTTTTTAATAGGGCTAATACAAATATTTCAACTGTAGTGGAGCAAAATCTTTGGCCGAGCGCTTCAACGCACCCACTTGCCGGGACTCCCGCATTGCATACGCTTCCGAAGAAGTGAGGTTATTATGCTTTGTTCTCAGGTGTACGGCCCAGAAAGCGTACACCCTGCTTCCTACGGACCCTGAGGCTACTGTAACAACCAACGGCTCCTACCATATTTTCCTCACCAACAGCCAGCTCGAAGCCTTAGCCATACTTCAAAAGCGGCTGGCTTTATCGCAGGAGGGCTGTGAGGATCTCACCAACGCCATACACAATGTTTTAGAACAACTTTACATGCCTTCCAACACCCTGGATATGTTCGAAAACCGGTACATCAGTCCAGTCGCTGCATTTGTTTGTCTTCGTGCTGTCCATCCAGATGGTGGATTTATCACCCCAGAGCTCATAACCCCTACCACAGTCCGGACACAGTTTGACATCCGGCTCTTCGTAATGGACTTTTTAGACCGTCAGTTCAGGGTCTACCGGAAGACCGTCAAAAGTACAGTCGAGGCTGATCAGGGCGACTTAGATGTTCTGAAACGCGGGCTTCGTAACCCTGGCAAAGATTGGGATCGGTATGTTTTCGTTCGCACTGGCAGAACTTGTCTGACAAGGCGCAATGGCGCTACTAGATACTGCGAGGATATTATCGACGAATGGACAGCCGAAATGAAGAACACCCCATGTGGATTCGTGCGCGAGTGGATAAAATCGCTCAGCTGGATCGTTCGAAAGACACCCACCAAAGCCATTGTCACGTGGCTCGATAAGGATGATAAACTTTCTGTCCACCTTCTGACCTACACGGTCAACATCCAGCAGTATCATGCTGCAGTTCAGTCAACTATTCGAGACTGCATCGCCCACGTTCACACCAAAGTACTTTTCAATATCACACTCCCGCACTCCAGCTTGGAGGTGCCCTCACACGATAATCAAAACGAAGACATCAGGGGCTATGGGCTATTTGCGTTCTCCCTTGACGCCAATGACCTGGGGGATTCTTCAGTCCTACTGGACTCTCTTTCCGATCTGGGCACCCTATGTCGATGGGATGACGTGACCAATAGCATCACCTGGGATACCGCCACGCTCAGCCAGTGGTTTGCTGACGTGTCCCAGGCTTGGGAGTACATCTACCTGCTGATGCATTTGTTGGCTCTACCAGCACGTGGTACTGAGGAAGCAATGTGGCAACATGCCAACGGGCGAGAATCCAGTAGACACCTCTTTTTCTCCAGCAAGCTTGGGACTCTGGTCACAAAAAGCAACTACAACAAGTCATCCGCGCTCACAGGGATCTACAAGACAATCATACGGGTCATTCCCTTCGAGGTCGCCCAGGTCCTTACTATTCTACTTCGGATTGTTCGTCCTGTCGAACTTGCGGCAATCCTGCAGCTGCAGTGTAGTACAACCGCTCACAGGCAGGAGGTTACAGAACTATACCAGACTCGGATATTTGCGACACTGGGGCACGCATGGGACACTGAGAGAATGTCTCTGATCCTTCGAACCTGGTTTATGAGACATTTGAAGGTACCATTCAGCATGCGGTTGCACCGCCAATTCACGCAAGCCCTGCAGCGCAAGTTTCTGTCGTACAAGGGCCAGAATTCATTGGCTGAAGCTGCAAACCTTGCTATGGGTCACACCCGGCAGACAGCTGAGATGCATTACGGCCGAGAGACCGAAGATTTAGCAGTTCCTGTATCATTACAGGAACATTTCGAGGTGGTGGGCAGGGACTGGATTGAGTGGCATGGCGTTTCAACTACACCACATACAACTGTCTAGAAGTAGCATTTTATGAGTAGTACTACTGTTCCTACACACTAAAGAAACACTTTCCACCGACTCACAACCCCGCCTTAGTGGTGGGGCTTGCACAGACCTGGCAGTGCAGGTGGATTCTCACCGTGCACCTCGGAAGAGGTATCTGAAAGATCGAGGTTGTTGATGCAGACAGCATCAAATAGCCAAGGTGGCTGGGCCTGCCCTGGTGTTACGAGCAGGTTGATTCGTGATCGAGAGGATAGGATAGGGCCAAAGTAATCTATTGAGTGCATGCGCGTAGATGCGCGGGAGGTTGGCATTTCTCTTGTATTGACACACGCTTATCGCCCAAGAACCCACCACCACACTGTCCTGCTGCCACTGCACAGCCCATAAAGGTGTCTGCGTCAGCGGTAGATCTACCTGCGCCTCAATCCCCTCGACCGAAACGCGGAGTGTGCGCCACCTTTCCGAACGCCCGATTGTCTTCACGAGCGCGCAAGAGAGCGCACGCTGTGGTGTCGCTCGTGTTAGCAGAAGCTGCTGAGACAGAAGTTCGACTCTGTATGTGTACCTGCAGCGGTGGACCTCGAGGTTGTGCGGGTCGGGGTTTTGTGGGAGTGCGTAGGCTTCGGCGGGTAGAGAAGAAGCCGGAGCGGTGTCGGCGAGTATGGGCTTCTCGGTAGTGTGGCGACTTGGGCCGAAGTCCGCGATGCCCTAACATGGGCCCAACAGCACACACTCCGCAGAAGTCGCAGCTCCATAAGTATGGCAGGATCAGGACGAGATCTAGGACATCCCGCAGCACCAGCATGCGGACAACTTCTGCTGGTGGCAGAATGTGGCCAAGCCATAACTATCCGCTGGTGGCTCCCCATTGCGTGAAGGGGTCCGAAAAATTGTGCTCAATGGATGCCTCACAGCATCGGAGGCTTGTGGGCATGCGAGGTCTGTGAATGCCTTCGTGGGTAGTCACCACCTTAGCAGCGGACGTCGCTAATGAGTCCCAAGGGGTGGGAGGGGTTGAATGGATGGGTTGCGGATGCCTAAGAGGCAGAAGAGTGGATAAGTGTTGTGTAGCTCGAGGCCGAGTGGAACGGTATCGGCTAGGGAGGGTGATGTTTAGGTACAATGAGGTGTGGGGCATGGTGCATGTGCTCGCAGTGCCTCTGGTGCCTGTGCCGCTCGGAGTCTCCACCGCCAGCGACATTCAGAAGATGAGATACTATCACCATCCGGAGGTACGTCAATGCTTCGTATTCTGCTGCATCTGAGAGGTCGTCGAGGTGAAATCAGAGGCGGATGGGTGCCCATGTGGTTGAGTGCAGCCAGAGCCCCTGGCGATGGCGGTCCGGAAGACTGCTGTCCCGGCCGTATGCACGGCAGTGGCTTCTTGGTCGTAGGGACAAGCGATGCGGGGATGTAACATCGTCGTAAGCTTGCCGGCAGAAACCACATGTACTAGTCCACGAAGTGCCAGGCCTGTGGGTGATGCTACGGACTAGGGATGAGGGCATATAGTGCGCATCGGGCCTCCCATTTCACTGTGACGCCCCCTGATGCTTTCAGCGGACCAGGCTGGTGGTCATAAACACACGTCAGCCTCCATGCGGACCATACTACTAGGCGCCTGGGTCGATGTATGTCCAGTCGGCTGTGGCAGATTCCAAAAATTCGCGAGAGGTTGTGGTGCCTGGGGTTGATAGCAGGGATACGTTCATCCATCTGGTCCCTGAAGGCAGCTGTAAGTAGCGTGAAGAGAGCGGAGAGCGGAGCACGAGCCGACATACGAAAATATAACCAGCACAATATCATCAGTCGGATGAAGAATGATCCCGTATATCGGAAAGCTGGAGGACTCTGGTCAAATTCCGGACGGAAGTATTTATGAAGGTACACGCACGACGTCTGTCTTTGAATGCGACAAAACGCTAAAAAGCGAGGCGTAAAGAGACCGCAACGCTGAGTACGCGGAGAGTCTTCAGGGCGAAGATGGCTGCAAAATTTGCAGCAGTCGTCGCGGCGCACAAGCGCACCTGCCCAGATGAGTGCTGATGATGAGTGCCAACGTGCAAAAGGCAAAGACTTGAATAGGCGCTGGTGGTGTGCGCTGTCGAGCTGTTCATATTATCAGTAGGCCGTCTTGGGTGTGATATCTCAGAACTGACCCCTTTCTTCTTCATGTATATGACTAGCGTTCGTCCGCCTTGGTTGCCGACGCTAAAGAAGTGAACATCTCTGGTCCCATTAACCCTCTGTGGTGTCTGAGATGTATGAGCACTCTGGGGTGACGATGGAACGAGAGCCTCAATGTGGTATGCAAAGAGAGCCTGTATGCAGTTTAGCATCTCCTGGAGGTGATTACTAAGCAGATCTGCAAGTACGAGGAACATTCCGAAGTCTTCAAGCATTGCACACTGTGTCACCATCTTTAGATGCAATACCCGGCGCATAGCTAAAGCAGCATTTGTCAGTCTGCAAAGAGAACACATGCGACTGACTGCACGAACATCGTAAATCATGTCTAAAGCCTATCCAAACACCTTCGGCACAACCAATAGCCACCAATGCTCGACCATCAGCGGTAGCTAGAAAATATATGAGCGAACGAACGGAAACACAGAATACCAGAAGCTCACTAAACGGAACAGAGCAAGTAACCTTGCCAGTGAGGGAGTTCTCGTGGTTCCAAGATGGTACAGCAGCTGAAGATATGGACGGCACGAGGAAGGTGTCTGTACTGAGTGGCTCCAGCTCAAAGACTTTGTTTGACTCTTGAACAACCTTGAGCAAGCCGATGGCCTCGTCCAGTTTCTGTTTCCACTCCGCTCGCGCTTGCTGAGACTCCTTAAAGAGGGTATACAAACCACCAAGCCTGCCATTGTAGTGAATGGTGCAAGGATATACAAGACGTGAATCGTTAGCAGTGTCGGAAGTACCGCCACCTGGAGAGGGTCTGCCTTCCACGTGTCTGTTTCCTCCACCGAGGCCGAGACGCAGAATGCTTGTGCTGCGCTGTGTTGGGGGATCTGTGAAGCTGGCTAGAGTAAGAAGGTCGAGCGGTATGGGCTAAACCACAACTAAGATATTTACGCAATGCCATGTTTATAATCACTTACTCTCCGGTTAACGTTATATTTCGTGAGGCCGTCTTTTTCTTTGGTCTTGGTCATGACCACTGAAATTTTGCGTGACATCTGTGACACCGCATGGGAGTGTGGCAAGACTTACAGTAATTGTCAAACAGCAAGACGAAAAGCTCAGTCCATCCGTTCCATTCGAAGCCGGTGTCGAGCTGTCGCAGCAGCTTGCCAGCGTGAATAAGAGAGCGGTTTTCATTCAGAAGGTCCATGTCCTGCGAGGATAATTCAGCATGATACAATACAAAATCTCTCGGGCGCTTACAGCAGACTAGTTCGGTTTGAATTGCAAATTCGAGTTATAGCACCAGAGCTGAACCTTCTGTTTTGCTGATTGGACCCCTGGCTCGGTCTCCTTGCCCAAAGACTTTATGATCTCCAAGACTTGAGGGATCGCTTCATGATCATCGTGGACAGTCCATTATGCCCTTCAAGAGCAGTTCGTACCGCAACAATCGAGGGATAGGACGGTTGATGAAACTTTTCGTGTCTAGGCGGTGGGCATCCGGATGCCGTATACAATGCTGCATGACCGTTAGTAATATAAAGAAAAGAAAAAGAATGAGCCTCACCGTCAAAAAACGTCTTGAAATCGATGTTGTTGGCCATCTCGTCATCAATGCGATACGCAGCGATAGGGTAGTTGGGGATGTACTCCATGTATGCATCCCTGAAGTTCAGAGCAGCGTCAAACATAGGTGCTGTAATACTCTTGATCACCGGATGCTCCTCGCGTTGTATATCATGCAGTTGGTCGAGCAACTTCCGATGATGCGAGTGAAGCTCAGAAAAGTTGTGGAAGACGTCGGCGATAAAACCATTCAGCTTGTCACGAGCAATGACTGGAGGATCCACGTCTCGCAGGGCCTGGACGTAAATCTGTGGTGCCGAGAATGAGCTATGGTGTTGAGATCGAGTACGTGCAAAGGACAACGCACTGATTCGATGTTTTCGAGATCCCTGACGTATGCCATCTCGCCTTTGATCAGTTCAAAAATAATGCTGCAAAAGGTTGAGCAATCAAAACCACGAAAGCAACAAAGATACATACGACTGGCGCTTGGCCTCGGCCTTGCTGAGGCTCTCTCAAACGTCCTTGGACACCACATCGTGCCACTCCCATTTCCCAGTCGGACCTTTGCCCATCGCAGTCTGGAACGTCCGGAGCTGTGCAACGTTCTGAAGATTCCTGATGGCTTCGATGGCTTCCGCAAGGTAGTATGCGTGGGCATCCAGGTCTTGGACGTATTGCTCTTCCTGAGTGATAGTTTTGTAGATGATGCTAGCGCGATCCTTAGTACAGTGCCAAATAAAGTTAACCAAGATGCTCACGTTTGACGATGAACTTCACTTTCTGGAAGAGTGTGAAGGATGCCGGGATCAACCGTACTTGACCAGTCTTCAGTTTGCTGTGGTGGAAACAATGTTCAATGTTCAATTCAATCAAGCGTGAACGGCGACTGACGTGGTGTACTTCCGGCTCGGATACCGGACCCAAATCAACAATTTGACCTGGTTGCTACAGAAACATTAGGTTGAACTCTCGAACGACTGCGATCACAGATACTCACTCGACGTGGACAAGCAAACGAATAAAATGGGTCATCCTCACTACAACCCGACGCATAGCATCGAGTGAGTGAAGTGATGACGGCTGTTGGCAGCTCTTCCCTCTCTCGGTGAGCATCGGAATTGCCCCCAAGGTCGTCCAAGAACGTATACACGTCCTCGACACCATCTTGCAGCAACTTCTGACCCCACTCAACTTCATAGAAAAATAATTGCTGCTGTAGACTCCGAGCGACCTGGAGGGCAGCACGACGATCGGTGGTCGGAACTCCATGGTTGATCAGCAACTCGCATTGGATTTGGCTTTGGATGGTAGACTGAAAGCGCGGCGTCACGCCAAATCTTGAATTCTAGCGAGGGACTTACGACGATGCCCTTGCCCGTGAACGCACGAGGGTAAGGAATGCTGCTGTTCACGTGGGTACCGCAAGGGACCTTGTCGCGCAAGCGGACGGCCAAGTGCGATAGCAAGCTGAAGTTAACAAACCTATCTGGATCTGGATCATCGCTCTCGGAGTCAAAGTAATCGTCATCATATTCTTCTTCCTGGTCTCCAAGCGGTGGACCAGGTGTACCGCTGTACACGCTCGGACGGGCACGAACGAGTCCATGCTTCCACCTTGGAAACCGCCACTGCCAGAAACTGAGTGACCGTGGCTGTATTTAAGTGTCGAAGGGCCTGCCGATGGGTACCTGTAGGACCCTTCCCTGCTGAGCATTATTGGCCCAACTTTGGAAGTTAAACCGTCATTCAATGTATCAGTGTAGCTAGTGGCTGTCGTCGTCACTGAGACGTTGCGACCCAGGGAGTCTGCTGCTAACGAAGACGCGGTGGAGCCTATAGAACTTGCATGGCCAAGTTTTGGGTCAGTATCTGGATGATCTGCAGGTGAAGTTAGCGATCAAAGTTGCATGTTTGGGCGTCGACTTACAATTAGGGATATAGTCGGATGATGACGAAGGGCGATGACGTAAATCAATTACCCGAGCAGACGGTGCAGGACCATTGATGCCATCGTTTGAATGCTTTCGGGCATGAGGCTGTGGATAGGCATCCGCAGGACGAAATTGTTCCGAAGATTGTTGATGGCGATGAGATGGGCGGTTCCTCGTATCGTCTGGACCATGGTCGAAGTCATCATACATATTGCTGTGACCCGGAGTGTTGGGGGGCGAAGCACCAGGAGGTCGAGGGGATGGCTTTGGTACGACGGTGACGCCGTAGCCTCGCACATCAATGCTGCTATCTGATGATTGCAAACGGTACGCATCCACACCATTAGCAGGTGCTCCGTTGGTGTGCGAGGGAGCAGCAGGGACTGCTTTATGTGTATTTAGCAACCCGTCAGCATGAGAGCCGGCGAGGACTGGTTTACTTGCGGATGAGGTTGGGGATGTTGCAGAGCTTATGGATGGGTGATTGCCATTATAGCCATTGGGTGGCACAGTAGGTGCCTGAGGAAGCTGACGACGCCTGTATGAGCGATGAGAACTTTCCGAATGGAATTAAATAGGTGATGACATACCCGTCGACTCCAGCCGTCCCAGGGCGTGAAGCAGTTGCAACTGCAGGTTGTTGTTCATGAGGCTGAGGACCTACAGAAGCACCTGGAGGCAACGGAAGTGGTCTCAATCTCCTCTGTGTAGGAGAGGCCGCAGTATCAGGTTGAGGGCGGATTTCAGGAGCATGCGGCCGCTGGGGTGCAGGTGCTGTATACCATAGTCAAATTACTCTCTCACAACGCGAGGTTGTTGGGAGGGAATCGAACCACTGGTCCACCTCGTCCGGGTCTTCTTGGAAAAGAATGCTTTCCGCAAGCGCTTTCCTTAGCAGTGAGCACAAGGTGCTCCGGACTACTCTTGTGGTGGTAACGCAAAGATCTTCAGAAGAGCACGAAGGTAAGTATTGGAAGAGTTCGCTGCCCGAATCAAAGGTTAGTTAGCGCTCGAAGTCAAATCAGCTATCGAGTAAGACTGACCAACCTTCCCAGACCAAGTAAATTGGTCGCATTCTTATAACAATCGGGATACATGCATCTGCTTCAAGCCATGTAAACCACACACGTTTCCAGAAGCATCCACAAGACCCTGTAACAACTTTCCTACGCGAAACCTCGCCTCCGCGATCATCGGACGAAAATGATACAACCAAAGCAATCTCTCCTGCGAGCATGCCACCACTACCTGGAACTCCGGCACCCTTCTCCGAGCCACTCGTTCCACCACTCGATGCCGACACGTCCACTGACCAGTTTCGGCTCCTCAAGTGCAGATCCAGCATCCTGGAAAGCACGGAAGACGCAGGAGAGCTTGGTCCACTAATCCTGAATGAGTAACGAGATGCATGTTTAGGGCGGTGTTTGTCAGATTGGCCTACTCCCTGGAAGTAACGTACAACTTACCCGGTGTGATCACAAACATATTTGCTCCCACCATAGCCAAGGCCTTCTGCAACGCCCGAGTCGTACTGTACTTCTTCTGGGAAAGGCCCTTTCGCTTTGTCCCAGCTTTGGAGAGTGGAGACAGAAGACGTGAGTGTGAAACACGGCTTTGGGAGACACGGAGAAGACAATGTCAGGTCCATAAGGTTGCGTGTTGCCCGAGCATGGGGTTCGAAGGACGGCAGCACCAGGTTAAAGTCGAGTCACCAAGCATTGTGAATGATGACAGTGACAGACGTGCGGATCTGAGTTGTGTTTTATTAGGAGACTATTTTACAGTCAGACTGGAAGTGAGACAAACCTTCTGATACAACTTCGCATCCAAATCCAGGTCAGCACCAGGGGGATCCGCTTCTAAGGACTTAAAAAGTACGATATTTTGGTCAACTGGCGGTGCTGATGCCTGGACATCGCAACCTGGTGGCGACCTGAAGGAGGAGATGATTCGGTTCCTGACGAATGTTGCAGAGAGACTAAAGAGATGAAGTCAGTAGAGCACGAGTCTTGATTGACCATTAAATCACCTGTCGAAGCACTGAGTAAAAAAGCCTGCATGAGGATCGACCGTCCCATGAGCAAGTTTTCGATATCCAGTTCGTAGGTAAAGGCGCACCATTGCCCATTTTGCTCCCTCCACCTTGTGGCGTTTGATACCCATCAACGTCGACTTCGGGCATCGGTAAAACTACCTGCTAAAAGACCATCGATCTCTTCGTGCAGTTTGCTAACGGCTTTCTTGGTGATGGCGCCTTGTCCAGCCCGAGGCATGTGCTTCTCCCTATGTGTCAGAAGAACCATTTCCTCGAAGATTCTGCCAAGGGCAGGGCCGTCTCGTTCACTTCCTCTATCTCAAGAGTTGAGGCACGAAAGCTGCACACAATTTTTAGTGGACTTACCACACTCGATTCCTGAACTCCGCAACCTGCGCCTTATCATCAACCGTCGATTTCATGTCCAGGTCGCGGTTCTACGAGGACACCAACTCGGCTACGTCCACGACCGATTATGACGACACCGTTCACATCAAAGGGGTTGCTGCCGATGACAGTCTCCATGGGAGCTGGTATGACTTTCTCCCCGGACGCGAGTATTAAAACCTCATCCCTCCTTCCTAAGCTGCAAGGATAAACATCAGAAAGTACAAGAACATGGATTCCACAATTATAAGTCGCACATCTTCTACACACCCTCGATCGTTGGATGCTGGGCGAATACATCCAAAGCCTTGGACGTCCGGGAGACACCAAAATCAGGCATTCCCAGGCCCCACCACCCTGGTGTTATCCCATCCGATCTGGATGTTCGAACTTTGGTATGAAGCGCAGTCAGTCCCGAAGCGGCTTCTCGGTCCCACAAGCTGGGACCTAGTAGTTGAATGGACCCAAATTCTGTAGCACCGTGTATAGGCATGAGCGAGACTCCTGCAACCCATTAGCGACCGTCGCAGCATTAGTGAGAGAGGATAACGCACGGGGCAGGCAAGGCTGCAACACATTGGAAATTCAGACGCGTTAGTGATCGGGCTGTACCATAAAAAGAGTGAGTTGGACCCACAAGATCATGGCGAATGAAAACAGCGTGCTGATGCCACGTCATATTTGAAAGTGCTAAAAAAGAAAGATGGGTCCGGACTCCGTATCACCCGCTTCCCAGCCATTTGAGCAGAAGGAAATTCTGTGCACGCTAGTCAGCGACTACAAGAATCAACCCTTAGCACCGGGAAACTGGCAGTGACACCAAGGAAAAAAAGAGGTGAGCTCCGTGCACTCCACACGCGATGTGCGATCAAGCACCAGGACGGCAACGGCGTGACGTTGCACCGGATGACGGAAATGGAGGAGAATGAATTCGTGTTGCACGTCTTTGGTGCACTTGCAGAAGACCATGCGTTCGAGATCGCATTGCGAGGAAAGCTCGCTGGTCATGAGTACTGAGTGCCAATCTCCTACCGGGGTCCGAGTCTCACCCTGGGTGAACACCCCAGGGAGGTCGGTTGGGGATGACATGAATGCGTGCTGGATCGTTGCGAGGAAATTGCGAACGCTGAAACGCTTGACGCTTTTGCTTTTGAAGGCCATTTCATTGACTAGGGTTGGGGCACGAGGTAGGGTGGCTCATGTGCTTGGGAGAAGCTGCGTGCGTCAATCATCGTACTTCTTGCTCCTTATGGGCAGTATGGGCCCAGATGGAGACTCATTGGGACCTGTAGGATGCTAATATTCTAATTCCGAAACCAGGTACTCGAGCCAACGCTCCCTGGTTTTAAGTTTTACATAATTGACTTCAAGGCCATTAAAAAATGCAACGATTTGATCATATGTGATAGGTGAGGCTACGTAATAGAATGCTATGCCTTCCACTGCAATCGGCACCCCACAGAAGTCGGCAGTCACGCTTTTTCGCAGGGTTTGATGTGACGGGATGCCTTAGAACAGACAACATTCTGGAGAGAATGTGTTGACACCGCGATCTGCCAATACGATGAGCTCTATCATATGAAAATATTCAGTTGTCAGAGTGAACATACCATACTCGGAACACGCCAAAACATAATTTACACGGAGAGAAGTGAAAGAATGAGCGTTATGCGCTTGTCGACGCGCGTCCGATCAAGCCAGCGTGTGGAAAACATTTTCCATTTGCAGATTGATGTGGCTTATGTCCTGTACAGAGTAAAGTAAGGGTATGCATAGTCAATGAAGGCCACTAGACATACAGCACAAGCCCATAATGAACGAACATGGTCTGCGGATCGGAGGACCCGTTCCTGCAGGGGTCCCAAGTTTCGGAGTTGATTCTCTCTCGTGGCTTTTGCAACCTTCCGAATCTCCTGCAATAGGGTTAGTAACGACGGAAACAGAGTAATTGAAGAAACAACACACTTGTGCTTCATAATCTGATCACTGCCTCATGCATGGCAAATTCCGAATTCTAGATCCTTCACAAGATCCTCCGCTTCGTTATCGAGCTCGTGTTCAAACTCGAGCATGCCAGGGAGGAAGGTGCCAATTTCGTGTACCCCAGGAGCGGAGGTTGGGGATACCTTGGGTGGTGGAGGTAGGGAAGTGGTCATGGTTGACATTCGTCTGCGCTTGCGAGCCTGGAATTGAACTGGGTCGATGTTAAATTCGACATTCATCTGCTGTGATATGATTCACTCAGTGAATGGAACGACTTGAATCGTATAGACATACAGGAAGCGGCCAATCGCGGGAATCAGTATATACGCTGTTGTAGTGTTTTTCGACATATTCTTTTGTGCGAGTACCCATATGTTCTGCGATCATCTCCAGCTTCCAAGGCCTTCCTGAGATATTCCCTCATTAAGTAAGAGCTCCCTGTAAATACGTTTCAGAAGAAGCGATGCGGATGGCATTGGTAACTTACTCATCTGCCGCCCAGTCAGCAGACGAGCTCAAGGTACCGGAGTTCGAAAGTCGATGGAGCTTCGAGCTCAGGATGTGAAATAGGTTAGCGCAAGGGGAATCATACGATCGTGAGCTAACGCACCGAGCAGTTGTGTCTTGGCTCTCTACCAAAAACTAAGATGACAAACGCGCCGTCGGGGATAGAAGTGGTATAACGCGCTAGTTGCGGCTGTGCGACGTGGAGTGGCCGTCAGAGTCCTGCAATGTCGAGAGGAAATCTCAGCATGGTGCTTGTTGCGAGGCCAAGGGTATTAGTCTTGGGATATGGAATCGAAAGATGTACAAGGTCTTGGCAACGTGCTGTAGTTTTGGGAGTAGTGATGGCTGGTGGTGTGGTGGACGAGGTGGAGATAGCACCAATTGGCTGTGAAGATGATGGCAACATCTTGAAGCGTCGTGATCAAACGGCCAATGAGTTCGAAGATCTCATCCTCCATCTGACGTGACAACAGTTGAGCAAACTCCGGACGCAGAAGCTAATTAATGAGGTGAGAACGGCACCACACTGGATATGTAAGCTTTTACCTCGAGCATGAATGCAGAGGCGAAAGACGCAAAGACAAAGTGGCCTTGAAGGATGATGAGACCAAGAGAATCCCCGGTTAGGACAGTATCTTACCATCAGGTGCAGCGCGCATGAGACCACTAGGTGTCGGTACTTCAATCATCTGCCCAATGATCAGCTTTGCGGAGGCGAAGCACTGTATAAAGCTCATTAGGATGCTTTGGATACGGGACCACAATAGTAATGACCTTGTCAAGTAAGACATTGTCACTCGCCTCCATGCCTCGTTGAAGGCGTGTTGGAATCCAAAAGAGCACATGACAAGACGTGAATAGCTGACCAAGCTAGAGGAGGCACATCAGCTAATCACACCAAAGATTGAAACACAAATTTTACAAGGGTAACAGAGTACAGCGGAATACACTTCCAGGATCTAAGGCAAGGCACAAGGAATGAGCACGCGTTTGACCATCGCTTCTGGAATGAGATCATACCTCCAGGGTCAGAGTCCTCATTAAAGCGCCTGGTCTATTCCTCAAAATAATTTGTAAGATGATGATCGTGTTCTAAGGTAACCTGAAGGAAGTTGATACCCTGCAATACCAGTTTACTCGCGATATAGACGTGAATGAAGGGTCCAAACCCTGTTCAAACCGGTCGGCGAATTGGGGTCTGAGAAGATATCGTCGTGGAGCCGGCCCACGATCCGAATAAGCGTTGAGTTAGCACAGAGGTGGATGACAAACTTGAGCGCAACCTGATCAGCACCCCAACAACCAATAGATTAGAAACACACCTTGTCCCTGAAACGTGTACAGGCTCTTCAATGGGTGCCCCAGGAAGATGTGCTGGAGGATTCGATGTCGCTTCAGTAGCAGAGGCAGGACTTGAGATATAGGGAGTAGCCTGAGAGAATGTGGGCGTAGGCATGAGGGAGGGTGTCACTGCTGGAGATGCCGTCATTGTCTTTCCAGGTTGCTTGGAGAAGTCGTCCCAGATAGACTTTCCGCGTCCATCGACATTAGCAGATCCTTCGATCTAGAAACTCGCTGTAAAACACGTCATTGCGTGATGACAGCGGTAAAAAAATAGTGAAACATACCAGTAGCCACAACGCACACAAAGGTTAAGCGAGCCAAGGCAAAGTCAGTCGATCGAAATTCATGCAATTCATATCGTATACCAGAAGGCGTCAAGGGCCGAGTGGGAGGGAGAACAAGGTTTGTTGGAAGACGGAAATTGGGATCAGTAAACACCCTGTATGATACACCAGCCGATACACCAGCCTTGACCAGGTATTCGGGAGATACGCCCCAGCCTAGGAGATCAAGTACGAGGTTTTTGGTGTGATCCGGGTCTTGGCGAGTCACTGTGAGGAAAGTTTCAGTCGACATTGACAGAGGAAGAGAAACATTGACATACTAGGGACCATATCCGAATGTGGTGGCGCTGTCGATGTCGCGGTCTAACCGCAGGCAGTGATTGAGGGAGAAGATAAATGGGAACCACTTGATATGTTCAACAGCTGGCCCGCGATTCGGGGAGGAGTTGAAGTAGTACTTGATACGTCTTCTACTGAGCAATAAGATCAGTGTCGAATTATCCTCCGGGTAACTCCTTTCGCCACCTTCAGTTGGCCCTGCTTGAGTTCCAGCTCTCCCGCAGCCTCCTTCAGTTTTTCCTTCACTTGTTTCAACTCCCCATCTGTCTTCATCAACAATGCGATGCTTTGCTCAAACTCTTCCCTGACGCTCCTCACCTGGCTCTCGCCAATCTCGACTTGCCTCTTAGCCTCCTCCGTCTCCGTCTGCCTAAGCTCCTGTTCAGTAGTGAGCTGATTCCAGGTCTCTTCAGAGAAGAAGATGCCGTTCTTCTCGCGTGCAGCCAGGACGTCGGCCTTAAGACGCTCGATCTCGGCTACGTATTCCTTCAACAAGGAGTTTCGTGTCATCCGCTGGTTGATCTCTGCTTTGTTGCGGATAGACTTTGCACGGATGGCGTAGTCAAGGGTGGAGAGGGTCTCTTCCATGTTGGAACGAGCAGGAGAGATGGCGGCGATGATGTACCTCTTTGTACGACCACCGAGTGAGTCTTGTAAGAGGCGGGTAAGTTTGGATTCTCTACGGATACAAACGGGTTAGTATAACTACATGACTCGCAGATCAAATACACTTACCGATAAGGCACATGGGCTGAACGCTCGACAAGAGCGTTGATGACACGGCCCAGAGTTAGTAAGCTTTGATTAATCATGCCCGCTTCTCGTGCCCTCTTGTTCTCTGCACCAGAGCGTCCAATGTTCTCCGAGCCCGCAAGGTCAACGAGGTTGAACTTGCCCACCTTCAGGAGGTCATCTCCCATGGTTGATGTCTCCTTGATATGAATCGTAATAGAGAACACGGAGTGTGATCGACTGGAGTGGTCGTTAAATTTAGTGGCAGCAATCTGCCGGCGATCGCTCCCTTTCGTGAGGAGGGCAAGTGCATCTGTAGCGTCCTTGACTGGTATCTCCTCGAGACCCTGAATAAAAACGCGCTTCTGGCTGGCGTCATCGAAGATCTTGAGACTAACCTTTCTTCATGCCGGCATTGAACCACGCGTCCGCCTTTAGCTACCGCATACCCGCAATTATATCCACCATCCTTGTATTAGTAGCTGCGCTGGCTCTATTCCTTTGGGCTTTTGTCAAGTAAGGAGATGGCGGTCCGCTTTTCTCCAATCCTGAGTACGTTCGTGCTAGTATTGCTCATGTGGTGTATGTTAAAATTTTGTCCTTAGAACTGTGGATGGGATCGGCGATCTTCAAGGCTCTCAACTAGCTTGGGTGATGGTTAGATGTATCAATAGCGGCATTGGAGGCTGGGCTGGCGGTGTAAGTACTTCTCAGATCAATCACAATCCGTACAAAGCTAAGCTTTAAGCATTCTTAGATTTTGTATCAGAGTGGTGCGCGATCCTTCGTAGGACAGCGATCGCTAACTAGATGAGCATTATTAGACTTTTCACGCTATACAGTTCACCCTGGAGACCAAATGTATGGGCAGATGTTCAGCACACCTCTGTGCCTTCTTGGATCCAACATCCTTGGGATTGTCGCGACATCTTGTGCACGGGGCTTCTACCCAAATGAACCGTTATTGTGGTAAGATGCCTCTAGAGAGGCAGCAACGTACAACGGACGATAGCTCATATGACGCAGGAAACTTTATGACTTGCTCCAGGCAATTCAACGCAATGAAGCTCCTGCCGCACGTGCCGCAGTATTTTTTGCTGCCTTTGCATTTTTCTTATCGCAACTAAGATGTTCGCTCTGATAATGGTAGCTGAATCGCCATGGAATATCTTCGCAGAAACAGCAAGCATCTCAGCCCTGGTCGCAACGTCAGGACACGGAACGGATAATTGATCGCCACGCTCACCTTGGCGACTTCTCAAACTCCTTCACGTTATTTGGATGATGTCCTCCTGACGTAGCATCGAGAATAGAGCTTCGTTGGTAGGCACAAAAATTGGCATGGAATGCTCCCTCATCAGGCTCACATCCATGCCATCGATCATCATCTTTGTAAGCTGTGATAGCTCGAGCGCTGCGCAGCCGAACGGCCGGGCGAAGTTCATCGGGACATCGGACATCAGAGTCGTACGGTAGGGCGTCAATGGGACGTCAGAAAGCGACGCTTCAGATGGCCGGCGCCTGACACCATCGTGTTATTCATCTGAAGTGCGCCGTTCTGCACGATACGACACACCAGAAACAGCAGGTCCTGCGCATCCGACTGCGCGATATCAGTGAGGAGCGAGCGAATGCAGGCGTCATTCTGCGGTGACAAAGCGCGGGAATTCGGAGCGCTTGTAGACCAGAAGAAGTGCTCGGCCGTCTCGCCTGGTACACAAGGAGTTGCAACAAAGGCCCGGACGTCGAGGAAAATGTGGTAGAATTTAGCTGCGGTTGATTTCTCGGACTGGTAGGGACCCAGTGAACCGACCTGGCGTGACATCGTTGGTTTCGAGATATATCAAGGAATGCAGAGTGTGCAGGAGTGGGTTTGGGTATCGTGAAGAACTGGGTGGGTCCGATGGTGAGCTTGGATGAGTTGTCCAGAGGGACATTCATATATGCGAGGGAAGTTTGCATAGCATACATCCTGACAGCGCTGACCCAGCTGCGAGGGTCGATCTCGCCCTCTACATCCACCGTGCACCCCATGTCGGATGGCGAACGATGATATCAAGCTCCTGCACTGCATTACCGCTCACCAAGCGGGCGAAGCAGTCCCTCCTCAGACTAATTGTCTCCTCTGCGCTGGATGTCTGCAGCAACAACTGTCTTCGTCCAAGGCGGAGCACTTCAATATGCTCGCGGACTGTATGAAAGAGTTTGTAATCGCACCTGGCGAGGTGCTGGAACGTCATGCTATGCCATTCTCGAAGGGCACTGGCAATCTCGTCGATGATGGGTTGCATCGTGCCCGAGGCTGTATCATCACCTGATTTTAGGGACGGACGTGGAGGAAGGGGCTTTATGTTCTCGGATTCTTGCACTGAGCGTATGCTGGCGGGATATACGACAAGGGCAGCGCGAGTGGACTTGGCCTGGTCTGGCGGGGGTCCAAGTTTGAATGATTTATGTTCGTTATTGTATGTCAGTTCTCTGACTTCCCTGTTCTTTCTCTGTGCTCGCGAGGGGGTTCTGGGCCTGAGTTTGCACGCTCACACTTCCATTGAGCAAGGTAGTCTGCACTGGTTACTCAACCGTTGCTATTCGAGGAGCCGGCTGTAAGGGAGGTAACGAGATCTGGCAGACGTCCTTCGGCATCTGAGCTCATCACGGACAAAGATGCGGGAAATATTCCGATGAAGACCTGCTCCGGCTCCTCGGTTTTGACTGGTTTGGCGGATGAAGATGAAGTTGGGTCCGATGATGTAGACCAGGTAACTGGTGGAAGGTGGGAAGTGCAGACTACGTAGATATCATGAGAATAGTAAGCACTCGAGACCACACGAAAACTGGGTTATCAGTATAACGCACCCTCTGTACCATATATCATCTGCTTGGTTTCCTCTTGGGTATACTTTTCAAATGCGTAGACCTCATCGCCAACTTCGAGGGAGACGACATCCCTGCGTACGCCACTCTCATCTGTAGAGCCCTCTGTGATAGTGGACATGGGCCTTCTACTTGATAGCCTGGTATTGTATTTGGATGGGGATAGCGGGTGTATGGATGAGGGGTAAGGGCTCCTAAACGCCCTTGCGCTGTGGGCGAAGCCCACGTTTGTATTATGAAGGGCCTTAGTTAAGTCGTAACGACGTCTTCGGACCTGGCTTGCATATAGCACGTAAAAAAAAACCGTATAGACCCTTGAGAAATGTGCCTTGGGTCGTGGACGTCGACAGAGATAGAAACCTCAAAGCGCGCTACGCGAGCTGGGAATACGTTGCAGCATTAACAAGGCTTCAAATCCACGGATCATCGTGTTGCCAGATTTCACGTAGGGTACTTATATAATCAGCGTGGGCACGGCAGCTGCGTCATGGCAAGTAGGGACCGTTTTACCCTTGACCAATTTTCCCAATTTTCCAGTCACGGTGCAAAATAATGTCACATGCTTCATTCGAAATTTGTTGTTTCAAGAGAGGCTAACAAGTTTCACTACAGGGCAGTACGCACATTGGCCATAGGCACAACACGTTCTTCGACTGGTTGGATGGATGCCTAAGATTTACCAATGTGCCTATGGGATGAGTGCGAAGTAGCGACGTAACTTGAACTCATGAAGGGTACATTTGCCGAATAACAAACATGATACGTACAGGATGGGGTATCAAACAAATGGGATCAGAGCGACAGATGAATAGAAACAAACGGCAGATACAGAAAGGAAAATCCTAATACATGCTGGGGGCTGTCTTCACCGTTGCAGTATTCTGCGAAGAATTGTTGCGCCTTTCTGAGAGGATGTTGAATACTTGCGTGACGTTGTTCGGGGCAGCGTGGAGCGGAAGGGTTCTTCTACCAAATCTGAGTCTGGGAGAGGTGCCATTCGAGATGTTTGCATCTGTGTAAAGTTTATTGAGGGAAGGTAAGAGTTTTTTTTCGAATCAAGACGCACTTCTTCCGACATGACATATTCGTTAAATATGACCTTCAGTATTTGATCTCGTGACGGCAAGCAGTAATCCGAATTTGTTTGGCACTGTATGAGGCAGTGGGTGGTGGTTTGAATAAGCCGACCAAATATATTAAATTTGCCCCAATGGATTTTTGAAGGATCACCCAGGTTAACATTGGGGTTTCCTTCATGGGCACGGATAAGGTCGGACATATGGACCTCCCTAATAAGAGGCAAGGATCAAGCTATTTGTCATGAAAGTCACCACACTTACAGCGCTGGTATACAAGCGCCTTTGGTGTTTTTGAGTGCCATACGATAAGCCTGATGAGCCCCGCGATGTTGAAGAAGAACATCCCAAGACAAGAGATTCTTGTAGTGATCCGGAGTCTTGTTTTTGAAAATCTCCATGGTTTCATCGCCCTGGAAAATGGAGTTGTTGATTCCAGCGACAAAAGCACGCAGGGCTGAGTAATTGTTCAATGCGCGGAGCTCGTGCGCGATATCCACGAATCGCTCTATCTGCCTTGCGCGGCTCCTCGGTTTGTCGTGGCATAGTATGAGGGAAACCACCCTGAAGAAACCATTAACCATCTTTATCATTGGCCCCACCCACCCACGGTGACTTACCAATCAGCAGGGTGATTGGAGATAGCATTAAATCGAGATATTGAGTCCAACTCAGGGTCTTTGCGTCCGGGCATGAGGGTATATTGCAATCAGTGCCGTGGCTGCAAAAGGGTCGTCATGATCACGGCAATCGCGGTATAGTAACTAATGCTAACCTCGATATCCATGAATAACTTCGCTTCCACTCGCGTGATCTCCTCCGCAATCGCAGAGCAATCGAAATTAGCCAGAGTCTGGGCATTACTCCTTAGCTTGTTCAGGAGGTCTTTCGGAGACATATCTTGAGCATCTCCTTGGCTGTGACTCGAATTCACTGGTATAAATATCTTTGCGCTAAGCGGCAAGCTTGACTTGCGTTCCCTGACGCTCGCTGCACTAGGGAGGTTGTCGTTCGAGCGAGCCACCAACGAACGGCTCGTAGAGGGTGATTCGGTTTCAACAACCAATGTTTCCTCCTCTCCGTCTGAGATGCTGTATGGGTTCTCGCTCTTGTCCACAGGAATCTCGTATTTTAGAGCCCAGGCCGCATCCGTGTCTATGATATTGGGAAGATGTGAAAGGAAAGGGAGGAAATCGTAACCGTAATGTAGGAGGTATGTCTTCCCGACGATCGACCTGACCAGCGCGTGTAAGGCGCCAGGGGCCCCCGGAACGGCGAAGTCTTGTGGATACGCCTGGATCCAGGTTTCAAGTAGGTGGCATATCCTTAAAATCAACCGGCATGTCAGGACGATAACTTTGCAACTCGCGAAATTGTGATACCTCATCTGGGCGTAGCTTGCAAACATCGGATCGCTAGTCGAATTGTCGAGTTGTCGCATTCGCTTCTGCATAGCCAACAAAATACTGCGAGGACGTGCAAATCTTCGATATGTAAGAAGAAAATGCGAGATAAATGTTGGATCTACAGTCAATGCTGTGAATCCTGTAGTGCCAACAAGTCGAAAGAGACAAGCTTACCATCATCGCTAACAGCAAGGAATAGTAATTTGTCAAGTAACTCCTCCAGGGTTGCATATTGTCCTGAGCGACTAAGTAAATCAAGAAGTTAGCAGCACTAGTTCGAATGATTGCAGATGACCCACGGTTCCTTCTCCTTGCTCACAGGGTGATCGATATGACCGTTCTCAGTAACATTCAAGGAAGCATCTCTCCGAGAAATAAAGGAGCTAAATGACGAGGAGTTTATGCTGGATGACCCTGCAAAGCTTGTGACACTGCGAGCACTCGATAACTTTCGTTCATACGACGCTCGTGATTGCGACACCTCGTGTGTCGAGAGGAGATCTGGAGTTGACCGGGCGCGCGTTGGAGAGATGGCGATTGGCGGAGGAGGTGATGGGAGTGTAGAAGTAGGCGAGTGTCCCAGCGAGCTACCCTGGTCTTGGGACATGGTCTGCGTAGAAATTGTGGATGAAGAGGTGGTAGGTGTGGCTGATGATGCTGATGCTGATGCTCGGGCTTCCCAAGTAATCAGTGAATGGCGAGCGTTTGGTGATGCGGGATTTCGTAGATCAGCATCTGAAATGTGAACGATAGGGTTTAACACCACATTCAGATACCACTCTGTAGACTCACGAGGACCTGGCAAGATAGATACCGTCAACCAATTGAACACTTTCTCTATCCTAGCCCTCCCTGTTTCCCCCAAGCGATCAACCTGCACCAGACCAACATCATAGTTTTTCAACAGGTTCGAAGACTCCTGCGGATCGACAACGACATTCAAGTCTGTCTTCAAGGCTACTGCTATGGTCGAAAGCTTCAGTGGTCGTATCCGCCCTTTCAAAAGATGATTGATAAAAACCGCGAAAACGAGAAATGCAACATACGGAGGAACTCTTCCACAAGAGAAAATGAAGCCTTGTTGGCAGCATCATAACACACAGCAACTCCACTGACAGGTGGAAGGTTTTCGTGTAAAACTTTCGCAATGTCTAACTCATATATTACCGCTGGGAAATCGTGTGGTATCACCCGGTCCAAGTGACGCATGTCTTAAGAGATTGCAGTCAATAAATCAAGATGAATTTTGTATTGAATATCAACTTACAACGGAAAGGAGTGGGAGGAAAAGTTCTGCTCGACGCAAATAGTGCCTCGATGCCCGATGCCTCGTGCGCTTTAGCATCCTCTGAGATGAATGTCGACTTGCCACAACCGGATAAACCGACTACTGCGATGGCTATTTCTTTGGACAAAATCTGGGCACGCGACATCAAAAATTGAGCTCGATGAGTATGACGAGTGCTCACAGATGCGGCTGCAACTGATCCGTCTTTGCACGCGCTTAATTGACGACATCTCTTGATCGGGATGGCTTTCAACGAGAGCTGTATCATGCCGTTAGTAAAAGTACCGGTCCCACTGAGGAACATGGTACTGCACAATACTTACATGCCCCTCATTCAACGTTTCAAGCACGTTCAACGTTTCAACGGCTATCATATCTTTTCGGGCGGGCCCGTTTACGTATCCTTCTGATACTCTAGAACGCTGTAGTGAACCGTTAACAAAGTTATCGTGATTTGGATTATGTCCGGTTGACGGCAAACCCACAGCCACATCCGAGTAGGCGGCCGGCGGCCCTGGCTAGCTAAATCTTTATGTTATCGCAAGAGGAAAGACGTGGCATACTTAAATATAATAGGCTGCGACCAATAGCGTTAATAACAGGATTACATATGAAAGACCCTCCGAACATACTTCAAGTTGGGAGGAGAGGTCAGGATCATATTAGAAGATGAGTGACTCGAGTTCTGGAGCCTATCAGACGGATGCCTTCATGTGCCTCAGCGCTCAAACGGGCGCAGTTAGGTGAAAAAGTCCGTTCTCTGTATCTTTGTGCTGCGCTCATTCCCTCGCATTATCGCCGGAAGCTCATGGCTCGGGAGAAGAATCTAATTCTTGCTGATGTCACTGAGGAAGAGGCAATTCGCAGATTTTACTGGATATGGACCTTGAAAGAGGCTTACACCAAGGCTCTCGGGATTGGCCTCGGCTTTGACTTCAGAAGAATAGAATATGATGTTGTGGAGGAGAAAGTGACTGTCAATGGCGAACCTGCGAGAGGATGGTGGTGAAGTTCGAACTGCCGCAATGGGGACCTAATTATGTCGGCGTTGCTGCAAAGTTTGTTGGAGGGCGGGGAACAAACATATCAGATCTGAGTGAAGGATGTCTCGTTTGCTATGATGCTGTATCATTTGCAAACTGCGCGATCGAAGAAATGAGCTAGACATCTTTATCATATTAGAGATGTACTCGGAATAAATGCTTTAAGTTAGACTACTGCGTGAATTCATTTGGAGTGACAAAAAAGAATATGCTGCACTGATCGATATGAATACCTGGAAGTTTATGCTCTAGAAGTACGCGTCAAAGGGTAATCAATATGCAAGGAAGATTTCTGAGCCAAAAAGCAGGTTATCATCAGGACGGTTCCTGGTTTGGAGGGGCGCTGATTGCCAAACCCTCTTTGCGCCATCATTCTGATTTGGTTGAGAGCCCCAATGCATCCCGGAGAGCTCAAATGCGCTGAGCTCTGTGAAGGACGTCAGAATATTGGCCACCTGCTCATAGAATTCCTGTGCCGCGGAAATTAACGCTCCTGAGCGCTATGGGTGAAAAACTATGGTGACTTACGGCAGTGGGAACCTTGAAGATGTCCTTGGTTGACATGACTCGCAAATAGATTAAGTGAGGCACATGTCTGCGCAGCGTCTCCAGGAAAGGGACAGGAGGTGCATTTGTGACAGCTCCCAGAATGACGACAGGGACAGTCGAGCAGGCAAGCAGAGGAATATCATCCTCCAAAAGACCTCCGCCATTGAGATGAATACTCCTCAGCGGACGGCCGGGAATGATCAATTCGGCTGTCCGGGAGGATCCAATGAACTGTTCCAGTTGGGGAATAGAAGTTGGAGCGAGGTAAGGAGGCAGGGAATCGCGCGTGAACATGGTGGGGATAGAATCTACTTCAAGCTCGAGAAGGGAAGGGGTCCTATCAAGGAACCTGGCGACGTTTTCATCCCAAGAAAAGGAGCAGGTGAAGTGAAGCAAATGGGGGAAGTGGATATGACTTGACGCTTCCTTCAACACCCAGCTCACGCTCGAATCCACGAGGAGAGAAAGAGAGGTTAACTCTGACATATTAAGAATGGCTTTTGTAAGTTGGCAATAAAAGGCAAGGAAGACAGGCGCAAGGGAATCTATGACAATGTAAAAGGACCGCACGAAACGCGCGACATGCGGTTTCTTCGCGAGAGTGTCAACGACACATAAGTTCTGGGACCAAACGGAAGCAGACACAGTACAGTAGAGGACGCGCTGAGCCACTGGACGGAGAGTGGAGCAAGTTTGAGCAAGAGCAGCGAGAGAGGAAGAAGAAAGATACTGCGCGATGGTATCAAGAAGCTCGACCGGTAAGCTGTGCATAGACGTGGGGGTGCTTGATGGACAACCCGAGCTGAGACTGGGGACCTCTTATAGGGTGAGCCTCGGGTGTGCAGACAGGTTTCTATAGAATATTTTGATTGCCGCCGTGTGAAGGGAATAAAGAACGCAAGCTAACTGAAGTAGTACTAGGACTGAAAAAGTCCATGGAGGGAGAATGAATGCCACCTGAGTGACATAAGAAGTAATAAACCTAGCTTAGAAGCGGGGAGTAGGCCGCGTTTTACATAATGCCTCCACATGGCGCAAAAATTGCACTCTATTTGCCCTATAGCTGCTACATATCTCTCTATACTTGTAATGCACTAGTTATGCGAATGAATTGAACTTCACGTTATAAGGGTACCGCGTCCAGATGTACTTTTGATCCTCTCATCCATGCATATTTCTTAATCCAACTTCCCTCCTCAATCTGCGCTTCACTACGCACGATGAGTATCAGTGACCTCAGCTCCCCTTCTCCCGCAGAAGTGGAGAATCTCGTGGTTCTTTTCGTCGGCTTCGCATTGGCAACATTCTTATATGGCTTGACATTCTTTCGTGAGTATTTAACGCCCTCTCATTGGTGGTGTGGTAACTTTCGCTTTCCAGCTGGCGCACGCAATTTCGAGCGCTTGGTAGACGATCATTGTCAAAGGGGAAGAAGATACGGAGAAAGCTCGCACAAGACTGTGGCTCTACATTTGCACGAGGGATGTGTTGGGTGCTGCGATGCGGCTGCTGAGCATCAGGCCTCTGGAGAGGATGTAGTGGGTGTTTTTTTGTGTCCGCATTCAATCAATACAGAATACGCGATCGTAATTGTAGAAGGTTTGGCGTACTCGCTTCGACTGAAATTCTGGTTCGAAGTGTATGTATCATAGACTTGATTCTATGGCTTCAAAGCTCTACACCACCACCTCCATTCTAAACCTGTATTACAATGAGTGGTAGAAAATGCGGGTCCATTAATTTAGTGATTTCAGCTCGCGTTCCTCACCTTCCCTGCGCCACGATTCTGCAGCGCTGGCACCGAACTCGGTTTACGAGTTTCGACTTTCTGTGTAGATGTACTGGCAGCTACCGAGGGCAACTGGTCTGATACAGGTACACGATTTTCGGGTGCCGCCGTACGGGCAAGGTTTACAGATGGAACCATCGGAGGCTGGGTTTGAGCATCGACTGATGCGGCTCTAGGAGGAGTGGCAGAAGACGGTCTAATATCTCGTCCAAACTCGTCTTTTCCAGCTTCAGGAAGTTTTGCCGCATTTTGATTTGGGGCTACATCTCTGTTTGCTGCAGGTCTCTGAGGCGGACTATACCGTAGGACGTGGTCGCTGCCCATTGAATCTGCGTGGGCTTCTGGAACGGCTATTTCTTGGCTGTGGTGAAGAATTCCAATCTCTATCTTTGAAACGATCATGGTCACGATCATCCCATCTACCCCGGCCCCGACCACGACCACGAAAACCACGCTGGAATCCCCCGCGTGAGTTGGAATCGTGAAAAGCATCACGCTCTCTTCCGTGATCAAATTGGTTTGAACGGCTCTGCCAAGAATCTCTACTAGGATCGTGTTGGGTGTGTGAGGTTGTGGCTGGCTGTTTAGATGAGATGGGTGAGGATGTTGTGGCGCAGACGAGGGTTGTGTATTTCGCAATTGGATTGCAGGTTGCGTTGGAGCACCATTGGGGGCGTTTGCTGTCAAAGCCAACTGTTGCAACAACGCTAGGTGCCCAGTGAGGGGTGGGGCAGACACAGTGTTTGGTGCTGTTTGGCTGCAGGAACGGGATCAGAAGACCTCCAATTCGCGAAAGTAGGTACTTACATGCGTGGCTGCCCGGCGGCGCTTGTGCAGCTTGTCCAAGCAGGGCCAAAAGTGTGCGGCCAACTCCATCCAAGTACGACATCGTAGATTAGGTGCGAGCGCAGGAAAAGATAAGCATTGTCTTAGTGCGCGCAGGGAGAGAAAGAGAAAAATCAAAAGTCTGGATGAGTTGGGGTGTGTGCCAGACGCCCTGGGAGCGTGAGGGGTACAATTGTTGGAGCGAGCGAGTGGAACGACATCGGCTAGGGAGGATGATGTTTCGGTACAATGAGATGTGGGGCGTGGGGGGGGGGGGGGGGGGGGGCTACGGTGAGTCGGTTGCGCTAGATTGGGTGAATGTGCTCGCAGTGCCTCTCATGCCTGTGCCGCTCAGAGTGTCCACGCAAGCGACATTCAGAAGACGAGATACTATCATCATCCGGAGGTACGTTGATGCTTCGTATTCTTCTGCAGCTTCGAGGTCGTCGAGGTGAAATCAGAGGCGGATGGATGCCCATGTGGTCGAGTGCAGCCAGAGCATCTGGTGATTGCGGTCTGGAAGACTGCTATCCCGGCCAAGAGCACAGCAGTGGCTTCTTGGTTGCAGGAAAAAGCGATGCTGGGATACCCTCATCCCTAGTCGATAGGTGCTGAACACCATGTTGCGATACATGCGTCTGAGCACCGCGCTGCGATACAAGCGTCTCCGCACCGCATTGCCCAGCAGGGTGTATGGGACAGTCGCTTACGTTTGACTGCGATTTACTCGGGTCATCGAGGGCGCCAAGACACGAACCAGACCTAAAACCAGAACCAGGAACGGAAACAGGGCTTCCTGGGGTGTCTGCCCAAGTATCGCGAGATGGTGGAGGCAGTACTAGTGCGGATGAGGAAAATGGATAATGCGCAGGCATAGGTGTACGGGTAAGCTGAGGGTCGTCCTTTGTTGCGGGATTGCTAAAACTAAAACGGTTGATCTGGGTGGGAGTGACTCGTGACATTGCTCTCCAACGAGTAGCTCGTAACACCGCTCTCCAACGAGTGGCTCGTGACACCGCCTGTCAACGAGTAGGAGTGACTCGTAGCACCCCTCCCCAACGAATGACCCGTCAACTAGTCTGCATGGTGACCCACAGACGCGGGAGCAGCGACACCAGTGTTTTGATTTTGATATCTCCGAAGGGGCAAGACATCCTGGATGTAATTACCAGGCATGTGCATGTGCATGTGCATCGATTGAGCGGGAGAGTCAGGCGGCGGTGGACTTAGAGTGGGGTTCACCCCAACCACCTGCATCTACACCTACACCGACATTCGCCACCTCGCGGAACCTCGCGAATTCGAACCCAGACCAACCACTAGTACTGATACCAAAACCAGCGCCTCGCTCACCAGCACTTGCAGAGTGTGAGTGTTCAGCGCTAACACTGTGAAAGTTGCCCGCTCATTCATTAAGAAAAGTCAGAGTCCCAGTCGTCTGCCAACTCACCTAGGGAACCTATACGATTCAGCTTCGGATTCAGATTCAGATTCTTGACGAGGGACGCAATCAAGACGGACTCCAAGTTGAGGTTTCGATAACGGTGACGGTACCGCTGCGTGAGTTGGGTGGTGCGGTACAGGCGCGTATTCAGGCCTGTGAGATTTAGCAACGGACGTGACGATCGCAGTACCACTGGTATCAGTGCCAGTAGCAGTATAGGTGCTTTGTGCACCATCCCACCGAATACCTTGTGGACCATCCCACCTCGTATCGGCGCACTATCACACCGAAAAACACCCACACCCTCCCCTGCATCAAAACCGGGGTTCTTGCTCGTGCACGAGGAGGGAGCGATCGTGAGCGCTCCGTCACCTCAAGAGGATGTCTCAGCGGATGCGGAACGAAAGTACCATGGGATTGGGATTGGAATTTCTATATGTTGACGTCTAGAGACTCGTTCGATTTCGATGAATGGTCATATCTGGAGTTGGAGTTGGAGCCGGAGTGGGAGCCAGCAAGGGACTGGGTCCTAGTGCATGATGTGATAACGTGGTCGGGGTCAGGGCCGGGTGGGTGTAGGGGGGATTGGGATTGGGATTGGGATTGAGATTGAGATTGGGCTTTCCATACATCAACGTCTATAGATTCGTTCAATTTCGATGATGGATGGTTGTATCTGGAGCTGGAGTTGGAGTTGGAGCGAGTAAGGGACTGGGTCCTGGTGCGTGATGCGATGATAACGTGGTCGTGGTCAGGGTTAGGAATTGCCAACTGCTGGCTAAGGTAAATATCCGCGGCATCAGAAGGGGCAGAAGCGTTTTCAGGAATATCCTGATGATACACATGAGCTTGCTCCGAGTCAAGATCGTAGCCGGTGTCGTTTTCGTTTTCGGCATCCACTGCGTCCTGGTGCGTGAAGCCTGTCCCGGACAAATGTGGGATCTCCCAACTCAGCCGTGCAGCGCACACGAGGACATCGTATTGGGTCACCTAGGTCGTATCGTGTGGATAGCACCGCTAGTGAGCTGAGGGCCAGCCTTGCCTAGGACTGTTGCGGGTGGCGCCAATGAGCAAAACGATGGCTGATGGAGCTTACTTACAAAATGATCCCTGCATTCATAAGTCGCAAATACTAGTGTACTGACGTGAGAAGACTTACTTCCAGATGAGCTCAGGCTATGAAAAGAGGTCCATGAGCATCCGAGGCAAATGGAACAGCGTGAGGTGGGATAACATTGTCTCGAACTTCAACCTGTGTGATTGTTTGATACTGTGCACCAAATAGAAAGTAAAGGATCGCTTACCCAAACGAGTGGCAGCAATGAGTATTCTTTGTCGTAGTCTGATGGGATCGCCCTTGTGGAACGCGCTAGTTAGGCAGCACGTCAGCACGTTGCAAAAGTGGTAGCTGGTCATGAGTCTTGTCATCATATAAACGATTTTCATCAAACTCGCCCCCGCAAATTAGCTATGAATAGGGACAAGAAGAAATCTGAAGGATATGGTAATAAAACACTGCTTCAGTCAACTTAGATATTGCCACAAACAAAAGCAATGGCAGAACAGAACAGAAATACCCGAGGACATCCACGAAACCCGCTAGCAGCAGAAACACGACTTGCCATCTCAATGTTGCCCAGTGTCTGCCTGCGTTGCTACTGGTTGTTGTTGCTGTTGTGCGTTGTGCGTTGTGCTGTTGTGCGCTGTGCTGTTGCGTATTGGGGTCCTCTAGACCATCATCGAGATATTCAGCACGTATAATGTCTGAATCATCATCGGCAGGAGCGCCCGCTGCAGCATTACGCTGTAGATATATGCATGAGACACGCAAGACACAGTGATAAAAATAGACTGAGCACACCATGCGTGATTAGGTCGTCAGCTGAGTAGGTGTCGTACGTGGGCTTTGAAGGTTGTGAGACCAGCGGGCAGGTGGTAGGGCGGTGGGTGGTGTGTGTGTGGGTACAGGTGCAGGTGCAGGTGGAGGAACTGGATGAGGACTCCTTGTCATCGCAAGCCTGAGTTTCTTGAAGCGCCCCGGGCGCTGCTGAGGTCGTGGTCTGGAAATTTGAGGATGCTGTAATGAATGACGGTGAGAGAGAGAAATAAAGGATATGCTGATGCACCCACGTCACGTCATGCATTCCCCGAAAGAAATCAAGGTTCGGCATCATAGCCATCTTGATCTTGTCCCGGAATCTCCGACTGCATACTTAGGTCAGTAGCGGAACAGTTGAGAAAGGGATGCGCCAAGAATATGGTCATCATGAGCAGCGAGTGCGCTACATTGTTCCTTGAAGTCTGAGTCTTGAAGTCTGAGTGAAATGCGGGTGAGTATGATAGTGTCAGTGACATCACTGAAAACTTGCTGTTGGACCAATAGAGGCAGATGGCCTTCTCAGTTTCGTCAATGGTGTCCATCATGTGTTGGTGCGATTCAAGAACTTCTTCGAATTTACCTGCCGAAAGGAAAGTCAGCATTTCTGGTGTGTAGTGAGCCAGAAGGACTCAAGATCCCAGCCGAAGAGCTGGATAAAGCACTGAAAGAATGTTCGGATGCATCATGTCAATGTACCACGATCAAGTCCTGGTATACGTCATGGATGATTGTTGATGGGAAAGCGCTGGAGTTGATGGCGGCAGCAAAGTGGTCAGCGGCTTCATCATGATGCGCATCATCCAAGGCCTTGGTTCCGAGCTGAACACGTAGATATGCCTAATGTGCGAGTTACAAAGATCAGCGTCGATAACCGAGTGTAGCCACACGATCCTTACTTCCACGACACAATGCACAAGGGTATCCAGCATGCGGACAAGCGGCATCATAATGTTGATCTGCATTGAACACCTGAAATACCGAATGAAGCAGAGAATATGGTAGACAAATTGAGCCTACCTTGATCAAGAGAAGAAAATGAATGGGGTCTGGATCTTGGTTCGTGAACATGGATGCAATATCACCACCCTCACATCCCGGACATGGCCTTTTCCGCAGAGGACAAATGCCCTTGGAGATATATCCTACCAAGGAGGACTCAATGCTGATAGACTATATCACAGATGAAAGTTAGCCTTTTGTAAGAGGACCATAATTGGTCGGTATGATTCACCTTGGTCCCAGTCTTGTTTTCGCGCCAAATGAGCGATCTCTTGCGTGAGTAGCTGTTCAGCAGTCGACAAGTGATGTTGTCGACCGTACAAACCGACGAAGGGTTGAGTCCAATTACGTTTATTAGTAAGCTATATTATTGGTAATTGCTAATTATAGAATAATCACCCCACGTGACCTGATGATGGTGAAAAGAGGGGCTAGGAGATTTTATTTTTTCGAAAAGATGCCATTTCGCGGGGAGAGTATGGGCCCCAAACCGAAAAGAATGTAATGATAATAATCAGAAAGACGAGGGAACCTAAAAAATACGGGCGAACGAGGGGAAAAAGATACGGATTGGCGCTTTGCACCAAAGAGCCGACTGCATATGTGATAGAGCCTGGTAATTTACTGATGTGAGGTCGAGTGGAAGACAAAAGAGAACACGATTCTCAAAAAACTGCTTGGTCGTGAAGCTCAACAATTATTTTTGCGTCAATTCGAACGTTACGCACGTGGTCAATACCCTTTTGATACCCCTCTTGAAGACGGCCAATCAACACTGTCGTGGTGGACACACTTGACAAGCATTCCCGAGGGGAATATACTTGCAGTCAGTTCATGTCTCGTCTCTCGCATGAGAAAATGGAGCTCACTTATTCTGATAAAGACACTCGCCATCAAGATATTCTCCATTCGACCTAGCTCGATGCCAGAAGAACGCACAATGTCCGTGTTCACGCACATGAATTCTGCGCTGCGAAATCGTCAAGATGTCCGAACCCTGGTAGATATGACACAGATCCGACAGTGGCACATGTATGATTCTACTGTAAGTACTTAGTACCCACCAAGATTTTCAGTTCGTTCCTCACATGAGCACAGTCAAAATATCCAGAACGTCCAACAATCAATTTCTACAACCTCGATGCTCAATTATTTGGGTCAAATACAAAAGCAGGTACACGGGAACATGATACCATGAACAGCTTACTGTCAATTGATAGCCACGACGGAGATGAAGAAATTGACGAAGACGAGACCGGTACTTGGTTGGATTACGTGCGGGAGAGTTCCACGACACCAAACGACATTGAATTCAATGTGGAACCCGAGATAGACTTGAACGCTGATGGGTTCCTTGCAGTGTTGGCTGACTTGGCTCCTGACAGTGCAGGGAAGAATAAGGGCAAGGGTAGGGCCGAGGAGAATCAGGAGATTGAGGAGAATGGTGGTGGTGGTGACGACGAGTGGCCAGAGGAATGGCCCTAAGCATTATTTGCGCTGGCTAATTAGCTACGATTTTTAGCGCATAATTAGCCAGTTAAAAACAAGGTCACGTGACTGGCTAAAAAGCAGGCTAAAAACCGCTAGTTAATATCTCCCCGAGGCCTACCTGGCTAAAAAGCTGGCTAATAATTCCCCAAATAGTTTTATCCCGCACCCTATTGCGCTGGAGTTACCTATGTATGTAAAGTTGTTGGAGCGTGGCATTGATGGGGTGATGCTAGACTTAGCCAGGGGGATGGAGGCATTTTGGGCAGTTGTGAGAGAGCGGTGGGGAGAGTTATGGGATGCACTGCGAGTGGAGGGGGAGGGCCTTGGAAGGGATGATGGTGCGCAAAATTCTTACGACTTTCGCAATTCTCATAGCTCTGACCATCGCAACTCACAATCCTTGTCTTCCTCGTTTAACCCAGTGTCACACGCATCCCATATCCACTCCAACTCTTACGACATTACTGGTCGACGGCGCAGTGGGAGCACAAATGATATCCCCACCGGTCCTATTATACGCAAACCCTTCGATGAGTCACTGCGTTCTGATAAATCTGGGAAGTCGGGCAAGTCACTTAGGAATAGTCCTGCAACTGGAACTGGGAGAGGGATCGAGGATGTACCACCTATACCTTCTGTTCTACAGCCGCCATCACAGTCTCGCAGTAGCGTTTCTCACCCACGCCTCAAGCCTGCACGAATGAAGAGTCTGCCTGGACCTATATTCAGTAACATACCCTTTGGACTCGACCCCCCCACCAAGCCCGTCATCGTTCGCCACATTCAACGAGAAGCGGGAAGACAACGACAGAGACCGGGGACGTGGCTCGCAGAGACGACCGAGCTTAAAGAGTAAGTTCAAAGACGCATTCCGACCGTCACAGCACAGAAGGCGGAATTCACACAGTCATATGTTGATGTTTAACGTTCGGCGCTCAGCTTCAGCGCCAGCTCAGCAAAAACATTTTGGATCTCCTCAATAATGCGCCATATCCTTCCTGCGATCACCGCAATCAAGCCGCAACCCCACTAAATGGAATGATATATTAAGCGCTCGTCGACACTATTCACAACTCGACAGTCTTGAGCATGGCGGACAGCGTAATGTGAGGCCAGGCCGTTGTGATTCAGATCCAGAGTGGAGATGGTGGAAGTTGTTGTTGCCGTTACCGTGAGCCTTCAAAGCTTCATGTGTAGCTAACTGTTTCGTTCCAGCAAGGGCTGCGCTCACAGTTGACCCCAAGAGCGATTCGGACCGTCTTCAACTCTTCAAGCCTTTCACGCCTTTGGATGGCAAGACCCTCGTGAGCACGCTGCCCTTGAGCCCCGCTACCTTGGTGGTCGGTCTTTCGCTCGTATCCACGAGATGAGCTTGAAGAAGCAGGGCATGCTTGGTCTCACTTTCGCTAAAGGACTACGATAAGATTTGCTGGTATTAAGTAGAGTCTCCTACCGCTCAGGAAAACATGACGACTCGATCAACGGTAGACATGATGCCTAGGTATAGTAAAGACTGATGTACTACTAATTGACCTTGTCCCAGGTCGCATTCACTCTCTTCATCACTCATTGCAACGTCGACGTCTGCCGCGTTTAGCTATATGCATCTGAATTCCAATTCATACTCTCGCAATCGTCCCTGGTGTTTCCATAACACTTTCAATCATCCTTCCGGCCCCATATGTGACACTGTCAGCTCAATCATACTCACAGCTTTTCTTGTTTGCGTCATTTTCACCGGTTTGTATTTACCTTACGAAATAAACTCGATTCTTCATTTTGCTTTTGTGTGCTAAATTAGTCGTACCGTCCAGGAGTAGCAAACATCACAGGACGCTCAGAGTCTCACATAACCTTGGCGTGCCACTTTCGCTGATGGGTCTGACCTCACATTGCTCACGCACAGGTTCTCCCGCTAATTCTACTCGGTCACCTTTGATCTCAGCGTTTAGTCTAATCATACCACTGTCTATCGTGCCGAACGGCCCTCAACAACATGGAAATACACGTGCAGTCATCACCTAAACCCTCAACTTCTTCTCTTTCTCTCAGCCGAACTCCATCTACAGTCCACATATCCCTACCACCGTCATCTCCTACCGATCATTCCACCCACTACTAAGCCCAGCCTCTCTTCGTGAGATATACAATGCTGAGATGCGTCGCGAACGACGGAAAGTGGAGAGATTGACTGGGATTGTGAGGACGTTATGTGATGCGATCGGGTCTGGTGCGCTTCCCTTTCCCCTTCTTGTGCACTGCCATGTACTAACCCACGCACACAGTATCACCGACACTAATCCAAGAACTCAACGCCCTAAACGCACCGAGACCCTCACCCTCACCCGTCCCTCCAAGCCCGATCCCAAGCGAACACGGTCTTGTTTGTCTTCGAACAGCGCGGCCTAGGACAAGAGCAAACCCGGTCAAAATCGGAACCAATGCTCTTGCACAGCTGCATACCCCGAACTCTGTCAACGCAAATAACCTTCCCAGGCACATCCGCGCAACACTCGTCTGATCCGTCGCATTCAGCCTGGATGGCTTGAAGTTAGCTTCCGGATCAGATGACCATACCATACAGGTTTGGCGCGTCGATAATGCCGAACTTCCTACTAAGGTCAACGCCCACGAAGATCGGTTTCGAAGTGTTGTGTGGTCCCATGACGGCCAGCAACTTGTCTTCCTCCTCATACGACAAAAAAGTCAAGTTCTAGGATGTACCTTCTTCTCACCACGTTCCCGAAGCCCACATTCCCCAACTGCTGCTCCCGCACGACCTCCAAATTATCTCACTCGGAGTATCCAGCCATGCACCACCAGGAATTCCACAAGCACAACAGCAGACAAAGGGGAGGAGCAAGAGTAGGAAGAGATCACGAGAGGAAAGCAGAGCGAGGAGTGCAAATGGCAGACTGGGAGCTCAAGAATTTTCCTTTGGGGATACCCTTGGAGAAGGATCTTACTCAACGGTGTGTCTATCCCTTGTAACCCACACCCCCCTACTCATGCGACCTCAGGTGATGCGTGCACGATATATTCGAACAGGCCAAGAATACCCTATCAAGATCCTCGACAAGAACCATCTAATACCTCGTCAAACGGGGTGCTGGTCACCCCGTAATCATACATCTACAGTGGACCTTCCAGGACGAGTGGAGCCTACGTCAGTACCACGTTCCTCTCCATATGCTGTGTGGGTGCATCCGATCTTATTAGCCACTGTATTCCGCTTTGGCGGCTTGTGCTTCACACTGCCACGCCTGGTCCAGTGATCGGGTGCATAGACCACGCATATATGCCCTTTTCGCAGAACTCCCCTTGTTTATTTCTCACTAGTCTTCGTCCTTCACTTGTCACCCAATGGGGAGATGCAATCTCGCATATCACGCCTTGGCTCCCTCAGCCTTGCCTGTTCCAGATATTACGCAGCACAGATCGTTGACGCACTAGAGTATATGCATGGGAAAGACGTCATACATAGGTGCGTTGCTGCATTACCTTTTCCCGGAGCCTATCTCCACATCGCCTGATACAACTTTCAAATCACTGACGTCACCACAGAGACCTCAAACCCGAGAACCTCCTTCTAGATGGCTAGTACTGAATAAAGATCACTGATTTTGGTACCGAAAGATATTGGAGAACGGAGGTAAGCTAATTCCCCCCGTGTATCCGCCTTTCTCACAACTCCCGAAGCGCAGAGCCAACACATTTGTGGGCACTGCCCAATACATCGCGCCAGAGTTGCTTGAGAGAAACGAGACAAGTAAGAGGTGTGTTTGCCCTATATTAGACAACACACTGCGCTATCTCCTACAAGTATCTGGCGTTTACTATATCGGCTACATACTATAAACTATTGGCTTAGAAACAGTGGTAGACATGTAGGGTACAATATGCTGTCACTGCCCGCAGGATTCATCATTTATGAGATGCCGTGTGCCATCCCCATGTCGGTCGCTCCCCAAGTCGTCTAGGTCATCACCGCGCATATTGACTGCTGTTCCGTATTCGCTCTCCATAATGCCAAAATATCCAAGGTCTGCAGGTATTATCATTAAGGGTAACAATGAAAGGAACAAGAACGAAGACGTACGCAGGACAGCCTATGACGAATGCCGCGACTGCCAAAATAGTATCGCCCTTCCCGAACCCGAGTGCGTCGTACATTGCTGGAGCAAACAAGGGAAATCCAAAACCTGCTAGTGACCTCAAACAGGCGACAGCGGCTACCGCTGAAGGTGAAAGATTTGAGGTGAGTAAAGTGGGAACGAAACTATACGTACCGGAAGCGGCGTGGAGCGGAAAGCATTCGAGGATGTATGTCTGGATACATTGGAAACTCAGAATAATACCGGCTCCTACAAGCGCCATACCCTGTTGAAACCTTCAGTAGAGAAACAGTACTAGGAAAATCAAACTAACAATATCTGGAGCTATCCAATGAGTATGGGCTTGAGAAGTCCAGCCTACGATCAAGCACCCTATTGGAAGTAGTAGAGATCCGGGGACCATAGCAGCTGATGGTGAACTGAATGAACACTTGAGAAAGGAGGTACTATAACAATGTGACGAACGCAATCTGAACTCCGGCTTCCCAACTCCACCGTTTTTATTCTTGAAGTGAACATAAATCTTGTCCGTCGTTCTCGCATTTAACTGGGACGCTCCGACCAACCCTATTCCAAGCGCAATGTAATGAAGGCCAGAGATTCCCGTCGACTGCTGGTATACGCCCTGAAAGATCGATGGTATCGTTGTCAAAAAGACTGAGGGACAATGTGAGATCACGTCCGTGGAAGAATAAATGACTTACGATACAGTAATCCGTACAGATACGCCATGTAAATGCCGAGGAGCTGCACGATCGGCTCATGGGCGAAAAGTGCAAATGGGCGACTGAGTGATTTGGTCATGATAGTCCGCCAACTATGTGAACCATGGTCATCATAAAAGTTACAGGGATTATAGGAGGACTTACGAGCGATCTTGGCTGAAAGGAGTACAGATTGGTCTGTGCGGCCCCTTTTCAGCATCCATCGATTTGCGAATCCGCTCTGCCTTCCTTTCCAATAAGACGGGTTCATAAGCTGATTATGGTTAATGAGGTTGAGTAAATCGTGACCAGTCAGTGACTCACTCTCTTGTAGCACAAACATTCCAATGATAAGAATAGCTACATCCACGATAGACGTAGACCAAAACTGTTAAAGAAATGAGAGAATAATCCTCCATCAGTGGAAGCATCACATACCACCCATCTCCAGGTTGAGAATTGAGCGATCCTGGTGAAAATTTAGGTAGTGCCATTGGAGTTGGAATGACCACAAACCAGGCACCTGTGATAGGTCCTACAACGGGTCCCAATAACGGGGCTAAGGCCACAATAGCGACGCCCTGTCCTCTATCTTCTGGTAGCCAGCAGTCTGCAAGAAAGCCGGCGCCAATCTCAAGGGGGAAACCATTCAGAGAAAATACTTTCTATTCAATAAATTCAAGCTTTACCGACATAACCGCGCTCCCTCCGAGGCCAGCAAGGAATCGAAATGCAAGAAGCTCGGACTCTGACTGTGCGAATCCACATCCAATATTGAATGCTATCAATCCCTTGTAAGAATGGAGATGAAAATATAGATTAACTTGTAAAGATCACATACCAAGATACCATAGATTTGACAGTTGCAAAACGCGTGACCGCCCGTAAATCTCACTCAATGGACCCAGGCACAATGGCCCCATCGCTGGTACGTAGTTTGGTTGATCAATGAGGTATCTAGTATTCAACAAATTTGCATACCAAAAGCAAGCACAAAGATGGATGTTGTGAGTGCAAGTACAACAGCGTTGTTAATCCCAAAGGCAGATGCCACTTGGTCAATCGCAGGCGCGACCATAGAGGACGAAACTGGACTAATAAAACTAAATGCTGCTATGATGATTGTCGCAGCCCATCTGCGTCTAGCGCTCCAACTATGTAAGAACTGTAAGTCCAATAACCATGCTGATCTGCTTATGCAACGTACTTTTTAGGATTTTGAGGGTCATCTGGGCCGTCCCAGTCAACAATTAAAATATCTGTGATATTTTCTGCCGCAAGCAGTTCGCTGTCATGCGGCTTCTGAGAATTACTCTGTTCCAGAATATGATGGGCCGAGTTTGGAATGCAGTCGCCTTGTAAAGTTAGTGTGGAAGACACCGAGTGCAGTATGCCTCGCCGCCCGTCAGTGACAGTACGATGAACCGAGTTTGGCGCGTGATCGCCTTGTAGAGTCAATGCCGAAGTCATTGGATATAGTATGCCTTGCCGCCCGCCAGTCACAATACGATGGGCCGAGTCTGACGCCTCATCGTCTCGTAAAGTTAGGGCTGAAGACATCGAGTGTAATATGTCTTGCCCCCCGGCAGTCACGGATGCAGTTTGGTTTGTGGTGGGCATGCGCGAATGACATTTCTATAGTTCATTCCTGTCATACTTATAAGTTAACGTAGGAGCCTGTTACTGTGTTGCTTACCTTGCATTTACTTTCGCTCGGACCTGAGTCGGAGTCCCTACAATGATGTGACACACCAGTTTACTGTAAGGCCACCGGTGCCATCGGGGCACACCTTTGGCCGACAGTCCACTGGTCTTGGATGACGGCAGAATATACGGCTATTAGTGAATCCTTGAGATACCATCACTCCTTGATCAATACAAGGCCGATCTCACGCATTCAATACGCACAATATAACACTGGAAGAAGCTGGAAGAAGCTCGTTATTACCACATGAACAGGTGCCCGCTTCAGCTGCTAAACTGGTGCCACGCGAGACGGTGGCCCGGGTGATTGTTCATTGCTGTCTGTTTGGATTAAGTATCATCACTCGGTGATCACGCCACGTACTACTGAAACTTATTCGGTTGGAAATGCTATGCTTGTTTCGCATGATCCATTAGGCTCGTTCAGTTATGTTATGTAAGGACTGCTAATGTGTCCAACAGGCTCCACCTTCTTTGTATTAGTTTTGCAACTGCATGAAACAAGGGGCTTACCGGGTGTCTGTTCTCGTTAAGGGTGACCGAATTGCGCCGACGCAACTGCCAGTGTAATACACAATGTTTCCGCCTATTGTCGATGAGTTTTTGACACCCAAAATCTTCAATATCTGCCCATGCGCCTTCCTGCCAATGTGTCGAGACTCGAGAGAGGGAGAGACGAGTGACTAAGTGAGGGAGCTGTATCATAAGTGACGCCATGTGAAACTACCACGCGCCTCGTAAATCATGAAACCCAAAACGGGACGACATAGGCGTCCGTGGAGTGATGACTAATGAGATAAGAAAATTGTCGATGTTGGATGTCCAACAGGGGATATAACCATTTGCAACACAAAGCACTGGTCATCCTGCAGTGTGTTAGCACAACGCACTAACCAGAATGCAGCTTGCTCGATCACTTGAGCTGATAGATATGTTGATAGTTGATGACTCATCTGAAATCACCCGCGAGTCTGAATCTGACGATGAGTTGGCAACTTCTCGGATCCAGCGAACAATCATTTTTCATCCTTCGAGCATTCTGGCTATCCTTCAATGCTAGTACCCTCTTCGGTAAAGAGTACCCTTGAATCTTCCATCTTCGACTTTGTCGTCCCAATCTGCACCATCGACAATCGTCTCTCCTCCGGCACGGAAAGTGATGTCCTGGCATTTGCGCTCAAGGGGACTTGTGTCACGACGACGCTCGAGAAGAGTCCAGGCGACTGGTCGAAATCAAACGTTTCCTTCGAGCATACGCGGTATGTGAAGGTAACGATGACTAAGAGGTTGCAGATGACGAGACTGAGGGCGGCCTAATTCGGTTGGACTCTGGGTGGATGTTGCAGCGAGGACAGGAGCGTGCTCACCTTTACATGCACCAAGATGAGCGTGACTAGTGTGTCGTACTTGAAGAGTATTATAGTGTGGGGGATAGTGACGGCAGTGATCAGTAGTGATGCACCGAATGCGGAGAACACTAATATTCTTCTGCTATTTGGTAATCCTACATTTTTCCACAGCTGCATCGGTGCAGCAATAAGAGAAACATCCGCGATCACATCCGCTGCATGAACATATAAATTGAAGCCCATAGCACTCACAGAAAGCACAAAAAGGTACTGACTGATCAGCTGCGAGAGCGCCACTGACTTGCCCATGTAGCACGAGTCGAAAATGCACTTGCAAATTTTCTGCGCGAGCAGCACGGCCCACATGCACGCGAAGGATACAGCGATGAGATAAGTTATCTGTCTGTGAACCTTGCGGTCCGAGTGATTGGCGACTCGGATAATGGAGACAATAACGCTCATACGCGCAGCCCTGGACCAGTGAGTTGGAAATGTACCTAAATGAAGTAGGATGCGCACCACGGGACGGAAGTGAGGGCCACTGCGCGTGTCCAAGTTGGGACTGATCTGAAGGTGCGGTAAATCTTGTAGTGCGAATGGATTCACTCACAACCCGTTGAGTCCTGGAGCCATATCCATGCCAAGCAAACAACTGGGTGATGAGGTTGGTTACTGAGAAAATCAGCGCACTAGGAATGTTCTACCGTCTGATATAAGTGCCAATGCCGCCCATACATCTTCCCACCAGAATTGACGCTGCCACCATCTGTAAACGAGCCTGAAGACAGTGCAAAGTATAGCAATACTATGCAATACCAACGCAGTGACTTTTTGGAGAACGATCAATTGACATAAGAGCGCAACATACTGCTGCTCGCAACTCACCTATCAGTTGATAGAAGGATGCCATGATGTTAGACACAAAGGAAAGATCAGCTTTAGGTGGAAATTGTGACGACTGGCATAGCCTATGTGTGAAGTGACGACAACCTGCAGGGTTGCAAAGTTCGACAAATTGGGAAGATCCCACACATGGAACTCGCCAGACATATGCATGATACGGTCATGTTACTCGATTACGAGGTCTTAGTACAACACTGTGCAAAAGTCATGTCAAACTTAGCCGCACCTACTAACTGTCGCGCCCAAGTGCCTCCTCGACCACTTCAATTGACACCTTTCATGTTCTCGGACGTTCTCGACGCTGATCAAGGGGAAAATTGGCTGAGTCGATCAAAGAATGAAGTTCGAGTGTCAGGCTTTAAAGTTTGAGCATGTGAAGTTTGAGCGCTACCCTGAGTAGCTGCGTTTCGGGTCAGTCATGCACCTACGCCTACTATGACAGCCGTGTGAAATTTGAACGTTTGAACCTTGAGAATACCCTTCTTGACTCCTCCCGCTCGACGAGTCGATGTGCTTTAGCTCCTCTTGATGATTTTATGACACTATAAACACGCATTACAGGCGCTCCAGATGCTATTGATGCTGTAGATAATGAGACTGCTGTCAAGCCACCAACAGCCATCCTGGGAACGCACCAGATCGTCACAACAGGTGTACAACACAACACTCCCTAGTCGTGGGTTTTTTGATGTTCTGCTAGATCTGCCTTGCCCTTACTATAACGTGGAACGCTTCCATAATGATGATTCTTGACGATTCCAGGAGTGAACGTGATAGTCTGACGTGATCAGACCGCCTCGAGGAAGAAAATGTATTGCTGGAAAACGTCGAAGACTGACTGAGGTAACGACTCACGAGCTCGTCTGAGTCAGGGTAAATCTTTTGCACGTGGTTCTAACAACAACTCTACTGAACAAATTTTGCTCAAGCCCTCACAGTCTGCCCCTCAAGCAATGATGGGAAGGAGTCTAATCTAAAACTATGTGTGCATCTACAGTCTCATTACCGACGCGGCCACCTCATCAACAAATATCGCTCCTCAAGAATCACATGCATCCACTTCTACTTCAACACTGCCCTTCTCGAAAACCGTAACGATAAAGTTCAGAGCCCGGTATACTGGCGGTTCCATTTCGAAATCTCCGAGTCAAAGCTGAACGCCGACAATAACGGATAACGGAGCTTGGAAGATGAAGGGAGTCAAGGTATTTCGGCGAGGTCAAATCAATACCAGCGCGAAAGAGACGCATCCAACCACTCAGCGATGCGAGAAAATGCTGAATCAAGGACGTCTCCGGGAAGGAATTTGTCCGGCGTAAGAAATCCAGCTTGTCGGGTTGAAAAGGTTCGTGACTTACTTCTAGGAACTCCGCACATCACCAATAAGAATAGTTCACAGAGAAAACATGTTACCGTTGTTGATATCAGACGCCGCAATGATGTGTTTCCACAGGAAAACCACCACCAGCCGCAGCCTTGCTCCATAGCGTCAATGTTGCCCGACCACAAAGGAGTTGAGATCCTAATAGTATGTTGACGCGTGTTACTAGATGTTGGCTATATCTAGTAACACAGCACCTGTGCGCTCACGACCAAGCTTCAGGACACGCCCACAGTGTGACACACAGGGCCAGTCGATATGTCTCGCCTGAGCACAGGTGCCTTTTTATGTTTCGATGCACAAAACACCAACCACATCGAAGAAAGGCAAGGGCATAATCAAAAGGACATGGTGCGATCTATTGGTGGCTTGATGCCGAGTCGAAATAACGAACCTAGTATATATGCTCCAGAACCTCCAGAATATACCACGCCTCTTCAAATCTCCATTGATCAGTATCATAATCGATACCGATTCGAATCTTGACGAATACAAACCCACAGAAGCCAGTCCTGCGTCCCATATCCGCCCATGAAAAGTTCTGTCGCCCAATAGCAAGATGCTGTAGAGTCCTCGTGCACAGAAGGAAGCGCCCTCCACGGGAGCACAAACATCGTCCGCCAACACGGTAAAAGCGTGCCTTTTCAAGCTCGACAGAGCGTCTACCGGCATCATTATAAGAAAACGCAGTGGAGTACCACTCTCAGGCTGGCCTGGTGACCTCTGCTAAAAACAAATGGAAACAGTTACAGATTCACCACCATCCTGTGTACACGACCTGTCCATGTCAGCCACCGGCGTCATTGATGAACAACAGTACGATGATCACGGATATACATCTGACCAGTCGGGAAAGCTTGGGAGGAGTGCTGCCACCATCTGTATAGGCGGTATCCTTGCTACATTGGTATGTGCAATGTAGCGCTAGTAGGGCGTGACGCGGCCACAGTTGGTAGTCGATCAGGGCACAGCGGGTATGTAAACTCACAACGAGTCACACCCACGGCGATGCTATACTGGGACCCCGTCAGTTCATGTCAGGACACTATTTACATTCTGCGTCAGCTCCAAGACATCGCTTCGCTCACCAAGTGCCGAGAAACAGCTTGATAAACCTTGTTATTAAGACAATTGAAAATGTTGAAACGTTGAAGGACCGAAGCGCCGAAAGACTCTGGATTTGACTTGACTGCTCGCGTAATCACCGCACACAAAAGAGCGGGGTAAAAAATATATTGCAAGGCAGAACAAGAGAAGGGCTGATTTAGAGTACCTCGATGCGTTTACAAGTACTGCTCGAAACTAGACATACATATCTCGTCAACGAGATGCCAAACAAGACTGATACATACATAATCTTACACGTAGAACACTAAGTTAGTAAATATCATATAAATCATAACAAGCATCGCAATACAAAGTTCTGAAAGAACCGCTCACGCAAATTTCTGAGAATCGATCACGCAGATTTCTGAAAGAGCGCGCTCGCGTCCTGAAAAATTCGCTCGCGCAAAGTCCTGAGAGGCCGCACCCACACTAGATGATGAAGCGCAAATTAGTTTCCTAAAAAGAGTTATTCAAAATCCAGCACCAAAAACACCATCAAACACTCACAATAGGATGCGAGCTCGACAATTGTGGTATCTGTCGATAATTCTGCTTCAGAATGTCCCTAACGCTCTTGAGTAGCTCTTGGTAACTTTGTACCGGCTTTTGTGCTGTGCATAAAAAAAGCGCAAACAAAAGAAAAAAAGCAAAGGCAGTCGGTCAGCCAATCAACCTCATGCAACGAGAAACAAAACTCGACTAACTCAGAGACGTAACAAACGCCTGTCGCCCATCCAATATCAGTTCTAAACAGGCGGAAAGACAAAATCAAGTAAAAGCTCACGTAGCTCATAGCACCAACAGCCATACCGCCCTGCGTCGTATCGGCACTGGTCTGACTATCGCTACAGCCAGCGAATGATATCTAGATAGATAGATAGATAGATAGATAGGGTCAGCGCGAGCGGCAGAAGCAGAAGCGAACAGCACAACACATAACGCCACCAAGCACTTACCACGTCAGCAATTGCATACTTCTCCGCTTGATGCGCAGCAGTCGTGTGAATCCCCTTGAGGCGTCCATTCGAATGGTACTGCAAGATCATGAGTCGAGTTCCCCGCTGACTGAAGCATATCGTGCTCACGATGTATGACAGATCTGGCAGTCGTGGGCGTTCAGTCAGCTTTCTGTCATTACGGAATGACGTACTTACCTAGTGCCGTTCCTGAGTGACAAGACTATAGGGGAAGAATCTATCAGACATGTCAGATGGGCGCGTTGTACGAACGATCTTACATCAAAGATAGCCTTGAATGAATTGGGATCCGTTAGTTCCGAACAAAACCCTATTAACGTTAAGACTTACGGTCAGACGGCAGCCCTCTGGCAATGGTTTCACCTGTGCAAGTTCTCATCAGTGTCTTTCTCTTCCCTTATTGTTGGACAGGCGTACCATGATGCGGTGCATGACCTGTATTAGAGTTGTGAGCATCAACACAATATTAACGATAAAAGACCCTCACGTCATCAAGAATTATTCCCGCCTTCTTGTAGTCGACAGGGTATATCACTATAGAAATCCAATGATGTTCTGAAGACAAGAAAACATTAAATGTCTTACCTTCATCAAGTCCGTCCACTTCATCCCCATCCTTATCTGGAACTTGCCCCCCGTGACCCGAGTCTAACGACAATGAGTGTCATTCGGAAATGATGACCGAAGGTTCGAAAAAAAAGTATAACGTACAGTGAAAAAATAGTGCATCATGGGGATGGGCATCCTTTACAAGCCAGCGCATCGCATCCAGAATATTCTTCCTTGTCGGCATTTGCCTCGGATTATCGGTTTCGTCTACCAACATCACAATATCACCGTCTTTGTAGCCCCAACTAGCTAAAGCGCGGTATGAGTATGAGCATCAACGCGCAATATTGACGGACAGAGAAAAACATACAAGTCAAGAACCGTTTCACGTTATGCACATCGTTGATACAGCCCCGAAGCTCGCGTCGTTGGCCTTTATAATTGATTCCGATCTGAAAAAAGGCAAAGGCATTCGACTCGGATTATCAATTAGTATGGTGTCTTCACTCACGCAGAGCGCTTTCTTCCGTCCGGTGCACTTTGAATACTGGAAATGCTGATGCCCATTATGGTGCACGACGTGTTTGTGCATACGGGGCTGGATCTGGTGTTGGGGCTGGATCTGGTGTTGGGGCTGGATCTGGTGTTGGGCATGTTGGGCAATAATGACGGGCCTGTGCGCGCTGCTTCCTGAGTTTCCGCGCGGTCGGTGACCATGACCGGAGGGACCTGCGTGAGGTGTTTGAGGACGAAGATGTTGTGAAGAATTTGAGTGGTGCAGGTTTTGCGAACTGGTTGCGCGGCGAAGTGCAGGCTGAAGTTGCAGGTTTTGCGAACTGGATGCGCGGCGAAGTGCAGGCTGAAGTTGCAGGTTTTGCGAACTGGTTGAGCGGTGAAGTGAATGGGTTGAAGGCTGAGTGGGTTGTTCCGCGAAACGAAGCTGGGAGGGGGTGCGCCGAATGGTTTGAGGCATGGCAGAAGTCGAATGGGAATGTTGGTGATTGCCGTGTCTGTGGGACTGACCTTGAGTGTGATTGTGATTGTGATTATTCCTGGATGGCTTTGAAACGAATTGCGGAACAGGCATGGGTGGAGGACGTGGTGCATGACGAGACATTAAAGGGTGAGGTGGTGGTTGAGGCATATAGGGAGAGGGGGGTGGTCGGGTTGCATGGGGAATTGGTGGTGGAGGTGCGCGTCCGCGAAAGTCTTCATCATTAAGCGAACGAAGAATCTCATGTGAATACATGCTGTAAGAGGACGGGGAAGTAATGAAGCGGCAACTTGAATAAATACCGCATGAAAGCTTACTGTGGACTGTGGGGAAATTCATTGTGAGCTCGTCAACGTCTTCTGAAAAGAGAAAAAAATACTTTGGTGAGGCTGATCGCGGAGCGTTTGGGAGACCGAGGGGCGCAAATGGCTTGGGGAAAGGATCATGGGATCGATGGAGATCCCTGACATTAGTTGTTCAGTAACAAGTTGCTGCATGATGATGTAGACGATTGCGTACCTCACTGGGGGGATTCCAGGGCTATATAATCACAGTTGGGTATTTGAAAGGACAGAAAGCAAAGGTATGATGACTGACGATGGGATTGGGAACCTAGGATTTGGGGAACGTCTGCGATCTTGGACAGGGTCGTTGCCACGTAGATCCCACATCATTGTGTTGACTTGAGTATAGGATTTGAAGCGCGGGAAGAAGAGGAATGCAGGACAGCCTGGCATGGTGAAGGTCGGGGTGAGCACATTGTGAGTAGGAAGCTTAAATAGTGTTCTATGAGTGTATTGAGTGACTTACGGTGAGGAGGAAAGGCCGAGAAGACCTGGAGAGGGATGTCTGACTGGGGCAGGGCTGAAAAAAGAGCATCTCAGCGAGAACAGCGGCTCTATTTGACTGAACTGGGGCAGCTGCTGTCACTGAGTTCCTAGAACCGAGTGAGTCTGTTTTTGGCAAGTCATGCCAGTAAGTCGCGCGCCTCCGAGTCGGGGGCCGTGCCGTGCCAGAGATCCGCACTACTCCCACGAACATGGTAGCGCTCACCGATGGACTCGTCGCACAGCACCGCCAAGGAATTCCAAGAGATTTTGGAGCAATGACGGAGATCTATATTGCGATGAGTCACGTGTCAACGCTAGTATAACACACCGGTGGGTGTCTTGAGTCACCGGCAAGTATGTGTTGAGTATAGTGCTTCTCATGACTTTTAAAATGGGTGCACTGCTGTGCATCTAGTACTGGTGCTTGGAATGAGCTTGGTGATTTCACTGATAGTATTCTATTTTTAGGTAATATAAGTCGAAGATTAATCTCAAACACGGATGATGCACTGCGATGCTGCTGCGGCACGGGGTCGGCAACTAAGTCACAATCAAGCTTCTAGTCTGTTTTTAATTTTATTATGACGAGCCACCTTGACGCCCTTTTTCTCCTTCCCGTTTGCAACGGTTTCCTGAGTACCGTAGGCCCCACTCAATATATTACGGTTCATCATCCATGTTCATTACCCCGAGAAACCTTCTCCATGTCACCTCTCGCATTATTCTCGCAATCATCCGTATTCCCGCTCTTATTTCTCTCTTCATTCTCGTCATCCTTTACACCATAACAGAGCAACGCTTTTCTGAAAAGTTTTTTGCCGAACGTTACACATGGCAACCTGCTTTTCCTTCAAGCTGGAGGTCCTTGCTTCTCCTCCTCCTCGTAATCCCCATCTTTTCATTCATCCAAATACTCCGTCTCTTGGCTTATCGTTTCCTACTTCCCCTCCTTATCTATCGATGGAATAAAGCATTCGGAACCGCAGACCCGTCTCAGCAAGGTTATGTCATGTTCCATCGAGATGGTTCTGTCGAAAGACGTCAACTTTTCAACCACACCGAGGAAGAAAATGCCCTCATGGAAAACGTCGAAGAAGGTGCTAGCGTTCGCTCATTCTCCAGACCGACATCTCCTACCCCACGTCCCGCGTCCCATCTCAAACTCTGGAGGATACAGCTAGTCGCATACATCCTCCTTTTTTGCACAAGTACATGGGTTGGAGTCCATTACGAGCATCCTGGCGATGTCCGCTATAGGGATATCATTCAAGAGGCCGTCGCACATCCTCGAAAACAAGGCTACGCAAAGCAAGGTGAGCGAATCCTCGAACCCGAAACCCAGCTTACCCTCTTTCAGAGAAATTTTTCATCGCTGCAATGTTCTACAATAATGAATATGTTATTCCCTACTGGCACGATACCCTCATCAAAGTCATTCACTATCTCGGTCCGGACAACGTTTTCGTCTCTGTCGTCGAGAGCCACAGTTCCGATAGCTCCCCTCAGCTCCTTCAAGCACTGGATGCAGACCTTGAACTTTTGGGTGTACCGCGGCGCATACTCACGGGAGATACAACAGTACCAAAACCAGCTGATCTGCGCGGAAACCCACGCATCGAATTCCTAGCGGCCACGCGTAATCGCGCACTTGAGCCCCTAACAGAAGGAGCGTACGATAGAGTCGTGTTCTCGAATGACATCTATATCGAGCCCGAGAGTTTTGTCGAGTTACTAGAAACGAACAATGGGAATTATGACATGGCATGTGGTTTAGACATGGGTCATTTCGGGTAGGCACATCATCCCACCTGCTACGGCATATCCCTCATTCTAATTATGGTTAAGCGCCTATGACATGTGGGTTCTCCGAGATCGACAGGCCAAGCTCACCAGTGCCATGTGAGTCCCGAACTTTGTTCTCAAAAACACACGTGTCTAATTCAGTCTCTAGCTGGCCGTATTTCTTCGACGAAGCTGACTATCAGGCAATGCAGACCGAGTCTCCTGTCCCCGTATTCACCTGCTGGAATGGTATCGTAGTCTTCAATGCAGATCCTCTTCTCCCGATAGCGCTGCGCTCCAACCGCACCCTCTCCAACGACCCTCTGCCATACGAATTACCAGCGACTCACCCAGCAGCACACAATACCTCGATGCGCGGCCCGAGTCCTGCTCTAACGCCCCCAATACAATTCCGCGCGTCTGCGCCCGAAGAATGTTTTTCGTCAGAAAGCTTCCTACTCCCATATGATATGCGGCGCCAGTTCAATCTTCAGCAAATTTACGTCAACCCGAGGGTGATTACGGCTTATGACTGGAGGTGCGTTATATGCTGCGTTATTGGATAGCGCCTTATGTTGTTGCGATAGGTTTTATTTCTATTTCAAGTGGCTTATGCGCCACCCCGTACTACAATGGTGGATCGAAAAGGTGTATAATGGTGCATGGATGGCAAGATCTGTGATGGTCGTGGGCGATGCGGACAAGATTTTCTGGTGGGATGGTGGAGACTGTCATCCATGGTGGTGACGAGTCTCAGTTATGACATTGAAGGGCAATAGGGTCACGGGACGATTTGGTTTGAACGCCCGTTTACTAATACTTTGATTACCTCGGAACATACCAGGTAGATTGATTACGCTTGTTTGTCGTTGCAGTATTAATATACCATTTTAGACGCATATTTTACGAGACTTAGGGCTCGTTCTGAGGGTCGATTCAAAGGGTAACAACGTCGTCGACGAGGCTCTGCGTCTCAAAAGCTTGGTTGTGCAATTTCCGCCCTACATAATCCTCTGTGTTCCTACCCAAGTACGTCTTTCGTGATGTCTTTCCCAACTACCGTTCACAGGATCACTGTTGTTATGCTACTGTTGTTAAAGATCAAGTATTCGACAAGAGCTTAGCGCCCGTGTTTTGTTCAAAGTCCCTAACTATGGTGACCAGTCACCTCTGTCAAACCCCCGCATCAAATCTGATGCAAAGTCGTTCTATTCGCCTTGTACTGTAGATCATACCCCCACACCATACTTGGCAAACTCGCACACGTCGCCTCTATACCGATTCTGACGTGAGAGCACTGGTATCGTGCCCGCCTTGTACCCCTACCCCCACATCATACTTGACAAACTCGCACGAGTATAACGCATCGCCACTATAACGACTCTGACGTGAGAGCTGTGCGCTACTTGCCTCGAGTTATAAACCTCGCAGTGAAGGCCTGCATCGTCCAACTACTCGATTTTGATTCACCCCACCCCCACACCACACCACGCCATGTTATCCGATACCACCAAAACCGATATCAACTCTCTCCCTGCTGCATTCGACCTCCTCCGCCGGGACCGGCACACCTGTAAACGCCAATGGATGTGCACTTCCTGGGAGCTGGAGCTGGAGCTGTCCGTGATCCAACAAACAAGTATCCTAGAAATCACGCTCGATGCGCAAGAGCAGCATAATCGTGACCTCGTCGAGTTCTTGCGGTGCTCTCGTTCGTCTAGTATACCGTATTGGAAGCACCACATGCCAACACCGTATTGGAAGCATCACATGCCAACACCGTATTTAAAGCTACCCATGCCTGAAGCTTCTGATTATATATCTATTCCGATGTACACCCAGCCTAGTCCGCCTCCTCCAGGACGAAAGAGGGCGTTATTGGTGAGTGTTGGTTGTGTTGCGAGCGAGCGATATCTGATTAATGATTCTCTGAACCCGAAACCGACACTGCGCATCTATCAGATTGGAATTAATTACATAGGCCAACGCTGTGAACTAAGAGGATGCAATAACGACATCCGTCATATCTTACCATGCCTTATTAGTACGTGCAGTTCTATGCATCTCAACGACAGCTCTGTGCCGTGCTCTCACTAACTCTAACTCCTTGCAGATCAATGGGGATACGATCCGCGGGATATTGTACAATTGACTGATGATGGGAATGGCCCGTTGCCGACTAAACATAATATTTTAGTTGAGATGCATCGTTTGGCGTTTTATGCGAGGGCTGGGGACTCTATGTTCTTCCATTGTACGTTTGTTCTCTCTTGCTTTGATGTTATCCTTGGACTTTGGTTCATACGAGTGCTTTGCACAGTTTCAGGGCATGGGAGCCAAGTCCGCGACCTTGATGGTGATGAAGTTGATGGTTATGATGAAGGTAGGACTCAGGCTCTTTGATATCGATATCGATATCCAGAAAGCTTATTGCTAATGCGCCGTACAAAGTTATATGTCCAGTCGACTATCAACAGTCGGGTGTGATTAACGACGATGTCGGGTGTTTTTCCGTTTTCATCAAAGAACAAGACTGATTGATAGGTCTTTAGGAAATACATGATATCATGGTCAGTATCATTATGCGTCACCCAAACGAACGCCTTGTGGTATTCGAATAGCCGTTGATGGAACGTTCGCAGGTGAAGCCACTTCCAGCTGGCTCACGGTTGACGGTAAGAAGAGTAATCAGGGACGCGAACATCGCTGAATGCCATGGCTTTGCAGGCGCTTTTTGATGTAAGCATCTTATGTTATGATACCGGAACTGCAAGTGCCGAATGAACTCTAGTCATGCCATTCTGGCACGGTGCTCGGTGAGCCCCAAATCAACTTCATCGCTGAAAGATGCTGAGGGATGATTAGATTTGCCTTACCTCGTGAGAGAGCAGTATCCTCTTCGTAATTTGGTTTCGTCTGATTGTCACAACAGTATGACTCCGGACAGCGCAGGTTCGTCTATGGCGTTACACCAGATGCTCGCACCAGGAAACACTCCCAGGCACAAGTTGTGAGCATCAGTTTCAGTTTCGATTTCTGCGAGTTGTGTTTCTCAACCAACATTGAATAGGTTTGTTTCTCGGGTTGTGGCGATTCAGAAGAGAGCGAAAGCGTGACGCTGCCTGATCAGCCTATAGGCGGACTTATGACTTTTGTGGGTAAACCTTCCATCGCGTTCTTTTTGTTCCTTCTAATTTCTTTTTTTCCTTCCTTGAAGGCTTTCAAACATGTTTTCTGTCGGTGCCGAACTCTTATTGCCGGCCCAGCTAGCTAATACTAGGACTTTGTCCAGCTTGTACGGGGAGTCTGACTTTCCAAAGTAGATTCGAACAGATCTGTGCGTTCGTACGTACAACCTTGCCAGACGCCAGACAACAACCCCAATTCTCCTGCTCAAATCCTCTCGTTTGTCCATTTGTTCTTATCCAGACTATGTATAGCCACTGATATTGATATTGCACAGGATACAACGTTGCCTTTCTATATTTGAAATTTGAACGGCCTGGAGACGGGATTAGGTCGTAATCACTCCTTATACGTTAACATGATCGTGCACATTTGATCTCGTTGACATCGTTCCGATATAACTTTTTTTCCGCTGGGCGTTCGTAAGTACTATTAAGACCAATCGCGCAGGACAAGGACACTGCTCATATCGATGACCAAAGAATTTGGAGCTGGGCTCCCCGAAGCGTTCCCGAAGATGATGCTCACATGCCATTCATCTAACCAATTTGCACAGCGATGATTGGCCAGATTGGCAAAAGTGACGCTGCTTCCATATCTTATCGCGCCTCTTCGGTCCCAAAAGCTTGCCCAGAGATGATTATTGTCTGGCAACAGGTGATATGTGATCGCAAGCTCCATATAATCTCCGTACCGTCGTCCAAGGCAGCGAATTCGTCTGCCTCCTATCCGTCGTGGAGATGATGCACCTGTCAGCGAAGCTCGCCGAGACTGGTATATTGTTGCCCAGTGATGCTTTTGAATGGGGTGTTGTATTCAAATTGACGGGATGGTGCCATTTGTGTAGCGCTATGAGGGCGGGAGCTTGATAATCGTTTTGGCTATCATATAACTCGTATTTCGGCTGGAGCGTTGGTAGTGGTGAGTCGCTACCCCCATCGATAAGCACGTATGTTCGTCCCTCCTTCCAGATTGACTTCGTACGTTTACATTTTACATCCTAGTCTTTATTGTACTCATGGCATGACAGGTACCGAAACAAGGGGTAATGTGTCCGTCAATGCATGATACACCTATCCGGTATTGATTCGTTTCGGAAGGCAAGACAGATCGAGGGGTAGACACTCTACACCCTCCCCTGTCGTTCCTGTGAGGCGATCGCCATCTCCAAAGTAAGTTTCATCCCACTTCACGTGATCGATTTCTTCGATTTGGGTTCCCTAGACCAGCGGCTATTAAATCACGCCGATCGTTAGTACGCCGACGTCCTCCCTTGACGTCTTCCAATTCGCATGGAGCCCTTCGACCATCGGCTTCATGTGGTTTCGTGAAAGAGAGGACTCCGCCACTTGATGCTCGGCCAGCACAACATGATCCTGTGACCTCGCGGCTTCACCGCTTGCAGACACAGTCAACTCAAACTCTTCAGCAGCAGAAAGGGGAGAGTATGGATTCATTGAGACAACGCAAGCACTCACCGTATAGTGCTGCGCGACGCCCTGTCGTTGCAAAATGCAATTGTGAACCGAGTGATCAAGTAGAGCCCCCTCTGACGACTAAAGCCGAAGTGTTGTATCCGCACGCAAAGAAGAAGAAAGCATTATGCGTAAGTTTATTCCGGTTTGTGTTTGCATGTCTTATTGGTATCTTTGGGTAGATTGGCATAAACTACAAAGGCCAGAACAGGGAGCTTCGCGGTTGTGTGAACGATGCTTGGAACATGTCGGAATTTTTGAAATGTCCGTCCATTTTTTCATCTGCTCTTATTCGTTCAGTACCAAGCGACGCGGAGATCAACAGCCTCCTGGAATTATGCGAACGAGGATATCATGGTGCTCACAGATGAGCCATATAATCTGAAATACATGCCGACGAAACGGAACATTCTCAACGCATTACGGTGGTTAGTGAAAGACGCCCAGCCTGGAGATAGCTTGTTCTTCCACTGTGAGTTGACGTATGTATCCGTCAATTTACCAATGGATTGATTGGTCTATTCAGATTCTGGACATGGAGGACGAATCGTGGACTTGGATGGTCGTCGTGTGGATGGTCACCGTGCGGATGGATTTGAAAAGGGTAATGGTTATAATAGTCCAAACTTTGAATCATGATGCTGATCTGAACATGAGCTATCCATCCGGTTGACCGGGAGCGCGCTGGTGAGATTGTCATGGAGGTGCGTTTGTATAGTTTGTTTGTCTTGCTTAGACGCGAGGTAAATGAATCTCCATCTTCTCAATCAGGACCTATACCATATGATGGCAAGTACTGAGAACGCGAATTGTAGGGTCAGTGCTAACTTTGATATAGGTTAAACCCTTGCCGACTGGTTGCAGCCTTACGGTGAGCTTGCGAGCAGCTTGATGTGTCGACCGACTTCAATCATTTCACCAACAGGCATTGTTTGATGTAAGTTTCAGTTGTCAATAGTCGAGTTGAACCGATGATTTCATGAACGCTGCTATGATAGTCGTGTCATTCTGGAACCGTCCTTGGTAAGAAACGGTTGTATTACTCAGTTGCGTTATCTTTGTTGATCCGTTTCGCGCACAGACTTGCCATATATCGTCAGTCCGAAGATGTGAGTTGATCTGTTCGTGATTGTCTAATCGTTTGCTCAGCGTCAAGCCAGTGGTCGCCTACAACGGGCGAACTCTCGAGGTCTTACAAAGTATCCACACGCTTATGTGGTGAGTGAAATGTTATCGACTGGAAGTTCATTTGACGGTCACATGTTAGGTTTTGTTTGCGAGTTGTAGCGACCTCCAAAATAGCGGGGGCGTCATCATAAGGGGTGGAGAATTTCACGGAGCCATGTCCTCTGTGCGTAGTGATCGAGAATTCGTTCGTGTCATTCTGACTAAACACACTATCAGGCCTTCATCACATCACTCAGTGAGTAGCGTTCTAGCAATGACAGCTATGCGACTTACTGGCATTAGCGGCCAACCCAAACCAATCATATTTGCAGGTGCTTGCGTCCGTGCATGATATTTTGCGCCGGACTCATAGCCAGACGCCGCAGCTGTCGAGCTCGTATTTGATTGTATGGCAATCTCATGCTCTTTAATGCGTTTACTGATGTTTGTGACAACTTCATCAGGATTCCAGTCACCAGTGCCTTTTATAAATTCGATGCCGTGGTTGGTTTTCCATCTACAATTTGTACATACAACACTTGCAGTAACACCTTGTCTATACCTGTCCGACTAGGGACATTGCGAATCAAATCCTATTTAGAATAGACGTAATTGTTTGGTTGACACCGCGCACTCGCAGACTTCTAGGCGTACTGAGTCGCCGCGTGGTCTGGTAGCTGGCATGAAAGAATTGTTTTAGTATGTGACGACAATTGTATCATACAAACGTATAGAGCCCCGTTAGAAGAACCTGTCTATGAAGGTAAGTACCGCGAGAATAGGAAGGCTCCGACCGAATAACCCTAAATCCCCTTGGCGGATAGGTAATAAATGGTTTTCAGTACCCAGTGAGTGTAAGTGCCAGTGTCCCTGTGGGCAATGTTGCGAAATCCATCCTTTGATGGGACGGTTTCTCCCAAAAACTGAGCTCAATGAACACACTGCGATAGTAATGGAACTGTGTGTGAGCGGGACACGTTCATGGAACTGTCAGTGTGGGGTAAGCAGCTCAGCAATATCACGTACATCCTGAGAGTGGGGCATGGTCATGGAACCATTAGCATCGCGCAAGGTTCAAAAGACAGTCAGCATCGAGAAAGTAACTGAAAAGACAAAATTACATACTTCCTGAGAGTGGGGCATTGTCATGGCACCCTTAGCGTCTGGTAGGCAACTCAAAAAACAAAATCACGCACACACCGAAAGAGATGTATGACCATGGCATTATCAGCGTCGGGTAAGCAGCTCAACAAGATCACGCGCAGTCTGGAGTGGGACATGGCCATGGATATGGTCAGTGACGGGACAATTCAAGCACACCATCAATAAGGTATATACCTTATTAAACAATCCATTCAAGATTTTTCGCGAGGATCCAGGGTATTTGGTGCATTCTACAAATGGCAGGATAGTCTATGAATTCGAGATACCAGACTTTTGACATCGGCCTTATTCAGAATAGTTGTCTGGGATCGTCTTACATATTGTCAAAGGTCCTCGGAATCAACTAAACTCTCACATCGATAGCTTGGAGGACTGCCAATAAACCGCCAATAGCAGTTTTTATGGATTCTCCCGCAAGCGGAATTGCCCCTGCAGCAACCTGTACCACGGGTAAAGATAGCTGGGCCATGCTAGACACTTCGCGGGCAAGAGATATGCCACATGTGACATAAAGATTTGGTGGACGAAACGCTGGCGTGTGTCCGTTCGTCCGTCGTAGAATGCCGAGTCAAACGAAGTGCGATGACCTTGGGCAAAACATTGTCTCGGACAGAAAGTGCGTTAGGTAACATTACTTATGTAATGTCACGGTCACATACCTTACTGGGGGTCACCGGCGGCGGTCCGGCGCTGTACTTTCTACAGAATTCTACTACTAGCAGCCCGGTATCAACAATCCGTACATAATTCATAAGCACTCACATCATGATGTCGGACAGGCCTGGCACGGATTTTCATATGCTTTTTGAGGTTCTAATAGATCGTACAAAAAGCTCAAAAGCAGGTCATCAGAATCTGTCCAGATCCCATACCCATTCCTAGTGACATTGGCTACGGGCCTTTTGCCATCACCGACATTTCCCAATGCCCATCTCGCGTCGTTCATTAGCTGTTTTAAGCTGAGCCAGCTGCATGTTCATGTCAATAGCTGGTCAGTATCTATATCTACACTTCAATGCGTGCTCATATGTTTGAGAAAATGCATTCATAGGATGAACTGCCAGTGATATTGACGTTTCGTCTTCAAGGATCTTTCAGCTGCTCTGTCGACAACGCTCTTTCAATTCGTGACGTTCTTAGTCGATAAAAAAACACCGGTCTCCACTCCTCTCGCCCTCGTTCGTGCTGCGTTTATTCTCTAATATTCACTAGACACTGCCAGATGCCGGTCGTTCTCATCCCTTGACATTATAGGTGATATCATCATGATGAACTGGCGAGTTGGAGAGCGTTCACTTCATTTCAAGCCTATCCTTCGGACTTCCCAGCAGGAAACCACGTGATTTCAACATCATCCGGTCTGCTTATCTTATTCTCAAAGTACCTCCACACTGGATGTCAATGTCATTATTATGAGATGGAGTGAACTCTGACATGTAGTACTAAACGTGCGGTGAAAGCACTGTTTAGTAGCGCTACTGGCGCGCATATTATCAGGGTCACTACTCACCTCTCCTGATGCTCACGTCTGTGCTGTCTTCCTGCAGTGATGCAGAATTCAGGAATCATCTCTCATAAACTGACACTCGTGGCCAGGAGTGAGCACATTCACGAACAAGGTGAATAATAATAATTGTTGTGTCTCATCCGTCCTCCAACCGCACCTCTTCCAGGAACCATAGGAAACCATCCGGCCAAGGTGACCGTGTATGCGCCACGAGACGCCATGACAAGAAGGGCTCCATCCAAATCTGTCGACTTCTGTCGATTGACCATGCTTCATATCGGAGTTGGGAAGATCCGCTTGAGAGACTTGAAAGTCCGACCCAGTGATGAATATCTCATTTGAACTGATTGACTCATGCATGGCGCCGTTGTGATAGATGGAGCTATTGACCTACGAACAGGAAGGCTCTAATTGATGAAGTTGATCGATCGCTGACCCACGTCAACGCTTACTGACGTGGCATCCCATTGTACTGAGCACGAGTTACGATTCTGTGACATTGGTATGCGTGAGCGAAGCTTTGTCGGAGTAGTACGGTTGGTGCCCAAGGCTGGCAAGGCACTTAAAGCCCATCATAACTTGAATTGTACGCCCCTCTCACTAGTCATGCTACAGCTGTCTGATCTGTCCTTTTCTGAGAATGTCCGGCGCATCCTCGGTGCTGCAGCTTGCCTTTGGGTAGTACAAGTGATTGTTCGGGCTTCCCTTCCTAAGTCAAAGAGTGGCCTTCCCCTCCCACCTTCCCCTCCCTCTCGGAGACTTCGTGGGCATTTCCTGCCCCCTCGTAGGTAAAGCTTTTCAACTGACTCATCACATTTTCAATGCTAATCGTGTTCTATTACTGACCAGCTCATTTCTCACTATAGGCCGATGGATTGATGAGCACGGTCCTCTGGTCACACTTCGCTCAGGGACTCAGAAAATGGTTATCATTGGCCGGCATAAAGTCAGTCCATTCATGCTGAGTTTGTTTGTTTTTGAGACTCAAGACACTTCCATCGCAGGCCGCGATTGATATCATGGAGAGGCAGAGCGCATCGCTCGTCGATCGTCCTCGTCTAATTGCTGCCAGTGAAATGCTTAGCGGTGGACTGTCCATCGTCTTTACACCCGCTGGGGACAGGTTCCGTCGGATGCGTAGGTTCGTAGTCTGTGGTATTGGGAAGGCGCAAATATCCATTATGTTGTTCACAACGTGATCAGAGCACTTCATACGCATCTTCAGCCTAAAGCAGCCGAGGCGTATCAACCTTTGCAGATGTCATACGCGAAACATACGGTCCTCAGCATTCTTGAAGATCCACAAAACTTCCAGAACCACGCGAGAACGTAAGCGCTCTCTTGGCTATGATGGTAAAAGACTTACGATCATTTTGAAGGTATGCTGCGACAACAGTCACGAAAATTGCTTATGGGAAGGATACATCCACGTCTGCGACTGATGCTGAAGTCAAGGACGCTCGCGAGTTTCTCGATATCTTTCGTGTAGCCGTTCGACCTGGCGCTTACCTGGTGGACGCAATCCCGTGGCTCAGATACCTTCCTTGGTACGGACAAGAATTAAAACGAGGGTTTGAGATCAGCAAGCGACTTTATACCAACCAGCTGAACTGCGTTAAAGAGCAAATAGTATGCATTGCCTAGTCAATCTTCACATAATGTCTGAAATGTTCCACGGCAGACTCAGGGCAATGCGGATATTGGCCCTTCGTTTGGGAGATATATGCTAGAAAATCGCGATCTCTGTGGCTTGACAGAGCCAGAGATGGCTTTTCTTGCTGGCGCCTTCTTCGTAGCTGGAACCGACACGGTGAACTGTCTTGTTGTATTGTTTCCCAAGACATGGAGCTGACATCATGTGTCAGACTGCTCTAGCAATATGCACGGTATTAATGGCAGCAGCATGTTTCCCTGATGAGCAAGCTATAGTCCAGGCCGAGCTTGACGCGGTTATCGGAAGGCACCGAGGTAGCTCGATTCATACGGCAGATTTATCGATTTAATAATGTCTCGACCAAAGCACCAACCTTCGCTGATGAACAATCCCTCCCTCGTCTGCACGCCTTCATCTCTGAGGCTTTGAGGTGGAGACCCTTGGTTCCCAATGGTTAATATCTTCATCAGCAATTTTGTGCCCGAGGTTCACAATGCTCATCTGCAGGGACACCGCACCGAACGACTAAGGAAGTGATTTGGGCAAGTAATCTTTTGAGAAATTTGTCGTGTCATGTGTGGAGACTAAAACAGACATCGGCTGACAGGAAAACTATAGCATTCCTGCGGGAACTACTGTATTTGGCAACCATTGGTGATATTCGACCTTCGGGATATGTAAAAGGAATCTGACGGCTACTACCTCAGGGCCATCTCTCGAGATCCGGAAGTCTACCCTGAGCCTGACGCGTTCAAGCCCCAGCGCTGGATTAACGATCAAGGTGGCCTGAGGGATGATCTTGACTTCTTTGTCTTTGGGTTTGGCCGGCGGTATGCATCGCCTTTCAGGTTAATCTTTCTTTAATTGTCTGTTTCAGTATATGCCCCGCTCTACACCTCGCGAAGAGGTATGTAACGTGTCCTTGCACACATCATCTTCCAAACTCAGTTCAATCGGCGCAGATCGGTGTTCATTAACTCGGCCCTTATTGTTTGGGCGTTCGAGCTCGCTGCTGATCATACAAAGCCGCTGGATGACATGGGATTTATGAGCGGGATGCCGCCAAAGGAGGACCCATGTACGATCAACTTTAAGACGAGGATTCCAGAGCTGGAGCTCAGGCACACGATGCACAATTATGCACGAGAAGACCACTAGGGAGGGGAAGTAGAGTCGTTCGTTCATTCATATGCACAGTCACTGTACAGCCAATTGTCGATTTCGACCAGAGATCGTCGTAAATGTCGTTGATACTTCACGAGTAGCAGCACCGAAATTTCAAGAAATTTACTTTATTTATTGCTCTATGTAGCTGCACAGAACACTATCACCGAGAATCCGGCAATCGTGGGAGATCAACCATACGAACAGTGGTTGTAATATAAGGCGCATCAATGAGCTTGATTGTATCAGAAAGGCAAGAAAGGATATGGCATAGAATCATAACATAGGTGATCGGGTGGGAGCAAATGGTAATAAATAGGACAACGACGACAGGTTTTTAAGCCCTGTCAAATACGGATGGGCCTCACCGAAGCAGGAGTGGGCCTTCCCCGAGGACGGGGCCGGTTGAGTCTTAATGTTTCCGACGGCCTACAGAAATGGGTCAGCAGAATGTACATGCACAGATGTGATATCGCACGCACGTCATGATCGAGCCTTGCGACGTATTACTAGGAACAGTTGCCAGAGAGAGGTTAGCGAAGCTGGCATTTTCCTTATTCTCCATCCCAGTGCGGGTAGAGCTCCTCTTCGCCCAACCCAAGGCAGCTCTTCGCGCGACCGAGCCCACACGGGGACGGGGTGGGAGGCCAAACACGCGCTCGAGTTTACCAGGCGACATTGCTGCGTCCTTCATGATTTCGCCTGCCTTGGTGTTCTCGAAAGCAGACGACATGATGTTAGGGTTGACGGAAATCTGCTGCAGCGCCTTAGGTTGACCTTGGGCGCGCATGTTGTCATTGGGAGCATTTTCTGCGACAGCTGCAACAATGGCCGCCCTCACTTGCTCGGTGGCCGGAGAAGACGTGAATGAAGTCTTCATGGTCCTGGGGTAGGGCGAGGGTCGAGAGTTGACGCGAGAACGCATGCGCCGTGGGCGCAAATCCGAAGGCAAAGGCCCGTAGTTCTGCAGTGAATGTTCCAAGAGCGCTTGCATGCCGGAAGGATGACAAGGAGGATCAAATGCTGAGAGCGGCATTCAGCGTCGTATAGAAAATAGGTGACGGGTTACTCACATTGAACCGCGAAGACGGAGAACGGCGTGTCAAGCCAGGTCCGCTGGCTCTCTGTCACTGTCTCTTGAACTTCGTCGCGAAGCGCATAGTACTTGCGTAACGCCATAATGCCCCTCTCGTCATCCCATAATGACACTGAATCCACAGATGCAGTCTCGGGATCAGCAACAAATACGGGAGCACGACCAATTGTCTTTGTCGCCGAATCAGGAAGTTGAGTAGTCTTCGTTGAAGAACCTAGAAGCGACTGAGGGAACGAAGTCGAAGAAGATGCCGTGAATTCCTCCTCGATGGTCTCGTAAATGGAAGTCCGTGATGCACGGGCTTGAGAGATCCGTCGTTGGTGACCGTGGCCGCGAGCGCGTGGTCGGACTCTGTCCAAGGTAGCGTTCGAAAGAGGGTGAGTGGTGTTGGAAAGCATGTAGTTGACATGCGAGAGGTCAATGCTAGACTGCGAGCCCTCCGAGAACGAGGAATAGCCATCCGAGATAGAAAGTGGAGGCGTATCAGCACCAGAACTCATAGATGTACAAGTGCTGGAACGAGAACGGCCTGCAGGAGGGCGGGTGAAGACAGGTATACGGACTAGTATTGTAGTGAGCAAGACAAAGAAATCCATTACAAACGGACGACTCACAAGATCTTGACAGATCTTCTCCTTCTGCGATCAACGCCGTGACCTCCAGACTCTGCCTCTCCAAAAGACCGTGCTTTGCTCTAATCATGCGCTCGTCACCGAACTTTTCTGAGTGCGCAGTCGAAGCGATCGATGGCTTGCTTTCAAGAACTCGCCTCTTCGGAGATTCGTAATCATCGCCCTTGCGACGGATATTTGGCCGAGGAACGTCAGATCCGACGTGTTTCCTTTTTTCAACTTGGCGACAAGGCGAAGTTTCGATCGTGGATCCTACGGAGCGGCGTCGAACGTAGCCACCACCAAGCATCTGCAAGAGGAAAAATTAAACAACCAATTCACAAATATGACCCCAATAGCTTACGCTGATCATGGTGTCATCTTCTTTCTGCGGACTGTGAACACTGGCAATGCTATAGCTTGATAACCGTTTGAATTGAGGCGGCGCATGCGAGGAGTCCACGCCAAAGAACGCAGAGTCAGACGAAGAGACCGATGTCCTGTGGCCAGTCTTCTCAAAGAGCGAGTCGTCCATGTTGGAAACCAGCTGAGGCTCCTGGTCCATGCCCAAGATCGAATCATAGGACAAGCGATTCGTGTATTGATCACTCCGGAACTGCTCGCTTCGGGCGCTCCCGGCAGGGCTTTCAGGCGGTGACGCAGAAATGGCGGTAAGTGGCATCCCACGATCCAATGCAGAGTCGAGCATCTTGTCTCCCAGCCCTGGTCTCCCAAGATGAACCCCCGAGAAGTCGTCACTGAGCATGGAATCGACGGAAAAATCGGAGCGATGCCTAGCCCACGAAGCACGCGCGCCACGAGCGTACGATTGCAAAACGCTGCTCATGCTACCGCTCGAGTCACTGCAGCGGCGGTGTCCATAGCTGTTGCGGTTGAACAAGCTGATTGGTGGACATAACGATGCGACGGAGGCTGATGATGAGTGGCGACGATGAGTAGTAACACGATTGTACGGGTGTAACTGGGAGTGCGCTGGAGCACGGAAGTAAAAGCTCGAGGCATCGCTGTCAACACGTCGCCTGCGAGGCTGCTTGTGGATAAAGGAGAACGTGTCATTAAGAGAAGACATGGTGAAAGAGAATTCGTCTGATGAAGGACGCTCCCGAAGGCTTGGGAGTGGTGGTCCATAGTCGAAAGGATCCGTCGACCCATGATTGATAACCTGTCCATATGACGAGATAGACGCAATGCTGAACTCGGACGAGTACCTGCTGTGCTTGACACGCGAAGTGGCTCCCGGCGGAGGGTAGAAATTCGGACGATGGTCATGGAACTCGAATCCTCTTCTCACCTCTGCAAACGAGTCAAAGCCCGCAAAGCTCAATTCTGAAGAGTGTCTGTAGTGGCCTGGGACATGGGAAGAACGCGCAGTCGAGCGTCCGATGAACTTCGAGCTAGCGTCTGAATCGAGGCGGACGCGGGATGGAGGCGAGGGGATCTCAATAGCCTTTGCAAATATGGAGTTGAGAACGGCGGACTCGTCACCAGCCAGCGAAGTTGCGGAGAGGGACTTGGCAATAGCCGAAGGAGGAATGATGTCCGAAAGGGTAAGTGGCTCCTCCTTCTTTTCAACAGAGGGTGCAGACGATGGTATGCCACCAAACTTGAAGTCCCTATTGAGCCGTCCATCTGATGGTCGCAAATTCATGGACTTGGCGTTCCTCAAGCCTCGAGACTGCTCTGCACAAAGGAAGTCCTCATCCTCCCCATCATTCGTCGTGGCAAAGCTATCCGTTCCAGGAAGCAGCGATGGTTCAACATCCACATCCATCGGGAAACCTTGAGGCAAGAACTCCTGCGATACAAAGTCCACGCTAAATGTGCTATCTCCCGCACGCTCCAGTTCCGCTTGCAATGACGGGATCTTGGGCACAGGCGGAGCGTCAGGTGGCAGGTCAAAGTCATACCGCAAATCAATCTTGGCAGGAGTGCGGAATGCGTTCTCGAGCTGCTCAACGAAGCTAAGCCTGTCAGACCCGCCAGACTCGTTGAGCTTCTGCAGCTCGCCCGTAAAGTCAAAGGACTTCTTGGTATCGTCCTCAGAGGACATCCCAGCCTCTTCAATATCAGCATGGTGATCGTCCTCGTTAATGACTTTGGCGCGGAACACAGGAGTTTCGATAACTGAGCCTTTGGGTGAGGGGAGTGGCATCTCGGGCGGCAGGCCAGGCGAGGGCAGCGGTGGGTGCGCGATCATCAGGTTAGGATTGAACGACAAAGTATCATCCGCTTCTTGATCCGAGTTGGACAAAATTATCTGCAATTCATCAGGAATGTCAGAGTCAGGATCACTCGCATCCAGCTCTTGTTCTCCCACGGACCCGCCCAACGTTCCTGCGAGACCGAGGTTCCGGCGTGCATCAGGGAGAATCAGCAGGCTCGGGCTGTCAGGCGGTGTCGGAATACCATCGGTGGCATCGCAACGCAACTGCAACCGTGCATGCTCATTAGGCACGAGTGATGACTGCTTCCTCTCGTGTCCTCTTGCCTTCTTGAACACGGGACTTGCACCCAGTGACGCACGGGAACTAGACGCTGAGTGCGCAGAGCCAAAGGTACGTGACGACGGCGAACGATCCGCGTTACCCGTGAACGGTAACCTCATAGGCGCTGCAAACACAGCGCGTCCCGACACCGGCACTCTGCTTGTCGCAGGGCGGAGTGCCTTGAAGACTGGCTCTGGCTCTTCCGCAGGCGCTGGGCTCATAGTACGCTTGTGCGTGAACTTAAATGCCGGTACGGTAGCATTTGCGTCCCTTGACAGAGAAGGCTTCGCAGGCGATATTCCAGCGTTGAGCGTAGCCCAAGGTGCAATGTGCTGCCCGATGGACGGGACCGCGGTGGATATAGTCTTGGCGTATGGGCGAAGTGAAGTGACGCTCGCTGCGCTTGCGCGGAGGCCTTTGATAGGGCTTTCTAGAGTCATGCGGTGTTTCGTGGGGCTGCCTGCTTCGGAAGGGGCGAAAAAGGAACGGCCACTCATTGGCGACATGTCCGGCGTCGCTTGGAGATCAAGGCGGTTGATGAGCTGCGCGAGATCGTTTGTTGCTGCGTCCAGGAGGGACATAACTGCGTTGTCTGTCACAACATAAATGAATGGGTCAGCACGATGCAAACAATCGACTGGCTGCGGTAATGACTTAACGCACCGCTTTCGTCCTCGTACATAGCCTTGGGCCTGCCACGGCCCAGAAGCTGCTCGCTCAGCGGCCTTGGGCGTACTCGCTTGCTCGGTGTCTCGAGATCGCTGTGCCCGTCTACAGTTGCCTCTTCGATGGTCACGATTGGCAGTACAGATGCCTCTTCCTCATTTATGTCCTCCTTGCCTTCCTCGCGTTCAGGGAAAACCGCCGCTAGCGGCGTCCTCTTCCTGCTATCCGAAGATTTGCGGGTCCCTTTGGTTTTCTTGTCCTTCTTGCTGGTGTCCGTCTCCTTCTCCTTCGATGCGCGTTCCTTCCTCCTGACCTCCTTCACGGTTTCCAACCCAGCCTCGTCCCACCTCACTGAGCACCCGGCAGAAGACCCTCCCGAAGATACGGAAATAGGCCTTACACTCCCAGCACTACTCGCTGTCATGGTGGATCCCGTCCTCGGTCTGGCAAGAATTCCGAACGTGGCAGGCGGGTCCACCGACAGGCTATTGGACCTCTGCGCTTGAGCGGCTACAATTGATGATGCCGTAGATCCGCTTCGCAGAGATGGAAGACGCATCGAGGAGGGGAGGCCCAGCCCAAGGATTGACTTCTTCTTGCCAAGAGTTGCTCTAGAGGTTTTCTCGTCAGGGCTTGCACTAAGTGCCCCTGCTTCGAAGCTGCTGCCGGAGTAGCGCACGGTTGCAGCCTTGTCTTTCTCTTTCTCTGTCTCCTTTTCTTTCTCCTTGTTTTGACCCTTGTCCTTTTTTTTCTTCTTCTTCTTGGGCTCGCTGATAACAGGAGGAGTAGGTTGAGGCGTGTCATCGGGTGCGGGCATGTTCTTGAGCTGTGCCCAAGATCCGATACGTGCGAGAGAGCGGACAGAGCGCATTGCTCGGAGAGCGACGCTACCTTTGCCGGAGCCGAGGGGGGCAGCGCCTGGTGGAGCAAGCGTGGCGCCATTTGCAGCGGACGCAAGCGTCGCTGACGGCGGCGTCGGCACACGCAGATGCTGCCTCTCTGTGGGGGACTCGCGGTGCTCAGCCAACACTGGGCTGTTCAGCAAGATCCCCGAGTCGAGAGAGTTGAACCGCGCTCGGGACTCGGTGTGTTTGACTGAGGGCGGTTCAGGCGCTGTTAAATAAAATGTCAATGACGCGTCCTAGTGTGGATTATGAGCTTACATCTCGATCTCTCTTTCTCCTTTGACTCCTTCTTCCCCTTTCCAATGGTCCACCAACCAGCCTTCTCATCCACCTTCACCTTCAATGTATTCTCCTTGTCTTTCTTCTTCTCCTTCTCCTTCTTCTTCTCCTTTTCCTTCACATGGGGGACGTTGGTCACCTCCCCGAGAGCGGGACCCCAGCGCATGCCATCCAGGGCCACGCGGCTCTTCTTCTTCTTCACCACGACGATCTCCGCAATCTCGGGATCGTCAGCCGGGTCGACATATATTTCGATACCTGCGCTCCCAGTCTTCCTCGAACCACTGGCGCCAACGCGGCGCACCACGTCCGATAAATCATTCTCTCGTGAAGAAAGTAAACCGAGCTTTGATTTCTTGGGTACGAGACGCCTACGAGGCGTTGGATCTGATGAGGGAGCTTTGGGCGCGAGAGCAAGTGGGGGCTGAGGTTCAGACCATGGAGAGACAGATGTGTTGGCTGGTAAGGGCGTTGCGGCAACAAGGCGGATGGTGGGGATAGCAAGCTTTGCGGCGGGCGTTGCGAAGGGTGACGGGGAGCGGGTGCGAGTGGTGTCAGTTGTTCGTGAGAGGAGTTGTGATGACATCTCTTCTTGTGAGTACGTGAATTTGATGATATGAACAAACGGTCTTGAAAAACGTTAAATGGGTCGTGATCGTATTAAAACAAGTCGTCAAGTATGATTGAAGCAAGCAAAGAAAGAAAGCGTTATGAACAGTCGTGAATCGTGGTCAGTATCGTGATGGTTGATTTAACTTGATGATTTGTTTGTCGAGATCGTCGTGGTCTTGCGGTCCTGACGACGGTTGTCTGAGAGCAGTTAAGCTCGTCAAAGCCTCGTATTAGTAGATGAAACGGAATCTCTAGCAAACGGTGGTCAATGATTAACCCATTGTATAGATAATGAAATCATACCTAAGCGACAAAAGATGACTTACGGTGACAAGCTCGCGCGCAAGAGAGACAAGAGTGCATTCGACCTTGGCCCCCTTCCAGAAAGTCGAACTTATTTGGTTCTGTGGGTGCACTCCAAAACAACACGTAAACAACGCGCGAAACAAATCATAACTCACGTGATCGCATTAGCTCTCGCTCTGCCTCAGCCTCAGGCTGGACTCCACCAAGCGCTGAGGTACCTTCCAGTTCCCCGCTGTCATCACGTACGACGCTGCATATATGTGCAACGCTCGTCAAGATATTACCCGGCTTCTACCTGAAATTGATATTGGAAGACACATGATCATAGCAGTTGAAAATACTTGACGGTTCTTCGTCTTCTGCCGTCATCTTCCTTCCCATCGCGACGCAGAAAGATCAAGGAAATGACAGGTGCGGTAGATGCAATGGACAGTAATCTTGACGCCCATGCCAGATTGTGTTACGTGGTTGACATCGCTTCATCCGATTCCCATCGTGTGCCATGATTGTACCAGCGCCATATCTGATAACTTCTGAGGACATGCACAAGTGCGTCATTTCGAATATGGGCCTATTTCAACTGATCCGATTTGAACTTGTCCACTGGAGTTGCAGCCATGATCACCAAAACGGCTCTGCAGCACCAGTACGCCGTCGTGCAACTTCCTATTGCGCTTCAACCGAGTTCAACCGAACAACAAAACAAGAAGTATCAAGGGTATGTTCCAACTATACCCCATTCTTGTGGCACATTAATGTGTACCGACCAGCTGCGTGGTGTTATCAGGATCACGCCCGACCCTAGCGTGGGTCTTGGCATCCACAGTCACTCGTTCATTTTCTTGTCGACGGGGGAAATAAAATAAAATAGGTTAACTTTCCGTTCCCTCCGGCGTACTTCAGTTTATCCGGCACACCGTGGATTTCATCGTCGATGTAATTGCTGGGGAGCGTTTACAGCCTCCCGTGATCACCTCGGCCATTAATATGCATCCAGCTGGTCACAAGCATAGTGAGCCGTCCCTAGCTATCGCAGACAATTTCAAGTCTGTTCCTGCTTTCCCTTCTCTTTATATCGCTGTCAACCGTTCTGAATATCCGTTTTGCTGGTCCCGAATCACCATTTGATGATGAAACGACCGCCCATCTGATTACACCGCCTCTAGACGAAACATCCATTTGTTTCCACAATAAACGCACAAATAATCCAGGGTGATCCCTCTTGTTGCTTGCACGAGGCATTACCTGTGGATGCTACGCGTGGTGACATGTACCCATTTGATGAAAACAATAGCCCACAACCGTTAATAATTATTGCGAGTCTGATGGAACGGTGGCTCAGGCTGCTGGACCAGCCTAGATGGGGCCTTTGTTGGTCCATCCGCAAAATTCTAGGGTGATGGGCTTCCGGGTAACTGCACGAGGCATCGCCTGTCGCCAATATATGCTTCTGATCGCCCACAACATATCGGTAGTTCAACACGGAACAAGACCAGTGGCTCACATTGCCAGTCCACCATTGCCAGAGCTTTTGTTGCCAAAAGATTACCGCTCGTGAACGATTGGATCTTGTAGTAACCCCTAGCATTTGAATGACGATTACTTCCTCCCTCGGAGTTTGAAACTATTTAAACTTATCGGCGCGACGTAATCGCCAGCAAAGCCGGGCCTGACAGTTTTGTTGCTGCCTCGAGGCGGACCTTATGCTAAAAAGGGTGGCGACGTGTGTGTTAAGGCTGTCCAGGTCGCCTACAGTTGGTGTGACGCTGGGCGTGAGATGAAGGAGATCACAGGCGCCCAGAGGCACCCATAGCTCAATGGTGCCTTCTTTCAATGAGAGAAGCAGAGCACATGTTCCTACACGTTGTTTATTCCCGCCATCTTTGGTAAACACTTGCCATATCAGCACACCGCTCATCCTATTTTTCAAATTTCAGATATTACGAAAATCGCGGGTAACGGGAAGGTTGAACCCTTTAATAAGTGGGATGGGCCCCTCCCCACGTTCAAACAGTTCTGCAACCCGCAGTTGACTGCTTCACTATTTCGTTCTCGACACCCTCAAGGTCAGTCCTGATATCATCCACGTCGTCACCCATGACAGTGACTGACTTTTATTCAGATGCCTTCCGTGACGTCGAACAGTGTGTCAGGCTGCTCTTTGTTCAACGTTCGCAAATTAAACGCAGCCCGTTATCTGCATGGAACCTCATCTACATCGACGATCGCAGGATTTCCGGACGAACTGCTGTCTGCCATATTTCATAACGCAACGCACGATTTTCACGACTGTTATGACGCTATATTTCAAGCTACTACAATCTCACATGTCTGCCAACGCTGGAGAAACGTATCTCTTTCAACCTCATCATTATGGACCGTCATCGTTCTCACCTTTCCTACTCATCGCAACCAAATCTTTCGCACCGTCAACTGGCTTGCCCGTTCCCGTTCCCGCCCTTTGCACATTTACATGGATTTCCGCGATCCAGCATGGAATTGGGACGAAGCGTCACATTGCTTCGGCTGGAAAAATATGGAAAACGTTATGCGACTTATCTTGCCCCATGCACACCGGTGGCAGAAAGTTGAACTTCTCACAGACACCTGGGCTCCTATTTTTACCTTCCTCTCCTATTCTTCCCGCCTAAAATCAACTCCTATGCTAGAAGATGTCCTTCTATCCCGCTGTAACGCCTTCTTTGCTGCAAAGGGCGAGCTCTTCCGCCCTGCTGCAATGAGGCTTCCAATCTCTTGGTTCGGGGGAGGCTCTGCGTTTCACAGCCTTCGTCGGGTCTCCCTCGCCGGTGTACACGTGAACTGGACAAACTCGGGATTATCGGGTCTATTGGAACTCGAACTCAAGTATCACGCGAGCGAGGTGATGCCCACATTACATGAGTTTTGTGACATCATATCTGCATGTCCCGAACTCGAGCGATTGAGCATTTTGGGATGGGGTCCTCAATTAAACGTAGACGTCGCACCCAAGCAGCGCACTCTTTACCTTCCTCATTTACGAGTCTTTGCCTTCGGATTCATCGATGTCGATTATGCGATTGATCTCTTGTCGCTCTTTCACTTCGCTGCCCTCAAGACGCTTTCGCTGGAGGACATTTCCTCCTCACTGGATCCGTTGCACCCATGTGATGCATCCCGTCTTCTGGAATATCTCGCAGCTGCTCACCACGGGTCGTGCACAACCTCGGCTCATCCATTCCCATGCACAACGTGCGGACCATATCCCTTATCTGTACTGAGTGCCTTAGAGCTTCATGGCCTTACATCATGTGAAGCTTCTTTGCGCTGCTTTCTGGAGGAAACCATGGCTCTCGACCATCTCGTATTGTCTGGTCTAGACAAGACGAATCTCCAAGCAATCATTCCAGACTTAATCACCGCAGCGCTCTGCCCAAGTCTTCTCGACTTGAAATTCAACGACGCAGACTCGACGACCACCGCGTTATTGACCTCCCTTCCAGCCGGTACCGTGCGCAACCCCCATTCTCCCCCGATGCGTGTCGTCATCAACAATACTAGTGAAGACGAATCGCATGACCTTGTTCTCGCGTTGCGGGCCGCTGGCATTGCGGATATATTCACAGGGAATGACATTTCCTGAGTAGAGGCTTGGCAAGGGAAGCCGCAGTATCATTCGTTCATTTTAACGTACCGCCCCCCCATCAGTCGCTCCTTCTTCCCTTCCTGTCAGTGGTCACTGCATGCTCCCCCCTTTATCACCCACGAATTAACGCCCTTTCTCCTGCCTTTGTACTTATGTGGTACTCTTCGTCATTGTATAGTATATCAGTATGCCCGCGCATCTCCTCATTTCTGTCGAGGTTGCATGTTAGTATATCCGTACTATAGAGCTGAATCTCTCTGTAGCATATGTCATTTATTTAATACACACTCGTTTCGTTTGGATGTGGATAGATCAGTCAGACGCGTCGAGGCACATGTCAGGTACAGATTCGTTGTGACGACAATCAAAGAACTTCGCGGCTTTGGAACATTTCTATGAAGGCAACCATGATGATCATGATGTACTACCTAGCCTGTACTAGTGTGGTTATAATTAACCGGCGTAGATCACCAATATTGCAAAGTGCCACGATCAATTTCAATGATCAGAACGTTAACAAAGGTACAAGGCAGACCAATCCAATCACGCAGCGATAGATACGGAAAGTGTCATTGTGTAAAATTGTGATGTCAATATGCTTGCTCCAAACCATGATTGCAAAGCGATAGCGTAAACGCCCGGATGTTATACAGCCTCCAACAACCACCTCATATTCCTTCTCCAATAAGTCGCTCAGGTGATTCCACATATGCTCTCCAGGACTCCACGAATGCAGCCAACTCTGCACCCTCTAGTACGCGATGATCTGCACTCCAGCTCACGCCAACCTTGAGCCTCCTCTCCCCCTGTTCACTCTTGCTGACATCCCACACCCATCTCGCTCTCCCTATGGCCACGATCGCGACACCACCCCCAGGCACTAAGACAGGGTGCGCGTACTCCCCGTCACCAATTGCACCTACATTAGATACCGTGACCGTCGCACCACGTTTCGGCATCTCGTTCATCGTGAGTGCGCATGGTACTTGACGACCGAGGAAAGAAAGGTGTTTGAGTTGTGAAGATAGGCTGTAGATGTTGTGCGTATCTGCACGGGGTATGACAGGTGTGTATAAACCTGTTGTGGTGCTAAGAGCAATAGCGATGTCTGCGTGTGGACGGATGGTAAGGGTGGGTTTGCCTTCTCCATTCACGCTCCCTGGTGTGATGGAGGAACGGAGCACCGGCCATGCCATCATAGCCTTTGCAAGCGTCTTCAGGAGTATGGGGAGGTACGTGAGACGGGTGAATTGGGCGCTTTCTGGTACTGGGGGAAGAGATGGCGCGGGGTGCAGAGCGGATGGGTTGATTGGGAGTGGTGATGATTTGGAGGGATTAAAGTGTTCGGGTATGTGTGCATTTAGGGTTGGGAGGAGGGAATGGAGAGATGTGAGGTCGAGGGAAGTCGAATAGCTGACGTAAATAATGAGTGATGAATGGTAATTGAAAGGAGGGAATCATACCCGAAGTGTGGAATCTCGAGACTCTGGGTCATAGCTTTCCACATGCCATAACGCGTCCGACCGAGTTCTACAATCACGTCTTCGGCTTGTGCTCGTGGTGCAGCCGAAACGGAGTCTACTGAAACAGAAGAGACTCGCTGAGACAAGAATGCATCAATATCCTTCTTCTCGATGCGTCCGTCACGTCCACTGCCTGAGGGGAGAAGTGCAAGGTCGACCTTAGATTGGCGAGCGTAATGACGGACTGAGGGTTTTGCGAGCACGTTCTCGGGGTTGACATTGGAAACAGAAGGAGATATGTAGCTTGGATCCATCGGATGTAGTCGTCTGGGTACGAGTGGCTCCTCACGGATCTGTTCAGCTCGAGAGGCAGCATCTTCGACAGACTTGAAGTCTGGAGTTATTTGCGAAGCTACTGGAGCAGCCGGTGAATAAGGCTCTATCTGCTCTTCGCTGCCACTATCCAACGTTTCCTCATCAACTTCGATTATACAGAGTCCTTGTCCGACCTTTGCGACTTCGCCTTCCTTCACCAGAATTTCTTTCACTATACCGTCGAATGGGCTTGTGATTTCGACGCTGGCTTTGTCGCTCTGGACCTCGCATAAAGGATCAAAGCTTTGGATGGTGCCAAGTTCCTTCACATTCCTAACTTATGAGCTTAGTGGGGGAACACGATATCTGCAAGGTCCGGCCGACGCACCATTTGATTACTTCACACTCTGTGATGCCCTCGCCAATGTCAGCAAGCTTGAAATTCTGTAGGATTCTCCTTGAGGATAAACATGGTAGAAAGGTGTGAAAGTGCGATACGACGGTTGGACGAGTGAGGAGGCGACGGAGAGGGCGGACGAGCATGGCGGCGGTGTGCCTAAGTAATGGTGCGGGGAAGATGAACAAGCTGCTAGATCCGATCGGGCTAAAAATGTATGCATTCGATTATGTAAACACAACGTATCGTCAACCGGTTCAATTTTTATTTATGTCTTCGAAGTTCAAATCCTTGAAGTTCCACCTAGGCTTGACTTGACCTTCCTGAAGTTCTGGCACCTCTCTTAGGTGTATAGCCCTGCTGCGCTTTTCCACCCACAGGAGTTGCCAGTGAACAGCATTGTGACTTGTTCGTACACAAATTGATGGCAGTCTACACCCTGCGTCTCACTGTGCTATAGGGACACGCTTCACATTGTAATCGATCTTGCTCTGTGAGTCATTATGTTCATCGCTGAGCCCGGAGCCGACAGTTCTTATCATTAATTTTGCACTATAGTGCGTAATTTAGTGTCCGCAGGTTGTGAACACTGGACGGGCTTCGATGTGTTGCCAATTCAGATGTGTGTTGCAACAATCATTGGATTCAGCCGTCCGTGCGGGCATCGCTGCGGCGTAGTCGTAACCGCAGTCTACCAAGTGTCTTAATATGATCGTTGAACTATGTTTTCATCAAAGCATTGGATGCACTTGCCCTGTATGTAATGGTTTAGGACACTCTCGACGCACGTGTCTCAAATACAGGCAGTACTATGAACTCTTTTTATGGCCGGAACAATTCGGTCTTCTCACCCCTCCAGGAACGTACTCGGTCAGTGGCGTGCTGTGGGTACGCTGTGACTTCACTGGGCGACCAGAACCGAGACTCGTGATCTACGTATTTATGGCGCTGCGGAAGGCGTTTGAATGTAGCTCAGGACCAGCATCTGGGCCTTGGTTAGAAAATAGCATCTCATTGGAGTTTATAACGTTAGGTCCGCAGGTCTTTGCTTCTTGCTCCCCGCCCTACATAGTCCCCAACCGAATCGCGGAGACATTCTCGAACCATGGCCACAGGTGGCTTCTTCAAGGGGGACACCCACATGGAAGTGAGTTTCTACAGGAATATGCAAATGAAATCACTCTCATGGTTAGAAGGTTGTTACGATTATCGCAAACTCCGGGCATGATGTCGATGCCGTCCGAGAGGCAGTGACAATGTACATTGTGGCCAAAAAGAAAAAGGGTTGTTCTGAACAACGTATACACGAGAAATTAGGAAAATTGGAGATCAAGGTGTGTCTGTTATTTGCTTGGCATGTTGACAGAGGTTGAGAATAAGTGTTAGTTCAAGAACATAGAGGCGTTACATCCCGCCTGGAGAGACGCTCGAGCCTTATTCCAGCTTTGCAAATCTGATCACATCCCCATCCCCATGTCCATTGTTCACGAGCGAGAAAATGCTCAGCGTCGCCAATTGGAGTGGGAGTCGTCCTCGATGGCACCGTTGAGCCCGGCTGCTTCTTCCGCATCACCTTGCTCGTCGTCTTCCGCATCAAATCGCCTTTCATCTGTGGCGTCTCTTTCATCAGGGCCGTCGCTTTCAACATCAGTACCATCGACTTCCAACTCACCATTACGTCTTAGCTGGGATAGCCCAAGAAAAGAAGATTTATCACGAGACGAGGAAGATCCAACCATAGGCCATCACGTCCCATCTCGTGTCCATCCATCCCGCCACGATACAGCATTGACCTTGCTCTCCGAGTATAGTGATGAGTCGGAGCCCGACGAACAAGTGCTCACTCCGTCGTCAGGCAATCCGCACAAATAACATAGGGGTTACGGCATCCGCAGTTCGCGGAGCAGCGAACTGTTGACCGCAACTTGACTGCGTGTATAATCTCCACGGGTGATGAGGGCTCGTCTCGCGGTGTTCAAATTCTCACACACATCATTCAACTAATCATACATATATGCCTCGAATTCGCCTCAAATTCACTTCAATAACTATATTTTACGCCCACTGGATGTTTCGACTCTTATACGAACAGCCCGTAGTTGGATTCGTCCAGTCACTTGGACTGCCCATTGCTTGTTCATCGACTACATCGTTACTATTCTGTCAGCCGACTGTATTAGCGTTTTACCTTGCTTATACTCCTTATTTGCAAGTGTACTGGGGCGACCTTGCCACTAGAAGCTGCACAGGGAAGCGAGGTCGGTCTCGAATGAAACCTTCCATTCTTGTGGCCCCTGGTACTGTCACCCACACCGCCGCAAACACCAGACCTTCTTGATTGCTATGGAACTGCTGGCTGGCGCCTATTCGACGAACGTGTGCTTGATAGGCGCAATACGTACAAATCCGCCAAAAATGACTTTGGTTGTATCAGGCAAAATTTCAAATCCGTGGCTTCTGGGTTCCTGATACGCTCCGCCCCTCGGGAATGCACGCCAGCGCAGAGTTCGAGAGTCGCGTCCGCAAAGGTATATCTTGCAAGCTGGATACACATTTCCCGCTTGCAACCTATATAACACTTATCACTTTTGTGGACCGACAGTTCACGGCCAACTTACTGAACATTTGCCCCACATCAAGTCAAAGCCTGACGTATTCAAGACTGAAGTACTGAAGGATGGGTGCAGCTGCCTTGTTCAAAGGTGATACAATGTTAGAAGTGCGTGCTCAGCGCTCATTACCTGCGTCATTGAAAGTGCCCTAATGAGCAATAGGTCTGCACAGTTTTAGCCAATTCTGGAAACGACGTCAATAAAGTCCGGAAGGCAGTAATGTTATACATTGCACAGAAGAAGCAGAAGGGCCGGTCTGAACAAGATATACAAGAAAAGCTACTGCAACTGGAGGATAAGGTCAATCATATATTTCTTATTCGACGCTTCAATGACACAAACGGTATCTTAGTTCAAGCACATCGAGGCGTGGCACCCAGCATTCCAAGATGCACGAGCATTGTTCCAGCTTCCCAGGTCCAAACATATCCCCCTTCCAAAGTCTGTTATCAGTGAGCAAGAGGAAATCGAGCTGCTTAGTGCAATAGCTACGGGACTGCTCCCCCCCTCTCTCAAATTACCTTCAACACCGGTCTGTAGCTCGCCAGCACCTAGCAGCTGGGATGGACCGCCGCCGGGATTGCAGGACCTACCATATGTATTGCCTTCATTTTCTTGGGAAGACCACAGTCTGAAATCTCGCGCGCGTACTCCCTCCTCTCCCGAGCCTGGGCAAATCATTTCATCCAACATGATTTTAATGCTCTCCCATTACGGTGACTCCGAAGGAGACGACTAGATCACAACAATCTTATCCGCGCTTGAGTGGAGCTAGCCAGAGTTCTAGTCTCGCATCGCGCTAAACTTTACGCGCGTCGCGCCGCACGCTTCTTCTTTTCCCTTGTTCTTTCAGCCTTAGAGTCCCTTCACGGTTGCCCTGTGCAACACCAACGACGAAGATATCCTACGGTGGCTTATGACCTACAGATAGAGCCCGTCACGATCCGCAGGTACTTTGCGTTACATACATTAAGCGGGCCACCTTATCGTCATTCTGCTGAACAATGATCCCGAAGACGTTTGCTGTATATCTACGTGGGTACCAATCTTTGGAAAGTACCACAGCAACTTTGCTGGATAGGAAATTTATCTTGATTTGAAATTTAGAATCTTTTGTCAAGAACATTAATTACAGGTGTGCGTTTTCCCCGGCATAATTATGCAGGACAATGGCAACCGCCACATACAGGAGTTGTTATACGAGGCCCGGACGATGCATTGAAACAAAGATACAGTAAGAAAATGAAATTAGTTAAGTTAATGGTCTATCGATCTATATCACCTCCATGGGATTAACTTTAAGCTTCATTCCCGATCTTCCGTCACCTCCACCCAGCCCCACCAGAAATATATATTCGTACGTATAAATCTACTACCGTATAGCATTCGAGAGCCTAGACCACCTCCAATTTAAATTAACGAATAGGGCAGAATGATAATGCCGGTCATTATTGATGACGGCCTATGATATACTGTAACCGACAATAATTAGACTTGATGGGCAGCAGCCCAACTAGTGGGGACAACAAGACGCCCTTCAGGTCCATGAAAGGTCTCAGCGGATGCGAATTGGCACAGTTCCGAGGATCGAATATGTGCGCGGAGGAGATATTGACGACACATCACGACTCCGCACATGGAACAACACACCTTTACTCCGAGGTGAGTAAGGATGTGCCTTGCCATGTTTCCCTTCTTGAGAATTTTGGAACAGCCGCCCCATGAGCAGCGTAGAGTGGCGTTGTCTGGACCAGTGATGCCGTGCTCTCGCATGTGAGCAGAAATTGCGCTGGTCGTTCCTTCCACAGACCTGCCACAGAGGGTCCCCTGTAATTCGCACTCATATACAACAACTGGTTGATCAGTTTGTTCGACACGAAACAAGAGTTCGGGATCAACATCAACGATGTGGATAGACATGCGTAAGACAGTAAGTCGTTGAAGGGCAGAAACTGTTAGATGAACTTCTGAGAAGGACCGAAGGATATAAGCTGAGAGCTCTGCTGCGGGTCAGTGATGATCGGGCGGCTCTATATGTATACCACATACCAGAGGGGATCAAGTCGATCAAGAAGAGTGTGGTCAGAGAACTCTCTAGAATGCTACAAGTAAGGGGGGCTGGATGATTCGAAATGTTTGAAGCGAAACACTCATTCTCCAGTTATAAAATATCTACGTCACAGCCTGTACCTCGAGGCCACCGTGTGAGATATCTGTACGCAGAGCGACGTCAGACATGAATATCGCAGACTCGCTACCTGCCACTATTGTGCGCATACGCACTCTATCTGCGATTATCGGACCATTGACCACATGAGAAAAACGGCGCATTGCTGTAATCCGGTTATCCGGTAAAAGTGGATTGGGCGAATACTCACAAAGGTCCACAGGAATACCTTGTCACAGCCTATTCCTCGAGTGTGAGAGATCTGTACGCAGAGCGAAGTCAGACAGGGGTATCGCAGACTCGCGATCTGCCGCTACTGTGCTCATGCATACTCCATCAGCGCTCAGCGATTATCGGACTATTTACCCCACCTAACGTGGTGGTCCATCAGACTTGCTGTACTCCGATGAAAGTGGATCAGGGTCATAGCATACCATGAAACTCTGATGTAGACTAGACTATTAGAGTTACGAACGCCCAAAGACAAAGTCCGTGGGATTTCCAGACATTGAGAGGAAAAAGACAGTCGCTCCTTTCGATCTTTCATTCTTCTATATATTGATAGGGTGCTTCACGTTGATTGCGGTGCTTTGCCCTCGTAATACGACTTTATCGGCATGTAAGATAATATCGACCGCTCACCAATCTTCTGATGAGTCTAGATATAGACGTCGAATATCAACTATGGCGCGTCATGCCCGTCGTCACGATCTGTCAGGTGATATTTCCAACCACGATCAGATCAAGTACACAGTACTTACAAAGTAGTATCCACGTGAAGAGAGTCCATCAGAGACACAGCAAGACCGACCTAGCAACCCCGGATCCAAGACTTTGGGAACTTGAGCACCTCCATCATCTTTCCTTCAGCTGAATCACTCTCCTCGAACATTTCTGACATATACTCCCATCTTGCCGTTTCTGGCATTCCCATCAGCACATTCTCAACATTGACTCCGGGTGCAGCCAATCCAAATTTAATTCCCCTCTCACAAACGAGGTTGAATTCAACATACCGTCCACGTCGAAGGAGCTGCCAACGGCGCATGCGCTCGTCTGAAAGCATGGTTTTCCGGCGATTGAGAATACCCATATAGGAGGAGGTGAATGCATCTCCAAGAGCACGGACAAAGGCGAAGATGTCATCTGCTGTGCGGGGGCGGGCTTCGTGATCTACGGAGCCCAAAATAGTGTTCATCTCGTCGTTTAGATCATCAAATCTGATCCCTCCAATACCACGATACTCCTTCCGATGGGGAATAAAGAAATGATCGTCGCAAGACTGCTTGAACTTTGGATACAAGGCTGTTCCATAGGCGTCGCAAACCGCCTTGAGCGTCCCATGGAACTCCCTCGCATCCTCCTCAAACAGGTATGATGGCGTGAGATCTGTTATGCCGCCAAACCACCACCCAACAACCTTTGCATCTTTCTCTGTGGAATCCATCACTTCAAAGTACCTGTAGTTTGCGTGCGCACTTGGTGCATTCGGGTTGCGCGGATGTACGATTAAGCTGATGCCGCCGGCAAAGAAGGGCAGAGCAGCCATAGGATTGACATCCAGGGATGAATGTTCGCTGCTCATTTGCTTGATAGCAGCAGGGGGGAGTGTGCCGTGGATCATGGAGATGTTGACACCGGCTTTCTCGTACGTAGCATCATCTCCGGAAGAGGCATATGTGCATGAGATGCCACCACCTCCTTGTGGACGTGACCAAGTGTCGCGTTTGAATTGACATGGAGGGTCAGAGGCATCCTCGAGAGCTCTGACGATGGTGTTTTGGAGTTGGGTGATGTAATCGACCACCCTCTGTCGCATCGTGGCAGGGATGGGCGACGACTCGGAATTCGACATCTTGTGTGGGGGGTGATCAGTGGTTGCGTAGGAATCAAACTCATGCCTACCACTTAAGTAGCCTCAGCTAAGTAGGTTCCCTAAAACTTTACCGCGGAAACAATTCGCGTCAATTGAACAGCTTGCTAGGATCTCTGAGCATGCCCAACTTAAGGTATCACTGGAGGTTTTACCGTGACTGATATGGGGTCAGGGTAGGACCCGGGCATGCCGGCCGAGTCGTTGGCACGCCGCGAGCGCTCCACGTATGTAGTTCAACATCCGACTGATCAGATGCATTTGCCCCAGTTCGATCCAAGGTTGCTTCTGAATTCCATTCCGACTTGAATACGCTGGATGATGCGACGTTCGTGAGGTTCGATTATCACCGCATTGGAGCACATTAATGCATATGGTGGATTGATTGGTGAACAAGTGTTGATCCTCCCGGCGAGAGTTTTGCCTCATCACTCAAATTCGACTTCGCGGAGATATTAATCACCTTCTTCACACGAACCCCCATGTGGGTCGTGGCCAAGGTCAGTCTTTCCTTAGCTTTTCTGCTCTCCCTTTAGCAAAACACGCTGCAACTCTCTCGGGCGACGTATGGGATATACGACTAGGGATAGTACTTGAAACTCCTCGAATTCTGCGACGGGCTCCGCTCCTCCAATTAAAGCACCCCATGCGATACAAAAGGACGCAATTAATAACACTTTTGGGTCCAGCCGGCATATGGTGTGCTTCCCTAACATTCTTCCCACTGGTGATATGATGTCGATGCCCTTGGTGCCTGGGTCACCCTTATACTTAAAGCGACAGACTCACTCAGCTGCCACGGCTAGACTGTCATCATGTCAAACAATACAACCACTCCGTCCCCAGCTATCACAGTGCCTTCGCCTCCGCCTGGGACCAATTACATTGCAATAATACAGCCATCTCTGAATTCAATCATGATCGGGCACACCTTCACCGTCATTCTGATTCCCCTCATTATTGCGCTCTTTTATTTCTCAACTCCACTTTCACGGAGAAGACCCATATTCATTCTCAATGCCATAGCGATTATTCTGGCATTCATTGCCGGGATCATGATTGACAGTCTCGCTGTCAGTGTTTTCGTTGTCTCTTACATTTCATGGTATACGTTACTGATTCAATTGCAGATTCATTCGATGTTGTCTCCGTTGGACCCATGGCCGCCAACAGTACGTCCTTTTTTTTCTTTCCCTGCCGCTCCTCATGTTTTCGTCCAGATGAACATCGCTATTGGAATTATAGGCGCATTTCAGTCGATCCTTGTTGACCTCATCCTTCTACTTCGTCTTACACTGATTTACCCCCACACCATCGTGGGCCCAAAACGTTTCGCCCTCGTTACCGCACTTCCTATTCTCTTGAAAATCGCGCGTCTCGTCAACATGTTCATATTCATTAAAGTCCTTGCAGATGCTGCGCGTGGTCCATCAGGGAGTGAGAACCTCGCAGTAGTGTGGGCCACTACACCTTACCTCAAGATTGAATGGTCAGCTCAGCTCGTCGATAATGCGTAGGCGTTTCAGCTTTAAGAGTAGGTCAGTTCATTGAAATATTGTAGCTATGCCTCCATAGCCTTCCTCTGGGCAATCCGTCTTCGAAGAATTCATACATCAAGCGCTGCAAGTGAAATAAACCCACGGAAGTGTATGTTGCCAATTTGTCTAGGGGTCAAGTTTTTGTTAACACTAGTATCTAGCAACGTTTGGACAACGCCTACGTACCCTTTTCTACATCGCGGTCTCCAACTTCGTCTTCCCTTCTCTCCTGTCACTTGCACAGTTGATTGTCGTGTACAAAAACGTATACGTCCTCACAGTCAACGAGATCGTGCTCGTCAACACCATGGTCGCTGTCATCGGTGTCGTGTTCGCCACCGTATGGGCCGGCTCTGTAAATTATCACAACGAGAAAACAGAGCCTGGCGTGCTTGAAAAGGCGCGGGACGTGACGTTTGATGGACCAGGAACGTGGAAAGTTGCTACAGCCCAGCCTAGTTTGACAATGGGTTCGACTGCTATTACTGAACGGACGCGTAGCATGCGTGGGGAGGCGATAAGGCTAGTTGACATGAATCAAACCTCAGGTGAGTAATTGGGAGATATATACGGGATCATTGATCCTCACACTGCCGTTTAGACATCTTTTTGAAATCTGCTGCAGGAGATTCGTGAGGTCAAGGTGCTCTCTAGTCAACTCTAGTCGCACAAAATATCTCGCGCGTTCACATGAGTTGGTGTGCAAATCGTAGCAAGCATGTAAAAAACGAATTGGAGGTGTCATGGAGTCAATGTTGTACATGTGGTCTAGAAGGAGTGATTCGTTAATGCATCGATAACTCTTCTGGTGCGCAAACACGCGCAATTATACAAGAAACTGATTGAAATAACATTTGAGACATTGTCGAAGGGCAATGGAGAATTAGGTTACTTGGTACCATGCACATGATGTCTGTGGTCCTTACAACACCTATGGGCGGAGCGCCGGCCTTCCCAGCGCTTCAAACATATAAGGATACCTGCGAGATAAGTTGACGGCATTTCAGTCAGTCCAGATCCCAAGGATGGGAAACTCGAGCAATAGTAGTCTTTTTAGCCCAGCAAACGAGTACTGGACACATTTCATTCTACCTCTGAATTCTAGCGCTGGCCGGTGCAGTTACGGTGGCATCCAGGCAAAGGTCAATTCTTGTCAGCTCTTGATCACGGAAGTTGGGTGGCTTTTGTTGAAGAAGGTACTAAACGCATGCTAATCGGGTATCTCGTTCTTTGTGCATGCAGATATACCAGCCGACTCAAACTGTATGTTTTCAGGAGGAGGATTACTTGACTCACCAGAGAGGAATTCAGCTGGTGACCGCTTTAGCGACTGACTTGGAAAAGCGAAGGTCAAGCTACAGCATCCAGACCACGACCTTGGCACCCGCTGCGGGCACCTGTCTCCTAAGATAAGGGTCTGTCTGTCGATTCGAGCTAGAGGGATGCTACTGCTACCCCAACGGGTCTGCACTAACCTTTTCGTTCTGTTTAGGAATGATACTACTGAGCCTTGATACGCTGTATTCGGTACTCATGACCCACTGGAAGGGTAGTTAACGGGTTAGGGGAGGATGGGGAGAAGAAGCTTCATATCCCAGACCCGAATTGCGGCTTTTAGCGTGACACTACTCGGGCCCTAAATAGGACCAGCGGCTGGAAATATCCGACCACACTCGGTATTTGGCGTAGAGACCTAGAGTGGCGGAACGAAAAGAGATGGCCGCTGGCCTTCGGAGGTGAAACCCAACAGTGATGTACAAGACTGTTTTCAGTTTTAAACATTTTTGATGTGTAGTGCTCGGGCTATAACACACTATCATGACGTTCAGATGCAATGGTGGTAACGGGCTATGACTCTATACATGATATTTAGGTGCAATAATGGTGTACAGTATGATATACAGAAACTGTGGTTATGTGGAAGATAACAAGTTAATGCTAAACAACAGTCAGGACTCTGACGGAGGCACTCCAGGAAGTGCCTTCGACGTTCCAGAATGTCGAGAGGTTCATTTGATTAAACGAATACCCGTCGGGCCCTCCAACTTTCCACTTGAAATCAGACTTCTGAGTAAGCATACCGTTATTGCATTGCTGATTAACAGTGTATTAGCATGGAATTACAAGGGGAAGAACATATACACGTACGGTAAAAAACCCGAAAAATTGATATGCGATTTGACGCGCGAGCCCACCCCTTGTGATGGGCGCTTCATTCGTCCCGATGTCAATAGGGTACTCCAATGTGTCGTATCCGGGCCACTGACACTGAACTCAGAATCTGAAATCAATCGAGGGTGCGAGCACTTACAGCGATGATGAGGTTGAAAACCCTGGCCTGATTGCGGTCGAGGGTCGGGAACATGATCTCTTGGGCGTCTTTCAAACGCATTCCACCGCTGGGGTAGATACATTCATGCAACGGAATGCTCATACTGTTTCTTTCTGCATTCGCCTGAAAAAGAACAGTCCAAGAGCCGTCTCTGTGACCCCGTTGAATGTTCATCGGGACAAATGTCTCCGCTCTGCGAGAGGTACTAGAAGACTAGGTGAAAGGATTACGGTGTCGTTAGTCTAACGACGAAATTAAATATGTAGATAAAACTCACCGACGCTGGCGAATTAGAAATACCTTTGCTCCCAAGAAACGAGTCACCGCTTACTTGGTGGGGATGCACAACTTCGTGTATACCCATCGCGGCGTTATGCATGTCATAGTTAAAGCCATGACCGTCATTCTTGTACGGGTAGGACATATTGGTAAGTTTGGATAGATCGTCGAGCTTCGAGCTGGGAGTAAGTTTTCAAAATCCATGTTACCCATAATTTTATACTTGCTCAACAACCCACAGGTCAAAGAGCTCTCAGACCGCTGTGGGTCGTTCGTGCGGGTTGCCCATAGTCCAAAGCGGCATTAGTATGAGCAACACTGAATCCATGCAACTTTCAGGATGTTAAGACCAGTGAAAGTCAAAGAGGAGGGCGCATTGTCCCCCTGGTCATGGTGACTCTATTTTCCTTGGAGACGGAGGAGGAAAAATGTCATTGAAGAGGGTACTGGACCACAACACCAGCATGATGGTAGAACCCAAGGACTGCGCAAAGCGTCACCAGCCAATACACAAAGGACGCCACGAAGTGTTTTGGCCTTGCGTATGGACTTGGGCTCTGTCCAAAAGAGCCCTTTGTCTCACTTCGGAATTCGGAAGTTAAGGAGTGTGATCCAGTATAATACAGCGATTCAGCGAAGGACTGGCCTACTAGCAGTGAAATAAACTCTTGCAGACTTGGAGACATTTAAACGGATTAGTGACCCTCGGTCTTGCAACTTGAAGCTGAGACGCACACCTGGAGGCGCCGATCTCAGCGTGATAAGATACAACTCACACAAATCTTCAAGTCAGGAGCCAGCCTTCAGGCAGGAAAGACCTCCATATCGTCTGAAAGCTAACATGCTCGGAGTCCGAGATCAAGCTGTACAAATTCCTCGGACCCGTGTTGGATGGATGATCGCAGGCTCAAAGGAGTAAATCTGTGAACGCCGCGACAATATTTTTGCCTGAAAATGAGACGGATGAACAGATTAAAATTTGCAATGCAATGCAAGGACAAGCTCTCCGTCGAGGGAGGAATTGCGGAGATGAAGCTGCCCTCAGCATCCTCGTTGTATTAGACTCGGTCAGTGACCGAAAAAGAAGCAGTGCACTGTGTTTTTCAAGTAATTTTGTATAGCCACCGCAAACGGCTGTTCATCATCCATTTTGCTTTTCTACCACTTACCACCGCTCCGTTCATTCGTTTACTCCCGTCCTTTCCTTTGACAATGCCATCTTTCATGACGTTCTCTCTCTTTTTCTCGTGTTTTCTTGGTATTTTCTCAGCTGCTGGAGTCGGTGCAGAGACACATACAATAAAGTTTATCAACCAGTATGTCACACATGAAGGAATTACGCCGCAATTCTGACAGGATAAATTACAGATGTGGTCACGGAACCGTGAGCTACACTAGTCCCTGTGGGGAAGCGATCAGCTCAGATTTTTCTCTAGCCATGCTTGGTTGTGAATGCCCAAAACGTATCTACTGGGCAGGACTACGTCGCCAATGGCATCTTTTCCGGAATCGCGTGAGTTCTACTGTATTCCTCATCCTGCGACGTAACTTGGCTCAACCATACTTAATAATTATCAGATACTTACAGACTGGTAAGTACAGCGCTCATGCAGAAATTCTGTCAATCAAACATGAATTTCCACAGGCCAGTGTAACACTAATGGCGAGGGTTGCAGCTTGTTGGAGATGAATTTGGCCAACCCGTCCTGTCCTGGGTGTGGTTCCAGCGTTGATATCTCGCTTATAGATCCGTGAGTTCTTTTTCTGTGAACATGGCTCTACCCTCACCACATCTCCTCAGCCATGTCTTCAACGTGGAGTCGTCTTTTGCGTGCGTATGCAGATTTCTACTTATATCCACATCCTGACGACCAGATAGGTATTACAACGGATGTGACGGATTTGGAGCTGATTGTGAGTCTAGTCTGATGTGGAATCCGTTTTCATGCTTACACATGGCTTCAAGGCAACAGCGCCAACTGTGCCTCGGCCTTCTTTGCCCCAGAAGACTGGTATGCCCAACGTCAATGTGAAGCTAACAATGTATGTAGTCCAGACATGTCAGATTCACCAACTAATCGGTCGTGGCACAGGTGAACCTCCTCATTGCATTTTGTGCGAACGCATCCGAGATTGTATCAGGCGGAAGTGTTTCTTCTCCATCCTCTTCGAGCTCCACCACCCTGAGCACATCTTTGCCATCGACATCGACAACCCCTACGAGCACCACAGTATCACAGAACAACCCACCCACCACCGCCACCACCACCACCACCAACGTTGGCGGCGGCACATCATCCACTACTGGTACTACCAGTAACCCATCATCCACCCCGAAAAAATGCCAGACGCGGCCAAACAGCTCCAGCACTCTGGCAAAGCGCGAGCCCACCGGACTCATGGCTAGGGTGCACCGCCAGCGTCGGTCTTATTGAGGATGCGTTCTGCACATTCTTGATTTTTAACAGTTATTGATTAACTGCTGGAGAGATTGCTATTTTTGCTATGTGGTTTTTTCAGAACGCCTTGACATAGTCTGATGTGTTGTTATTCTCTACCCTATGTTCACGCATGCGTGAAGTCCATCGATCGGGTGGACGCCCAGGTGGCGTTTTTGATGTTTGATTTATCCTCGATCATGTATGTAGCCGGACTTAACTTCCCCGGTGCCACCATAGATGTATTGTCTCCCTCTTGTTTTCTTGCTGACCTGGCGCAAGGCCGTCCTAGTGTTACATGATGTCTTTTATTGCAATCTTATGATACGGTGTATCGACATGTGTATCACACGTTCCCTGGATCCAACTCGCATTTAATCAATTCGACAAAGCCTCCCGGACATACACCCGTCCCTCATAGTCTCTCAGCATGACCTTTTCCTCCAGTCCGATCCTTTCATTCTCGTAGTTTCCCAAGACGAATGCGTACCCCTGTATCCCTCCGATGACCTCCCCCAGGTCAACCTCCGCCTCTCCCTGCTTAAAATTAAGCAGCACGAGCGCAGACGCCGGCCCATAGTTCCGCGTGTATGCGAACACCTGTTCATTTGCTTCGAGAAGCATGTGGAAGTCGCCGTAGATCTTGGGATGGGCACGTGTTAGTGTTGGAGAAATGGAAGGGAGTAGATGCGGAGAATCCGGAGATATAGATAGAATTGAAGGCGAGTTCGAACTACAAGCATGAAACTCTATGCGGAACGACTTACGAGAACATCGTGCGCCTTCCGCACCTTCAGCGCGCGCTTCCAGAATGCATGCACGCTGGTCTTGTCCCCGATCTGTTGTTCGGCGTTCCACTCGGGGTAATCGTCGTTCACGCGCATCCATGGTGTGCCGGTCGTGAAGCCTCCGTGTGCACTCGCGTTCCACTGTAACATTAAGCAGGAGCACTGGAAGGCCGAGATTGGTTGTACTTACCTGCATCGGCGTCCTTGCATGATCGCGCGCCTTGAGCGCGAAGCCATCAAGAAGATCAGACATGTTAACGTCCTCCGTCCCTTGCGCTTTCTGTCTCTGCTCCTTAATCCTATTCCATCCATCATCAGCCCTCAACTACGAGAACAAGGAATACAAAAACGCAACGCACAAATTCCAATAATTCTGGCTTGCCACGTCTTTGTATTCCTCGATCCCCCAGGTTCGCGGGAAGTTCTTGAGGCCGAGTTCCTGTCCCTGGTACACATATAGTGTCCCTGTTTGGGTGATCTCAAAGATGGCGAGCATCTTGGCGGAGACGGCGCGCCACTGTGCCGAATCGTTCCCAAAGCGCGACACCGACCGCGCATGATCATGATTCTCAATGAACACCCTTTGATCGTGCCAAACAAAAAATAACAAAACCATCACATCATGGTTCCACGATATTACGCAGAACTCACGCATTCCAGAACCCATCATCGCGCATGAAGCGCTGCCAGCGGCCAACGATAGCCTTGAGCTCGGTGAGCGTCCAAGATTTCTTGAGGAGCGGCGATTCTGGGGGCGAGTCAATATCCATCAGCTCGAAGTGGAAGACCATGTTGAGCTCGTGGTTTCGTGGAAGGACGTATGCGGCGAGCTCGGATGCCTCGTGTGTGAAGGGGGTTTCGCCAACCGTGATAAGGTCATTGTCTGTAGGTGTTCCGTTAGTGAGAAGAGAGGGGAGAGATCCGGGGGCTCCGACGCACGGGAGAGGACCTCGGCGTGCATTTGTTTGATGTATTGATGGACCCGGGGACTTGTATGGTTGAGAGATTATCGAGGAATAGAGATGAATGAACTCACCCGTTCGCGAAGTGCATGCTGGCGGGCTGGTAATACTGCGTGTGGTCCACCACAGGCGCATCGGGGAGACCATCCGTCTTTGAGATGATATTGATCACGTCCATCTATGATAGCGCACGCTGTTATGCGGAAGAACAGAGAGGAGAGAGATTATGCGCACGCGGAATCCATCACACCCTCTGCGGACCCAGAATCGCATGACGTCCCAGACGGCGGAACGCACGACAGGGTTGTCCCAGTTTAGGTCTGGCTGCTTGGATAAGTATAGGTGGAGGTAGTACTCCCCGGTTGCGGGGTCGCGTTCCCATGCGGAGCCTGTTGCGCAATCAGATGTAGGGAGTGATAATGAAACATTTAGTGATTCGAGGCCACGAGAAGCATGGGACGGCCGCTACCACCATGCAAGGAGGCAGGACAACCTACCCTGGAACACGCTCTTCCAGTTGTTTGGCGGAAGTTCTTCCCCGTCGACAACTTTACCAGGACGCCAGATGTACCAATCGCGCTTCGGGTCGTTTTTGCTTGATTTTGAAGCGGTGAACCAGGCATGCTGGCAATGTGTGTGATCAGTCCACAAAATTAATTGTGAGTAATTGGTAGAAAAAGGAAGCACACGGTAAGCTAGAAAGATAGAAGGTCAAGGGGGCTTGCCTCGTCGGATGTATGATTCACCACCAGATCCATCCTGTGAAAAAGACTCAGATTGATACCGATAAACAGGCTAGGGTTTGAATGAATACACACATAAGCTTCATCCCCCGTGCATGCACGCCCTCAAGAAGGCGGTCCCAGTCCTCAAGGGTGCCGTAGCGCGAATCAATGTCCTCGTAGTCCGAGCTATTATGGTTAAGAAATCAATGACCAGAACAAAAAAGGGTGCTCACATATCATAGCCCATATCAGCCAATGGGCTGCGATAGATCGGGCTAAGCCAGATAACGTCCACACCGAGATCCTTAAGATAGTCTAGTTTGGCAGTGATGCCTGCGAGATCGCCAGTGCCATCACCGTTGGCATCAAGGAATGATGCTGGATAAATTTGGTAGACGGTCGCGGATTTCCACCAGGGATGTGGTGGCGTGGACATGGTGAACAAGGTAAAGAGTGGAAATGCGATTAACTAGAGCAGGGTATATATATGGATGCGTCATATGAGATGTAATACATAAACGTGACCCGAACACGAGGCCATGCATCTGCCAGGGTGAATGATTAGCTTCGGCGAGCCCAGCCGTGCGTGAATATGTAAACCCCACACCTCGTGGCATTAATGAGCTTCTGGGTGCGTCACTCTACCAGCGTCCGTCTAAGACCAACTTCGGTGCGAGGAGATACATCGTGGCAAGCGACAGATTGCCTCGACACATTAAAGTTACCAATCTGAAAGTAGCTGACCTAGCTACAAGCACCCCATATCGGTCATTGAGCCATGAATTTTGGGACTGAAGGTCGTACTTACAATCGTCTAAAACTGTGTCGCATGTGGCGACTGAGTGGTCTTCTGCTGCAGACACCTTTAGTCGTCTGGTCCTAGCCTCCCGTAGTCAGACCTTGAAGAAAGTCGTTCTTTCTTGTCATCTGGTTCCTGGAATGTAAAACTGTCAAATGCCGCATGGTAATGTGCATGAATTGATCGAGTACACCGCTGGCAGTTAGCCTGTAGCAAAACAGATTTGAATGACAGTAGCTTGAAGAATGTGGGCATCAAATATTTCACTACCAGTAGGTTATCAAATAAAGAGTGTACGGTCAACATTCAAAATTCGATGCGAGACACAAGAGCTCGCTCAAATTGGATCAAACTACTCACTGCATCCCAAGCTTTTTCAAGTTGTACGCACAATCAGAGCATTTCAGGCGTATAGTGCCACTAGGCCCCCTTACCAGGCTTACTTACACTAGCGAGGAAGGAGCTAGACAATCCTAACATTGGGAGTACCTAGCGAAGAACGAGGTACACGTACATCAGTACAAGATAAGTGCGAGACGACGTTGAGCATACCAGGTCCAGTGCATATAGTGTTATGAGATAATAATAGCACTGAGGATCGCTTCTTAGTCCCACACTAAGTGGCACCCCGAATCAAGACCCCGGACACCACACCAGGTCAACACGTCCAACGGCGTCAACGTCGCCCAACGGCGTCACCAACAGTCTCCCTCCCAATCAATAGAACCTTTAAAAACCCAAAAAACATATTATAGATACTAACATTCACAGATGGCACCTCCCACGATGCCCGAGAAGAAAAAGAGCCCAAGGGACGGGACAAGTCCACCAACCACTCGAAACTCCAGAAGCTCAATGACGCAAGATGATATAGAATCCTTACCAGGCGCAGTGACAAACATCGATTCGGCAGAAAAATACCTGGCCAGCGCACTTTTACGCCAAGCGGATGAACCACTCACCCTAATTCACATCACCGGAATCCTTTTTCAAATCACGCAAATGGCCAAGTCCACCCCTCTTCCAGTCGTCAATGCCATTCGAGCGGTGGCTTTCATATTAAAACAATTGACCGCATCAGAGATCGCAGAAGCCGTGATTCTCCATCTTACTGACTCCGTGACCACCAGCATAGTAAACAACGTCGTAGCAGCCATCTCACCTCAAGTCGCAGCGATACACTCTGTATCTGAGGAGCTGAAAGACTCACTGACTCAGACCTCAAAGCTTCAGGGTGTAATAGAGAGAGAGAGGAACGAGAAAGAAGAGAGTCTTCAGACGGCGGCAGAGAGGATCGAAGACGCAGTGGACATGCTCTATGAATCTATCGAAGACTGCAACAACTCATGCAAGACCCTCACTCCATCACTAGAATCCACGCAAGACAGCATCAACTCCCTTTCTACTCAATTCTCCCAACGCCTGCCAGCGGAATCACATCCCACATCCCCATCGCTAGTCCACCCCACTTACAGCTCAATCGCAGCCACACATCCCCCTCCACCTGTTGACCAAGCAGTAGCCAGAGCCGCAATAAGAGCAAAACAGATCCTACTTGACCCTACTCCAGGACGCACACTCTTCGCACAGGAAGACACCAACTCAATCATTGCCAAGAAAATATCCGACATGCTACTAGTGATACGCTCGGCAAACACCCCCAAGGGTACAGTGCGAGCCGTACAACGTCTCCGCAATGGAGGTGTCATCGTCGAACTCGAAAACGAACAGCTCGCAAGTTGGTTACGCAGCCCCACCGGCAGACAGGCATTGGAAGCTCACCTGGACGCCTCAGCCAGCGTTCGGGACAGAACTTACGCAGTAGTAATCCAATTCCTACCTATCACGTACGAGATCGATCGAGAAGATTTCCCTCGTCTGATCGAAAACGAAAACAAACTTCCGCCTAACTCCATCGCTTCCATCCGATGGATCAAGCCCCCCCAGCGCCGATCAAAAGACCAACGCAACGCCTTCGCCCTTCTGCAACTACGAGATGCAAACACAGCCAACGATACCCTCAAGGAAGGACTCTGTATCGACGCTCAACGATACACAGTCAACAAAGAC